TCAGTTCGGAAGAATTCGCAATGAATCATAACTGACCCAAAACAAGTGGAGGGGCATCGAAGATAGTAGCAAATGGTGATGTGAATTATCAGGGTAGTTTTCTCTTAATTAGAGAGTTGAGACACCTTGCGAGACATGGGATGCCTTCATAAAAGCCAACCATTTCTAGCCAAATACATGTACATCCTCCTCTCTTAAAAATCGAATTGTTCTCGACGGCGATGACACAAAGGTAAAAAAAGGCAAGGTCACACGAGACATCGAAACATACCTCCACGAAGTTCATATACTTCCACCTGGTCGCCTCTTGATGCAGCATACAGGGCTGCTAAGGCCCCCACTGGGCCAGCACCCACAACAACCACTTTCTGCCTTGGAATGGCCATCATGTAACTGGTCAATATCCAAAATAAAGCCAGGTACGTGTTGAAACAGAGGAGTAAGTCGTCGTCACGTGCTGCGAAATCGGCCCCTTCCAAAGTTCTGGACAAAATGAGATATGATCGACATTAGTCATCTTTATTGGTCGTCTTGCTGCCTCAGGAAAATATCAACCCATTTTGGCACTAGTCCAAATATAGTTTAGTTCCATATCGCCTTGCGGCCGGCGGGGATTTTCTTGAAGATTTGGCCATTCAATCCACTCTCTACTGCATATTCCCTCGTTTTATATTGATTTATATTGCTTCTGCTATTTCAATATGGCTGAAGTTGCGACTCGCAAATGCAAAGGTGTGGACTGCCCTAACGACGCAGGCAGCCTACAATGTCCGACATGTCTAAAGAGCGGCACGGACAGTTTCTTCTGTTCTCAGGACTGTTTCAAGCGAAGCTGGGTAGGTACTCTGATATGACTGGGAGATTTGCAATGCAGGCGCACTTCTATTTGTGAAACCAACCGCTGACCATCTACCCCAGAGCGAACATAAGAACATTCACAAAAAGAGTAATATCCTCACCAATCTTTTTCCTCCGAAGGTAGTTTCTGAACCAGATCCAGCTACCGGCACCTTCAACCCGTACCCATCCTTCCCTTACGCCGGTTCATTGAGGCCCGTCTATCCTCTGTCCGCCAAACGAACGATCCCTAAGTCAATCCCGCACCCGGACTACGCCCGCGATGGTATTCCCCGATCCGAGCAGAAGCTTATCGGCCGCCATAACATTACTATCCTGAATAAGGAGGAGCAAGAGGCCATGCGCAAGGTTTGCCGATTGGCCCGTGAGGTTTTGGATGCTGCTGCACGTGAATTGAAGCCTGGTGTCACCACGGATTACATCGACGAGGTGGTCCACAAGGCTTGTATAGAGCGTGATGTACGAGGAGTTACTCTCTGGTGCAAAATACCATACTGACATATCTTTAGTCCTATCCTTCACCGCTGAATTATATGAACTTCCCCAAGTCCGTTTGTACCTCGGTCAACGAGACTATCTGCCACGGTATTCCCGATCAACGTCCCTTGAAGGATGGAGACATTGTCAACATCGATGTCACTCTATACCACAAGGGATTCCACGGCGATATCAATGAGACCTACTATGTTGGAGACAAGGCGCTTGCAGACCCCGATGCCGTCCGAGTAGTGGAAACCGCACGTGAATGTTTGGACCAATCAATTGACATTGTCAAGCCTGGTATGCTCTTCCGCGACCCTGGCAATGTCATTGAGAAGCTCGCCAAATCCCGTAACTGCAGTGTCGTCAAAAGCTACTGCGGCCACGGTATCAACCAGCTGTTCCACTGTGCGCCCAACATTCCTCATTACGCTAAGAACAAAGCTGTGGGAACTGCCAAGCCGGGTATGTGCTTCACAATTGAGCCCATGATCAACATTGGTACCCACCGTGACCGCACTTGGCCCGATGACTGGACCAGTACCACTCAAGACGGATCTCTGTCAGCCCAGTTCGAACACACCCTTCTCGTAACCGAGGACGGCGTTGAGGTGCTGACTGCCCGCCTGCCTGATTCGCCTGGTGGACCAGTTCCTTTGATTTCGACAGCATGAACTTGGGGAACTGGCAGTTAACTAATCGGAAATATTTGCATCAATGTTCAGATAGTTCCTATGTAACAGCCGAATTTACGACCGTTCAATGCCCATTAGTATAGTTATCCATATGTCGTCGTCGTAGTATATCAAATGAGTACTACGTATGTACAAAATAGGGCCATAGCCCAGACAAGAGTTTGCCGACGTTGCAGATCAAAGGTCTGGGCGGCATAAGTCCGAGGAGCAAGTGCATTTGATTGGCCGAAACGGGTAAGTCGGGGATCTAGTGAGGGGCCTCTTATCGGCAGGAGAATTTTGGGGTTAGATGCCCTCGCTCTCCTCTTTTGTTTCTTTCCCCGTAGACGTTCAGTCGGGTCATATCGACATTGAGACGATCGGGAGCGATCTGGCGACAGACAAAAGTCTCGACAATGGCTCCAGAGACATCTCCTACCGAGAATTCCCCATTGCTGGGATCTGTGTCCGCTAACGGCGCTGTCTCCAACGGCACGATTCCCGATCACAATGTGGAATCAGGGGATCCAGTCCAGACGGAGGAGCGAGGCAAAGAGCCCTCCCCCGATGCGCAGAAGCAGCTCAAATACATTGTGCCTGCCATCTCGCTAGGAGTATGGATTCTTTTTCAATGTTTATTCATCCTGTTTTCTAAATTTCGATTGTAACTAACAGGATGTATAGATTTTCTTGTCAGCGGCAGACCAGACGATTATCATGGCTAGTTATGGTCAAATTGGTAGCGATCTCAAAGCTCTTAATCTGACCAGCTGGATTGCTACTTCTTACTTTCTTACTTTGACTTCTTTCCAGCCTTTATATGGAAAACTGAGCGATATCTTTGGTCGCAAGCCGTGTCTACTCTTTGCATATGCGATTTTTGGCATTGGATGCTTAGGCTGCGGTCTGGCTCGGGATATCAATGAGTTAATTGCTGCTCGTGTATGCTTGCATATGATCTGAGGCCTGCATCATGTAATGCTGACTATCTCAAACAGGTATTTCAAGGTATTGGCGGAGGCGGTATGACCACTGTTGTCAGCATCCTGATGAGTGATATTGTGCCTCTTCGCGATCGAGGCCTATGGCAGGGTATTATCAATATCATCTATGCCACAGGTTCCGGTACCGGCGCACCCTTAGGTGGAATTCTCTCCGACTACATTGGCTGGCGCTGGTATGAATATGAATGATGCAAGACCCACATCTCCTTACGCCATCTGACGTTTCTTTCTAGGGCATTTTTAGCGCAATTCCCTATCTGCGTTATTGCATTCATTGCTGTAACTTTCCTGCTCAAGCTGCCCCCTCGCGAGAGCGCCCACTGGAAGACCAAGCTGCGTCGCATCGACTTCCTTGGCGCTGTAGTCCTTGTTGGTGCTGTTCTTGGGTTCTTAGTTGGTCTTGATCGGGGTAGCAATGTGTCATGGAAATTACCCCTGACAATTGCCTCGCTGGGTATATCCGCTATCTTGTTCGTGGTCTTTATCCTAGTTGAGGTCTATCTGGCAGCTGAACCATTTGCGCCTGGTCACATCATCTTCAACCGAACATTCTTTGCTTGCTACTGCTGTAACTTCTTCAGCTTTGGAGGATGGATTGCCGCTCTATTCTATATCCCCTTATACTTCCAAGCGGTAGATGGTGTCTCTGCTACGACCGCAGGACTGCGTCTATTGCCAAGCATTCTATCCGGTGTCTCTGGATCCGTATTTGCAGGCTTGTTGATGAAATGGTATGGCAAGTATTACTGGCTAACAGTTGCTGCATATACTTCCTTGACAACTGGTGTGCTCTGCATATACCTGTTCTCCGGTGGTGTGATGGCTAGTACAGTCGTGATAATCTGTGGAATGGTACTTTCGGCATTCGGCAATGGCATTGGTGTCACTACAACCTTGATCGGTTTGAGTGAGTTTTTGTCTGATCTGTTCTACAAACCTTCGAAGCATGCTAACTATTTCACCAGTATCGAATGCTACTTATGAAGATCAGGCGGTCGTCACTGCTTGCTCATATCTGTTCCGCTCATTGGGATCCGTGATTGGTCTCTCTTTATCATCAACTGTCGTTCAGCAAGTCTTACGGAATCGATTGCAATCAGGACTACGTGACAGTAAGAATATCGATCAGATTGTTGAAGGGGTGCGAGAAAGTCTTGATTTTATCAAAACCCTCGACCCAGCAACCGCCAGGATTGTCCGGGACTCTTATGGCTGGTCCACCAACAAGGGATTCGCCTTTTTGGTTTTTGTGGTGTTCTTTGCTTTGCTGAGCAGCTTTTTCATTCGTGAAAGCAAACTCAGCCGCTAATTCGCAGGTGAAGCTCTATACTTTGAAAAGATACAGATTTGCATTACTTGAAAAGCGATAAACTTGCATGGAAATTATTATGGTGTGTGGTCTATAGCATTGGGGTTGGATTTCAAATTGTCTACATACACACATTGCATACATATGTACATCAAAGAAAAAGTACTCCGTACATACTGAATATAAAAGAAGTTTCGCATCTATTCCAAAATTCAATCCAGAAAAGGACATGTGTTTCTAAAACACTGATCAGCTAAAGAGGTAAGTATGATATGCCATCTGCTATTTTATACATACACAAGAACTAGCAAATGTCATATCTTTCTCGTCTGTATTCTTTTTTAAAAAAAATTATTGCCTCCCCTACATCGTAGGCATGTAGGGCTAGATCTGCCCAAGTCCGATAGTTTTCCAGGGGCGGGCTCCTGCCGGGCAGGTGTCAGTTATAGCTTACTAAGCCAACATATGGGCGGTTCTGTCATCAACCCCGTTCACGTTTCAACCTTGGAAATGCTATCTCCAAGTTGACTGCCATATCCATTCTAATTGAGTGCCTTGGTTGACACTTTGCGGGTCTGACTTGATCTGCTTATCCAACTGTGATCAGAATGCGCTACACCTCGTGTTCCTGACATTTTTGTGCAGCTTCCGTTCAACTTCCGCCAACCCTCCGTCATGTCCGCTTCGCGCTCAGGGCCAGTCTCACTAGCACGCTATCGACCTATTCTCTACCTCTTTACTGGTGTCGCTGCTGCCTATGCGATCCTCTATATTCACAATAATGTCATTTCGCAGTCATCATCAACTTCACTCCGACGTCGAAACGCTGTGCGCCGCACGAGACCAACTGAAGCCGAAGAACTTGGGGTCGCTGATACTCCGTCTTATCGAGCTATTACCCACCTTGAACAATTAGAGCGTCAGAATGGTGTATATGGGACATTTCGCATTGAGACAGAGGATGGGCGTCGCGTGGAGAGCGGTCTTCTTCCATCGCTCCTCGCAACACGCGACCAGCTGATGGAAGAAGTTGGCGTTCCGCCTGCTCATGCAGAGCGCATGCGCGAGATGATGGAAGATACTTTTCTTGAATCCTTCCTTGCACTTGATTTCCCATCCGCGCACACTCTCCCAGAGAACACACCAGAAAGAACATACTTGACAGAGCAGCTTCAACGCCGAGGTATCTCCCGAGCTGGTATCGAAAGGGCTCTGTCCCGGTTCAACGGAGATTCGAATTACGGGGAGGAGCTGCGACGGCGACGACAGAATGGTGAACGTGTCACTCTCTCAACCTCTACCTTTCCAGATGTGTCTGCGCCTCCGCAAAATCCTGATGGTGGTGAGACGGTGGTGGATGACCAAAGTGTCTTCTCATGGCGTGATGGAAACAACGATCCATCTAATAGGGAAGGTCAAAACCTACTCAACCTACTTTACCACATCGCTGAGGATCAGGCGCGGAGGGATGGCTATATCCATCGTGGAGTTACCTGCAACAGCTGTGGTGCCATGCCGATTCAAGGCATCAGATACCGATGTGCTAATTGCATCGATTACGATCTGTGTGAAACATGCGAGGCAATGCAGGTCCACATCAAGACACATTTATTCTACAAAGTGCGGATTCCAGCCCCATTCTTGGGAAACCCTCGTTCATCTCAACCTGTATGGTATCCAGGGAAGCCTTCGATGCTCCCGCGCAGCCTCCCACGACCTCTTGCCAAGCGTCTTATGAAAGAATGCAATTTCGAAAACACAGAGCTTGATGCACTCTGGGATCAGTTCCGTTGTTTGGCCAATTATGAGTGGGCGGGCGACCCGAACAAGTTGCATATGGCCATCGATCGCAAAACATTCGACCGATGCTTTGTGCCTAATACTTCAATCCGGCCGCCGCCTCCTAGTCTCATTTACGACCGCATGTTCGCATTCTATGACACCAATGGCGACAATCTTATCGGTTTTGAAGAATTCTTGAAGGGTTTGGCTAGTCTCAACAATAAAAGCAATGACGAACGGCTGCGACGTGTGTTCCGTGGCTACGACATTGATGGGGATGGCTTCGTCGAACGCAAGGACTTCCTTCGTGTTTTCAGGGCATACTATGCGCTAAGCCGGGAACTTACAAGGGACATGGTTGCTGGCCTGGAGGATGACTTTTTAGAGGGTGGAGCGCGTGATGTGGTTCTCGGTAGCCAGCCTATCAGCTCTGCGTTCCCTGGTAACATCCCCTCAGGTGAGCGTTCTCGTACAGGCGAAGGCAAGCGCATGAATTCTGAGGGGGACATGGAAATCATCGACAATGAAGGAATCTTGCGACAGGATGGAGACGATACTGGCGATCGACATTCGGTCGTGGGTGATGCTGCTGCCAGAGCACAGTTTGGTCGAATAAGGCCATTGTTCCCATCTACACTACGCCTAGCAGCCACTGAGACTACTCCTCGCCCGTCGAATGCTGAGGGTGGCCAAAATGACGAGAATGAAGAAGAAGATGGTGCTAGCGAGACTAGTGGATCAGACCAATCTAGCTCGTCGGTGGCCAGCGGGACTTGGCCCCCAACTGAACACATCCTCGAAGAAGATATCATCCAGGCTCTGGGGACCTATATTCCCGCTCGAGAAATCACGGATCCAATTGATCGGGCTCGCGTCGCGGATGCCGTCTATCACAGAATGCGTGAAGATGATCAGAGACGTGTATTTGACGCTCGTCAGCGTGGAATTGATGAGCGGTGGAGGCGCCGGGCTTTCTATACAGACGAGGAAGACGGTGCCACTATCCCTCCAGGGTATGAAAGGGATCCAGCCATCGATGACTCGAGCGATGAAGAACTAGATGAATTCGAATCGCGCCCACCCTCTTTCCGTTCGCGATCCTCGTCCAAGGTGCGATTCCAGGATGACCTCAATGACGAGGAGTACGACATTCGATCTAACCCATCAACCTCGTCACGAAGCATTCCTGTTGGTGAGCGATGGGGTGGCTTTGAAATCCCGGAGATCGAAAGGGACGTCGGGAAAGAAATCTTGTATCAAGTCACACAGCAGGGATTCAACGAGCTTCTAGATATTCTGTTCAAGCCAAAAGAGGACCTTCTGATGGAGGTCTATCGTACGCGAGCTGAGCGCAAGGTCTGGGCCCACGAGATTGAACTTGCAGGGAAAGAGGACCCCTTAAAACGCACCCCAACTGAGGATTCTCCAGCCGAGGAAGAACTTGAGGAAATTATCCACGACACACCACTTGATGATCTATTACAGCGCGCTGGTTACGGGATTCAGAGCCCTGTCCTAGCGCCTGCCAATACCGAACCCACCGCCTCGGATGATTATGGTAATGAAGATGAAGATGAAGATGAAGATGAAGATGAAGATGAAGATGAAGATGAAGATGAAGATGAAGATGAAGATGACGATGACGATGAAGATGAAGATGAAGATGACGATGACGATGACGATGTGCGGCCAACTCATCTGGCCGACCCCGGCAGCGATACTGGATTTGGACAAACACGGCCCTTCGAGGAGTCCGACATGGCGTCCATCACCTCGTCTTATTATGACGACGATATCACCGCCTCTCAAGCATCCGATGCGAGATCATCCAGCCCGATTGTTGAAGAGGATACACTTTACTACGATCCAACCCTCCCACATCATCGTCCTGACACAGAAATGCCCCTTCCACGCCTTTTCTCCTCCGTCGAGCCATCCGTGATGGCCACAGAAGTGATCGATGAATCAGACTCCGAACACGAAGAATCACCAACTACAACCGCAACACCCGGTCTCCCTGCTCAGCTCCGACTCCAACCCGGGACCACTTCTCTTCCCGCCCCATCTTCTCCCCACTCCTCTCCAGAAGCCGAAGACACCGCCACCAAGCTTCCTCCTTCTCCTATGCAACCACTGCCACCCCCACACTGGGTCAATGACCAACCTCGTGAAGCTCCTGCCCCACGTCGACCTTCCGCCCGGACTCTAGCCCGGTGGGTCTATTTAGACCAGGTAGAACGTGAAAATAAGGAGCGCGGCAATGGTGCTAGACTCAACTTTGAAGAGTTCTCGCGTCGTATGGCTGCTGATCGGGGACGCCGACTGGCATTTGTAGCCAGTTGGATTGAGATGGCTAGCTTTTGATTCTGAGAAGGTTCCTAGATTATTCTAGGTGTACATTATTATTGTAATTTAGCGTTACTTCAGAGTTGATCCAGATTTGTTAGTACAATGACAATTTGATTGACCACAAAAAACTATGCGTCTAATTTTCAAATTTTCCAACGGACGAGGAATGAAAGTAGCTCTAGTCTATAGTGGCGTAGGTATTCATATTAACACATCCACTAACTAGCCCTACAACGGAGTGTGCAGGGTCTCATTACCCCAAGATATTCTTGTCCTAACAGAAAATGCCCGAATGACTAAAGGCGTGGGTGCCCCCTCATATTACGTGCTTTTAGGGACCAATGGCTCATTTCGCACCATTGTTATCGTCGGGATATTGAAGATTATCTCGCAGGATTTCCCTTATCAATTTGACTATTACTCAGAGTTCTTCAACTGTCTCCAGTATACAAACTAGGACCAGTTACGCCCTCAGCCGCCGTGGGGCTCTAGAAGCAGGAAAGACGACACCGAGAAATCGCGATTATAATGGGTCCTGGCGTGCTATATTCTCTAACTTCAAAAAAAAATATGCGACCATAGGCCTCATCGCCATGTAGTACTAATAGGGACTCTCTCCGGTGCGATAATCCGTAGAGCAACATCCTACATCCATCATGGCTTTCGAACGTGTGGCCCGTTTCTACCGGTCATGTCTACTCCAGATTATCATTGTGGGATTAGTCGCCTTCTGCGAACCCGGTATCTGGACCGCTCTCAATAATCTTGGAGCTGGAGGCAATGCCAAAGTAAGTCGTCTGGGCTTTGGGAATTTGCGCAACCACTAAAATATTGTGCAGCCGTACCTGAACAATGCCGCCAACGCCTTGACATATGGACTCATGTCAGTAGGCTGCTTTCTTGCCGGTGGCGTCACAAACAAGATCACTGCGAAATGGACCTTGTTCATTGGAGCCGCATTCTACACTCCCTATGCGGCTGGTCTATACTGCAACAATCGTTATGGGAACGAGTGGTTCCTCTTGCTCGGGGCTGCTCTTTGTGGAATTGGCGCTTCTCTTCTGTGGGCTAGTGAGGCTGCCATTGCAGTTGGATATCCGGAGGAGGAGAAAAGAGGACGGTAAGTTCAACCTCCAGACCGTTTATTTGTTATTCGACTGACGGTTATGTTTAGCTATGTTGCAATCTGGATGAGTATCCGGCAGATGGGACCGCTTGTTGGTGGTGCGATATCCCTCGCTCTGAATGTCAACACTGCGCATGTCGGGAAGGTCACCTATACAACGTACTTGGGGCTTGTTGCCATCTCATCCCTCGGAGCACCTTTTGCGTTGCTGTTGTCACAGCCACAAGATGTGATCAGAAGTAATGGCACCAAAATTCCTTATATGAAGAAAACGAGTTTATCTATTGAGGCTCGCGCTATCTGGAAGCAACTTTCAAATAAGTACATGTTGCTACTCATCCCGGTCTTTCTCGCGGGCCAATTTGGTGCAACTTATCAGGGGAACTATTTGACAAGTATGGCACCTTCAATCTTCTCCTATAAATTTTGGATGGTGTGACTGACAGCGAACTTAGCGTATTTCACCGTCCGCTCCAGGGCCCTTGCGTCTTTCCTAACGGCAGTGGTCGGCGCCACCGCCAATGTGGCGACGGGCATATTTCTCGATACGAAGTTTTTATCTCGAAGAGCCAGATCTAAATTTGTGTACATATTCGTCCTTGTCTTTGTCACGGCGGCTTGGACATGGAACGCAATCATCCAGACGAAACTCTCCCGCATGGCCGAATCCCCGGCCTTCGACTTGGGCGATGGTCCCTTCTTCAACTCGGCTTTCACCGTCTATATATTCTTCCGGTTCTTTTATGAGGTGCTGCAGACATATATCTATTGGTTGATGGCCGAGATCAAGGGAGCACAGGGAGACGGCGATATCGCAAGAACTACCGGCATCCTAAGATCATGGGAGTCTATCGGCAGCACGATTGCCTACGCAGTCGGTGCAACTCATTGGCCCAACTTGAATCAGATGATATTGGGCTTTTCACTGTGGGGTTTTACGGTCCCGTTCACTCTTCTTGCGGTGTTCGGCGATTGGAATGTTTCTGACACGCTCGAGGTAGAGGAGGAACAAACGGACAGCAGTAGCTTGGAGGCACAGAGGGTGATCATTAATTCTGATGGGAAGGATTAGGGCATGTTATTTTGTCGTCAAATGAAATATTTGGCAAAGAACAATCTGAACGGTTGTTCGGATGTAATGAAACTCGTGGTAATCTTAATGTTGATGTCCCAAATATATAGATGGGAGTAACAATATTAGAATATTAGAATACATAGTTACTCCATACCTCAAAACTCTTCACGCGGACCCACCTATCGGTTACTAATACCGGACTATTCAATCTAACTAATCTTCAGCGAATTATTATTTTGGGATGAATATCAATTCGACGCTGACATGGGTGTATAGTATCCATGGATGTTAGTTTTGGTTAATAATGTCAAAACTGGCTGTCTATTCCATCAATTGGTCCAAGTGGCCTAACAGTTTCCTGGTCTAGCGGTTATGATTTTCCGTTAACAAATGCGATTAGCAGAAGTTCCGGAAAGGTTCTGGGTTCGATTCCCAGGGAAACTATTTTTTTTTGCCTTGGCATATTTTTTTATTTCATTGTTTTTTGGGCTCTTTCTTTGAACAGCTTGAGTGAGTTAATTGATGTGAGCTGATCCGTAGTAGAGCCACGAGACTATACTTGTGGACATCCGAGGAACAATCAACTCAAAACCTGGAATGTATGGAATATTAGCATATCAGCAGAGGAAAAGAACAGAAGTGGACCACCCAAGCGAGTCAAATTAGAGACATAACATAAATCGCGGGCATAATCTCGTTGCATACAGCCAAAATCCAGAACATAATCCAGAAATAAACCGAAATCATGACATGGAACATTGAAACACATAAAGCATGGTAAAGATATCGAGACAACCAACCCAAACGCCAAAATAAAAATATAAATCAAACCGAGAAAACCGAGAAAATCAACAAATCCAGCGCCCTATTACTGACTCCTTTCGTACCGGTAGCTAACCCATAGCTCTGGGAAAGACATGAACATTGCGACCTGCCGGGGTTGGAAGATTATTCTCCTGCCAGCCTGAATGGTGGTTGGTTTCAATCCTTCCTTCATCCGGGTTGGATGGTTGGGCTTTTGTCCTGGAAATCACGGAGACTCCAGGATACCTTTCCTCCAAGGGGATTTGAGCTCGACAATGGGGTACTCCGAAGGGATTTATAGAAAAAAAAAGAAAAGAAAAGCAGATAAAAACAGGACAAGGACAATCCAAAGGGCTTCCATGGGAAGATAAAGAACAGAGGCATCCAAGCGAGGGGTTTTAAAGATGGCCATTGTCCACCCAGTGGAATCAAGAGTTTGCGAATCTTACACGACGGCCACGTCGCTCCAGAATCAATTTTTCGGTGTCAACATAAAGACAATCGAGAAACTGCATGGCGCTAGAGTCCCTAAGGATCTTCGCAACCTGAGTGCCCGCAGAGATGAGCTGCAACACGTTGCGGTCATCCTTGACTGGCCTAGACTGGTGCTTGGCAGCATGGCGCATCTCCAGGGAGTTTTCCAGGACAGTGATGAGCTGCTTAATTTGGCGGTTGTACAAGAGATGAGCTGGGATGCGACGTGTAGTGGTCAGTCGCTTCAAGAGGTGTACCCATTCAGTCCACTCGCGGTCCGAGGGAACCTTAACGGGTCTCTTGTCCTGCTCGATAGGAACACGAAAATGGTACTTTGCGATGAAGTCATATGCGCATTGGGACAGGCGGTCGTTGACCTTGTGTAGGATGCTGTCTTGCTCACCAGCATCGAGGTTAGTAGGGAGCTGGGGAAGCTCTTTATCCTGGGCTGCGATAGCCTGTGGAGAAGGTGGCTCCAAAAACTGGTGCGGGCCATCAAACTCATCCCGGTTGGATGTCCGTCTCTGGGAATGATAGTGTGGATTTTCTCTAGATCTTTCGGCGGATCGCTGGTTGTTCCTTTCCATGACATACTCTGGGTTTTCCGGGGGCTTCATGGTTCCAAGGTCACGCCTCTGGGACTCTCGAGGCATGGGGTTCGGCTGGTTCCATTCATAATTCCTGGATTGTGGGTGGGCCTGTCCAGCTGGAGGGTAGGATAAACGCCCCGAGGGTGGCGTGGATGGGCCCATCATGTGGTTATGGCTATCCAGAGGGACTGAAGCTCCATGGTAATGAGCCTGATGGTTAGAATCCATCGGACCCAAAGGCAGTTGACGATCGTCTCTGTAGCCATACCCGTGGGCGGTAGATGGTGACCTTTTACCGTTTAGTAAAAGGAACGAAAGCGATTTTTTGTCGGTGATAACTTGGGAGGAGTTTGCAATGAAGTGGATGAAGTGAACGACGACCTAACAATACCTTTGTTGTTGATAGACAACCGGAGAGATTGCTGGGGTTCCATACATTGGGTGTTGAGCCATAGTGCTGCTACGGAGTATGAGTTTCGGATCCCAAGAATTTTGGCACGGACATAGAGGAGGGAATGGCGAGGCTGACTCTGCTGACCTATAGCGAGACCGAGTATCAAATTTAGAGTTGATAGAGCTTGAACAAGAACCCAGACTTGCTGGCAAAGAGAACGGATAGACCGGCCCAGCCGCCAATGGATGAGGAAGGACAGGAAGCATGAAGAAAGTAAGCTGGGAATAGTACCGCAGCTTGGTATAAGATTAGAGAACAAGGTTCAGAATAGCAGTGAGGGAAAGTAGGTATATATATGTATTAAGTACGTTGTTGAGCGAATGAATCCACGAAGACTGAGCAAAGGGCCGGTATTATAGTCATTTTTGGAAAGCCACTCTGCCCGGGACGAACAGATTGGTAATTGTGCCTGACAAAGGGGATTGGAGCCCACCCATTTCTATTCAACGGTAGAGTAACTGGATTGAGAGCCGCGCCAGAGGGATTTACGCCACTGGCGTTGGTGGAGATGAAATGTATGGAGATGAGGCCTGAGTTGCCTGGGCATTGTTGATCCCAAGAAAGCCAATTGCGTAACATGACATGGACCACCCATGCCGCGTACGTTGAAGATCTGGATCGATTAAATATGATCGGTGTGCAGACCTCGTTGGCAGCCCAGGCGCCGTGAGACGCCTTTGTGAGTGCATGGCATGACTCCGATGGGACGGCAAACATTGCATCCAAAACAAAGCCTCGATCTTCAGAAAATAGGGGGGAAGCATCGACATGCTGGATGCCGCACCCCCTTCATTCTGGTTCGATACTTGTATTGGAGCAGAGCCTCGGGCAGCAAAACTGGTGTTGGGTACACAACGCAAGGACAGGGGGTTTGGACTTGGACATCATTGACCTATGGATACCCAAATGTGCAGATAGAAGATGCGATCTGCGCCCTCGAAGGTCCTGGAAATAATGCAAAGATGAGCTGAGGTAGGTGCAACTTGAAAATCCCGTGACGTGCGCAGTCAATGTTTGTTGGGCACTTGGGCTGTTTGGGGCCCAATGCAATAAGCCGCATGGGCCGTCTCTCTCTTCTGGAGAATCTTCTGGATCTGGGTGAAACAAAGAGGAAATCAGACATCAAAGTTTAGCTGTTCTGGCATACGATCTACCCTTGCAGCCCAACAAGAAGCCCAATGTTGATGCTTCCAAGGTCGAGGTTGCCTAGGAATATTGTTATCAATAGCACACTGAACAGCCACAGAAGGTTTGATAAATTTATTCAAGCTAATCAGCGCTTCTAAAGCATGAGAAAATCATAACCATCGGAGTTATTTTCAGGGTATCGTTAACCCTAGGCATTTGCCAGGGAACCGGAGATTCTAGCTCCATCCATCAACGTGGCATGTTAGTGTTTTTATCGACTGCCACTCTTAAGAATGGGCAGTTTTACCCCGAGACGAGAAGCATAATCCTAGATTGCTTCGGTGAGTACGGAAATAGAACAAGTTTCGCTTGTGATATTTGCTTACCTCGCAACTCAAACGGATGGCTTCTTCGATACTAATGCGCGCCTCATACCCTAGGATTTCCTTTGCCTTGTTGCCACTGGCATATCGAACGGCGCACGCATCTTGCACACTTCCACGGCTCAAAGTTGTCGTTTTCCCCATCAACCAGGTAATAGTCTCACACGCCAGCCCAGCGAAGTAGGCCAGACTCTTTGGGATGCGCATTTCAAAAGGCGGGACGTGCCCAAAATGGGCCCAGATCGCCAGACAAAAATGACGAAAGACGATTGGCTCGTTATTCTGAATGAAAAAAGACTCGCCTGCAGCCGTGCGAGATGATAGCAGATTGTCGATGGCCAGAACGTGAGCATCGGCGACATTATCGACGTGGGTGATGTCCCACATATTGAAACCATTCCCGATCAAAAAAGGGGTTTCATGATTGGCGATGCATGCATGAATCGATGGTACTAGCTGGTAGTCTCCTGGTCCGCAGAGCACCGATGGCCGGAGGGCACAGGTCACCATCTGGCTGCTAGAGGCCTTTAGAACAAGTGCTTCTGCAGCAGCCTAGGTATCACAAAGTGAGTTAGTAACTTATTCCCTATCAATATCAAGAATCCTGTTAATGAGGATTGGCAGTTCCAACCTTGGACTCTCCATAAATCGTTGACTTAAGTGCTGAAGGCCAGTCTTCATTGATGTTAGGATAAGCGGTACGCATATCGTCAATCACCACGCAGCAACTGCTGGTGTATATGAAGACTTCAACTCCACTATGCTTGGAAGTATCCAGCATATTTCGCGTGCCTTCAAAGTTGATTTTCCAGACCTCCTGTTCCAGTCGGCGACCGAACCGTTCGGCCAGAATTGGGACGATTCCAGCAGTGTGGACAACGATACCTGGCTTCACAGCCTCAAATGCTTTGCTTAGTGCGTTAGTTGAAGTAATGTCCACCTGAATGCACGTAGTTCCCTCTGGTAGGATATGCTCAGGTCGTGGGGGACTTTGGTCGATGACGACGATGACAAAGTTTGGGTGTTTTTCTGCAAGAGCGCGTACCACGGCCGAACCCACGAAGCCCGTTCCACCAGATATGAGGACTTTCTTCGCTGTGTCGGCCATTGTGGAAGTTGATTGAGTGTGAGAATATGAAAGACTTTGAGGCTTTGAGAGGCTTTGATGTGGGGGAAACTTGGACTGGATTGCCAGAACTGTGCAACATCACAGCTACATGCGATATGGAAAGTACCGCATCGCCTTGGGAAGCACCTCAGATGACACTAGAAATGATGCCAGAGAGAGACCACTCAAACAAACAGCGCCTTTTGTTTATTCATTCAGATTTGTAGTTCGTTCTCATATTCTTGATGCCTAAACCAAGATCTCGACTCTCATGGCCGTGCTTGATGAACATCATCCTCGTCTGCGTCTTCCTCTTCATTCCGCTCGTGGTTATCCCAATATTCTTCATCCTCGCCTTCCTCTTCCCCTTCGTCACCTTCTTCTTCGTCCTCACCGCGAGTAGGATCCAATATATCCAACACTTCAGCTAGTCCAGGATGAATGCAATGACTATCGGCTAAATCTTCTAATTCCTGTAATTTTGGCCACAATGCTCCTTGGCTCGACTTATTTTCTCTGATCGCTCGAATTTCATCCGCTGTCATTGAACTGATGATTTTGATCATCCCTTCTACAAGAGAGGAGTCAGATTGGAACCAATTCTGCACCTCATGGCCCACTGTATCATTGGAAGAAAGTGCAATCGTCTTGCCAATCTTGCGCAGTGTAGAGAGCCCATTGAGGCGTGTCTGGGGGCTCGCGTATGATCCACACTGTTCCGCGATGGTTTCGATGGTATCGACGACCTCCTGGGCCACATCGTCCGCTATGTCGTACTGCGCTGAGCCGCCCATAGAGCGGTACGTGATGTTAATCGATCTCCAGACTTCACTCGAATAATGGTCGAAGGTGAGGATACGATTTTGCTCTATCTCCCGGATGGCGCGAATGGCCTGATCCACCATGCCCATGACGTCGGGATGAATTTGCGCTGCTTGCGCGAGAATGTGGACGACAGCATCTGGATCGAGGTCCTCGAGGTGCTGGACGCGCTGGGAAATTTCTTCCAGTGGTGTCGTATTAACGTGGGCATCGCCAATGGTATTAGATCGCGCGCGTTTGGCACTTTCAGGTTCAGCCATGGTAATTCTATGCCAGGCGATCACTGTATGAAACAAGGACTTTGCGAGAGGAAAGATGGCCTTGAAGAGTAAATGAGGGGATGTAAGAAGGAAGTTGAAGCGTGTAAGTGATCCAAAAGACAAGAGGGGTCAACCGGAAAGATAAGGGGTGGCTACAGGGGTAAATCGTGAGAATAACCGTGACAAGCCCACCATCACATCACCCGGTGTTGGTGGGCTTCACCGGATAGCAAATTATCACCAGATAGCAAATCATATGGATTAGGTATCTTTTGTATGGCAACTCCATACAAAAGGTACATAAACACAATGTACATATGTTGATATAACACCCATTTTTGTCAACTTCCAAGCTAGTTTAAGGAAGAATAAACAAGTAGAACTCTAACATAGGCGTGTTTGATCGGTTTGCTACTAATAACGATTCTGAATTCATGATATAGAAGTGTAAAGACCATTTTGAAACACACCACACATAAATACAGTATGTAAAAGCAAAACCATTCTTTTACTTTAGGAACACTTGATAATTCTCACTAAGGCTGACACCAAGTAGTTAAAACTTTATTTCTACCATATATATCTTTTTATATCCTTCCTACCTACTTTGAGAGTTGAGAAAATTGAGGTTGTAACTAGGTTATAATTATGTACCTTTTGTATGGAGTTGCCATACAAAAGATACCTAATTTGTATGCTATCCGGGGAAGCCCACCAACACCGGGTAGTATGTTGGTGGGCTTGCCACGGTTATCCAATAAACACACCTGGGCATGTATTTGGATGTTGTTTAGCCACATGCGCTGGTTTATTGAATTACACCGTCAAGGATATAGGTTGCATAACCGGTTATTCCAAATTGCCCGTTGTGATTTGGCCATACCGATTTGCAATGCTATTTAAATGCACCGTACCCCTAGCACTTGGGGGACTGGAAATGAGGCATCAGTATACCTATGAAATCAGTCTAACAAAAGTTACTACTATATAGTAAGCACATCCATGGAAGGGGATTACGGACATATTTCAAGTCATAATCTATACACTGTGTCACATTGAGGACGGCTGCAAAATCACTAGCAGAGCACACAGAATGCGAGATACGCAGACATCTAATATACAGATCCTTGATCCTTGACCCAGGTATTATCCCAAAGTCACAAAAAGACTAATCTCGAAAAGAGAAAGCGCTGCGACTAACCAACAAACTCCAAAGTAAATGCAAGAAGAGAAAACAATCTCCCCGGTGGGTAGCTCCCCCAAATCAGGGATAAGCTATTAGGACAATCGCAGACTTATAGTACACGGCACAAAACCAGCCCACCAAGTTTTTTCTCAACACACTCGCGAGCTTCGAGGATTCCTCGGTCCGTAGAGAGGTACAGACTCTCACCGGGCGAGCGAAGTCCGGCCACAAATCCAGATTCCTCACCACGCACAACCCGGCGCAGTCCCTCCACATCAATGTTGACCCGTCGGGTGGGCTTGCTGACCATCTTGATCTTGCCTAGGACTGACTCGTTTTGCCAGTACTTCAGGCCCAGCCACAGCCGCCTTGATGCGACATTATCGCGCGTTATTGGCTCAATGCCTTCGACTTCATCGTTGGCTGCGGGGAAACCGAGGATACCATGGGCTGGAGGAGGAGTCGGGCCTCCGCGGACCACGGAGGAGATGTAGCCGGAGTTTTGGAGCGCGAGGGAGAGCTTCAGGTGGAGGTTGCTGTTAGGGATAGAGGTGAGAGCGAGGCGGGCCTTGGTAGCATTGTTCAGGTGGGAGCAGACGGCGGCAAGGTTGACGAGAGACATCTTGATTTCGCGACGGCAGCAATTAAGCTCTACCGGCGGCCGTTCGGAGAGAAAAGAGAGTGGTGGGATTGATCAATTTCGGAAGAGGAATAGAGATGAAGATCCCAGATACACGAAAGGGATGACCGAGAAGGACCACAATGGACTGCAATTGTCTGGGGAAGCAAAGACACGGCAGGAGGTGTTGCAACGACTGAAGATCCGATGATTTGGGATGGAAATTTTCGGATAAACTGTACTTCCGGATCGCGGTCACGCCCAGGTACCAGGTACCTTCCCGCCCATAGCGGATAAGTGGGATGGCCAGGTACTAGTACCGTCCTATCATATCACATCCATACATCTTCTAAGCGCCCAGCTTGCATGGCGGTTGATGTTGGCGTTTCACAGGTTGAATACCCCTCAGTCTAACCTATAAATAATAAAAGTAAGTGCCTGCTTTCCTTTTTCCCTTTTACCTAGGTACTTGCTCTCCTCAGTATACTTGCATTCCGTACTTTGAATTGGCAATAATGCCACCATCAGCGGGCGAAGAGCGCCTTGTGACTGTGTGAGTTGAACTGACTTCCCCGCAGTTCGGAATGAAGCAGTCCTCGGATTGTGTCTAACAGTCAGAATAGTTTTGCAGATATTCACTACTACTTCACAGAGCCAACCCGAAGACCTTCACCATATCACCACCGTTTTGATAAAGGCTCCTATGTTTATATCTATCATGACGCCTTTCAGAACAAGGCCCGCATGGAAATTGCCAATAATCCTGGATCTCCAGAGCAGGATGCATTCTGTGGAGGATTAAGCAATGTTCATATACGACACTCTGCTCAATTCCCGACACTTTGTACATTAACAGTTGATGCGCACACGGTCTCACCCCAACAGCAATATGCACACGATACCCCTCAACATGAGTGGCGTCTGCCTAGCGGAGACCCACGCGATGACCCAAAGGAAGTGCGTGATTTTGCTCGCCTACATACATTGGACATCTACTTCTGGACTCAAGAAGATGCAGATGACTTTCTAGACACTGTCATCCGGCTTTTATCCAATGCTCAGGTCGAAACGGACCGAGAGCCAGCTCCGCAACCACAGCAAAACATTAGCTCGGTAGTCCAGCAACTTGAGACTGTTGCGGTCTCCGACCCGGCCTACCAGAATGGTCAAACACGCAACTCACGCTCCGAGCCCACAAGCACAACGGCACCAGTGGCACAGGCACCCCCACCAACCAGCAGCTTCCCCCCGCCCCCTCCAAGTGGTCCTCCAGTTGACCAACGATTAAGCGCTGGTTCTATTCCCGCCGCCGAGGAAAAGAAAGACCCAGCTAGCTTCGCCCCGCTGCCATACAATCCAGCCGCTCCAGCCGCCCCAGAGCCAATCCAATACCGCGAAAAGACCCCGCCGCCAGAGGACGGGATGAACGGCACCGGCCTCGCGGCCGCAGTGGCAGCCGACAGCGGCATGCCATATACGCCCCCCCATCAAATGATAGGGGGCGCACCGGGCGTAGGCGGATATGCATCCCCGCCCTCCTCAACCCCGGGGCTGCAATACGCAGGCCCTCCAGTCGCAGCACCACCGGCATTTGCCTCCCCTCCACCCAGTGTCGGAATACAACATTCTAACACTTTCCCCACTGCCAGTCCCGGGATGCATGGCCATTCATACTCGCAGTCGTCCCTCAGTGGACAAGGTGGGCAGGGAGTCCAACAGTACAACACAAGCCGGCAAGGTTCAATGTCCTTCGCTCCGCCGCCGCAGGATCCGAATGCCCATCTTTATGACCAGAACGTCTATGGGGCTGCCCAGGCCCAGTCGCCGCCCCAGTATCAGGCTGCACCGGCGGCGCCGATAGGCGGGTTCTCGAACTACTCGTATGACAAGACCCAAGGGCAGCAACAGCAGCAACAGCAGCAACACCAACGTGCTGGCTCTGAATATGATATCCATAGCCAGCTGTACAGACCCACTGAAGTGGAGGCTGGCTCTCACTATCAGAAATACGCACAGAAGGCGATGAAGAATCCTGGACAGCGGCCGAGGAAGTTGGAGGATAGAGCAGAGCGGTTGGAAGGTGGTATGAATAGGTTCTTCAAGAAGCTTGAGAGGAAACTTTGAGCTTCTTTTTTTGGTGGCAGTGTGAGATTTCGCATTTTTTTTCTTTCTTGTCAGAGATCTCTGTCGGTCAGGATTACTAGACCGGCTGTTGAGCAGTACTATGGATACCAGGATAAGAATATCGTTAGGTTCTCGATTTGATGAGAAAATGAAGTGCTTACTAGATACGAACTGAGAAAATGGTGATATAAACGCTTTGAGCTCGCTGTATTGATAAATCAAGATGCTAAATTGGATAATGCCCTAAGCGCTAAGAATGATATGCTCACGAAATTGGTACAGAGTATGCAAGAGATGAACAAAAAAATAAACAAACAACCCAAAACACTGACGGATTTAAAAATGCTAGCATGAAGTAAGAAATAGACACGGAAGAATGGATGTTGAAAGGGTCGAGGGCAAGCCTTGATGAATGAAAAGAGGCACACGCTGGGTGAGATAGAAGACAATAGCGAAGAGTATGATGTGAGAATTAAAAAGGTTGTTCCAAAATTTACCAGAAGCGGAGATGGGCCAGCGAAATCCATTTCAAATAAACGCGGTGCAATTATGATATAGAGCACCTACTTCAATGCGAGAGTGACAATGTCGATGGCCACATTGTGCGACTCAGCCTCAGCTGCGGACTGTGCATCAGGAGCAGGCTCAGTAGACTTGGCCTCTGTGGAATTTTCCTCTGAGGCCACTGCAAAAGTTTCAGGGGCAATAGCCTCCTTCACTGGCGCATTGTCTTCTTTTTCAGCATCGACGTGGACTTCTGTTGATTCCGGAGTCTCGAGCACCTCTGGTTCGGGAATGGAGGGCTCTTGCTTCTCATCGACCTTCACTTCATCGTCAGCTGTTGGGATTGCCACGGGCTCTGCGGCAGTCTCTTCGGTTGCGGAGGTGGTCTCAGCAGCCTTCTCCTCCTCAACATCCTCCACGATGGTCTCAATAATGGCCTCAACAGGAGCATCCACCTTAGCCTCAGCTGAATCCTGGGCTTCGGTGGAATCAATAGGCTCAGCCGGCACCTCTGTAGCATCTTTGATTGGGACGGGGTCAGAGGAGCTCTCAATTACTGGTTCCTCAACGATCGGCTCAGGGACTTCAATCGACTTCTCGGCTGGCTCAGTCGATGCAATGGAAACTTCTGGGGTAGGCTTCTCAACCTGAGCAGGGGAAGCGGCCTCCTCGACTGGCTTGGCAGCAGCCTCGGGCTGTTCCACAGCCACAACCGGAGCAGGTTCCACTGTTGCAGGCTCCTTCGGACTGGCTGTGATGGGCTCCCCAATGTTCTCTTTCTCGCTTTCGTGTTCCTTTTGGGAAGGCTTATGCCCATCTTTCTGTGGTGCAGATTCCTTGTTCAGAGCCTGGGATTTCTGACTCTGAAGTCGAAGGGCGGTGGTGCTCTTAGGTTTTACTTGGTGGACACTACGGTCTGGCACCCTCCCAGTTGATGGCCTGGGAGCCTTTGAAACAGAGGATGTCTTAGTAACAGGCTTTGCATCAGTCTTTTCCGAAGGATGGGACTTGTTCGCAGAGCTAGCAGTAGGCCGCATCATTCTAGCAAGAAAACCCTCATTGACAGGCTTCGTGGTTGTATCATGAGCTGCCTGAGCGGGCAACGAAGGGCGAGAGGATTGTCTGCGAATGCTGGCACTAGGAGTAGTGGCACGCGGGTGAGTTCCAGTTGCGCTTTTGAGGGATGAAGGTTTTCTCGTGAGGGTTGATGCACTAGCAGTAGTGCGAGTGCTCGGAACCGCCGTGCTTCCTAGCTTAGCAGCAGAAGCTTGGGTGGACGTATGTGTCAAGCTAGGTACACGGACATGTTTAGGTGGGGTTTTAATTCCTGACTTGCTGGATACACCTGCTGCATGTGGCTTTGAAGCATCGTGTACCGGTGCTGGGCCGCGGGTTGGTCGTGCTGTCGTCTTAGGATTGAGTGACACACGACTCGGTTTGTGGGCCAGAGAGTTAACGCGCTCTTTAGCCACTTCGCGAGCTGTGGGCTTGGAGGTTGTCTTGTGAGCAGCCGTCTTCGCGCCAGTTGAAACTGCAGTGGTCGAGGAAGACTTGCTTGCTGCACTGCGGGCAGACCCAATGGAAGAAGGCTTCTTCTTGATCCCCCCTGATGAATCTGACTTCTGCGATGGAGTGTCTGAGCTTGGCGACTTGGAATCCGTAGAGATGGGCCCCTCTGTCTGTTTTGGTGGGGTGTTTGCAGTGCGCGCTATGGGCTTCTCCTTGGTAGCCTTCGGTTCAATCTTGGTTTCAATGGCTTCCTCCGGTCGACCCTGAGCCATTATCTGTCCCAGAGTGGCGTTCTGTGTGTGATCTAGGCGGCTGAGCGGGGTGGGGGAGATCGTATTCTGTCGGCCGGACTCCACATTGCCCGAATTGATTTTCGGTCCAAACATGCCTGGACTATCGCTACGCCCACTTGTTTTCCTCAAAGGCGAAGCCGGATTCGAGTGCATGACCCCGTCCACAGTGACAAAGCTAGCCCGGACCCTGGACAGCTGCCGAACTGTTGCTGACGAGTCTGATGAGGTTGGGGATCGACCACGAGACGGCGGAGAGATGATGGGGCTTTGACCTTCAAACTTGGCTAACAAGCTGCGTACCCCAGGGTGCTGGGGATTGTTATCGGACATTATCGCTCACGGAGGGTACGCCAGTCGAACAAGGGCGTATACGCAATCGAGGGGAATGGGGGAACGCGTATGCAGAGCACAGGGGTGCTCCTGAAATCGGATTAAAACGGGATTCTTATGACGTCTAATCGGATACGGGCAGATCCCACTGCATGTTCCCAGGAGAGTTTGGATTCAACGCGTCAAAGTTGGTAGAGAATTGGTATGACAAGAGGACACAAGGTGTGAAGAAGGGCCAATTCAGAAACTATTACATACATACGCGCTAGTGAAGACTAGCGTATCCAATAGGTCCGTATCCCAAGGCCCTTACGTTGTACACTCCGTGCTCCGTACAGTACTCCCTGTCTCAGGGGCTTTCATTTCTATGTGACAGGTGATTTCATCCCTGAGGGGTCTGATTAATTTTACTGCGTACTGAAACCCCCTGTAAAGTGTGAAACTATCTGGACACCTTTACAAGTGGATCTCAAGTTAAGGGGCATTGTATGCCTGAGGCAGAATATCAACATCGATCCGAAGTAGAATTTTCCCCCAATTTGCGCCCAATTTGCGAAACATTGCTCGTTTCAGAATATGAATCTAGATATATAGTACCCGATAGCCAAGGCATGTTTCGCAATGCGGGGTATACTCTGGACTGCATGCTTTAGCTACTAGTAGTATAGTCAAGAAATACTAGTTATGAACGTTGGAAGATAGATCAAAATATGTGGCTCTTCGATAACACGGCATGTATACATCATATTGATTCAAGGTTTTAGGTTAAGGCAAAGAACCTACAGAACCCGTGGACTTTATACAAGTTTATAAAACCCCCTAGGAATATATACTATCAGCCGGAAATGCACTTCCCTGCCGTCGCTTCCTACGAAGATATTTATCGCTTTAGTTATATGATCCACATTTCTACTGGTTACTTTATAGGCAGATTATACTCCGTATAGCTAAGCCATATACGGAGTACTCCGTACTATTCTAGAATACACACTCGTTTCACCTCTAGCTCTACACTAGTAAGCTTTTGGTATTAGCTCATATCAGCCCTTCTTGTTCAACATTGCAACGGTCCAATCTTTCATCGAAAGCCGACCAAGTTCATACACAAACATATTGACAACTGACAAATGAAACCTACACTATGCAGAAGTGGTCAGCCCGTGGGGGCTGAAAGTAGTACTCGTGTGTATCGCCCGCCCCACACATTCGTACCCTGATCATTTCTCTCCTTCGATACTCTCCAAATGGACCACATAGAAAGCGTCCCAGGCTCTCAATATGCCCCCATCCAAGTCCCTTGTCTGAGCCCTGAGCCCTACGATGGAATTGACTTCTCAACCTACCCAGAGCGCGTGGGCTGGGATATTACCCGGTTACTTGCGGGAGACTTCTCACAACACCCCGCCGAGCTAACTGGCGCATTTCTACAGAACTGGTTATATTTCGGTGTCCTCTGGGAAGTTTTCGGTCCTATCATCAAAGGAGCCAAGAAAAATTACGTTAAGCTGCAAGAAGGGACAGCGTATGGGATAATCACCATTGCATCCCTCGATGACCAAATTCTACAGCTAACATCGTTGATTACCTCCTTGGTTCAAGGTGGGGATGCTATCTCCGGACAGGCGATAGCTCATCGGATCGTAAATTGTCTCACGACTGTATCTAGATTTTGCCGTCTAGCGACATGCGAGGGCGACTCACGTCCCGGGTTTGCAGTGTGGCCGTTATCTCCCGAAGTCGATCTATCTATCAGAGCGTTAAGCCATCGTCTAGCCTGGAACCTTCCGTTTGGGGCGCTGGGAATGGTGATGAGAACTTCTACCGCGGGCTTGCAATTTCCTTGTGCATGGTTTCCACTCGCACGTATGCAGCAGATGGGATGGTGTCCAAGCGAGGTCGCCATGGTGGAACACACGTTTACGTCGGCATCGGCGTACTATGCGTCTCAGCTGGAGAGGCCGCCATCTGCGGTACAAAGAGACCATGGTGAATGTACGAAGAAACTCTGTGTTGCGCGACAGATCAACGAAGCAACCTATCGTACAGCACACACGGAGGTGGAGTGTGAGTGCCAGCATCTAGGCCCTGCAATGGACGAGGTGGTATCAATTATTGAATCGGGAGGTGTGCCACTGCTGTCTATTACACCGACGAAGAAAGAGCCCTATCTCAAAATCGAAGTAGAAAGGTACTCTGGATTGAAACGTTATATCGCCTTCTCTCATGTCTGGTCTGACGGACTTGGGAACCCGACAGCAAATACTCTCCCTAAATGTCAGCTTCTCCGTATTAGAGACTTACTCAACGAAATATTAGCTGGAATCAGCTCTGCCGACCTGGTAAACAGACTGGCCTTCGGAGACCTATGGAAGAAGAAATTCCATGGACCTTCTATCTCATTCTGGATGGACACTATGTGTATCCCCGTGGCGCCAGAACACCACGAGCTCCGCTCAAAGGCAATCAGAGGGATGAAAGCCGTCTACGAACGAGCCTTCCGTGTACTAGTCCTGGATTCCGATATCCAAGAATGTTCTACGCGCGGCTACACGCAGTCATTCATGCGAACTCGAATGTCCGCCTGGATGCGCCGACTATGGACACTAAATGAAGGCGTCCTGGCAAATCGACTGTGCGTCAAATACGCAGATGGCATTATGGATGTTCAAGGTGTTTCAGAAAGCTACGAGAAACAGGTGAAAACAGCGGCTTCGGCGCATAATATGGACGGATATGGAACACCCATGCGTGATGCCGACAGTTTTGGTTGGAAGTTTCGCTTGTTGCGGGCGAATGTTCTTCGGGACCCAGATCCGAGGATCGTATACTCTGATAGGAATTCAGGCAAAGGTCTTTCCACAGCCGGCCAAAAGCGGTGCTATGCAATTATGGAGGCTTTTAGTGCTTCCTTACATCGTACCACTAGTAAAGTGACGGATGAGATGCTCTGCTTTGCCAGTCTTATTGGGTGGGATACGTCTCTGCTGAAGGGTATTCCTTTCGAAGACCATATGCATGCCTTTTTGTCGACGGAATCGCAGCTCCCGCAGGGGATGTTGTTTCTCGCTGGGCCGAGGATGCGGCAGCCTGGTTGGCGGTGGGCTGTTAATCGGTTCGGAGATAATGGTGCCATACGGCTGAATGTTAAATTTGACGACATGACTCCTGGGGATGTCGGTGAGAATGGGTTCATTGTGGAATATCCCGGTCTTGCGTTGCCAGTGGACTGTACCAGGCAGCAAACCCAGAGAATGATTGTGACCGCTGAGGATGAACATGGGGTCGTGGGTAGATTTGAAATTTCGCGACACGACGAAGGTCTAATGAGTGGATTGGATGAGCCTGACACAGTGTCTGAAAACATTCTGCATGATCGACTCTATGTCCTCTTCTGGCATGCTGAAACTTCAATGTCTCCCAGACAGCCTATGCCGGCTATATTGATTTCTGGTCCTTCCGACGAAGACCATGTAAAGGGGGAGGTTGTGTACCGATTCGAATCCCTTGCCTACGTGGAGGTGTTGGAGACGACCGAAGGGTGGAATTTGCAGGAGAAAGGAGAACGGGTGGTTCAGCTGATCAGAAAGAAGTGGACTCTCGGATAGCTCCAACTGATGCAGGATATTGATACAGCCTCCCTGTGGATCAGACCTTTCCTATGTCGGATCCATTTTGTTCCAAATGGTCTAAATGCTTTCCTATTTCGCCACCAGTCTCAGAAATTTCCAATGTGAACTAGCTCAACCCCGCGTCGATTCCAAGTCATCATATACGATGCGTTTAGAAATGATCAATGGAAGAGCTGGCTCGGTTACAGCGTGTCTGACGATTGTGATCTCCATCAAAAGCCCCATTCCAACCAAGATGCCGATGTCACTAGTAGCGAGAACCAGCGCCGAGCCTGCTATGCGAAATATAAAGGATTTCGATAGCTAGATCTTTGAAATTGTTGGAATCTTCCACTTAGTCTGTGACAGACTTTGTATACTCGATGCTAGTGGATCCATGTATACACTGCGGTAAGTGATCCATTTAGGGTTAGCGTTTATAGCATTTAATGTGAATGGCTCTTCAAAAGACTTGACTGGCTGCAAAAATTGAGCGGCACGATGAAAATGGAAAATTTAAAGTTCGACGAGGCCATGAAAAAAGATGAGGGAACTGCGAAATTCCATATTCAACTTCGCGAGAAGTGACCCGTTTTAATAGTCCGAGCATGCATACACGTGGACCCGTGCGCAACCGGTATGGTTTCCGGGCTGACTGCCTCATTTTCTCTTACATCGGATAGTCAATCAGACACACATGGGTTTTTCATCTTTCATCTTCTGTATTCTATAGAACAGGGACTAAAAAAGTAAAGCTGCAACAACCCACAACAACTTCGCGCAGTGGATCTGCAGCTTCTCCGGACCCCGGAGTAGTGCGTCGGATTAATAATAATCCTATGCCGTATACAAAATCAAAAGCGCCGATGACGGCGAACGTCGGTTTTAGGAAAGCAATTCTGCAAAAAAGTCGATCAAAATGGCTGCTGCTGCCCGGACACTTCGCATTGGTATAATCGCTCTTGTTCTGCGATCTCGTGGCTAGGCAATTGACTGACATGGCTGGAATTTTATAGGTCTCATCCCCGGAGACGGTATCGGACGGGAGGTTATCCCGGTAGGTAGCTCTCTTAAGATCTGATATGCAAGCCAATTCACTGATTGAATGTTGCTTGATGAAATATAGGCCGGCCGTCGCATCCTTGAGTCCCTCCCCTCGTCCCTGAACCTCAAGTTCAGCTTCGTCGATCTCGAGGCTGGTTACGAGACCTTCCAGAAGACCGGAACCGCTCTGCCCGACAAGACTGTCGATACCCTGAAGAAGGAGTGTGATGGCGCTCTCTTCGGTGCCGTCAGGTAAGCTGCCATGTTTTCGTTTCGCAATGCGCAATTCCGGCTGACAATTGCTACCAACTCGAAGCTCCCCTAGCACCAAGGTCGCCGGCTACTCTTCGCCCATTGTTGCCCTCCGGAAGAAACTCGACCTGTACGCCAACGTCCGCCCTGTCAAGACTACCGCCGGAAACAGCACTGGCAAGCCCATTGACCTGGTCATCGTCCGCGAGAACACCGAGGACCTGTACGTGAAGGAAGAACGCACCATCGACACCCCCAACGGCAAGGTTGCCGAGGCCATCAAGCGTATCTCCGAACACGCCTCATTCCGCATCTCCAACATCGCCGGTGAGATTGCGCTCCGCCGCCAGAACATCCGCGCCGCTGCCCCCGGCATCTCTACCCGTGACCAGCCCATGGTCACCATCACTCACAAGTCCAACGTGCTCTCGCAGACTGACGGTCTCTTCCGCGAGACCGCGCGCCGTGCTCTTGCCGCCGAGAAGTTCTCCTCCGTCTACGTCGAGGAGCAGATCGTCGACTCCATGGTCTACAAGCTCTTCCGCCAACCCGAGTTCTACGATGTCATTGTTGCCCCTAACCTCTACGGTGACATCCTCTCTGACGGCGCTGCTGCCCTTGTTGGCAGCTTGGGTCTCGTCCCCAGTGCCAACGTTGGTGATGGCTTCGCTATCGGTGAGCCCTGCCACGGCAGTGCCCCCGACATTGAGGGTCAGGGTATCTCCAACCCCATTGCTACTATCCGCAGTGTTGCTCTGATGCTCGAGTTCCTTGGTGAGATGGATGCAGCTGCCAAGATCTACGCTGCTGTCGATGGTAACCTGGATGCTGCTCAGTTCCTTACCCCCGATATGGGCGGCAAGGCCACCACTCAGCAGGTTTTGGAGGATGTCCTGAAGAGACTGTAAAAGTAAACTTGTATATATATCAACGTTTGCAAATGATACTTAGAGATGAATTTACTGTTTCCCCTTGCATGCATTGATAACCATTTGATTCTAAAGAAACACAAGCCTTTGCGGTTATCATCTAAAACCGGCACCCACCTCAATATATTAAATTTTGAAATATATCACTCAACATCGCCAGACGATGGCTCCGCCTCCCAGTCAAACTTTCCTAGATTCTCGTCACGTTGCTCACTCTTGCCGTGGTCTTCCTTGTCTTCCGTTTCACATAGGACCACCGAGAACACCACAGCAAGATACACCCGTCCAGTTGAAACATCCTTGAGCGTATACCGCAGCTCATGATTCTTCTCATCCACATACTTCATGATAGGTAAATTGAATCCAGGAAGACGGACAGAGAAATCTATTATGACCAGTGAGCCGACGATCCCAATCAAAAGAGCAAATTCTCGTTCCACTCACCGTCGAAGGCCAAATAAGGATTTCCAAAATCAGCAACATACATCCTCCCAGGCTCAAAGTTGAACTCCTTTCTATTCGTTTCGTCCTGGAAATGCTTTCTGCGCCCCTCGATTGTATCGGGGATATTGAACTTCTGACGCAAACTGGCAGATTCTTCGCTATAAGAACCTTCTTCAATAACCTCATCATGGAGCTTTGGCACATCGTCGGTTTTCCGCATCTTATCTCCAATGCGGAACTGGTCCCACGATGCCAATGCCGGGCTGTATAGGTACGGCTCATCAGCATAGACATCGCCATCTAGACCAGGGTCGAGAGTCCACCTGACCATCCGTAGCGCTGCATTGAATCCTGGAGGTAGCATGTCGCGGATTGGGTGATCAAAGTCATTGCCAAAGAAGAGGTTGTTGCCATTTACGGGCTCCTTGAAGATTATTGAGAAGCATATGGAATATAGGTCTTTGGCGTGCATGGGGTGGTCGAAATATGGGCTTGTGGATGGTGAACTCTCGGGATAACCTATTTGATTGATGAGCTCCGCTCCTTGGCCGCATAGATGAGAGCAGGGGTGTCACCTGAATAATCTTTGATCCGTACACAGAGACTCACAATAGCGTGCTCATTTTCGATTCGTAGTGTCTCGCCATTCACAGGTACCATTTGACGAGGAGTTTTGGGGTCGTAGTCTGCGCTTGCTGTTACCTTCAAGCGGCGCTGGCGTGCGTTGGTGTCCTGGGTAACCATGATTGGGTTGGTATATTAGAGCGACTTGATGAGATTTTTGGCGCGGAAAAATAATAATGATACTGGCCACAAGCTGTTTCTAGCGACTTATTTGAAGCGTGGCTAACAAATCTAATTTTATAGGTTTGACGTCTAAAAACGTCATCGTTCTTATGTACAGACAATCAAGTATTGATAAACAGTAACAATTGTGTGCCCGAGCTTCACCGCAATTATACCTAAATAACAACAAATAACCAATACCGAAATACATCTTTGATACTGAAGATACCTGATAGTTTGTGGTAGTGGTAGTAGTGTTGTGATCTAGAAGTGATCTAGGTAGGATACAATGCATCTTCCACAAATGAGAAACACAGTTTGAAACAGCCAATTACGCTTGTGGTGCTGTACACATATAAATTATATCTATCTTCACAGGTATTTCTACTTGTTGGTCTATCTACTTTGAGATGTAAACGTGGACTCAGCCTTGCTCAGATACGAGGTCAGCCCCCAAATCCAAATTGGGAATGACATCACCCGTGTACGGCAATCCCGAAGTTAATTCTGATTGGCTGAAGCGGTACATGGCACCCAAAGAGGTTAGTTCCATGAAGATAACCATAAATAAGTGGAGATGCCAAGACCATGCGCCTTAGGGCAATGAGATGTTTTCTCTTCTTTCTTGAGCTATATAAGTAGACTGAATCTCCCTCTACAGTCTCAGTTCATTCCAGAAAGAAGATAAAACCAAACAACACTCAACTGTCAGCTCCTAACTGCTGCTAAATACAATGGCTTCAATCGATACTCAAACCATCCAAACTACTTCTACTTCCAACAAACCATTTTTGACAGCCGACTCAAACAAAATGGCTTCATCCGATACTCCTCAAAGCCTCCAGACTCCCTCCAAAGGCCCTGTATTTACAGTGGATTTCACATGGAAGAAATGGAAAGGCCTGGTCACCGACGCCAACAATCCTGGCGCAGGCCCCTTATACACCATCCATTTCCCATTCAGTCTGAAATCCACTCTGGTTTTCAAAAAAGGCCCGGACGAAGAAGTCATTGGAACTGGCAAACTAAATATGGTCTCCATCAATGCCGACTATGAACTCCGTGGACAGAAGGCCCATCTTCTAGCCCAGAAGCGCTGGCGGACGGAGTACACCCACCGCTCACTCAACTTCTCAGACACAGAGTCCCCAGTCACAATGACATGGACCAGCGATGCTGGGTTCAAGTCCTGGGACTTTGTCTGTGTCGATGAGCAGCAGATGCCCGTCGCGAAATTCAGTGCTCATTGCTGGGGTGTTACCAAAATTGGCAAAATCGAGTTCAGTGGCCCCAAGGCAAATGACAGAGCTGCGCAAGAAGAGATTATGGTTACAGGGATTACTTTGTTCTATTGCATGATGCTTCGTTGTAACAACATTTTCAATCTCTTTGGGGCCGTTTTTGCTCGACCAGGGCACAAACAACATATTGAACCTCAGCCCAAAGTTGTGACTGGCGAATATGCTTCGCAATTTGCTTGATTTGATGCAGGTTGTTTGGGATTTTATTTTATTTTTACTGTTAGAGATATACCATTTGTTTTATAATATTTATGATAGCCATTGAGAATGCATACTACTTCATACATAATATATGTTTTAGCCATACCTAAGTTCTACTCCTCTTCCCCTTTGTGCTTGACAATCAATCTCAGTCCATCTATATACTTCTCAAACAAGAGATCACCCAATCACATCATGGGAAGGCAACATCCCGACCAAGCGAGCGGGCAACCCAATAGCCTACCGCCTCCCGAACAATATTGTTACTCGACCAGTTCCGATTCGGATACACACGATGAGCCAACATGACCATAAAAGTATCCGACGCCCGATCAACAACAAGCGTGGTACCAGTGAAGCCCGTGTGGCCTCCAGCCAGCATATTAGCCATAGGTCCCGAGAAATAGTTCTGGTTGAGCTCGAACCCGATACTGTGCTCATTACCAGGGAATGCTGTATTAAAATTCGTGAACATCAAGTCCACAGTCTTCGGCTTCAGTATCCGCTTGCCACCATATGTGCCATTGTTCAAGATCATTTGGCAGAAAATTGCCACGTCCTGGGCAGTGGAAAAGAGACCGGCGTGTCCGCTCACACCACCAAGAGACCAGGCGTTCTCATCGTGCACGGTTCCTCGCACTGGCTGGGGACGTTTGGGCTCGGCGTCTCCCAGAACTTCGATCTGGTACTCTGTTGGCGCCATGCGCGCGTAGTAATGGAATGAAGGGGACTGATTGTTTCCCTTGTTGAAGAAAGTGCTGGTCATGCCAAGCTCGCGGGTAAATGAGTAGACGTACTCCTCAAATGGTGTTTTGGTGACCTTCTCCAGCAAGAAGCGCAGGTTCATAAAGTTCAGGTCTGAGTACGTGTACGTAGATCCAGGAGCATTTTCAAGCCCATACTTGATGACAGCATCGACACGCTGCTTCATGGTCTTGTAAGGTTCTTCATATAGTCCGGGTAGAGGGTCTGGAGCGAACCCGCTTGTATGGGTCAACAGCATCAGGACAGTGATGTTGCTCTTTCCATTGGCCGCGAACTCGGGAAGGTAGGACGCAACGGTGTTGTACAAGTTTAGTTTGCCCTCGTCAATGGCGCGCAATGCGGCTACCGCAGTGAACACTTTGGTCAGACTTGCCATATCGTAGATTGTATCCATTTTGGCCGGGGTCCATTCTGCGGGAGGGAGCAATGTGCCATTGGAGTCTGCATACAGAGTCACATTTCCGAAAGCGAAGGCGCTCACGATGGTGGACTTGTGACCGATGACAACGGAGCCTCCGGGTTGGATGGGGTGGATCACATTGTGCGAAGGTGCTCCATAGTTGGCAGGAATAGTGTACATGCTCAAGTTTAGTGGCAGCTGTTGCAGAGGCTCAGCGAGAAGGCCCACTGATTCAGGAGAACCATGCTTGAGGATGCGGTCTGTGGCACTACAAAGCGAGCCGCAGCTTGCGATGAGACAAATGGCTGAAGATTTGAGTCTCATCGTAGAATGAGAATGGTGCAGGGAGGTATGGGAATTTTGGTGGCTTACCAGCGTGCAATATATATGAGCTCGCTTCCTGTTATCTGGAGATTGTCTGTATATTAAATGCGACTCAGCGTAGTAACCGTTTCATCACTTCTGGATAAGATCAGCCCCAGAGACTAAGCAATACCCCACATAGATCCCGCTTAGCCATCGGGTGTCCCCGACGGGGGAATATACATCCCTGCAAAGCCGAAAGATTTAGCTAGCATCACATCTGGGGATAGATTGGATGTTCAAAAGTGTAATTTGAAAGGAAGCGTGAACATCGCAAAGCCAGAACAAACATAAAAAATAGATAAATAGAAAGATCGAGATTGTATACAAAAGAAACTAAGCCAAATCCGATGCGGGAGGACGAATATCGGACCCGATACCGCTCCCGACATCCAAGTCATTCTCCAGTTCCTCGCCTAAAATTCCGACATCCATACGTCGTCGGTCCTTGCCACGGCCGACTTCGATATCAACAAATCGGGCGCTAACAGGTGTAATTGGCTCACTCCCACCGCCTATGGTAGTGCCATCTGACATGAGATCGTCCGATTTCAATTCCCAATTCGCCGCACGAACTTTGCCTCTGCGACGTTCCGAGTTGATAGTCTCCTTCATGTAAGCGAACGATCGCACTTGATCTGCAGCCCACTTGTCCAGGAGCTCATCGCGTGCTTCGATTTCTAGCTGAAGCTGTTCTTCAAGGCCGGTGTTGACATTCTGAAGACGCTGCATTTCACATTTGACGCCATGCAGCGACGTGGTGAGGTCTGAGATGCGAACATTGAGAGCCCCAGTCTCTGCTTCATGCGTTTGAAGCTCACTGGTGCTTTGCTCAAGGCTCTCGATGGCTTTTTGATATTCCTTTTCGAAAAGTTCCACCTGGGCCATCAAGTCACAAGCCCGAATTCGATTGTGCTCGACTGTTTCCTCCATTTCTCGAATGCGAGACCCAGACTCAGATGCAATAGCCTCAGCCGAACAGCGTTTGGAGCGTTCATGGGCCACTTGTTTCTTCAGCTTGGATATTTGCCGGGCGTAATCCTCCTTTGTAGCGGTGTTTTCCTTTTCAAGATTGTCGATAAGCATTTCGAGGCCCTTTACTTCGTAATGATACTTGTCGAGCGCTGTATTTAATCTGTCAATCCCAACAGCCTGTTCTTGGCCTTCGCGTTCGAGGTCTTGCATTCGCATCCGCGTGTGGAGCATATCGCTTGCGGAAGATGCGATTGCATCCTCGAGAGTGTTAATTTTACTTGCAGCTGTCTCATATCGGTGTAGTAAAGCGTCAAATTGCCCTCGGAGAGCCTTTTCCCGGCTGAGGGAGCCATGGTGATAGTGGCGCTCCGTCCCCAGATCCTTTGCCAGCGACTCAACACGCCTCACCAGCGCACCCAGGGTTGCCTTGCCGTCCTCAAGGCTGACATTGGCAGTCTCACCAGGTAGCGCACGCTCAAGCTCAAGACGAGCTGAGCGGAAGTGGCTCCGCATGTCGGATATGACATCGTCCACGCCGTCCCCGGAGAATCCTAAGCTGGAGCATTCTTGGGTGACACTCTCAAGAGCTTCGGCAGCATTGGAAGCACGAGATAGAGCATTTTCTAATATCTCCATGATGTTTTCGAAAAAGTCCGATGGTGGAGATGACTGGCGGAAAAGGCTACTGATCGTTGGGTCATTGAACCCTGAGATCCGTGATCGACATGCATTGAACAAGTTGTTCTTTTCTTGCCTGGCAGCTTCCAAGTCAAGGGCTAGGGAGTGAATGTCAGATGCCTCTGTATTGACTGAAGACTGCGTTTGGGTGGCGCGAATGGGCGTCTGGGGTTCGTCTGATAGCATCAAGCCATGGGTGGCGGGTGGATTATGACTTCGAGTACCACGGAAATCAGGGGAGCTGGACACAATGACAGCACTGTCATTGAACATGAACGTATCTCCATCGCCATTCGAAAATGGAGCGGCACCATCCCGACTGTGATTAGAAACCACTGATACTTCCTCACAAGATCTGGGTGTGTCTGGTGTCATCCAATAGGCCTCAGCCACCGAATCTTGGTCCTCAAAACCCGTTCCGCTCCGTTTCATGGCCCTGAGTTCATCTTTCAGAGAATCTCGCTCTTGAAGCAAAGCTCGCATGGTCTTTTCCATGTTGCGCGCCTCACGTTTTTCGCGCTCAATATGATTGATTTCATCGCTCAACCCGATTCGCCTAATTCTTCTCTGGGTCCGTGTATCCAGAATCTGGCGCAGCGGAGTGAATTGAATTATGCGCTTGGTGGATGTTTCATCAAACGGTTCCTCTAAATCATACGACCGCTGGAAACGCGGTGTTGGGGCAGATCGGCGTCGGGATTTGCGGCTAGGTGTGCAATCTCCAGATCCTGTGGCGAACGATGTTCGGCGCATCGCTGGAGTTAATCCAGTAGACCCAATATCTGCATCGTGTAATAACCGAGGACCTGGATCGGAAAACCGAACCCTTTTTCTTGATTTCTTGGGTGTAACAGATACTACTTTTTGTTGTTGATTGAGACCGGCATCTTCTGACACTGTTGCTAAGCTCTGTCTAGTCCGGCGCGATACTGGTGACTGGCTTGAAGTTGAAAGAGAGCTCTTCCGTTTTCTCCCTGACCGAGTGTCCATGTTGGAAAGGGGAGTATATGAGAACAGTTAAGATCAAAATGAAGAAACGTTTCACAAGAACAAAATGAAGGGATGAGCTTATAAAGGAGAATTCTATAGATCACAAATCGAGTAAACAAACAAAGTGGGGCTCTATAGGCAACAAGGACCTAGACGCGTGACTGCCTAGTTGGATTGTTATTGCCTATTCCGGTAAAGTGTAAAGTAAACAACATGCTTCTTTAGGCGATCATGTGACATTTACATATAATGTTTCTCATATACACTTACTCTCCTCTACTGATATGCCCAACAGAAGTACTGAACACGTCATATTGACACCGAAAACTAAATTATGTAGTTGTGCTAATTCTTTGGCAGTGGGATAAGAATTTGTTTATTATGTGTGTATTGGTCAAGCAGATTTCGAAAATGACTATAACGGGCTGCCAGACAACTTTCATCTCTCGAGCGGCTTGCCGCATATCCACCTAAGTATTTTTGGCCGAGCCCGATTTGGGACTCAATTTTGGGTCATCGATAGTATACTCAAAGTCCCACACAGACGTACCGCGGTACTCAACCTCCGTGATTATCTCGACACCAGTTGACTTGGTCTGCGAATAGATCTTGGCTGGAACAGTCATATCTGAGTCCTTGAAAGTACCAACGACGTCCCTGGTGGAGTATCCTGGCACTTCAACGCCAAGTTCCGTGCCGAGTGTCTTGCTCCATGATTCCTCCTGGCCCCAAGTGAACTTATGGTCGGTTTTTAATTCGGTTTCAATCTTTCCATCAACGATAAACGGGATAGAAGCTTTGATCTCCGTTTTAACACCAAAGGAGAACCCATGACTGTGGGTGAACGAGCCCTTGGCGCTCTTTTCTCGTCGAAAATCGCACTTCAATGTTGCCTTTTCTTGAGCATTGTTTCTAACTGTTGTCCTGAAAATTTCTGGTTTCGTGTTGAAGACTCTCCCCGCTGAAAGGTTGTATACAACTTTGACAATTTCGGTGTCCTCAAAGACAAACGAAAAGTACTGCTCAGGGCTGTCGCTGTGATTCGCATCTTGAGAGAGAAGAAACAGAGCCGGGAAATTATCCCAGAAGGTGCCATCTTTATAGGAACGCTTTGATGCCAAAATTCTGCCAGCTGCGCTCACAATGCGAAAGTGGCCAGCGAAACGATCGACGACTGCGGGTTGAAAGGTGAATCGCATAAACGAGTCATCAAATATATTTCTGACATCGACAGGCTGAAATCTACAGCCCTCCATCTCCCCAGGACGAGATGAAATTGCGGCCTCATCGTCGTGTTTGAGGGCACTTTGGATGTAGTAGAACTTGCCCCCATCAATTGGGACCAAGGTGAACCATCCATCTTCGGATGAAACTGAGTCTTTGCTACGGCAGGAGATTTGCTTTCCGGAGGGGACAGGTATGTTGTCAGAGTAATATCCAAGGAGACGAAATCGTAAGCCTTTGGTAGGAATGTAAAGTTTCGATGTAAGTGTCATGATGGAATCGCAGGTGTCGGAAGAAAAATGTAGACGTCAAGAGAGGAAAATTGCGGAGAAATAGGAAAAAGAGGATGGTTGAAAATGTAAGATTAAATCGGATTGTCAGTGCTTTATATACGGATTGTCAGTGCTTTATATACTGATTCAAGCCTATACTGCCGCATGTTAGCACAGGTGGTGAATCAATGTGGAGGGGTATAGATCAATGCAGTCGGCTTCGCCGAGCGTATACTAACAATTTTGCCAATCAAGATATCGCTTGACTCGGTATTTTGCTCACATATCTAGCCACATCCTCACTCGAGCTATATCTACGGATGCGGGTGCGGCATAGCTGAAGTGTGGTGGCTCACAGCCTATCGCGAAAAAAAGACTAGTCTGGGGCTGGCTGACAACGAATGCTATTACGCATGGACCTGAGCAAGCCGTCTACGAGAAAATCATCAGCAGGAAGAAACTTGGTGTTAAAGTTTCTAAACTCTAGCTGAAGGGGAAGGTGCGACAAGGGCTCAGCCGTAGTTTGCGACCAAAAAAAAACAAGAAGGCGCAAGGGGCTGGTGGAAAAGTCAGCAAGTCCAGTTGGGCGTGCGAACTTTCAGGAACACAGTAATAAGTGCAAGTTAGAGAGGTAGACAAATGGAAAAGTCAGAGGAGGGGAGGATGAGCGGCGGAGAGGTCTTCTATCTCGGAAGCATCGAGGTACGGGTTATGGATCCATCTATCCATGGATTGAAGGGAGATTACGGGACAGTTATTGTGGCGCTAAACCCAAAGAGGCAGAACTAACCTTATATGGCAGTCCACATGCTGTTTACATATTTAAACACACGTGACATACTCCATGTTTATTTATACTCATTGATGTAGATTGAAGATATTAGGTGCTAGTGGACTCAGTGTTAAGAAAAAAGGGTATTTAAACGACCTGAAAGACTACATATGTATGTATCAAAAGAGACATGATAAGGCTGACTATTCTTGTATGCTGATAAGCCATGAGGAGATTGAGGATTGTAGATTAGACCAACTCCGCACTGCCACAACACTTCCAGGTTTCCAAATTAGTAGTTTCTTCAAAACTTGAAAGCTGGGGTCTCTCCAATCCAGATCCTGTAACATTGCCAACCTTATGAGCTCGTCCCTGCTTGGGCTGATTCCCTCTTCTTAACTCCGTGTGACTCTCATGCGCTTTCCCCCTCCTGGGTCTCCCAGTGATGTCATTTACGATACTCTGAAGAGGCTCAACCATATCACTTCTCTCTTGCAAACCTTGATGCATCAAAGCAATCATGGCAGCTATCAACGGTCCTAACAAGGTATGTCTGATTATTACTTTTTCAAAAAAATCACTGTGGATGACCCTGTACTCACATTTTGATGTCGCAGCAACAAAGCGACAAAGGTCCCAACGACCAGCCAGTTGACGACAGGCAGCCGTCTCCACCCGCAGGTCAATTTTCATTTATTGAGAAATTGCCCGCTGAGATCATTCAAGATATTGCATCTTATCTTTCAGCTTCAGATCTCGCGTGCCTCGGTGCCACTTCCCGGACCCTCTTTGAGCATGGATCGACTGAGTTTCTATGGGCCAACCTGGTGAATGCAAGACTACCCACTCCTATCCAGGACCCGGGTCCCTTTCAGTCATTTCGTCGTCTCTATCTTGCATTTTACCCATGTTGGTTCATTCCCCAATACAAGATCTGGTTCGGAGACAATGATCACACGGGGGTACTGATCCTAGCTCGCTATGACAACCACCGGGGTGTGATCAAAGGATACCGCATCGTTGCCGAACGTGGTCTTCCAGAATTTCAAATATGGATGTCAAACCCAGAAGTTATGATCCACTGTTTTGACCCCAGTGTTCATCTGGCGTTGGATGATCCTGTCTTGCTTATCAACGACCCGGATCCGACCTCCCCAACAGCCCCAATCCAATCCTTTAAATCGATACCAGAGGAGAGACGTATGCCCGTGGCTTCGGATTCACGGCACATATACACCTCGCTGTCGTTTTGCTGTGAATTTACCTCTCAAGCACCTTTGGTCAGACCCAATGTGATTTGGCCACCACAAACCATCCCGAGCAAAGCACGCACACTTCGTGATTTGAGAAACTCACCCTCGCTGAATGTGAAACATTTGTCAGAATTGTCGGAATCGTTATTCCGTGTCAGGAAGTGGGCAAACCCAGGGCTTACGTTGTCACCGGTGCCACACAAAGCGAGTGTGACTTACTCAACTCTGGATCCCGTTCTTTACACCCCCACTCCAGAGAAACCCTACCAGGGAATTTGGGTTGGAGACTACAAAGCCCATGGGTGCGAATTCCTTCTTTTTCTTCAAAGAGACAGAGTGAGCCCACTACATGGTAGAAGATCGTCAAAGATAATTGACACCCAGGAGGAGATTAGACATCGAGGCCCATTGGAAGGTATCAAACTAACAGGTGACTCTAATGTTCCTCGTGGCCAGCTCTCGTTTATTGCCGATGACCTTGGTTCCAGAGGCTTGATTAATATCGGGACGGATGAGCCTTTCGTTGGGGCACGAATTGTGCGTTGCCGCGGCCATGTAGCTGGACTTGGCTTCCTTGACGGCAAGTGGCCTCACTAAATAAACCAAAGTGACATTCACTAACGTGTAATTTGCCAGACACTTACATTGACTCCCGATTGATTCTTATCTCCCCTGACCTCGTGGGTCTTTACTGGAAGGAGATAGGCCATATCTCCTATTACCGCCGTGTGGACATTGACGCTCTGCTACATACTATGTAGTTGCCTGGCATGGTTTGTGGTTTCATTTTTGCTTTGTTACATACCCCCCTGTTTTCATGTCGTACTGTGTATTTATTAAGTTCAGAGTAAATGGAGAACCTATGAATTTCCTTTTCTGGTTAGTTTTGTCTTTAGATATGGCGGCCCAACAAGATGTCACGGGATTCCCCTCTCATTAATAAATTCATTCTTCCACCTTTCCTTCGAGCCCTCTACTCTGCGCTCATCACTATACCCCTGCAATCTCGCCCGTCCAATCGGACAGCCCGCTTCCACCCCTTCCTCCTTGGTTTCCGTAACAATGCAGCTGAATCCTTCGTCTTAACCTCGAACTCTTGGAATCTGAATCATTCGGCCTGACTACGCAAGTGGCGCCTTGGAGAGATTCCCTTCCAGTCTTTCTGAAATACATATTCTCGAGAAATGTAGCATAGGTCATCCTTTCACAAAATGCTCACACATTTTATATAGCTCACTTATTATAAGAAGCCTAGATTATTCTGACAGTCCCGATTGTCTCGATGACTGTCTTACCCCCCTGAGTGCAGGATTCACTTTGCCGCCTGTGCTCGTTCTGGTGCCCCGTCCGTGTGACCCGCTTCCTTCGGTCTATCCTGATCCACGATATGCGGGGGAATCTCAAATCCATGGGAGAAACCGGAGTCGGAAATATAAGCGTGAGTCAACCTGGGAGTCAGCATCTCTCTCTTCTCGGGACCGAGTCGTGTAGGACCCAAGACTTTCCTTTTACCACCAAAATGAGCCGTTGGCCGACGATCGGTGATACACCAGGACAAGCCAAGGCTCGAGGAACAGCGCCAAGAGAGCTTGGATCCCGAGTCCACACGCTTACCTTCTTTTTCATTTGATAGCATCGCCGGTGTTTCTGGTGTATTTTTCGATGAGACACAATCCTGCCTTAGGGACCTGCGTGCGGCTGGTACGTACCACGTGGCGGCAAACATGTCCAAAATTGATTTGGAATGAAACCTACAGCATTTCAAGGCTATTGCAGTGCAGGTTTCAGCCCAGTATTTTTATATTCCACAGTGTCTTCACCAGATGTCGACTTTCCACAAAATGTACTTCTAGTGCCAAGACTTTCGGTTTCGCCGCGGTGGTAACTGAACTTTGATGTTCGGAAAATATCCGAAAGGCAACGGGGAAATGAGGAAAATCTAAGTTTAAAGTATAGGTCATATAGGCCAAGTTTGCAGGGACATTAGCGTGGTCTGGGCGCGGAAAACTAAAGCGGAATCTGGAGAGCGCCATTGATGTGACCTTGGAAGCCATTTGTTTAGCCCAACACTACCTACCCGTGCTTGGCGTGCTTGGCGTGGGGTAAGGGCTGGGGTACGCTTTGATACATCGCCGATCACCAAAACTCTATACCTCATGGACAGCTCATGGAACTGTACACTGACTCGCTATTCCCCGAGAACCGGAGAATCAGGGAATAATGTGGATTGAGTGTTTTAACACTATGGCTCGGCGCAGGATCCCCGTATGAGCACCTATGCCGCAAAATATCGAAATTTAAGAGAGCCATGCCCGCTCTCCGAACAACCCCCCCCCTTGAATGTAGCCTCTCCCAATATTCTATCTTTTGCGACTGTCACGCTCAAACTCTACCCTGGGTCTATCGTCGCCATCTGAGATTTGTTCTCTCGCTTGAGCCTTGCGGCTCTGCTACATTGTTTGTTATAAGGGTCCATGACCTCGATCCACGATTGATCTGCTTATTCCTTCCCCGCGACCCATCTAACAACAATATATACCAACATTCAGCATGGCGGGTGGTGCTGCTATCAACATCTTCAAGTTCAACACGGGCGGTTTGCCCAAGGAGACACTCAACGCAAAGCTATGGTTCGCCGTCTTTGCGTTTGGTCTTATGGGTGCCGCCCGTGGTGTCGATGAGGGTCTTATCACGGGTGTCTTCAACTCTCACGCTTTCAAGCAGTCTGTCGGTATTGACGACCTGAAAGCGGGGGAGCTTGCTAGTATCAAGGGTACCATTTCCTCCATGGTTCAGCTCGGCAGTGTCGCCGGTGCTCTATTGTAAGTCTTGCTATTGAACCAAATCTTCCTCGACTCTATTTGGTGTTGGATAGCCTTTACTAATTGAATAACAGCGCTTTCGTTGTTTGTGATCGTATCGGCCGTGTTTGGGCTACTCGGCAACTCTGCTGTCTCTGGATCCTCGGCATCGCTATCTTTATTGGAAACAACGGCAACATGGGTGCCGTCTACGCTGGTCGCTTTGTTGCTGGTCTTGGTATTGGACAGACTTGTGTGGTCGGTCCTATATACCTTTCTGAAATTTCCCCCGCTCCCATCCGTGGTCTATGTACTTGTATGTTTACTGGTGCTGTATACCTGTGAGTTCATACTCCATCTCTTCCCTATTTTTTCACTTTTCAAAGCTAATACTAAGTCCAGTGGTATCATGATTGCGTACTTTGCCAATTGGGGTACTCAGATCCACATGCCGGACACCTTCAACCGCTGGGTAAGTGCTGGCCTCTACAATCGCTATCGTGCATAGTTGGCTAACACGTTCTCTCCTACAGGCTGTGCCTACTTCGCTCCACCTTATGTTTGCTGGAATCATCCTGATACTCACCTTCTTCCAGCTCGAGTCCCCCCGTTTTTATATCAAGCAGGGCAAGCGCGAGAGGGCTCTCGAGGTTCTCTGCAAGCTCCGTGGCCTACCCGCCGACCACCCGTACGTCCTCAACGAGATCACTGAAATGGACGTTGCCTTCCAGGAGGAGATGGAGGCCACTCTCGGCATGGGCTGGAAGGGCCTTTTCAAGGAGATCCTTGGCATCAAACGCAACGCATACCGTCTGTTCCTCACCAACCTCGCTCAGAACATGGCTTGCTGGTCCGGCGGCTCCGCCATTACCGTATACGCCCCGGATCTGTTCACTCTCGTTGGAATCACTGGCCAAGAACAGTCTCTGTTCTCGACCGTCGTATTCGGCGTCGTCAAATTCGTCGCCGCCATCATCTGCGCTCTCTTTTTGGTCGATATGGCCGGGCGTAAGCGTTCTCTCATTATTGGCATTGTTCTCCAATCTATAGCCATGTTCTATATCGCCATCTTCCTCAATCTCGTCCCCATTGCCGAAAACCCCGACTTCGCCCCTACCGAATCGCAGAGCCGTGCATCGACAGCCGCGATTGCCTTTATCTACATCTCTGGTGTTGGTTGGGCCCTAGGATGGAACAGTGGTCAGTACCTGCTATCCTCGGAACTGTTCCCTCTCCGTATTCGTGGTATTTGCTCGTCCATCACTATGGCCATGCATTTTATTTGCCAGTACGCCGTCAACCGCGCCCTGCCCGAGATGCTGCTCGAAAATGGAGGACTCGGCCCTCATGGAACCTTTTATTTCTTTGGTGTCATTTCCATTATTGGTGGTTTCTGGGTTTGGCTCTTTGTTCCTGAGGCCGCTGGCCGCAGCCTTGAGACTATCGACAAGATGTTCGACCTTCCTTGGTACAAGATCGGTCTTTATGGAAGGAAGTTTGCCGAGGAGTACGACCGTGAACAGGAGCAGATTTACCGTGATGAGAAGAAGGATGGTGGGGTTGTTGTTTCACATAATGAGACGGTCTAGCCTTTCGCAGTCAATTGCAATCGTGTGTCTCTTGGAGGGACCTGCTAAGTGTCAGATCTGAATATATATATCATCGGTTTGGGGTTAGTTTTCTTGAGGATTTTGCAAGTAACTTTAGCTATCAAGTAGGGTAAATATTCTATTAAAACGGTAGAAAAGTTCGATTGATAATTGTTGGCACGAATGCTGTAGTGGAGATGAATCTACTATCAGGTGGATATTTTCTAGCCAGTTTCGGTGTAAAACCCATAAATCGTCAGATTTTAGGTGTCATTTAAGTGACATTGCTCACTATGGACTGGGTTTGTCGATATTTTATGAGAGCATAGGAAGCCACAGCAACATCCCTCGATCGTATTACCATGGTTACTTCAATGCTTTGGGATGAAAGATTCCTGTAGTGCATATTTTCTTTTTACCTATTCACTTCACTGACCTCGGCTCCCATGAAAAAAAGGCGATGTCCATGGCACAGTGCATGCAGTCAGGAACAAGTAGTAACCTCACCCGACCTTCCCACTACTCCCAAATACCCCCAAGCAACCCTGGCGCGTGCCATACCTAATGCAAGTGCGAGTTCCAAATGGCTCGGAATTCCTTGTCTGTCAGACGTGTATTGAGAACATCTCGCAGTTCCTCGGGCGTCAGTGTCGCCGCGAGGTGCGGACGCATGTCCTTTTGCGTCCAGTATAGCTTTGCCAGGTGCAAGAGAAGCTCGCTTTTGGGGACCCGCGAAAGCCCGGCAAAGTTAATACACAGTTCGTTGTCCGCTAGCCATCGAAGAATCGTCGTTATGTCAGCAAGGTCGGTCCGCGTTCGTTGGTGGTGCGCTTGCCTGGTCGCCGCCTCAGCCGTGCTCCAACACTTGAGTTTTGTTAGAACTAGGACCGATGGATGTATGATGGGCACTATCAATTAAAGTTAGTGAGATCCCAATATTAGCCAGGTTGTAACTTACTTGACATCCTTAATTGTCGCTCAGGACGGTCCTCCGGTTTCACATTGTATAAGTCGGTGGTTCTGGGGTTTGGGATGTACCATTTGCGGCTGCTTGGCCTCATAACATCCACGTATACTTTTTTTCCGCGGTAGTCATATACCAGTCGCCCGTCGGTGCTTCGGGAGAAACCGGGCTTTTTCAACAGGACCTCGCGGCAGTCAGTGTCGGTAACGACATCGACATCCTAGATATTTGTCAGATTATGATGTCTTTTTGGTCTAGGGAAATTAGGAGAAATGTTTACTTCAGTGATTCGTTGACCTCCGAGCAGTCCTGTGGCATAGCCGCCGAGGAACAGATGGTGGATTTTCTCAGAGCGCAAGACTCTTGTAAGGCTTGTCGCAGCTGCATCCAGATGGTTGAATCGACTCGGGTCAAGCGGCATGGTGGATGCTCGGAAAGGAGAATGAAGTAGGAAAGAGATAATGATTCGGATGGTAGTTGCTGATGAAGAAAAAAAAAGTAATAAGCAGAAGTAGAGAATGATTTAGATGATGGTTGTTGTGGAAGAGAAGAGAGAAGGAGAAGAAGAGGAGTGTTCCGATATTTAAATGAGACAGAGGAAGACAAACAAATCAGTTAGTTTCAGGAGTAAAGAAAAGATGGGAGTTGTCATGAGACTAAAAATTGCTTAAGCATCATTAACTTCATCACTCCAGGGCTTCTTCCTATCACTCTATCCTATCCCTTTGTACCACACTCTAGATTTCTAGTAACAGGCAATCCCTTCCCCAATCCTCCCGATTGCCATTTCTTCTGCAATTATTGAACCTCAATCATGGAGACCGAGAAGACCAAAGGGCTCGCAGCCCCCCCCTCTTGCCTCGCCAATTATCGAGGCAACGTCGACTTCTTCCAAAGAGTTCAAAGAACTCTCAGTTCCCCTTCCTGACTCGCCTGTCATCGAGCCTACGCCTACTTCTCCCGATGGTATCGAAGAGGCATCAATTCCCCTTCCTGCCTCGCTAATTATCGAGCCAATCTTATCTTCTGAATCTCAAACTGGCCTCTTGGAAGAATCAGATCACCAGATCGACAAACCGGACGCACAGACTGTCGATGAACCACAACGCGAGCAGTTTCACTATCCTGTGATGAGGAAAGCTTTGAGAGCACTTATTGAAAACAACATCTCTCTCGTGGAGTACGGGAACCAGGTCCTTTACAGATACGGATATGCAGAGGTTCTGATTGTAAGTGACAAAAGCTTCTTCTCCGGTCCTTCAGTTGAACCATTCTATTAACAGAATTTTACTAGCTTGTCGAGTGGGTTGTACCCGACGAACAGTTGGCGCTTGCTTCACAGGTGCTGCTCGAGAAAAACTATCCACGCCTTCATATCCCAGAGCAAAAGTGGCCTGGATACTCTGCATACTCTGGATCTTGGGAAAGGCAATCATTGATGCACGACCTTGATGGCCAGGGCTGGATGCGCGTTCATCTTCTTCCTCTGTCATTGGTTGGTTTCACTCTTGAGGAGACTTTTGAGGTTCCCTCCACATTTGCCCATGAGCTCCATATCCTCACCCCCAAACCTTCTCATTACATGTCATCCTTGATACGTCATCTTCTGCAGCTCTCCATTGGTGACAGTAACCGAACTGGAGTTGAAAAGGACCTTGGGGGGTTTATTTCTGCTTACATCCTCAAAGATGGACCGGCTAATACGCTTTTATCCACCTATCTTAATGACCCGGAAAGCGACGAGGACTACCAGAAAAGAGTCGAAAAAGGGATCCGATTTATGAAGACATGGGACTGGGGTAAAGTTGAGGAAAGATACCTAGCCATGGCTGAATCTGCGGTTAGAGATAGCCACTACATCGACAGGCTGACGGATGTCCACAATGAGAACTAGACGCTCTGAGTTGACTTCACGGTGTTGTGGGAGCTTTCGATGCCTTTTGTTGAGAGATGGAAGCGTCTATCTGAGTCTTCTCTTCATCCAAACATTCTTTTTTTTCCTTCATCTGAACACTCTTCACTCATTTCCTTCGCCATAGCTTGAAATGGCCTTGAACAAAAGTTTTACACATCCGTATTCTGCAACATATTTCTTACCATTCCGTAGATTTATTCTACACCAACAGAGAATACAGAGAATCGAAGAGTCAATATCTCCAGCTTCAAGCATTCAATATCGGCAAAGGCCTAGATATGCACCAAGGGAATGATCTATTATCTAGATTGCATCCCATTAGTGATAGATATCTTGACAGGTCTATGACTTGTGTGTTCATATCTACAAGTTATTCCAAGAATTGTCCGCTAAACACATGACTGGATTTGTATGATGTAGAACCGGCAGAAAGACAAAAGGTATCGAAAAAAGTCAAGACGCCATGACCTTAAAAACATTGGTCGAAAGTGGAGGTTGAAGCCCAGATAAGAATTGGTCATCACTCATCAATCCAGCCATGAAGCATATACCTGTGATGGCCCGGTGATTTGGAAAGATGCACCGTCCATAACACATGCTCAATCTGTACGTACTGATATTGTATCATATTGTCATAGGTCCAAGCGTCGAGACCAAGGCCCAGATTCGTGCTGCCAGTCCAGTCCCGCGGCTATGCATACACTCCCCTGAGTTGCCATGTATCCCACTTCAGAGTCCACAATCATACACATATCAAATGGCCGAAAGTCAAGTCGCGAGAAAGGGATCGCCGATTGTCTCCCTGAAGTTGCGTAGGGCGGTGCCAATCACCGGCGTCGTTCGAACCAGGAAGACGACCCCATGACAGCCACGGACTGATCCATCATCCACTCTCCAACACCGAGGTAGCTGTCAACCCATTTCTTGACGTCCTTGCTGTCCGTGATCTTGTCTGAATTGAGGCTGGGGCTATCAAGTCCCACGCACACACGACCCAACGAAGGGAGGCGCGCGGGGGTAACAGAGTTAGCCAATAGTTCCCCCATATATATTGACATTAACCAAGACGAGCACCAAGTAGAATAAATGATAGCTTGGAAGAAGAGGTCGTGAGGGGTAAGGGTAAGGTGTATTTACGTGAGGCCCGTAGAGCGCTTGACACCTGCCAAGAAGGCGGAGACTGAGGTTCAAGGCACTGATTAGTTTGTACTCAAAGGTACAGTGTAGACTTGGAGGACTCACAGAGAACCGCATCAAATGCGTAGTGAGTAAGACGGCCGAGCTAGATTGCAGCGGACATCCAAGTCAGTCATGGAATGCTCTATGTTCCGGGTACCTCGGTTGTCCAAGATCAATCAGCAGAGAGTTCTTACCATGATGCCGAGTAGAAGGTGTCAACACTGTGAATATTAAGTAATCAGCAGTTACCAAAAAGCTTGAGAGACGAAAGCAAGAGGAGAGACCCAAGCTGTCATGGAGACCGCCTAATGAGCGGTCACGTGGGAATTCACATGACGTTTATCATAGAGTGGCTGAATGTGTGGCTGGGCTGGAAGTGAGGCTGGGAGGTGTGAGGCTGGTGAGGATGGTGAAACTAGGTGACATAATCAATGTAGCTGTGGCCGGAGCCGACCTTCCTTGGAAGTGTCCCAAATGGAGATCTGGACACTAGTCCTGATTTGGCTTATCGATAAGCACTGTCATCCCACCGAAATCCCCTTTCGCCTTTGGAGTCTCCGGACTGGGGCCTCGATCAATTGGGTGTCTTTATTTGTCACGTTTACAGAGTATTCGATAAAGAGACTCCATTGTACAGCGCGTAGGACAGCACGGCCAGCACGGGGCAATCCTCCGCTTTTTTGCGGTCAACCCATTCTGGAGTTGATATCATTTTTTCTGCCTGAAATATCTATGACGCCTCTATAGCTCTTCAGCTTTCAGTATATAGAAAATATAGGTAGACAAAGGCAAGAAACAAGCCGAATCAGATATAGATAATCCACCGAAATTTACAGGTTAATTTGGTATAGATATGGTCTAGTGTCAATAGTACGAAACAAAAAAAAAATGTCTTGGGATGCAGCCAATACTCACACCGGCGGCCAACATTTTCCCGCCCCGCACCCATCCGTTTTCTCTTTCCCCTCCATCTCATCCTTCTCTTCTTACCATCCTCTCTGATTCTCAATTGATCAGAAATACCTTACCTTCTCTAAATTAATTCAACAATTGTTGATCATATCACAATGGCGGCCACCAACTCCCTCGATCACCTGAGCAACCGCATGAAGCTGGAGTGGCACTCCAAGCTCAACACCGAGATGGTGCCTGCTAAGAACTTCCGCCGTACCTCCATCATTTGTACCATTGGTATGTCACACCACTCATGAGAAACTCTTTCAGCTCGAGCCTGTCAAAGCGCTTGAGAAAGAGAAAAAAAACCCCCCGATACTAACAGACAATCAATCAGGTCCCAAGACGAACTCTGCTGAGAGTATCAATGCTCTCCGCACAGGTATGGAAATGAAGCTTCCAGGAATTTTTTTAGGGTAGTTATACTGACAAGTCCATAGTTGGTCTCAACGTTGTCCGCATGAACTTCTCCCACGGATCATACGAGGTCGGTATCTCCAATCAACATCTGACAAAGACCTTTACTGACTTTCCTGTAGTACCACCAATCTGTCATTGACAACGCTCGTGAGGCCGCCCGTCTCCAGACTGGTCGTCCTCTCGCCATTGCCCTCGATACCAAGGGCCCCGAGATCCGTACTGGTAACACCGTCGGTGACAAGGACTACCCCATCAAGCAGGGTGCCATTATTAACATCACCACCAATGACGCATATGCCACTGCTTCCGATGATAAGAACATGTAAGACCATCCCAATTTCCGCAGAGTGGATCATTCCAGAATTCCCTCAAAAGTATTTGCGTGGCTGGATGCCAGGTTTATGACAACGTGGACTGACAAGTGTCTGGCGACAGGTACCTTGACTACAAGAACATCACCAACGTGATCACTCCTGGCAAGCTCATCTATGTTGATGATGGAATTCTGTCCTTCGAGGTGATTGAGGTTGTTGATGCGGAGAACCTGACCGCCAAGTGCCTGAACAACGGCAACATCTCTTCCCGCAAGGGTGTCAACCTGCCCGGCACTGACGTAGATCTCCCCGCTCTCTCAGAGAAGGATATTGCCGACTTGCGATTCGGTGTCAAGAACAAGGTCGATATGGTCTTTGCCTCATTCATCCGTCGCGGCAGCGACATCAAGCACATCCGTTCCGTCCTCGGTGAGGATGGTAAGGAGATCCAGATCATCGCCAAGATTGAGAACCAGCAGGGTGTCAACAACTTCGATGAGATTCTCGAAGAGACTGATGGTGTGATGGTTGCCCGTGGTGATCTCGGTATCGAGATCCCCGCCCCCAAGGTTTTCCTTGCCCAGAAGATGATGATCGCCAAGTGTAACATCAAGGGCAAGCCCGTTATCTGTGCCACCCAGATGCTGGAGTCCATGACATACAACCCCCGCCCCACTCGTGCTGAGGTTTCCGATGTTGCCAACGCCGTTCTCGACGGTGCCGACTGTGTCATGTTGTCCGGTGAGACCGCCAAGGGTAACTACCCTTGCGAGGCCGTTAAGATGATGTCTGAGACCTGCTTGTTGGCTGAGGTCGCCATTCCTCACTTCAACGTCTTTGACGAGCTGCGCAACCTTGCCCCTCGTCCCACTGACACCTCCGAGTCCATTGCCATGGCCGCTGTCAGCGCCAGTCTGGAACTGAACGCCGGTGCCATCATTGTTCTGACCACCAGGTATGTACCGCAACAGAGCTTTTGTCGTTTGTGTGACGACCATGCTAACAAGACCATAGTGGTAAAACTGCCCGCCTTGTCTCCAAGTACCGTCCCGTCTGCCCCATCCTGATGGTCACCCGTAACGAGACCGCTTCCCGGGTAAGTCCAATTCGACTGTTCGAATGTGGTGTTCTTTGCTGACAACTGTTTCCAGTACTCTCACCTGTACCGCGGTGTGTGGCCTTTCTACTTCCCCGAGAACAAGCCTGACTTCAACGTCAAGATCTGGCAGGAGGATGTTGACCGTCGCCTCATGTGGGGTATCAACCACGGTCTCAAGCTCGGTATCATCAACAAGGGCGACCCTATCGTCTGTGTCCAGGGATGGCGCGGCGGTATGGGCCACACCAACACCGTTCGTGTGGTGCCCGCCGAGGAGAACCTTGGTCTGGCCATGGAGTAAACCTTCTGTAAACTGATCAGATGGTAAGCTTTTTGGAGATCAATGATCCATTGTGCTTTGTTTACCGCCGGTGTGCGGATGGGATACATACCTTTTCTTTCTCTGTTCTGGCTTTTTTTTATCTTTTTCTTTCGAAGCCAGGTTAGTTCTGCGCTGTGTGGTCTGGACCATACTCTGGAAAGTTAATACATTGCTCATGTAAATGAAACGAATCTAATGCTTTCCGAACAAATTAGTGAGCTAGCCAAGACTAGACAATTCAAATTGAATAGAAATGAAACTGTTAGTTTGTGTTTGAGTCCTTGTAGACTTGACCGTGTGTCAAGAGCGTTTGCGATTGTCGCTATCATTAGACATGGTAATCTCGCATATGCACATGCATGCCAATGCAATGCATAGACCAATTGGTCCGAACTGCACGCATTGAATCTGGAATGATCCTCCTAAAGGAGACCTCCAGTCAAAAGAGAGAAGGGGAAAAAAAGGAAATTTGAACGAAATCCGATGCGGGGGATCCAACGGGCAGTCTAAACCCGTAACACCGAGGCCCATGTGCCGGAGGGGTGACGATACCCTCCGCGCATATGCTGTGGACGCATTTTGGACTTCTCCCTCTCTGCCATGGAGAATGAAGCGATTTTTGAGATCGTCTTGACGTCACATTAGCAACGGAAGAATTTAAAAGAGAATTGAAAAGAGAATTTTAAAAAAAGGCCAGTAGATTGGTTAAACGAATTTCGGGGAAGCTTTTGCCGTCCCGATCCCGGTTTCTGCCGATGGTTCCAATGTTGAGAGATTAGGCCCTGGATATATACATGTGCGTCATTTGTATTGTTCATATTAAAGTATAGTGCACACTATGCTTCTATAATAGCCCTTTTCACCTGAACATAGGCCATTTTTGGCCTTCTATATACCGTCCTATAGATAATTCCAAGTTTCCCAATATTTTCTTCAAAAATTCTAGTATATAGGGAGAAGGATATCCATGAGTACTTAGTGGTGGCAGTAAGTGATTGAATAACTGCCCGAATCTGAGTATTTATTCCGATCTGATTTCCTTAACTTTGACCAGCTAGATATAGGAATCGACGCTTAAAGCATTTGCGAATGGTCCAGACGATCCAGTCGGCACATTTCGTATAGGAAGTTTACTATTGCTGACCTGATAACTCAATCTTCTCGACAGCTGTAGTATATATCTCACACTTAATCAACTGCTAATTTGTAAAGGATCTAGTGCGAGAAGTGAAGAGCGTTCCTATGATGTATTTCTTGTACTAACCTAGATCCCTTTGCAACTTTATACTATATCAAATTCACATTTTGAATTCTCCGAGACTTCGCATTGTGAAGGCTATATCTCATTTTGTAGGAATGTTAGTGGTCTAAAAACTAAGGCCAGTCAGCTATAAACAATTTGAATCTTCTATATCATTTGACAGTATGAATTAGATATTACTCCGTACTCCATATAATGGGGTCAACCGTTAGGGGCCTCGGGAGCGGCCCCAAGGGGCTTACGGGGATACGCCTAGCAATTAGCTGGTCCACATATCCTCTAAATAAATTAATTAATTTAACCAATTTATACATTATATGGCTAGTATCAGACTCCCCAATAGCACCTATGCCAATTCACACTCGATAAGACTCTCAACTCCTTTCTGGGCATTCCAAATCTTCGTGATCTTCAGCCCAGCAGATCCAATCAGTTGGTGCCAGTGAGCTTCAGTCCGCTCGGTCGAAGCGAAATCAGCCATCATGATAATATCCAGACTGGTTGTCTCCCAGTATGCGTTGGTATCGGGAATAACATTCTCGTTAATGAGCACCTTGCTGTGCCCGGGCTTCATGGCATTCACTAGACCCTTCAAGATCTTGCGGCAGTTATCATCTGTCCAGTCGTGGAGGACAGAGTGCATATAGTAAGCACGAGCACCTACAGAAGAAAGGGTTAGTCTCACCATAATCTAAATAGAGGGTAACAGAAGGGGAAACCATACCCTTGATAGGCTGCTCAGTGAAGAAGTCATGCTCCATTGTCTCGATTGAGGGGTGAAGTGGCCCTGTCTTGGCTTGAGCAACCACATCAGGAAGGTCCTGGAGCACCAGGCGCCCAGGAGCATTGGACCACTTGCGCCTGAACTCCGAGAGATCATGGCCCATGCTGCCGCCAACATCGACAAGGAGAACATCATCTTGAGCGACATTGGCGAATAGGCTGGGCACGTCGTAGAAACCAACATCCATCCAGCTAGGACGTCCTTGGTGGTAGACAGACATATGGTTGTTGAACTGGCTAGCAGCCTCTGGATTCTCCTTCATGAACTCGAAGAAGTGAAGATCAGTTCGGAATCCGCGCTGGAAGGCGCAGTCCTTGCCGTTGGCTGGGTTAGCGTAGCCGTCCTTCTTGAGCTGGGCAGGCAGAGCAAGCACGCCGGAGGTAATGCAGTTAGTCCTAATCAATGGCTTAGTATTATATTTTTTGATTCCCCGTCCACGGGCTTAGACTTACATGCAAGGGTATGCATCATTGTATCGTTGCAAGCTCAACGAAATAGAAATTCCGGTGCGGCGGTATTCATTAGGACCAGTCTCAAGGATAACTCCCATTGCGCATAAGTGCTTCAGGATGCGAGCTGAGCAGGTTAGTTAGGTGTACTGACAAGGCACAAGGCAAGAGGGTAAGTCACATACCAAGAAGAACTGGGTTAGCACCGGTGGCTTTGGCCAGCTCTGCAGCAGACTTGGGTCTCTCATCCTTGGACAGAATAGCAAAAAGTCCCAGATCAACACCTGTCTCCAAAGTGGCATAAAGAGTAGCCTATGAATTCAATGTTAGTTGCCGCCAATGAGACAAATCCAAAGCTTTGGAAACATCAGATCTTACCTGGGACCAGCAGTATCTGATCATCGCCTCACGTGGGGTCTCAAGTGCATAGACCAGGGATCGAGCGGCTTCCAAAAGTGTTGCTCGATCGGTGTGATCTTGAAGGCTGGCAACTTTGCCAAGTGAAGCAACTTGATCGACAAGGCCAGGCACCAGCTCGGGTGTGTTAGCGGAAGTTGCTCGGTGGTCGATGAAGGCCTCCTGGAGGTCTCCATTGGTCTGGCAATCTCCATTTGTATGATTTGCGCCGTTCGTGTGGGAGTGCCCGTTCGTGTGGGTAGTTTCACTCAATGTAAGGCTTGCAATGTCGGTCATTGTGAATATAATATATGCATATAAGTTTGAAAGTGCAGAAGAACGTGAAGAAATGTATAGGCTGAAAGTACTCCAGGGGTCTTTAAATAAACTAGATTCACTATCCCTTTTCTTGAAATATACAAAGTACTGCCTTCATTGTCCCCTTTTCTTTAAATAAAGCTACATTGTACACCCCCTGAACAACGGTTGGACCGGGTGTGATATGCGGGTCTACTGTCATGAAGATCAACCAGGATTCATTTGCTTGGACCATGCAGGCTCCTTCTTTTGCCGGACTTGGGGGCGAAGGAAGTGGGGACGCAGTAGTTCAACTGCGTTCCTATTCTGGCAATAAACTTGCAGATTGTCTAACGGCTCGTTCAACGCCAAGGATGTTATGGAGTACTCGCTACGTACATAAATAGTGAAGGGGAATCAAATTAAAACTAGAGGCGGAAGGATCTTTCCAAGTCCCCTGATGGATCCATTAAATGGTTTGAAGAAACTACTGCTCTATTACCTGCCTATTGTAACCTATTGTAACCTATTGTACGCTATAAGTAGTTGATGTGCTAAACTGACCTCAGCAAGCTTGGAATGCTCCCCATTCTATTTGTACGAAAGTACAATGTATGTGTTTTTTTGCCAATGAACCACATAACGGTATGTATACAGCGGGGTATGTGGATGTCAGTGACAGAGGAAATGTGTTTATCAGAGGGGCTAAGAGTCTGACAGCACCGGCTGAGTGGGAAGAAATAAATTGATATCCACACCAAATCCCGCAAAACGGGGTAACGGGACGGTGGCGCATTTTCGGCGCATCCATTAAGTTTTGCTAATTTTTATATCCTACTCCGTATGACGATGTACTGTACCTTTGTCTACAACATAATTCAACTTGAGATTTGGGAAAGATCAATGCAAACTGTTCTTCTTATTAGGGTTAGTTTAGTGGAACTAAGAAATCCCGAGATTCTCGGTAGAACCTACAATATATGGTCTAGATTTTACCCATCTAGACTGCGTAATCCAATATCTCTTCAGACTGTCTTGGATTTCAAGACTAACAACCCAGCTATTCGATATCAAGGTATGTTGTCTGTACCTTGAGGGCTATTTACGATGTAGGTCCGGACCATGGATTCACAATTGAGCTTACATAAGGGATCGTCTAGGACTTCTATCGTTTTTTTAGCGACATCGACTAACTAGCTAGTGTGACAGGGGTTTCATACCCCTATCAAACTAAAAGTGGACTAGTACCTACAAGATTCTAGGTACCCTTATCCTCGGAAATTAATCACCAGACATCGGCATTGTGTCTGCAAAAGATGAACACTGTAGCTTGCCTAAACAGGGTGATCGTCGCAGCTAAAAACCCCAAGAATTTCCTTGTAATGGATTTTCAGGAATAATAATAGCTGGTCGAATAACGGCGCACTTAAATCAATCTTGCCCCTACTTCTATGTATTCCATGCAAATCCTGATGTGCTAGTGTTAATTATAGTAGGCCCTTTCCCATAGGAATTTATATAAACTAATGGGTCGCACTCTCTCCCGTTTTCTCGCGTTTTCTGCATCAAACTCCACATAATGGCGGTTACCGCTGAAAACCTTCACGATGACAAGGGCCCTAAGATCCTAGCTGTGCTATGGACCTTGACTGGACTAACAACCCTCATGGTTGTAGCTAGGGTCTACATCCGGCTGAAGGTTCTGCAGAACTTTGGTATGGATGATTATTTGATCGTGGTTTCCATGGTAAGATAATCCGAGCTCTGTTTTCTCTAGCCGAGTCTAACTGGAGCTTGTGTACTAGATAATGGGGCTTGCCTACTGCGCAATCTCTACAGTGGGTGTGAGTGTGGGCTTTGGAAAACATGCCATGTACTTGAGCGAGGATGATCTAGTGATGGCCATTCTACTCAATACAGTCAGCTTTTTGTTTGGGATTCTCTCCTTCACTATTCCTAAGATTGCTGTCACCTCCATGTTGACCCGGATCTTGAATCCCAAGCCAATGCATAAGGCTATACTTTGGACGTTGGTCGGAACCGCAGCTATCGTGTCCATTATCTGCATTATAATCTTGTTCACAATGTGCGATCCGGCAGAGGCATTGTGGACGCCCAGACTTGTGGCAGAAGGCGCCACCTGCAAGAGTACAAAAATGCTCATTGACTATGCTATCTTTACTGGAGGTAGGTCTCTTCTTCAAATATCGGCACTTTTTCCGGAATTAACTCGTTATTTCTAGCTGTCTCCGCGGTTGTTGATCTAACTTTGGCCATTTATCCCACCACCGTTTTATTGAAACTCCAAATGTCTCTACGAAAGAGATTAGCGCTATGTGCTGCTTTAGGGCTTGGTGCAATGTGCGTTGATACCTCTCCTAACTCATGCCATACTACCCAGAAACTAACCAAAATGGCGATAAAGTGCTTCTGCAATGGCGATTGTCAAGTGTACCCAGCTCCACGGACTTGCCGACAAAGCCGACTACACATGTGAGTCTTTCTATCATCCCTATTATCCTTCTAGCTACAATCAAAGCTGACTGAGGAAAAGACGGCACTGCCGATCTTGTCATGTGGACCAAGTAAGCATCTCCTTTCTGGTCTTCTTGTTACGCGATCTAACTATTTGTTCTCTGTTTAGTATCGAGGCCGACGTCGTCGTTATAGCATCGTGCATTCCCACCTTACAACCACTCCTCGAAATGATTCTCGGCAAACGAGCAATGGGCTCCTACAGCCAAGGAAAGAGCGATCAGTTCAAAAGCAGCAGCAATTTTCCCTCCTCATACAATCGCTCCAAACAGTCAAAAACTCACGATGACCTCGGCTTCACCAACATTGACCGAGAGAGTCAAGAAAGTATTCTTCCCACCGATGACAACGGGAAAAATAGCAATAATAGCCATCCTCTGACGCAGATCCACCGCACTGATGATGTGACCGTGGAATACGAATCATCTGCACCAAAATCAGGACCCGGATATACTTCTTGGTGAAGACGCATGAATAATTCATCCAACCACCTCAGCCCATCGAATAATATGTCCCATGAAGAGCATTTTGCTGATGGATATTGCATTTTCGCCGCAAATTAGTGTCCACTGGTTATACAATCACCTTTCACGGATTTCTTTATCTTTTTCAAATGTATACATTATGTACTACTCTTATGCCGGATGCTTGGATTGGGAGTTGGCCATATACTTCCCAAATGAAAAGAGAGAAAAAAATCTTGAAAAAGCTCAACATGTTTAACGTGATTCCTCGTGGCTTATTCGCTTGGTCATCTAGGTTTGATCTAGCGCTTAACTAGTATAGAAAGATGCCCTGACCTAAAGTTCGGGCAGATATACAAATACGAAGTGGTTTGCTGAGAGACATATTTGAAATCGACATGATTCCATTGAGTAATCGAAAGTGATCCCGGACTGGCTATGAAATGCTCCCATAAAATGAGTGTCTTGAATGAGGCAATGTAGGGTCATGATAATAAGAAATTTGCAACAAATGAAAGCACAACGCTGCGCTGCGCCTTTGATACAAATCCATCAGGTCGTAAGTCATTAATGCAAGTTGTTTTTGGTTGTGGGCCAAGATGGAGACAGGCAAGTGAGAAGCCGTTAGTAGCTAGTGTCTTCGGTAAACCTGCTCTTATCAACAGTCTCGACTTCAGTGATCTGGTTCTCATAGCGGTACATCGCAGGTGATTGGAATTGATGCCAGCAGCTAAGCAAGGGTCAGTATTGAATCGCATTCTCGAGAGAAGATATAACAACTAACCTTGGTGCTTGAAGCACGTATCTCGCCATTGCCTCACGGAAACGGCCCTTGTACTCCTTGGGACTTGTGACCGTTGGTCGATTACGGCCACCGCCAGCGAATCCTTTGTCCTTGATCCAGGACTCGAGTTTCTTGTCCCAGGTGTAGGTGCGGATACAGTCAATGATCCCTACCACCAGTTCATTGCGGCTTTCATCGATAGCGATCATGAGCGAGTAGTCCATGACGTCTTGACGACCTAAGAAGAGTGTATCATTCCATACGCTTTGGCTAAGAAGCTTCTTTGAGTGCTCGCGGGCAAACAGAGGTGTCTCATAGATGAAATCCACCATGTTTTCGTCCAAGAGAACCTCATCCCGTTCACCGGTGCTCTCTACTTTGCGGTTTCGCATCGAGCCTTTCAGATCAAATATGCGCGTAGGGACACGGTCGTAGAACAAGTTCTCCATTAGTAACAAGAACCAATTGAATTCTGTTCCTGTGACTGGATTCTTGATGATGACTTGGTAAAAGCCAAACATCTTGGCGATTGCGGAAGGGAGTTCATGGAACAGGGCCTCGGACATGATTTGGAAATAGGCCGGGGCAAATTTGAGAAAAGCCTGCGTTTCAATTGTTGAGAGCGATTTGAGAATGAAACGGTCGTCAAGGGTCTTCAGGAACAACGATTTTGTCTTGCCACCTTTTGAGTCCCACTTTGCGCACCGAGACAATGACTCGACGATTCGATCTGCCACACCACACTTTTTGCGCAGCGCATCAAACTGCTCGGCGTAGAACACTTTGCAAAGCATCTTGGCCGGGCCTTCTTGGAATTGATACTTAAGGTGTGTGCCCGTAGGTCGCAAGAGAGCATGTTCGACTCGTGCTTCATTCGTGTCCTCCATGTTATCTCCGGCATCTGTTTTGTGTTCTTCCACCTCGTCAAACCGCTGTTGAATGCTTGAGAGTTTTTCTTTATAGTCGGAAGAGTCCAAAGCGAACGCTACCAAAGAGCTTGGTTCATCTTCGCGAACAATAATATTGCTATCAGCAAAGACATGATCTAGGACAGTGAGTGGATAGTCAAGAGACGCCCACCCACTTGCAGAACGTTCAGACCAGAAGTTTGTTAGCATTTTCAGAAGGTTATGACGCTCATGTTTAGGCAGTTCTTTGAATTCACTTGAATCGTCCTCTGGTGAGTGTTTGGGCTCTTCATGGGAATCTACCGGATGGAGATCTTCAACCATGTTTTGATCCTCATCACTTTGGTGATCATCTGCTTCGCCGCTAGATAATATTTGACTGTCAGGACAGAGTGCACTGTCTACTTCCGTAGGTTCTGGGGGAGAATCATTTGGCAGAGAGGGCTCATCATGAGTTGTATCATGATTCCTAAGTTCATCACTTTTGCGACTCATGTCGTCCATTGGGATCCGTGGAGCCGAGGGCAAAGATTCATCACTATCGACCGGTGGTTCGCGTTCTTCAACAGCCTCTCGTACGTTTCGATATACCTCTACGATGGGCTTCGAGGACGCCAATGGGAATGCTCGGGAGTGAGTACCCTTTGCAGCACGTTGACGCCTTTCGCGCTGTCGCTCTTTTTCGAACTCACGACTCAATTGCTCAAAATGCCTGGCAAGATTGGAAACCTGCGAGATTCCCCTTTTACCTGGAGCAGACCGTGGGATAAGCGACTGACCCGATGCAAATCGGGCACTCTTGAGGGAACTAAAGCCTAAACGATCGCTCAGCTTTCTATCCGATGACTTTGTTGGTGATTGGACTGCAGGCTTTTCTGGATCGATTGGATTGGTGAACGCCATTTTTAACCCTGCAAGTGGAATGATGTGAGATGATCGTGGTAGATTTGCCGGCTGAGACTGGGTACGCAAAAGCGGAGGAGATCGTGTCTTACCGGAGCGTCGAAAGCCTGGTTCGGTGGGTCTCGGTATGGCTGAAGGCCGACGTACTGGCGTACTTGGCATGTCAGAAGGCCCGTTGTCTTCGGTTTCATTCTTGGTTCCTTGATCGGGAATCTCAGAACTTTCTGGTGGTGATAATTCCGATGATCCATCACCGGGGATCATCACAGGGAGGTCAGTCTTCATTGTAGATTGATCCGGAATTTCAGCATGGCTGACGGAAATGCGTTCTGATTGACCAGTTGGAACAGCCAAGTCGAGATGGCGGACTTCTTCTTGTGATACAGCCTCATCCTGGGGAGAAGACCTCGTTGTACCGGCTGCATCGGCCGATAAAGATGCTTCATCGGTTGAAGCTGGAGGTGAGGGCAACTCTAGTTCTTGGAATTCCTCGCGGTGCTTTTTGCCAGAATGCTCCTCGACAACGGAGACCAGTACATCCTGTGCCTTTTCCGGTGAAAGTGTCATGCGTCGCATCAGCGGTGGCCTGTCAACTGCCTGGTAGTTTTCGTCTTCAACGTCCGTAGGAGTCTGAAGGGCATCATCTGTAGAAACCGATGTTGCATCTTTGTCGAGGAATATCTTTTTGAGTTGCAGCGTTGCCATATGCTTGATATCCTTTTCGGATGGGAAAAAGTTCATCTCAAAATCAGCAAATGTTGTATCCCATTCGACAACCTTTTCTTGAATTGCACGAAGGACTCCATTCAGTGGTATGACCTCCCAGTAGCGAGAACTTGTGTATTTGTCTTGTAGGTGCCGAACCAAAGTGCTATGGTCTTCATGACCTTTCTCAATCAAAGTCTCAATTTCCGCCTTGCAGCTCTCTAGCAGTTCGGGAACAACACTCTGGACGTTGATGCCTTTCAAACGGTCTTGAACAGATGCCATGAATTTGTTGAGCCGTTGTTCGGTACTCAAATAGACTTTGTTCCTCAGCTTCAGGTCGTTGTCTACCTTCCAAGTAACACGAGGACGTGGAACGATAATCTCGAGAAGACGAATAGAGTCATACTGGACTCGCAAAGCAAGACCACTGTAGCCAAAATAGTGGAGATAATCCCGCCGCAAATCATGGGCGCAACCCCCAGTACGAGCAAGCAAGTCTCTGCCCCAGAAGGACAGCTCCAAGTATTTTGCGAATGAATATTTCCATGTGCTCCGCGACATAGGGATGACTTGAGTTTCACTGCCGCAAATTTTGCAACAGCTCCACATCAGCACGGCATTGTCGAGCCCAAGGAGCTTAGAAGGATAAGGCTGGACCAGGACGCTGATCTGAGCCTCTCCATGGACATACTGGCGGTGGTGTTCGAACATGCGCTTCTCGCAGCCGTTGACGGTGCATACAGAATTTGCTGCGTGACAAAGGTCCTCGACATACTGCCCAAGGGCGAGATCTGATTCGAAGACCATGTTATCTCCACGCTCATTGTAGAACTCCAGGGCAAATGTATCTGGCCCTAAGCAGGGGACTGATGTTGTTGTGCACACAACACTGTAGAGAACGACTATATTTTGATGTGAATAAGGGTCAAACATGTTAGAGTTCCCCGCCACATAGGCTTCCCACTGGCGTTTTTGGGTTTGATGGTGATAAAGTGCCCGATCGTACTCGGCTTCATGCGCAGCACGCAATACTTCCTTGACTTTTGCTGGGGCATCTTGTGGTGATTGATCGACCATCTCTGGGGTAATGAGGACAAATTTCTGCGGTTTGGCTTTTTCATCGACGATCTGATCAGAGTTGCCGTCTTTATCACGAAGATATTTCAAATACGAAAGTCTGCGTTCCATTTCGCGAGCACGTGTCAAGAGATACGGAGCCTCGAATTTCACGGAAGGCGAGGTCGACACAATCTTTGTCTCGTAATCTCTAACCATATCGTTATAGTATGTCGGCATTGGGATGTTGTCTGGAACTTTCGCAGCATCGGTATCAACGAGAATTTGGCTATCAGAGGTATCACCAAGTTTCTCGTTCGTTCCCTGTTGAACAGTAGATGGGTTGCCCAGGTGTGCGTCGCCTTCATGAGTGCCAATCTGCAGATTGAATTTCTTGTCTTTGTCGGCCACGAGTGTTGACTCTCCTGTTGGCGAGGTTGATATCCTTCCAAATTCATCTCGTATCAAACATGTTTCCAGGCGGAGATTGTATACAACGTAGATCATGAACTCAGTGATCTGTTTCACTTTCCCGAGGACTTGTTCATCTCCTCCGCGTAGGATAATGGTACATCCGAGCTCTTTTGGACAGCCGGAGATGTACATGTATGTTTTCTTTCGACCATTATGGACATAGGTTTTCACGTCGAAACTGCTACATTCACTATGCAATGTGGCCGTCAAGAGCTTGTCCATAGATGTCATAATTCTAGTCTGCGTACATCTCGACACAGCCTCGAGAACAGATGCCTTCACGTTGTATGCAGTGGCGATTCCGGCTTGCTCGAGGAGGCCAAGAGCCAGGCCAGAAACAGTTTTCTCGACCAACAGCAAGTTTGGACGCAGTGCTGAGATCCGACTGACCAGATTCTCTAGAAACTCACGCTCCTGTCGAATGACAGGTTCGAGACTCATAAAATGTTGTTGCTGACGAGCATATTCAAGGGGAAATGTGATGATCAAGATGTTTGGACGTAAAATGTTCCGTGACATGCCTTTCAAAGCCAAATTTTTGGTGAAAACGAGACCCGATACATAAGAAGTGTCGCCAAGCCGTCCACCCGGAATCTTCTTCACTTTGACGTAGTGTCGAATGTCCATATCATCCCCTTTTTGGACATCTGGATCGACCTCATCTGCTGCTTTCAAGAGTATTGGCATCAACGCATTTTCCCAGCCGTCACCATTTGGTACAGCAGATTCTACAAGCAGTTGATGGAGAAGCTTTCGTACGTGTTCCAGACTGGCTTTGTTAAATTCCACCGGTGGTGCATCATTGCCCCTCATTGATGAACTCCGAGTCATCTTGAAGCCGACCTGCTTTGAGCCCTCGGGTAAAGATATAGCCGGCACTGAGGTATCATGAGGAAGCATATTGTCCTTTGATGTCCTGGGTGAATGACGTGGTTGATAACCACTAGTAACGCTCATATTTCGTCGACGGGAAAAACGAGGTAAATTCACAGCTCTTGAACTGGTGATACTGGCCTCGTCTGCATCTCGATTCATTGTGGGAGAACCTCGATCTCCAAAAGCAGATCTGCCTTTTTTCATGGCAGCGAGAAGCCCACCAAAGGATGCCCTCTCACTTTCACCCCCACTCTTGGACAGAGTACCCTCAGACACTGCAGACAAGAGACTAGGTTGTTCATCGCCGCTGGATGCATCGTCCGAGAGATATTGAGCAAGATCAGGGTCAATGATGTTATCTCTATGAAAGGCAGGGAGTCGAGATTCAGCAGCATCAATGTCGTCTGCATGTCGGCGTTGGAAGGGGGCTCGATCTTCATGATCTGGCTTGAAGCCCCGAATATATTGCTGACGAGAGTGGTGACGTTTGTGATTGATGGAGTGTGTTCTGCCACCCAGTGAGGACCGCAGAGAGCGCGAAGAGGTAGGCCGTGGCAGAGGGCGATCGGAATCAATTTCAAGAATTGCCGAGCGGCTGTTATGTCCCTCTCCAGCACGTCGTGTGGCCGGTATGGCCATCGTGGGGGTTTTCAGAACGTGATCGATCGATTGAGATACAACTGAAGATGAATCATCATCATCCGCAGATGTCCGTCCAGTATTGGTCCAGCTGAGTTCACTAACCCGGGGGTTGGTCACTACGGGGCTCTGCTCGCTATCGGAAAACTCAGATGAATCATCGTCGTGTGCATCTATCATCTTCTCGCATGGTTTGCAAACCCGAATACTTCCAGGCTGTCCGAATCGTGTTCCGGAAACAAGCAGAGTGCATTTCGAATCAAAGATTTGACCGCAAATTCGACAGTGGTGTTTTCTGCGAAACGTCGTGAAAGGTTCTCCGCAATGAAAGCAGTCTTTGGCATTCTCATCCCGCATCCAGAAATCCCTGCTGAGCAGTTTACTCCTGAGCTGCGACAAAACATTGTCCCCGGGAGGTTGGCGCCTGGCTTGTAGATATTGACCATTACCCCGATCGAGTGAAGTGTTCAAAGGGGACAAAGAAGAAGAGACAGTTGTGGTAGTTTCAGCCGTGGAGGCCCGCGAGATCACATAGCCAGGCAGTCGTGCTGCTCGGGTTGAGGATGTTGACTCTTCATTGGATCTGCCTGGGGCTCCAACCCTTGAAGGCTCATTGGCGTCGGCACCGTCACGAGGAATAGTTGTCTCCATGTTAGATGGGAGTTTTTCAGAATTGTATGGTACTTCATCACGAGAGGAAAGCCTTGATAGACTGTTCGACGCAGAAACTGAAGCTTTCGGCTCTTCATACGGGAAAGATGTTCGTGATTTTGATCTTTCTCCCAGATGCTCAGATATATGGTCCTGAACTGGTTCAGGTTGCTTAAGATTTCGCATATTAATTGATTGAGAGGAGTTCTCGGGCAGCTTTTGTTGATCTGGAGTAGAGACGGACTTCCGAGACTGATTGTCTGGAGTATACGTTGCCGAAAAGAGTGAATCTTTGGGGTTGTAGTCCTCATGGTGACTGTCATACATCTTTGCTGACAGAATTGGCGAACTAGAAAGGTTCTGGCTCAATGAAGAGGATGTTTGACTTGTGGAGATATCCATAGGGCCTTCTTTGCTGCCGATATTTGTTGGTTCTGCATTATGGCCTCCCTGGAAGGGGCCATTGACGGAGCTGCTTCTTGAACGGTCGGGGTTTCCGATGACGTTCACATGGAACTGAGTGACTGTAGGATCTGCCACACTGGCGCTACCAGTGGCTTTCGTTAATGGTGCGATACAGGGCTTGATTCCAGCAGATGGTGAGACGGAGGCTTTTGACGATATGCTACCATTTTTGGAGGATATTCTTGATCCCTTTCCTACGTTCGATTGTTGTACAGAATCTTGATGATGGTGAAAATCTGACACAACAGGCGAGTGAAGTCTTGATCCTTGTGACGAGTTTGGCTGCGACGGTGGATAATCAGCGGAGCTTGTGGCTAGCTCTGAGACTGGTTTTGCCATTAAACGCTCCGACATAGTACTCTTGACTGCAGGAACTTCTGTCGCATTTTTGTCTGTAGACTTTCCACCGCCACTGACAATATCCCTCACCCCCCCGACGGACGTCCTAAAGCGACTATATAGACCGCTTAGTCCACCTTGTAATTCGTCAGATAGTCCTTTCTCATCCGATGTAGCAGCCGGAGCCGGCGGACTAGTGAACTCGTTGAAGAGAGTGAGCGATTCAGACTGATACGCTGCATTATGGTAGTGATCCAGAGCTGCATTCATCGATTCTCGTTCAGTCTGAGTCGTGGCCATAGAGTCGCGTGATCCACGTCGCCCAAGAGGAAGCGAGTTGGAAGACGCAGATGGACTACATGAGTCCTGGGACTGCTGAGAATCCATGGCCAAGTTGGGCTAAAAGGTCTCAGATCATCCCCGCACAGCATACAGGCACCGTTTATAGCCGATCATTCGGGGGTGGAACAGCGGTGAGGTCTCGGGTTTTGCGAAGTTAGCGAGTTTGGAAGAAGGAAGGGGATCGAGGGTCCGAATAAAAGTGTCTCTCAGGGTGGATCAAAAAAACTTCTTTTACAAAAGAATAGGTCCTTCCTCCGCACTTGGAATGACGTGGTGGTGCTGAGTAAGCTAGGCGCGTCTCGCGGGCAGGGCTCCCTGGTAAATCGATAAGACGCGGTTGAGTGGATTTTTGATACTGTGCGACCCTTCTCTTTTTTTTCCCCGACATTTGTTGTGGGTAACTACGCCAGGACTACCTATACCTACAAACATATCACCCTCCATTGCCATTACAAGCTATGATCCATATGGTGTGTGCTGCATTGATCACTAGACTGGGTTCGCACGATGAGTCCAGTAAGTCCCTGGATCGCGGCTTTGGCCGACCAATGTCTCTCATCCTACCTCGGTCAAAATGATCAAGATGAAGTCGAGGTGAAGGATTTTGATGGATGCCTCATTTTCAGTATTAGCAGGCCCACAATCAAGTCGGCCGTTATTGTGTCGGTAAGATATCTCCAGCGGATGCTAAAAAAAAAGAATTGTTCCTAACTGTATCTATTTTGCCTATTAGTGGGAACAAGGAGAAAACAGTCATCGCGCTACATTTACAGATAGCATCAACCAGATTGATGCGATTATTCTACGTGACTCGCCGGACATACAGGAAGCAACCGATCTCCCACCGTCAGTCAAAGGGGGCACCAGGCACCTGGTTGAACTTTCCGATATCAAGCTTATTTTTACGTACTCAGCGCCTGCTCCGGATGTCTGCCTTCACGTCAATCGCTTTACCATCCACCGGAATGCGGTCTTAAGAGGGGATGTGCCGAAACCAAAGCTCAAGAAGACAGCGGCTCTCAGAAGCTTGATGACTATGACAACCGAGAAGATCCGAAAGACACATGGGTCTCCTGGCTCCAATAGTCAAACTAATACCGGACCGACTGACTCAATTGTTTCTCAGCGCGATCAGCCCATGTCACTCCCTCAAAACAGCTCGGTATCACAGTTGCCCTTCTCCCAACCCCCGTCTAATATGCTACATGGCGCACTGAAGGGTGACTCAATGGCCAATCGGGCCTCCACCAACGGATCCTCCGATCTTCTAGGATTGCTCGCGCCATCTCACCGAACCTCAAAGAACGACGCAGCCACTAGGGACCTTCCCTCGGTCAATGGGTCATCCCTCGGTGAAAGTACAAGCCGGCGCTCTCCCTCAGTCAATAGAAAAAGGTCAGTGGTACTATAATAAATTGATAGACACCTAACCGGAACACAATCGTCATTCCGGAGACTATATAACACAGTGCTGATGCGATGCGCGCTAGTAAATCTGCTACCAATCTGTCTTACGCCTATCTCAGTCAAGACGTGGACAACTTGATAGCAGAGTATGTGCCTCGGATTGTGCAATCTCCAAATGAGTCGGATGATCATGACCGGGCTCATATTGTTGGAACGGGGGACGACCAGCTGTTTTCGAAAAAAAGACATCGTGGCAGTACAGATGCGCCATCACAAGCGGCTCACGATGATAACCTGGGTTCGCAAGGGCCACAAGGCCCAAATACATCACCCTCCAAAAAGCGACAGCGTATTGGTGCTGGGGGAGTGATGCCGGCGGACCCAACTGAATCCGAGCAAGTGCAAAACAAGCCCGTGGCGTCACTTCCTAGGGTGCAGATAGTAAGCACCAAAGCAGACAGTATATGCCCATCCTCAACTAATCCATGGGAAGGAATGACCAAAATACCTTTGAGCGAAGTTGATATTCCAAAAGACCAGGCAGAACTTTTGGAAGGACTCAAATGGATCCCTCAGGATCCCGGTGTATCAACATCTCTATGCCACGTACCACCTCATCTTTTGACGCAATGGAACAAAATTGCACGAAGCAGACAACATTTGGCAGAAAAAGCAGAAGAGGAGGAGGAGGAGCAAGTTCCTGAGCGTGCCCTTACTCAAACCCCGCCAGATACACCAGCATCCCGAATATCATGGTCTCTGTCCCCCGATAGGACCCCTGCCCTAGATCTTCTTCCGCGGGACACCGCTTCTCCCCCAAGATACATAAGGCCTACCCGAAAAAGTCCTACACCACGAGGCACTCAATATAGCGTTGATAAATCCATAGAAAATGTCGATTTGGGCATGGTGAACGGATCCTACAGTGCTTCTTCTCTGCCAAGGCAGAGGGATATCATTGTGTCAAAGGATAATATCGAAATAACAGGGCAACGGTGTTCTCAGTCTGCTGAACAAGTACCCACAAAACCGAAGCACCCATTGTCATTGGACCATGGTCCGGGCGATGACCCATCCCAAACTTCAAAATCGCTTGATGTGGTCGGTGATAAAACCCCAATTTTATCAGAAGAGCATTCTCATGATGAACAACCCGCCGAAATTTTCCCATTTAAATATGAACTGCGTGGCGAATCAAGTGGCGATGAGAGCGACGAGCCAGAGATGGAAACATATGTTCCTTTCGCTCTCGGGGGTAGCATTCCATTGAGCAGTCAGCCTGAGCAGGAGCCTACTAGCTCTGGGCCATCCCTTCCAAGGTTTGCAAGGGGGATTATCCAGGTGGTGGAGACACCTGCAGTTCATACCGCACGTGTCATCCCTGAGAATCAAAGGAAACAGAGAGCTGTATTAGAGCTTCAGAGCTCTCAGCACCCATCCTCTCAGGCTGCCAAGACATCATCTTCATCTCGAATTCTCAATACCTACCGCTCGCAAGATAGCCACGGGCAGGGTAGCCTATCCCAAGAGGCACCAAATCCGTCTTTACCGATAGTGGAAGACACGTCACTGGGAGTGGATGTTCTAGGTACCCAGACACAAACGAGCAGCGTACATGCACCATCACGGGCGATAGTCCAGTCATCCTCAGACATTGTACTTGATTCGTCGAGACCTGCTCAGCGACAGCGTGGCTCCTCAATCTTCCATCTAGACCCCTCTGATGACTCGTCGTCTTTTCCATATACCAGGTGTCACTCGCTGCCCATGTCTCAACTTCATGAATCAAGCCAATATTCTTCGAGGGGACCTCTTTCCTTCGACGGAGCCTCGCAGTTGCCAGAATTCTCCCTTATGGAATTCACCACCCAGGTCGCTGCTCATGGAGAATCACTATCCAAATGTTCACCCCTTCCGCGCCACAAGAGTGCCGATACTGGCCAACAGGCATTTCCCAGTCCAAATATCGAGTTAGTAGCACGCCGGCAGGGTTTTATTGGAAAGTCCGACGAGTACGCCGAAGCACAAACGATTTATGAAAAGTTTTGTGACGACTATTCGTCGTATTCTGGTGATTTCACTCATTTCACTGAGATGTGCTCGAAACTGCAGACAATGCGACAAAGGGGCCAGCTGCAACGGTCGTTCCTGTGGGATGATTTCATCATTCAACAGTTAGAGGAGTACCCGCGCTATTTCGCAGAGCGCACATCTCAAGAGTCAAAGACAATGGATTATGAAGATTTCTTTTGCTCGGAATTCTCACGTCCCCGGCACAAAAAGAGAAGCCTAACAGCCCACGGAGTTGAATCAGTCGCGTGTCAGTTTGCTGCGCCTAGCAGTGCCGAAATAGGAAATCTACCAGTTCCATCTGAAGTTGCAATCCAAGGCGAGGTAACCCGGGATAAAGCGATGCAAAGTGAAGTGGCCAACACTTCTTTCACAGCCAGTCTCGTGAAACAGGTTTCTCGCCTCCATGCTCAGTGCTCTGATGATGTTCCTGTTCTGGGTGTCTACATGCCCACTGCAACGCAGTCATCGTCATTCTTCTCTGCAAGCACCGATTCAGATTCGTTGGAGATCAAAGTTGAAGCAGGTGATTCTTTCCATGAACCTGTCGGTTCTCAAATAAGCACGAGCAGCAATGATCACAAACTTGTGCTCTCCACTCCCGATGAAGAGATGATGGATGCAACTCAATACGATGCAGACAACGTCCGCAATACACCTGATCCGGACGATGTCGACATGGACGAAATTGACGAGACACAGGCAGGAGATGATAATACCTACCATGAAACTGCCAGTGTTGAACTTGGTGAAGACAGTGACGAGCACCGCATATCTCCCCCTCCCGCTCCACCCGTGGCCGTGGCCCTCGGTTCTCTGAATGCCGCCGTGCCCGAACCGCCAAGGCAACGAAGACCCTGGTTCCGATCTATTCGGAAAATGTTCCCCACAGGCCCTGTGTGGTCCGACGACCCGGACACGCCATTTAAGCGCTGGGCTCGTCAAGACCAGAACGTTCTTCAGGAACTCAATCGTCGCGGTGGAGCTAGGGTTCTCGTTGATGAGAAGGGCGTGATTCGTCGACCGACCTATAACAAAGGGAAGAACCCCGGTCTCTAGCGATTGTAATCTTTCAGACACTTTCCATTCAAGCATTGTATTTCTATTTTCTACGGGCCAGGAACTGGCTCAGTGCAACGGCAAGGAGTACGCATAACGACAGATACCACTTCATTTCATGCTTACTCGAGCAAAGGGAAGGAAAATATGGGATGGTGTACTATGTATCTTATCTTCAAATTCAGCTTCAAATTCAGATTCGTGTATTTTTGTATAATATCCTCTAACCTCTTAGATGTTGAGCCAGAAGACCTTAGAATCTCTTTCCTATCACTAGTAAATGCCAAAAGTACGTCCATAGAGAAAATGTCCAGATAAATTATATTTTTTATTTTGTATTTAGTTTCATACAGTTTTTGTAGAGACACTAAATGAATGCATTACAATAGTAGACCACTCCCGAGGTCGCTCGTGAAATACGTGAGACAAATTCCCATACATATTCACTTAGTGTTGAAGCCATTCTCACTCTATAAACCTCTATATCCACCTAATAATCCCTGGCGTTTACACTCTTTGTATCCCCATATGGGTAGCTTCCAATTGCATTTATCAAATGCGGTATTTATAGTAGTTATTGGCAGTCTCTACCATCATGAACTAATTGGACAAGCTAGTTGGTTCTACCGAACTGGAAAGATTTAAGATCCAGATGTTATTTGTAGATGGATTTTGTATTTGACTCAATTTGCAGGCAAATAGATACTAATTAATGATTCCTCCGTAGAGGACCAGGAAAATATACAGAAATGCAAATGTTCCCTCCCATAGAGACCACAGTCTCGTTTTGCAAAATGGCATGATGATCATCAAAAACTTAGAAAAAGGACATGGTCATTAAAAGCATCCAAAAAAATCACGAGAACGCCTTGGTATCGCCAATTTAAAATCGCTTCAGAATGAGTGTACAGTCATAGAGAGTTTGCAAACTCTTTAGGCATGACGGTAGGGCTCGTAGGCGCTCGACTGCTGGTTGCTGTGGGTCATGGGGATATCATTGTGGTGGTTGGGGGCAGGAGGGTAGGAGGTTGTGTAGCCCTGCTGGGGAGAATAGGGCTGGGCACCGAAGGGAGGGTGGGCGGCACCAATGGGCTCATAGGTGTAGGGAGCCTTCTCTGCCGTGACGCTGTTGCGGTTGCGGCGGTCCTTGTGGCTGTAAGGCGAGCGGCCGGAGCAGCAGCAGGTGCTGAACATCCAAAAGATAGTGGCACCCAGAGAGAAGGCGACTGCGAACCAAGTTGCGATGTAGATATTCTTGCCCATGTCCACATCAACACCATAGACGTCGAGGGCTGATCCGAGAGTGCCCTTAGCGATGGAGAACATGATGGTTGAGGTAAGCGACGCGCCGAGAGTGAAAAGGAACGAAACAATCGAGACGATGGTGGTGACGCAGCTGCCCCAGCGACTGAAAATAGCGAAGATACCAACCAGGATCTGGACGCAGGTGGCAATGAAGGCAACGAGGTAGGCAATGAACATCCACTTGGAGACGGCCTTGTAAACGTTCATGGTCTTCTTCAAGCCGTCACCAAGCTGCTTCTCAAGCTGGCTCTCGCTCATGCCCAGGACCGAGGATGGGTTAAAGTAGAACTGGGCCTTGGGCTCTGTGCAGGATGAGACGGTCTCCTTGCCTTTGGTGGAATTTCCCTCGCAGTAACCCCAGAGACCAATATCGTAGAAATCAGCGATGTTGGCATCATCCTGGAATGTTTTGATAGTCGCTGAGATCTCCTCTGCAGTGACCGAAGTGATATGGGCATCTTTGAGGCGATTTTCAACTTCTGATGTAATCGCGGTTCCTGTACTGATGTTTGACAGGTCGAGCTATAGATTATTAGCATTAGCGGGTGTAGGAATGATGTAGAGTCTTTGATCACTTACGCGAATGAAGTATAGATCATTCAAAGTATCAGAGCTGGCTTTTGTGCAACCTAATCCCACCATAATGATGCATATTAATGATGCGATGGTCAAGATATAGGGCGTGAAGATACACGCAACGCGACCGGCTTTTCCCATGATGAATTTTGGTATATTGATGGAAAAGATAGGATAATGGATAAAGAGGTGAAAGATGGATGAGTAGTGGAGAGCTGAGACTGGGGGAAAGACTTTAATATAAAGACATGATCATCCCCAGTAAAGTAAACAAGTACAACGTACAGCCTCACAAAAAAGAAACACCAGCCTCCCATGGAAGGAGGCGCAGGATCAATTGGACCAATCAAGGGCTGAGCGGTCACGTCGCCAGGGCCACGCCAGGGCCACGCCAGGGCCACGTTTGCTTCTATTTGTGGCGACGCTAGTCCTATTCTGGTCTAGCGACATAGTCCTTCATCTCGTCTGTTCCCTACAAAGCCACACAATCAACACAGTCAGATCAGTCAGAACTACAGAGTACGTTGAGAGACATTTGGTTTATATACATATCATATTCTATCTCCAATATCCTTGAGGATTATATACATATCAACATTGTAATGTACATACGGAATTCAATCTACCGTCCAATCCATCCAGGATCATCATTCCAGTGGCCAAAACAGATGATCCCAACCCCGAGACTCGTCATTCCCCTCTACTCTGAACAGCCTTGTGGGTCATTTTCAAGAATTTCCCTCTCCGCCTCCAAGACTGCGTAAGCCTGGGTATGGAAGGCCGTTGTACAGAGTACGGCATCGGCATATCAGGCTCCCCCATTTCATTTTTCTCTTGGCATTATCTCGTATCCTTTCTCCACTTGCACTCCGCTGTCTCTACGGAGTACTTTGTACAATTTTACTTTGATGCCTTGTTCTATATTTATTCTCAGATAAACTTCTCTGGATCTGGGATAACCCGCTGAACCTGACTACTGCGCTTGAATGTTCCAGGACCTTTTTAGGCAAGACCACGCGCTGATCTACATCACCTCTCAGCCCGATCGAATGACATATGGTCACAACTGATATATGAGCTATGGCCTTCATTGTAAAGTTCGATCTTTTCTTTTAGTACCTTTTTAAGAACGGAAAAACAACAATCAAATATCGAATATCGAATATCCCAACAACCAATCTTGATAATTCACATGCTACTATGTTCGTACATGTATTCGCCTCAATCCACAGAGTTTACACCAAATATGGCTCAAGTGTCGACATCATACCAGTGTACGCCGCTCCAGTGGGAGGCTCAATGCTAAACATATAATCACCCCACCAAGGTCCAGCAGCCCACCACAATGCTCCGAGCCAGACGTCCGAGTTTTCACCAAGGTAATCAAGCATGCCTGTAACTGCAGCCTTGCAGTCATCATTCACACCACCGGCAAACTCGCCGATAACACCAACCTTCTTGTTATTCTTGAGCCACTGTGTGGCATCCGTTACGCGCTCTTTTCCAATCGTCGTCGACACACATACCTCGTTCGTGCCTGATCCGTCCGAGTCGAGGTACTGGTGCATCTCATAGACGATCTTGTCTTCGGGATCAGTCAAGTCCTTCAGGTTATCGTTCACGTCGACCCAGGTCCACGCGCCGGTCCAGGAGTTGCCCTCGACGAAGATGTATTGGCTTGTTGCCCCCGCTGCGCGGATGCCGTCAATGGCTGCTTGGTTGAGGTTTAGGACGAGGTCTTGATCCATGTCGTGGTACTCGTTGTCTATACATGATTTGGTTAAAAGGCGGCCTGTGATGCGACCAAAATATTTGGGATACTGACTTGTGTCGAAGATGACTAGCTCATTCGAAACGAATTCCCCCGCAACATTCTTCCAGAATGTCTGGAAGTCGGAGGGGCTTGATATGATCTCGTCGTTGCTGTGTATATCTATAAGCTTGATTCGTTTGCTCGTTGATTTGATGCAACACTTACTATCTTCCATAGTTATGCGGATCAAGCACGGCGTGGGATCCTGCATCAGTGATGGCTTTGACCGTCTGTCACTAGATCAGTATCCACTCGGCCCCATTTTCGTACATGCAGAACATACCGCGGTCAGATTGCTTAGATAGGCAGCATCGAACCCTCCTGTGATGGTGCCCGGTACCAGCCGTTCCATCTTGAAGGCAACCCGGAAGATGTTCATTCCTTTTTCAGCCAATGTTTGGATTGCACTGGCATCGGGGAAGTAATAATCGGTTCCCTATCCCGATCTTTATCAGTTGAGATGTTCCGAAGACATACATGTTTGGCCCACTCACATAGACGCCAGGGATGTTCGTCTCGCCAAATTCAGCTACTGATTCGCTTGTTCCGAACCCTATGCAAGAAACTTGGTCAATGGATGATCAGAAACATCTTTTGAATTCATGGGCTCGAACATTGGAAGGGTGAGGCTCTCTTTGCATTTTTGGAAGGAGCGGCTGCTGCAGATCCAGCCACAGCAGCAAGGAGGGCAATGTGATCGAATCTCATATTGATAAATCAAGCTGTTTATTGCATGAGACAAACAGATCAAGTCGAAACCTTTGAAGAGTGATGACAATGCAAAATAATACCAGCAGCGGCAAACTTGAGCATTTTATAGTTCTAAAATGTTGTATATCATTGCAACTGGTAGATCCCAACCCGAGTACCCAGACGGACATTAGAGATCTACGACAGAAAAGGACACGGAGTTTCATAGATATTCAGTCCCTGAGACAAGAATAGGTTTCTGACGCCGAATAGGTAGGATGCACAGCAACTTCGGATATTACAGTGCCTAGCAATAATAATCCCTCACCAACGAGAATCTACGGAATCATGGATTATGGTGAGAAATAGTCCTTGGCGTACTCATACGAAACGGATAGCCAGGAAGGTAATGTCCCCGAGTCTTCAGACTAGAAGAAACATGATCCGTGACTAGGAAGAACTATCTACTGTACATCATACATAACCCATACCCCGCTTCAAATTTTCTTCAGGCACAGGTGGATTAAATATGCACCAGTTTGTTTCGAATTTGATATGTTGCAAGCCCGTGGCGCTTCAGGTATCGATCGGCAGTTATAGTTTCTGACGTGGTAAGTAAGATCATACTATATACTTTGTACGGGGTTGCGGGGTGCACCATGCATCATCACTCTGTGTTTAATCATTTTTACTAATTTTTTGAAGATTCAATGTGTAATAACTGATGAAGATGGAAAACAAATTCGAGATCGAGTGAACGTGGCAAGTTGATTGCAAACTGAAACAGGTACTACTGCGCTCAAAAACCCTGATATTTGCTCGGAAAAAACACTCGCCTTTCAAAAAAAGGCCAATCTATACATGACTATCTGAATCTTGAGCCTTACCACCCCTGGCTCTGCATATAATTCTCCACCAGGCCATGCTGGTCAGTCTACCAAGCACCGAGAGAGTGTATATGCTTCTTCATATCCGCTGCCTGCAGCTTCTGATAGGCATAACCTGGGTGGTAAGAATTCCACCAGACACAGGAAACCCCATTGGAATTGACACAAGTAGCATCGGGGAATCCATATGTTGTAGGATCATCGAGGACCTTGGTCATGAAAGCGAAGCTATCGTAGAGAACGGTTGTAGTCTGCAGCTAGATTAGTTGTGCAACATCATAGATATAATCAGAAAAAAGAACATACACCGCTGTTGTCTGCGATGAATTCATCAACCATTGTCTTAAGGGCAGCGTTGAAGGCCGCGAGCCACTCAGCGTGGCCGGGCGCATTGTTGATCTGGGGAGACCGGCTTGTCGGAGGGACATTGAGGAAGAGGAACTTCCGTCCCCCATTTGCATAGAGCTTTTCGGCCTGGGTCTTATACTGGGCCATGATCTTTGGAATCAGGACACTGGCGTTGTTGCTCGAGTAAGCCCAACCAATGCTGTAAATTGAAGAGTTAGTCTAGTCATTAATGGGGGTCTAGGGGACCATACTCGTTAATTCCAATCCAAAATCCAAAGACTGCATCATGCGAAGACCATGGTGCAACAGCAGGCTTCTGGCTATATGCTGTCTCAAAGGTGGCGACTTGCGTTACCATATCTTCCTTGGTACCGGTTAGGACGAGGGAATTGTCGAGGGACGCTCCTCCAACAGCTAAGTTGTAGCTGAGGACTAGTGAGGCATTGTACTCAGTAGTCAGGTATCCTACCCAGTTGGGGCCACCAGTGGTTGTTCCGGTACCTGTTGATTTGATCAGTTAAACCTGCTTGCCAGGAGCGAACAAAACTTACCCAATGTTGGGTTCCCCATTGGGTTGTCAGCAGTGGGCTGCGTGCCAGTGGTAGAGAAACCGGTCTGGGTGTAAGAATTGCCACTAGGGACGTCTTTTAGCTCCTTTCCTAATCGGCGATGAATAGGGAGCAATCATCACTCACAATGTAAAGAAATAAGTGTTTGTAGCGCGAGCGTGCAAGGGGGCAGCAGCAGCCAGCCCGGCCCCCGCGATCATACTAATGAGATACTTCATGACGAGGAAAGAGGAAAATGTGCAATACCAAGTGTAGCCTGTTGGAAGGAAATTACCCATTCATAGTTCTTTCCTTATATACATGTACTCGTCGCTTCATTTAGCCTGTCTTATCCCATTCTCTGAATAAACAAGCCCTAAAGCCGAGACAAATAAATTAAAAAAGCAGAGACTATGTCATTCAATCGAGCGCCTTTGTCAATCATTTCCTCAATGAGATCATGCCGACTCATCCATATTAAGCTGCATATTTACGGTGAATTCCCCGAAACTGCGGGGTAGATGGTAGGTATGGAGTAGTATTGCAATACTAAAGCTATTTTGGAGGAATTGAGTACGGAGTGTACGGAGTAGTTCGTCGGAATCGATGGCCCCAAGATACTATATTGTCCAGTCTTATGGCTTTTCTCTGTTGAATACGTATCCCCCACGCGGCAAGAATACATATCCTTATTTGCTTCCATCTTCCTCTTACCCGAGTACTCTCTGCGGTCTTCCCCTTGGCCGGTGGGTTTCTGTCGTCATCCTCTTGCTCAAATTTGTGGTATTACATGGTGTGGTCTTGCATAATGTAGTTTTGCATGATGTAGTATCACGTGGTATCATCTATGTTTATATTGTTGCATTCAAGTCTTATCTATATGCGACATCGAATCGGCATCATGTACATAATGGCCGACCTGATTCGGCAGCGAACATCTCCATACCCACACCGCACACAACCAATCGCAATTGATTTATATCCGACCCAGACGGCTGGTTCTTTGCGGGGAGGCCATTTCCAGCCCCATGGATAAGCCCCAACGATGATATGTCAGCCACAGAGCTGTATGTATCGAGTAAGAAGCCCACGATCATCCCTTGCGTACCAGGCCGTGTAGGGTCCACGGTGATCGACCATATCTTGACTCGGTGGTCGTTGCCAGATGATGCCACGGTGATGTTAATGGATTCTACGTTGGATGTAACATCACGAGAGATTTGCTGATTTAGTACTTTGATCGTGGTAACTGCCGCAGCGTGAGCATCGGGGATAGAAACCGTAGCGACCTGTGCATTGATGCCGGTCTTCAACGGATTTGTCCGTAGGAGGGACACGGAGAGAGAGTTATCATCACCCCCAGCCACAACAACGGTGGCTGTGTCGGAGAGAGGAACCAATTCCATCCCCTTGATGCTGTTGGAATGAATCTGATATCGGTTTTCGCATGTGATATTTTCTGGCGAGATGGAAGAACCATCGAAGGGGTGTTTGGCCTTCAAAGTGGATTGTGTGATTGTGTAAAATGGTTCAAGTGTGCTTGTTAGATCCCAGAATGTGAAGTAGCCATCAGTTGCTGCGGTGATAAGGCTCACAGAGGAGTCCCTGACCAAGAAGTGGGCTTGGGTCAAACAATTCGTCATATATTTCCCTCGAGCTAGGAGAGTGAATTGGCCTCCATTAGATGGCGAAAAGTGGAAGATCTGCAAGTAAGTTAGTGTTGGTTGAGGTATTTGAAGGAAAGAACCACCCTTACTTTGAAAACGGAATTGGAAAGAGCAAGGCACAGGAGGAAACACTGCTCCCCGTCAACGCCCTCTACTTCCAGCAAGTCGAAACTAGGTATCCGGAGATCTGAATGCTCATCGTCCTTCGGACTGGCAGCCATCAATTTTGTAGCAATGCCGAATTTGGGAATGGTGCGCACTCTCCACACGAAAAATTCTTCGTATGCAGCGCTGGTGAATAGGTATCTTCCATCCTTGGACCAAGTCACCTGCTGGATCCCAGACTTGTGTGTATCCAAGACGCGTAGACACTCAAAGCTACCCCATGGACTAGCAGCCAATGAGGGAGTCGGCGTGAAAATACGAACAATGGTGTCCTCTGCACCAGTCGCAAAAAGAGGCCGATCCCCACTGGTAGGATTGAAAACATCCATCGCTTTAATTTCCCGTCCGTGGCCTCCAGCTCGAAGCAAAGTGCTAGCACCAGCTCGTACACGAGTAGTCATCAAAGAGACCCCGTCTTTCCACGTGTATAAAGCCTTGTTGTTTTTGTCTCCTGGGATGAAGTCCCAGGCCCGGCGGAAGCCGCCTGAAGCAATGCATACAACATCCGTCAGCTTTGACTCGTTGCGCAGGATGAAATCCTGGGATCTGAACCCGTACAACATGAAATCGCCAGTTTCTTTATCGAAATAGGCACCTTCAATGTTTCCACCGGTTATAGATGCTGTACGATGCACCGTGTGTATTGATAACGGATCCGTTGCGTTCCCACAAAGCTGCAATTCGTGGAGACAATAAGTCCCATCTCGCCCCGTGGTCAATACAAAGTCTGATTTTGTGGTATCACTCGTAGTAGCAGATGTCACGACGCTAATGTGATTGACGAACTCTCGGCCATGAACACGTCGGTTGACCAACACAGGCTCAGCCTCGGAGGTATTGTATATAGCAAGGGCACCGAGTTTTGACCCTATAACCAAATATTGGCCATCGAAGATGAAAGATGCACTGCAAACTATGAATGAAGATGGCAGGCTAAAGGTGGTTATTTCGGCACTTGGATGATCGCTGTTATAGTCAGAGACGTTGACAACTGTTATTTCTTCTCCACTAGGATAGCAGACGAGGAAAGCGATGTTGTTGGAAGGATTCAAGATATCCATCTTAGATGTGTGAGTTTGGAGAAAGAATATTCCAAGGGGTCTGTTGCCAACGTCTACGATGTTGACGACAGATTTTGTAGCGTGATTATAGAGTCGGACGAGTCCTCGATAATTAACAATCAATGCTAGACCCATCTGGGGCAAAGCAGTCATGACGGCAAAAGAAGTAAGATCAGGTGCTTCGCATACTGTCTCCCAAGTAGTGACAGTCTCCTCTGCTTGATTGAGGTATCCAAGCTGGATCCGGCCTTCCAAGGACGTGCGAAGAAGGCAATCCTGGGCGATAAATCTAAAGGATTTTGATCCATCAGCTGCGAGATGCTTCTTCTTCGCCTTTACTTGCAAGCCAGTTAATTGCTGCAAAGAAGCATCAGGTCCACTATCCAAGTGTTCATCGTCATTTTCTTTGATGGGAAAACTTTTCAATGCACCATCTGCCCCTCCGGTGTAGACCACAGTCTCAGAACCAATTCTGCAAAGATCCAGAGACCAAATGTGCTTTCCAATGTGTGTTTGTATTGAAGAAGCCTGGCTGAGCCGATAATCAGTCGTCCCGGCGGATGATGAGTGCCAGATTAGGTCCCACAAAACGCACGTGCAATCCTCTCCACGAGTAACCAACCCCACATGAGTTTGGTTATTATTTTTGATGGCCCTGAAATAAACACCCCAAATGCGAGCCGAGTGAGCAAATGCCTGGACCACACATGACTCAGATCCAACACTCTCCTCGCCTGCCTCAACAGGACCAAAGCCTGTACTTCGCAATTCAAATCCGTCTGTGGAGTATGCAGAAGGATCTTGAGCTGTTTTGTGCTCGCAATCAGATATATCCCAGATTCTCACAGTCCTATCGTCACTGCAGCTAGCCAATATCCTACCAGACTGGCCTCCATTCAAGGACGGAATCTTGGGAGAGATGCGGACACCGAATATTGATCCATCATGCCCCGTGAAGAAATGGTGGATGGAGCCGACTGCATTGGCTTTGTGTGACCCATTTTGATCCAAGAAACATGACCACACGATGATTTCTCCGAAGACTGTACCAGCGGCAATGAGGACATGGGAAGAAGACAGCGCAATCACATCGGCGGAGTAGAGGATAGACTTTACACTTGTCGCCAGTTGATATATGGATATAGTATTTCTCTCCGGAATTCCACTATCGAGCACTTCGAGACTCAGAAGTGCGTTGTTCGCGGTGATGAAAAATGCCCCGGAATGGCCACCTACAGCAGTAGCGCACCCACTCATTATCCAATCTGGAGCAGTGAACTCGGCACTACAGACTGATAACATGACCTCATTGTCAGAGGCCAGAAACATGTTGACAGCTCGTACTGAGCGGCCACCCCAGACGATTATTTTGACATGGCTTGAATCAATATCCTCTTGATTCAAAGTAATGAAACCATGAATATTGTTTCTTTTGAATATCTGGATTTGAGTGTTGACAACACCAGTGGATTCATCAACCACCCGGAAGAATGTGCCTTGGCTTTGAAAGATGAATCGTCTATCACCCAATACAAACGTCTTCAACGCTGTTATCGGGAGAAAAGCATCAACATGCTGCAATTTGAGTCAGCGGGACAGCGTTTTGACTACAGATATGGCAACACTGACCTCGAGTGAGAGAGACATTGCCAACTTCTACGCACATTAAGCAGAGAAGGGAATTATACGTAATGTCTCAATTACTTCAGATAAAAACGTACATCCCACCAACGCCCAAAAAAAAGCCCACTACTTTTTCGATGATTTCCCCAGTTTGATTACATAACACATACACTAGTCCACATGCGGTAGTATCATTCACGTGATCTCGCGATGAGGCGCGGGAGCGGAATGGGGCTCGGCGCTCAGTACTCACGTCACTACCTGACGAGTTCTGTTTCGCAAAATTAGCCACCTGCGAGCACTCTGTTGTTACATATGGACTCTCTCTAAAATTCCAGACCTTCTTAATACCGACTGATGATCTGGTACCCCTTTGACTAGCCATGGGTGTCACCGGCCTTTGGACGGTCGTGCAGCCCTGCGCTCGCCCCATCAAACTCGAAACGCTCAATAAGAAACGACTAGCTGTCGACGCGTCGATCTGGATCTATCAATTCCTGAAAGCGGTACGAGACAAAGAAGGCAATGCGCTCCGAAATTCTCACGTCGTTGGATTCTTTCGTCGCATATGCAAGCTACTATATTTTGGGATCCGGCCCGTCTTCGTCTTCGATGGCGGAGCTCCGGCCCTAAAAAGGCAGACAATCGCTGGCCGAAAGAAGAGACGCGAGGGTCACAGAGAAGATGCTGCAAGGACTGCGGGAAAGTTGCTTGCCGTCCAAATGCAACGCAGTGCGGAGGAGGAGAACGCTCGTCGACGTAATAAGACCCAGATACAGGAAGAGGAAGAGGTGCCAGATGCTCCGGTATATGCGGAGGAAGCTTTTATGACAGAGACAGAAAAGCAACAAAGTCGCAAGTTCAAGAAGAAGGATGCGTACCACCTACCTAAGCTAGATGTCTCGCTTGAAGATATGGGAGCACCAAACGACCCACGCATCATGTCCCAAGAGGAACTGGAGGAGTATGCTAGACATTTTCACCAGGGTCAAGATATCAATCTTTACGATTTTTCCAAAATCGACTTCGACAGCATGTTTTTTCTTAGCCTGCCCGCCACTGATCGCTATAACATCTTGAATGCAGCGAGGTTAAGAAGCCGACTTCGAATGGGCTATTCGAAGGAGCAGCTAGATACTATGTTTCCCGACCGCATGGCATTCTCGAAATTTCAAATCGATCGTGTCGCGGAACGTAATGACCTTACGCAAAGATTAATGAATATAAACGGCATGAACGGAGAAGAAGCATTTTACAAGTCCGGGCAGCGCATCGCAGGAGAACGTGGAAGGGAATACGTGCTTGTCAAGGATAGCGAACATGAAGGTGGTTGGGTCCTAGGTGTTGTGGGAAATAGGGAAGGCCACGAAGAAAGGCCCATCGATCTAGATCGACCCGATATACTGTCCGAGGAGGATGAGGTGTCGTCCGAAGATGAGTTCGAGGATGTTCCAATCGAAGGTCTCAACCGACTTCCCAAACTTCCTTTTCTTCGAGAAGGTGTATTCGACCGATCGATTCAACTTCAAAGGGACGAAAATTCAGACATGAGAAGGGCTATACAAGAATCTCGCCATGCTGCGCAGCGACAGCCAGTAAATGAACGTCGTGTAAAAGAGGTTGAGGATGACTCGCTTTTTGTTGCAGCCGAGGGAAATATTGGTGCACAGCAGCAGAACAACGACACTGATGAATTCTTTGAAGGCGACGACGACGATCTCGAACGAGCTATTGCCCTTTCTTTACAACCAGATAACGTTGAAGATGAATATATGCCTGACATACCCATTCATCGACCTATCGAACCAGCTCCACCTTCTGAGATGGCGCCAGATCTTGATTCCGAGAGCGATGATGGAATGGACTTTGCTGCTGCGATGGCAAAAACAAAGGTCCCGAAGAAAGCCACATATGCACCAAATCCATTCGGTGGCCCTCTCCCGTTTGAATCTATCAAACTCACTAAAGTCACAAAAGATAATAAAGCTGGCGAGGTTGGTGAAAATGCAGGGGGTTTCGTGAAGGAACCTGCAAAGAAATCAAAACAGGCGGACCCACTTCCTCCATGGTTTGTTGGTGAGCCTTTGGATGCGGGATTCATCGTTGATCCCATTGTAGATCCTGAAAATGATGAGCAATCTGCAGCGCCAGATCATCTGTTTCTCTCTAACCGTCGCTCGCCAGAAATTATCGATGTTGACGAAATATCCGCTACTAAGGAAGTTGTGGATCTAGAGGAAGAGGAAGAGGAGGAAGAGGAATACGAACAGCAAGACAACAAACCCGAACACGCCTTTCAAATGAACGATATCGAAAAGATTTACAACGAGCTTTCTACAAATATTGATGAGAAGCCTTTGAGCGAACCAGCTCCACCCCCGATCAATAAAAATCTTGATGAAACTTTACTTGAGCGCCCTGGAACACAAATTCAGGAACAAGTACCCGCGCTTGGAGACCAGTCTGTACGCAGCGAACATTCTCCTTCGCTAGAATTCGAAGATGTCCCACAGCCGCCTATTCAAGGCCCCGAAATCACAGTTGTATCCCATCAAAAGACCCAGCCCCAGCCTCAGCTCTTCGAAGAGGTTGACCCGGAAGATTTCGTGCAGGAACAGGCCGACTACAGTGACCCGGAGGATGAAGATTTGTTCAAACAGCTTGCAGCTGAGGGCGAGGAGCATGTGCGCTTTGCCAATACTCTTAATCATGCTGCCCCCAATCAGGAAGCCTTTGACTACGAGCAAGAGCTGAAGCAACTACGATCTCAGCAGAGAAATGAGCGTCGTGATGCAGACGAGGTGACTACTATTATGATTAATGAGTGTCAACAGCTCTTGACGCTCTTCGGATTGCCCTATATCACTGCGCCTATGGAAGCTGAAGCGCAGTGCGCCAAATTGGTGTCACTAGGCCTTGTAGACGGGATTGTCACGGATGACAGTGATATCTTCCTCTTCGGAGGAACGCGCGTCTACAAAAACATGTTCAATCAAAGTAAATTCGTCGAGTGCTACTTGACGTCCGACTTGGAGAAAGAGTACGCCCTCGATCGACAGAAGCTTATTAGCTTTGCCCATCTTTTGGGCAGCGATTACACAGAGGGAATTCCTGGGGTTGGTCCTGTTACCGCCCTAGAGATACTCACCGAATTTTCTAACCTCAAGGAATTCCGCGCTTGGTGGTCTGAATTGCAAATGGGTACAAATAATGCAGAATATGCTCACCTTGCCTTCCGGAAGAAATTTCGAAAGAAGGCATCCAAGATCTTCTTGCCTCCTTCGTTCCCTGATACCAAAGTTGACGAGGCATACCTGGAACCCGTGGTTGACACCGACCCTTCCCAATTCCAATGGGGTGTTCCCGATTTGAATGGGTTACGATCCTTCCTCATGACCACAATCGGCTGGAGCCAAGAGCGGACGGACGAAGTTCTGGTACCGGTCATTCGCGACATGAATCGTCGAGAACAGGAAGGCACACAGTCCAACATCACACAATTCATGCAAGGCCCACAGGGCGCTGGTGCATTTGCGCCTCGTGCTCGTACAGGCGGACCCAGCCGCATGGAAAAGGCATTTAGTCGACTACGTCAGGAAGCTCAGACAGGGAGAACATCACTGGGCGACCAGCCAACTACCGGAGGTGGGGAAGGAGAAGAAGCCTCGGCTTCACAAAATAAAGGCAAAAGAGGTGCTTCAACTGCCAAGGCCAAGGCTAGCACGAATAAGAAGCGAAAGACCCGTCCCGCCAACTCTCCTGAATCATGATTTGGAGATTGGTGGAATGAGATTCTTGCATCAGCAGCATACACATATGTACATAACAGAAACGGTCATTCGTCACCATTGTTTGAACGCCTTCGATCCATACACAAAAATCTGGCTTAGTATTATCGTATATGAAAACAGTATATAGGTGCGTGAGGGGATGGGAACATTGAATAATGATCAATTATTCCAATACAGTCCTATTGAAATCGCAAAAAGAAGACAAAGAGACAGCTAACGACTAGTCTACTCACTGATGATCGCTCGAACAGATGGACAAAGAAATGAAGGGAACTAATTCTGATCGAACTAGGCAATCTTCAGGCCTTAAGTAATATCTCGATTTCTACCTAAATATCCATCATACCTCTTTGTTCTCCACACGAATGATCCTCCATTCTTATCATCCATCTTCTAATTTTTATACCATCATCTTCAATGACACCTTCTTAGACATTTGTGGAGATGGGTTACTCCCGGTGAGAAAATCGTTTTCGTGGACATTTCGAGCGTTAAACTGTCACTCGGGTGGACTAAACTCCTTCTCTTCTTGTATCTCCCTATCTTCTCCTCAGCGAAGGGGCTGGTCTGTCTAGAATCCCCTGCCACTGTGCCTGTCATGATCTCTTTTCTCAGGCGATGCTCGTGGGTTCTCCAGCCTGTTGAAAAGAAGGGAGCTACATCTTACTGCTGCGCACTTTACAGGCCCGTGCTAATCATGGAGGTTGAAAAATCTACACACCAGAAATTACCTTATCCTGTATAAATGTAGCACATAATCACTGAAACTTGCTTCTTGAGCTTCATCATTGGAAGAAAGTCAGAAAAGAATTTATGAAAAACTCAAGATTCCGCCATCAGAATCTTGGACGCCTTTGAGCCTATTTCGTGCTGTTTGATGTCTGGACTCATAAACATCCATCCACTTTGATACAATGCTTATCTATCAAGTTCAAACGGCTCATGCAGAGAAAATGATGTGATTTACCAGGAATGTGTATGGCATCATGATATCCTTCACTCATACAGTGCACAATAGAGAGTAGGTTTCAACCTTGCAAATTTTCAATAAGTTAATTTCTAGAGAGAAGTGGAGGTCGAGACACAACCAATAATCATAGTTTAGCTAGCATGTTAAAGAAACTGAGATGGAAATAGTTAGGGAATGAGAGAGCCGGTTTGGCGAAGTTAGGGATAGCACATCCTGGATACTTTTAATCACCCATCTATCAACCTCTTATTTGATTTCCTATTCATACCCATAGCTTTTCTAGAAATGTAATGGCTTTAGTACACAAAAATACCCTGAGGACAAAACCTATCTACCATAGACAACCCACAAATCGATATAGGTCATATGTAGAGATGGTAAAGAGCATAAAGGGAAGCATCTCGTTTACATATGTCCTCAAACTTAGCAACCAACTATGTTCCCTCTTTTACATTCTTCTTCGGACTGACTTGCCTAGTATCATAGTATACATCGGGATGCATACCTATAGTTACATGTACAGTGTTTAAGTAAGTGCGGCGGAAGATCAGAGGAAGGAGCGTTCTGGTTCTAGAGTTTATGAGCTAAAGAGTTTATGAGCTAAGATATAAATGTTGTGATGCACGTGGAAAAATGATTGACTTGTCCAAACACGTTTGCCTGGCAAGTATAAAATCCTTTGCTCGCGCGTTCCTTTCTTCTTCCTCTTCTTCCCCTTCAGCTATAACTACTTTCCGACACTTCCGTATCTGGACACTACATCCCCAAGTCCATACAGGGTTATGAAAGGTTAGAATAATTCTTAAACGTGATTAGCTTTGATATGATATACTCACTAACTGTCTCTGTAGGCAGAGGAACTGTCGCGGGGATAACCACGACTTTCATGGTCGAAGTCCCTGCAGGCAGAGGAGCTGTCGTGGGGAGATATAAGACCTTCGAGACTTTCAGGATCGAAGTATCTACAGGCAGAGGTGTCTCTATCTTAGATGATCGGTCGCCTTGGGCTGAAAAAAATCTCCAATCACCAACACGCACTCTCTTGTCACAAAGCTTGTGCACATGATTGTACAGAATCTTGACCCTATTAGCCGACTGAATCAACTCTGGCTATCCTGCCAGGCGTCGGGATATGTACGTATGCAAATACTTGTCATATTGTCTTTTGCATCCGCCGTTCCATTTCCCCCTCTATCAAAGTTCAGTCACTGATAATCTGTTACCACATTGGAGTAGGCTTATTCTAACCCCTCTTGATACCGACAGGTGATACTGACCTTCACTTCTTTGTATTCAATATAAGAAGTGCTGGTCCCATGGCCCCATGAACCCCCTCCCCCATCCTATACCCGCTCTATTCGGGCCCTGCGATGCGACTACCAGCATTCCTGTATTTGCGCCACAGCCCACAGGCTAAACAGCAGGTGCCGCATCCCCCGCCAGCAAAAGCTGTCAACATTGCGTTAGTAAAAGAGAAGGTGTCTCATCTTGCCCGGCTGCATCACTTGAGGCTAGTGCTTGGCCTTCCCACGACCGCGGAAGACACTTGGTGAGACACAATCACCCTTTCAAGGATATGCATAGCGAAGGCCATACACTGACTGAGATAGCAAAACCGACCACCAAGGGAAGTAGAATATCTGACAGCATCTGGGATGTGAGCTGCGCACGTCAAACACCTCCCTCTTCGCGTTCCTAGACAAGGCGACTTCTTGGAATTTCGGTACTTGGACCGAGTGCGGTGCCCGACCAGCGAAAATTTACCTCAAATGAGGAATGATATCTGGCAATATCGCCAATTGTTCTGGGGATTTACTGTTGGCCAAGGATCGGAAAACTCGATCTCCGAGGAACACTTGGCATGAGACCAGACTAGGTTGCAAGGTCGTTTTAATAAATGCCTTGGCCGCCCAGTAACATCTATGACCATTGATCATAGCGCTGCTATGGCGGTCACGGGCGAGAAAAAATCGCCATGGCTTTCAGATTACGTCCGCTGCCACGATATCAGATTGCGATGTTTTGAAGCTGGCGATAATGCCAGACTTCGCCAAGTGATAGGTATGATGCACCCCATTTTCACTATTTACATATAGTTAAATATACTAATGGTTATACTATATCGTACAGGACAAGTCGCCTGCTATGTGCGGGAGCTTAATAGCAATCATAACTTTTTGTCAACACATGAACAGACAATATTTCTTAGGCAGGTTGATCTCCGAGCGACCAAGGATATGAGGAGACCAGACCGGGCTGCAAGGCCGTTTAAATGAATGCCTTGGGTGGTCAGTGGCTGTATTGCTTCGGCTCAGTTCCAGTCTACTACCACAAACCCTCGGCGGTTTATGCAAATTGTCGGCTCGGGCTCCGGCAATGCCAGAAACAAGCGCGGGTGTGGATACTGGATGCGAGGTGGAATCTTTCGGTGCGATGAACCTCGCTAAAAAGGGACGCATTTGCGAATATCGACCGATGCACAAGCTCATCCGGATCCCCAGCTTGGTCAACATTGACACCTGGGACTACGATATGGACTCTTCAGTCCCCAACATGCTGCGTTTTGCTCCAGTACACGCCACCTTCGTGGAAGAAATATCTATAACAGACCATGTCTAACTCTCCGAAGTGGGAGTGACAACAAGGCGGGAAATAGCACACAATTATTGGTCGACAAACGCAGTCGCATGATATCTAATAGTGAAAGGTCCTTACACACCTCACGGATGATCCTTTTCCGAGAGCTTGGGATTTCCTTCTATTCCTCACGAAGTCGACGTCTCTGTCAAGGGAAAATGGAAATCGACCAGGGATCAGCGCTTCCTAATTTTCATTTGATGCTTAATTTTGATTTCATACGAAATTCATCAGGTTTACTTGTAACTCTAGTTCTTTTGTAAGGTACAGCCATGCGGGCGGAAATAGCCAAGGCCACATGGGGTTCCCCACGAACAGGCGTTCCAGCGATCTCGCAGCGATCAGTGGAACTGGGCAATAGTAGTTCTATACACTATATATAAGCATATATATGCTTACAGTTCCTCCTAAGGGGAGATCCAGGCACTCATCTATGGTTACTATAATATGTAGTATAATAGTATATAATAGTACCCTGATAATATAAAAATGCAACCTCTTCAGTCCATGACATCAGGGGGAAATTCGATGACGTCGGCGATCGAGGAAGACTGCAACTCCAAGATCGACAATAATACGGAGTTCTATTGGCTCAAATAACGAGCTAGCAAGTATTTCTTGGTCCTTTTTAGTGCCTCTAGCGCCTTAACTAGTCTAGTGTCCAAGACTGTCTTATTTTTTTCCCCAAGTCCGCCCAATCCCGTGCAGGTTCCTCGGGCTGAAATAGTCGACGTCACATCCCGAGAGCTTCCAGGAGAACTTCACTTCTTCGATACTCCAGGACTGCCATATAATTCTCCCCCTGTCCGTTTGCAGTGTTCATTTCGCCACATCTTGGTCAAGTGCGTACTCCAAGAAGAGAAAAAAAGAGATCCCCCCTCTTTAAACTCACGTCACTACTGCGCAAGGCACTGAAGGTCTTTTTTTTTCTCTCTAATTCCTTTTCTTGCAGGAACAAGAATCTCTATCTACAATCTTCTTCCTTTTCACAACCTTGGAATTTCACTTTGCAAACCATGCATCGCACCTATTCCATGCGCCAGTCGCGCGCCCCGACCGCATCGCAGGTCGAGAGCCCACCACCACCATTGTCCACAACAAAGACCGGGAGATGGCTAGGGAAAGGCGGGATCGGTGAGTGCGATTGAGATTTCAGCGATCGAATTCGACGACTGGAAATTTCCTGAGGGGTTTCACCGGTTTGGAGGCTGCCTAATAATTGGGCCGCTATCGACTCCCTCCTGTTCCTCACGGTTCACCTAGGGACGGCGACCGAATTGGAGACCACCAGTCGTTGGAGAGATCGCTCGCGGAAAAGTTGAGAAATCAAGAAATTGAGCTCACTAACATCCTGCGACCAGGCCATGCTTTCCGCAAGAACGCCGCCGGTGCCTTTGGGCCCGATCTCGCCAAGAAGCTGTCGCAGCTCGTCAAGATGGAGAAGAACGTCATGCGCAGCATGGAGCTTGTCGCCCGCGAGCGCATGGAAGTCGCTGTATGTGGATAACCCCGAATTTGTGATAAACCAGGAACAAAATTGGAAACTGACTCGGTCGCTATAGCAACAACTCTCCATTTGGGGTGAAGCATGCGATGAAGATGTGTCGGATGTGACGGACAAGCTCGGCGTGCTGATCTACGAGATCGGTGAGCTGGAGGATATGTTTGTGGACCGCTACGACCAGTACCGTGTCACGATTAAGAGCATCCGCAACATTGAGGCTTCCGTACAGCCCAGCCGAGACCGTAAGATTCTCCCAGCTCCAACAAACTCCCCGAGCAGCCTTAACTAACTCAATCCGTCTCCTCCAGGCAAGCAGAAGATCACCGATGAGATCGCCAAGCTGAAGTACAAGGACCCCAACTCTCCTCGCATCGTGGTTCTGGAGCAAGAGCTCGTCCGCGCCGAAGCCGAGTCCCTAGTCGCCGAGGCCCAGCTATCCAACATCACCCGCGAGAAGGTCAAAGCCGCCTTCCAGTACCAGTTCGACGCGCTCCGCGAGCACTGCGAGAAGGTCGCCATCGTCGCCGGATACGGAAAGCACCTCCTCGACCTGATCGACGACACCCCCGTCACGCCCGGCGAGACCCGCCACGCCTACGACGGCTACGACGCCTCCAAGGCCATCATCCAGGACTGCGAGGATGCCCTCACCAACTGGGTTTCCTCCAAGGCAGTCGTCAAGTCTAGTCTCTCTCAGCGCTCCCGCACCCTCTCCCAGCACCACCGCTCTAACCTCCACAAGAACCGCGAGGGCGTCGATTTGTCTGCACAGGACCAGCCCTTGACTGGGGATCGTGACTCTTGGCTCCCGGCTGACCAGCACCCTAACTACGAGGACGGTGATGATGGAGTCAGCACCATTGAGGGTGAGCTGCGAGGCCGTGAAGAGGAGCGCGACCCCATTGCCGCATAAGGAATGGACGAAGGTTTCCACCTTTTTTTTTCTTCACGAATCTGACGGCTGAAATTACGGGCAGATGCATGGGTATGATCTATCATCTGTACCCTCTACACGTTCCTTGTCAAAAAAATCCCCCCCACCTGCTTCTGATCTTCCATATACTTTTTTTTTTATTCGAGTTGAGATTCCGTGCTATTCTCGAAGAAGACGCACATCAATCACGCCATTCAACTTTGGATCTTTGACGCCTTTTTTCTCATGAACGCCTCTCAATGTCGTGATCGAACGACTATCATTCGTGCTTGGGGGCTGTCCACTTTCTCCATGCTTAGTTCGGGGGGTCTGATTTCTCTTTCTCCACGGAGATATCTGAGGTCAGTGGGATTGGGAATTGCCTGGGTTTTTTTTTTGTTTTTGTTTTCTTATTTTCATCCCCGTGTTTACTTAATTGATGTAATACCATCTTACGTTGACTTGTTCTTTTTTTGGGTTTTGTTTTTGAGGACTAGGATAGTCCAGGGTAATTAAGGTGTTCTAATGAATTGTTTGCAAAAAAAGTATATTACTGTTAATACAAAGTAGTATACAAAAGTACTAGTACATATTGTGATATCGGATTTAGAGAATTGCAGTCTGTGGCGTGTAGTTTGTGGCGCGTAGTTCACCGGGGCTGGGCAGCCTTGCGGGGATCCTTACCCCGGAAAAGTGAGTGTCAATGCATGCATAAGATCCCCCAATGGCGTTCAATCTCAGTGAGCAAATCGCTCTGATATAGCACGCCAGATATAGCACGTCACTCATCACTGCCTTTACGTCTTTGGCTCTATGTACCTGGAGAAAGAAATCTATAGCTGGAGAGCAGTAGGAGAGTAGCAAGATAATTCGTATAGCAATAAACCACATAGTTTATATTGCACGCATTCCAGTCCATAGATAGCAAAGGACAGATGAAACCAGAGAAACAGAAAAACAAGCCCCAGAGCCGAAAAAAAAAAAAAAGATACCAAATATAAAAACCAAGACCATAACGCAGAAAAACAAAATTCGATTTCCCCGAGGACCACAACACCGCCAATTTATCTCCTTTCCCGCAAACCCGGGGAAAGGAAGAAAAATGAAACAGGCCTTCGCTGCACACGATCTGATGGATGGATAAGATGGGCGGGGAGGATGTAGAGAGGTAGAGAGTCTGGACGGGAGATGTATAAAAGATAAAATGCCCGATGGTAGGGAGGCGAGAGTAGAGAGTGATTGGGATTGAAAGATCAAATGAAAGTGCCAGATCTGAAGTGCAGAAGCAAAGACCTTCCCTAGAAGTCGAAAAAGCCACGGTCGGGAGAGCCGGGCAGACGAGAAGAAGAGAAGGGTCGTGACATCGTCATTTGTCTGCGCTCATCGACACCATTCCCATTCTAATAGAGAGAGTGAAGATGAGTGCAGACACCATAGCAAAGCGAGTAGATGGGGGGTGAAAGAGAATGCGGATTCGGTACCGACGCCTTGTAGAGTAAACCGTAGGAGATGATACAAGGAAAGAGCGGAACGACAAAACATGAACGCAAACAAACAACAAAAAACACAAAAAACACAATCTTCCATTTTGAATCATCACTCCTCGGTGCCGACGCCCTTCTTTTTGGGCTGAATATGTTTTTGTCTCGTATTGCCGCCAGGACCTTTTGACTCGAGGGTCGAGCTATCCTTAGCCGGAGCAGACACGCGAGCAGAAGAACCAGTATCATGCTTCTCAGTGAGGAGGTTCTTCAACCAGCGGTTCTCCATCTCGAGCTGTGCAACGCGAGCTTCGAGGGAGGCGTTCTTCTCGGTAGTTTCCCGAACAGTCCGTTCGAGGACCTGCTCGCGCTGCTTCTTCTTCTGACGGAATCGGGCGCTGGCAGCTGTATTTCGGCGACGACGATCTTCCTCTGCGGCACCGCGCACGCCCTCCTCTTGATCGAGGGCGGCGGCGATACGGTCGCCGGAAATCGAAGTGCTGTACTTGGTGTTTCCCATTTGGCCATTGGGCGGGGAGATGGATGAGGAAACATCGGATGGCGTCAGGGCTCCCTGTGCGTGACCGAGCTCGTCGGGCGCATATGGGACTGGTGGGTAAATTGAATGAGCTGAGTAGGGCATCATGTGCTCTGGGAGATTGTAGTTGATGGGCTTCTCGCCAGGAGGACCTATGGATGGAGTAAGCAATAGTCGATATAAGCCCGAGGGAATGAGCCCCATAGGTCTGGAAGTGCAAATCATATCCGAAGGATATAAGCTCAAGGGAAGGGCTCAAGGGGATGTGCAGTTAAGCGTCAGCAGGCAACCAGCCGTTTGCCATTTCATTGCGGGATTGCGTGCTCGCTATTGCAGGCGCTGGAGCACCGACGGTGATCTCGTCCATTGGGGAGATATGCATGCCAGTGCTCCCGTATCCCGGGCATTGTCTCGAGCTTTTAAAGACTCGAATGACATTTGCACATGATTGTGTAGGGGAGGTTTCAGTAGCCCGCTAGCCGGGCTTTTTTCTTTTTTTAAAAAAAACAGGAAAGCAGGCAAAAAAAAAATGGAGAGATTGAACTTCAATTTTCAGACATGGGAATTTCAAGCCCGGAACTAAAGCTCAGACACAAGAGGCGCGATGGCGTAACAAATGCAACGCTGGGATACAAGGTCTCAAAAGCTTGATACGTACCATGATAGGGATAGCCTCGGAGATCAAGAGAGCTGCGGTCGTCTTCTATACTCTCATAGGAACTGACAGAGAGTCCGCCCATGCCTTCGGTCTGATCATAGTCCATACTCACGTTGCCGAACGGGACCAGCCCTGTATCAGCGTCAAATGAGTACTGTCGAGTCTTGGCTGCGGGATCGTGACGCGACATCAAGAAATTGAAGTTCTCAAGTTTGTCAAAGACGGGACCTGGACCTGGCAAAGATGTTTGTTCCCCCATGATGTTGAAGAGGGAAAAGAAATAAAAAAGAAGTTCAGCCCCCTTGACCGTTAGGGTTATGAGAGAGAAGAGGGGCTTTGGCAACCCCAGATCAGGACGGGATTTTCTATGAAGCAAATCAGATCACCAGTTTTTTTTTAAAAAAAAAAGCAACTTTTTAATATATAAATGGCGAAACAAAAGGGTAATAACAAAACTCGTTTTTTTTAAAAAAAAAAACAAATAACAAGTTAAAAAAAACACACTCGGCCACGATCACCTTGAAAAGGTCATCGCATGCCGCGGGAGTTCCAGGACGAATTAGAACTGCAAATGTTGAATTTAAAAAAAAAGGGGGGGCAAAGAGGAGGAAAAAGATGGCCCTAGTCGATGATCTGATACAATGGAGAAATGTCGTGATCGCAACTTGTGGTTCGTCAGTTGGGACATTCACCGCTTTTGTATACCTCCAGGGCTATATAGGGTCTATATATTAAGAATATAACCATATAACTATACTCCGTACATCTTATAGCTTTATAACTTATAAGCTTCTCTATATAGATCAGCTTCTTGGTTCTTTTCATAACAAAGGGGGGCCCATGACACTACATATCCACCCTCGGAACCAGTACCTTCAGAATATAATATGCAGACTAAGTACGAAGTACTAAGTACAGACTAAAACTCGTACTAAAAATAATACTAAGCTGCAATTGTCTATGGGTTGCATTTCATATATTATTCTAATATTCTTAATTGTCTCTGTTATTATTCAGTACTCCGTACACAGATGACGCGGACTGGCCCCGATGTTCAACCCAACGCTTGGCGGGAAGGAAAATCCCCTCCCGTGCAGTCTAGAAACATTCGATCGTCCTTATGACATATGCTGTACACTAAATATCTTATGTTCACGGCTTATTTTTTACGCCTTTCAGCAATGATCTGAGCGGCATCTTCAACCGTCATCCCTCGAACTCGATGCTCCACTCTTTCCTCGCCTAATACAGTATCCTCCGCAATAGTCCGATAGATCTCAGCAAACCCTCCATAAACACCGGCCCCAACGCCATTCCATCCTCCCTCGGCATCGAACGCCTCCCCGATCCCACGCATTTCATCTTCCCACCGGTATGCCTTAGGACTCATACCAATCACCCCATTTGTCGCAAGCGCCGCAGTGCGCGGGGAGTATTCCTCCAACAATGCCAACAACTCCGGCAAAATCGACTCCTTCTGCGCAGTGGAGAAAGACAGAATAGACAGTGCAGTGAGACCTTTTGTCAAAGCAGCGAAGGATAATTTCAGCGTGGATGCAGCGCCAATCCGAGGCGAGACAAGCTTGATATTCAGGACTTTCGCCAGCGTCGCAAACGCAGGGGCCAGATCCACCAATCCCGACAACACCACGCTAGGTTTCTTCCAGGTCCCGTCTTGCGTGCTTTGCGACGGAGGCCCGCCAATGATTCCGCCATCGAGGAAGTGGCACCCGAGCCCTGCATTCGCTGTGGTTGGCTCGAACAGCGCCGCCATCTCCGACGCCAGTCGGGCGGGTACCGCGTTGAGCTCGAGGTAATATAATCTGCGTCGCTGTGACTGGCCTTCTACGTCCTCTGTCGCCTCGCGGAGATTGCCGGTCGTTGGCTCTGCATATGCATCTGCTATTCGTTGCGCTGTCGCCACTGCGTTCCGTGGGGGTACGATCGAAAGTACGTAGTCGGCTTGGATTACTAGTGCTTGATCCGAGGGAAGGATTTCGATTCCTGCCGAATGAATTCGCTCTAGAGTGTGTTCGCTGGTGCCCGTTAGTGCTCGGCGTTGGTCTCCGTTTCCGGAGACCTTACCTTCTGCCCTGTGCGACCGTGACAACGCGATAGTCGTGTGCTTTTAGCAGTCTCGCCATACCTAGGCCCATGTCTCCGATCGACACAATTCCAACTGTAACGGGTCTCATGATGAGTGGGCTGTCTTCTGAGGTCTTAGGTCTTATGATGGATAGTAGGCTTGTAAAGTGAATCGGACAAAACACCGAGTACTTGTATCAATTTCTACTGCGGGGGTACATTTACTCCATTTGTCAGCGGGATCTGACACCTTGGAATCTTCAGTAGAAGGTTGGTAAATTTGTACAATCTTGTTATCGTCGGGTTGTCCCGATTGTCCCGATACACAGATGTTCACTGGTATGGGGAATGACTAGGCCGGGGATTTAAGCTTATCTTCACCTCGTTGCCTGTGTCCTTCTAGAAAAGTCTTTCTGAAAAGGGGTCTTTGAATGCTTTCTATTATTAATCCAAGATGATCATTCTCTTAATTCCTGAAAATCGAAAGATCTCGAGATACCCGTGACAACACAAATCCACTTATATATTCTGAGATGGGCCCTTGGGTATACTCAGGTACATCCGGCTACCTGTCCACCCACAAACAAGAGTCACGTCATTACTATGTAGGTATGTGGATGTCGTCAAACTGCCTCTTGGTTTCATTCAATGAAATTCGGCGATTGTTACTACATACCCTTCCTCTATTCTCCCACATGATCTCGCCTTTCTCTATCGAGATGGATATGGACCATAAGACGTGGATGCGCAACTCCCAATGAGGCGGCGCGATATTCTTATGCGCTTTTTTTTAAACGAGGGCTGGACTTCGAATCCTTATTTCTCTCCCTATCGATTTTCAAGCTCTCGGAATCCAAGCTTTTCAGGTGGGGATAACAGATGACGGGATTCTACAATTTTAACCATGTGTGGAGCTTCTAGGAGGACGATACAGCGCCGGTGGAACTCTTACTCCGCTACAATATAGGCCAGTCAGTTGGGTTGGAGAGAGTGGATATTTGCGTTCATTCATTACCCATGGTTCTATCACTTGCAGAAACAGTCGCATCTATGGTTTTAACATAAATATCTAATAATAATTGCATAGTTCGGTGCCTTTGGCCAGTTTATGGGACATAGGAACCTCAACTCTCATAGAGAAGTCTTCTGTACGGTTTATACCTTTCAATACCTTCGTATAAATCTAGCTAGACATCTAGAAAGAACATTCAAGAACACCTCAGAGTATTCTTACATTAAAAGTCCCTTATATCATCCTTAGCCAAATGAATCAGATTTATAGAGTCCTATATCGTCAAGGACAGAGGCCGCATAAGTGAATATTCTCCTAAGTCTGAATAAGCAACCTTGATATCAATTCTGGTTATCAAAGACAAAGGTACAAAAGACAAAAGTGCTGCGTGTATTATCAGAAGCGATTTGACAAACGTACCTACTTCTACACCTAGGCATCTTGGACGGGGCCGGGCCCGAATTATGGTATCCTCCCATTGGACAGCGTGACGGGCCGTCCGAAGAGTGGCTTCGTCCTATTGGACGATGTCTCGGTCCTTCGCGGGCGATCCGGTCCCGAAGTGAGATACGGCACGGCGATTGGCTAGATGGATGGTGAGTATACTAGGTAGGTAGGTATGTTGTATAGTGAGCTATTCTAGAAGTATATAACTACTGTGGTCAATCTCTGATAGTATAATATTGAAACCACGCTCTTCGTCTGAATATATCGGGTATCTATCCAAAGATGAGCAATCAGAGGGCAAGCACTTCCGACGAGAGCTTCCATGAAACCAAAGACCTCGAAGCAGCCAAATCTACAACCCTAACTGAGCCCTCTCTCAATGCCGATGTTAATAGAGACCCGGATCTCATCACATGGAGCGGACCAGATGATCCAGAGAACCCAAAGAACTGGCCTAAGGGTTTAAAGTGGAAGAATACATGGGTCATCTCCCTTTTCGTCTTCATCTCACCAGTCTCGTCATCCATGATTGCCCCCGCCATGCAAGATCTTGGCAAGTCCCTGAAAATGCACTCCGATCTTGAGGTATACATGTCCATGGCCATTTTCATCCTCGCCTACTCCGTTGGCCCCATCTTCTTCGGTCCAGCTTCAGAGCTGCACGGCCGTGTACGTCTGCTCCAGGTTAGCAACCTGTGGTACCTAGCCTGGAATTTAGGATGCGGTTTCGCCCAGACAAAGTCCCAACTCTTTGCTTTCCGCTTTCTTGCGGGCATTGGCGGCAGTGCCCCGCTCGCAATTGGAGGAGGTGCCATTAGGTTAGCGAAGAATTCAAATCCCTAATAAATCATCTATTCACTGACAGGTCTTGCATATAGCGATATGTGGAGCGCCGAAGAACGTGGCAAGGCCATGGGCGTCTACACCCTTGGACCGCTCCTCGGACCTGTCATTGGACCCATTGCCGGTGGCTTTATTGCCCAGTACTCGACATGGCGCTGGGTCTTCTGGGCAACCTCTGCCACTGCCGCTGTGGTCCAGGTTGCCGGGTTTATCTGGATGCGTGAGTGTCATCCGGCTACATTGCTGCGCAAGAGACGCGACATTCTCATCCAGGAGACGGGTAACAACAATCTACATACCGACGAGAAGGAACAAACGCTTGTCTATAGGCTTCTGCATGCCTTCGAGCGACCGGTACTTCTCTTTACAACGCAGCCTATCATCTTCTGCATGGCCATCTACATGGCCTACCTCTTCGGCGTAACGTACCTCTTATGTGCGACGTTCCCCGTCATCTGGACAGAGGTCTACAACGAGAGTCCCAGCATTGGCGGACTCAACTACATCTCCATTGCCATTGGGTCATTTGCTGGCCTCATCTTCAACCTTAAGCTTGTCGACCGAATCTATAAAATGCTTAAGGCGCGAAACAACGACATCGGCAAGCCCGAGTACCGCATGCCGTCGTTAGCAGTGGGCTCTGTCATTAGCACTATTGGTCTCTTTTGGTACGCTTGGAGTATTGGGAATACACACTGGATCATGCCCAACATCGGGGTGCTGATCTTCAGCGCCGGCACGATCTCTTGTCTGCAGGGCATGCAGACGTACATCGTTGACAGCTACGAAACCTATGCGGCTAGTGCTATGGCGGCCTGCGCTATCTTGCGCAGTTTGTGTGGCTTCGGATTCCCGCTCTTCGCTCCGTATATGTATTCTTCGCTCGGCTATGGTTGGGGCACGAGTGTGTTGGCCTTCGTCACCATGGCTATTGGCTGGTCGGCACCTTTTGCGTTCTATTTCTTTGGGCCCAAGCTCCGTGCCATTTCCAGATACGCCTCTGGTTGAGTCAGGAGATGATTGCAATGTGTAAGAGGGTGCTGGATTTGGCAGACTATCTAAAATAGCTAGCTTTGTGGGTATTGGCGAGAATCCTAGTTAATTCCTAGTAATCAATATAAAATTGAGGTTGTTTCACCACATAGAAGCAATATTACCTGCCTTTGACATCGCTTACGCCTTTCTCTGTAGGTAATATGTATCTTGCTGTATAGCAGAAAAGGAGTTCATGTCTATTTTTTCGTCGCTGTAGTCAGCCGTTTATGCTGGTAAGATATTGTGATTAGCCCACATAGCAGTGGAATGGGCGCTAGATTCAGGCACGGCTAGCATTTTTCCTGTTGCGTTATTACGCATCGCCAGCTTAACCCAGCCATCGCAACCGGCGAAGTAGTCTGGTGCAATGGCTTTGGTTATGCTTCGGAGTGACAATCCCCCGAGGGCTTCTAGTAATGGATAATAGCTCCAGTCATTTAGGGAACTGGCAAACTCCTGGCTGCTTTCTGGCGGCAGAAGTCGCCCACGCTAGTGCCTCAACGCAGCTGATCCCAGAAAACCCAATCTGAAGGGTCGAAACCACCATTCAAATCTAAGCTTGTCCCATCAATATTGCTAAAAACATCAAACCCATATACGCCGTCCACGGTCTTAGTGGTTTCCCTTTTTTCGGCCACGCTCTCCATCTGCCTGCTCGGTTCCGGCTCATACTGGGCACGCAGCGCGAGTATGAAAGGTGGCTCTGGTGACGACTGACTTGGGGGATTCGCAAGCCAGGCCTTGAGAGTTATCTTGCCGATTGTAACGTGCAGGGTTCTTCTACCCTTAACAAGTTCTTCGTGATTTGAATAGACATCTGCAACTCTGTTCCAAGAAGTATTAACCTCCGAGGCTGAGTAGACTCCGACATCTGTGAGGCTACGTAGGATACAGAGAAGAGCATCCCACAGGAAGAAAGCTTGTATTTGCCATCGATACTTCTGCATATCAGGGTTGCTATAGATAGCGCTGGTTGTATCGAGGATTTTTGCTGCGAGCGCACAAATATCCCTCCTTTGCACATCTGTGGTAGTTTGCGTCATCAGCAGCGGTATTCGGGCCCGCAACCTAACAGCATTTGTCGCAGATCGGACGACTCCAGTGGTGAAAAAGTGCAACGGGTTCAGGATATCGCAGTATCGAAGAAATTTAGTCTCGATGAGATCTTCGACCTCATTAATAAGTCTCTCAATGTCCCTTGTATCCCTGAATTGAATTGTGCCACCGATTTCTTTCAATTTGATGCCAGTTTGAGTATAGAAATTGGACAGTTCGATCCGAGATAGGCAGAAAATCATTTCTGTGGCGTTTCTTTGTTCGAGGGGCGGCTCCGTCATACCAGGGAAAATTTGATCATCGTTTATATTCAAGGGTCGTTTAGTATCCCAGCTGTTCGGTGATATAACGATACCAGTGCCGGAAACCTGACCCGCATAGCTGTCCAGCGGAAGTAGTTGCCAAAAAAGTCGTCGTCGCATCTGGACCTCAAAGGGTGGCAGTCCGAGGTTTTCACCGTCACGGTGTAGCCCCATACGTTGGGCGAGGCGAATGGCAATACCGGTCAAAATCCAAAACGTATCGGAATCGATTTGGGTGCGCAAGGCAATGAGGAATAGTATATAAGCCTGTAGTACCGGCATTGATGTCGTTTTCAGCCACGATGCATTGATAAGTGCTTGATGCACAGCGGTGCGATATCTTAACATCAAATTTTTCCTCGGTTCGTTGAACTCTTGCAGACAATCAGCTTCCGATATAGAGAACACGGCGAAATAGTAGATGACAAATAGTAGGCATTCGTCGCTCTTCGAGGCCACGAAAGGTTGCTTTGAAATGGTGTCAACCATTTTTGTGACAGTCGGAATATGAAGAACCTTGCATAGAGGATCCACGTTTTGCACATACACATTCCAGAGCTTAGTTGCATCCTCGTGGCCGGGATGTTGTCCAGTGATGCTCTGCGTGTTTCCGAGTATAGCCCCAGAGATGGTGTGTGCCGCGAGAACTCCCAGAAGACCTGTCGGGGTGCCCTCATCAGCTCCGATGTCCTCGTAGTGGCGTTCATCCTGGTCGGACTCGGATACTTCGCACAGGTCGCCATCTTCAGCATCAAGGAGAACACTGTCAATGAATCGAGTCTTACCGTCGGCGGACAGAAGTTTACCTGAGCTGGAGGGTTGCGGGTCCGGAATTGGGGTTGGGTTCCGTGTGCTGACCGCAGATGCATCCGTCTTCTGGCTGTAGGAGGTCGATGCAGAGGATATAGGGAGAAGATTATTGTCTTTCAAGATGCGCTCGTACCGCGCCAATCGCTCATGTACGTCTTCGCGCTGGCTTCGCTGTCTCTTTCGTGACAAGGGACCCAGATAGACGCACTGGATGTTTGATTTACTGCAACTCGAACATGCCGGCACCGTCTTATCGCATCTGGTTTTCTTGCGCACACAAGCTTGGCAGTTGAAGCGCATTGTGGGCAATTCGTGGCCATGGCTATGTTGGACAACGAAGTATGGTTCCTGAGCCGGCGCAGGAGCAATTGGAACCAGGTGCGAGCCGACATTATTAATATCCATGACTTGACAGTGCCGATGACCTCGGCGCTTCACGGCTCTCGAGATTCAAGTAAAATATACAGGAATACACAGCGATGTCAAGGTCTTGTGAACCATATCAGTAAAATTACTTCGATCCACCATTCAGCAATAATGCAGACCGCCAGATGCAGTGTTGTAGGTTAGTTAATAGGAAGGCAACAAAGAAGGAAGACCCCGCATTGGCTACGGTGTGGAAGGGCATAAATTGGGACTGACAGGGGTTAACATCCCTCCCTACCTAGCTACGTACATATTTCCTAGTTATGCATAGAAATGTCCTCTACACGGTTTATGCTATATTGTTGTAGACTGATAATGATATTCCATACTATCATTCCCCATTCCTACTGGCACCTTCAAGGTTTTGTAGCTAATAAATATTTTTTTCCACATCTAAGAATTAACATCTCATGCACGCATCGACCACGACAGGACAACAAGACAACAAGACAACAAGACGACAACAAGACGACAACAAGAATATGAAATGAAGATGGAACCTTGGAAAAAAAAAGAAACATCCTCAGAAAATTCTTCACTGGATAACAGAGAGCTATCTCTGTAATATAGGTTCCAAAAATTGGGGCGAAGGAGATGAGAGCAGAGCCCCTTCATTCTTCAATATGCTACTGGCGACGACCGGGAGTACCCAGACACGTACAGTCTATTTCCGCAGAGGTGAATAGGAGTGTCTTCCCCGTGAGGGGCGCTTTTACAGAAGGTTTCTCCTAAGACATGCCTCGTGCCATTCGCAGCCTAGCCTGGGCCGCCATCGGAATCCCGACAGAGTCCTCAGGGTTACCCATTTCACTGGACAACAGTAGACATATGTTGAATATGAATCTGAAGCAGAGGAACATTTCAAAAAGTTCAAGGCTACTCAGCAGAGACCACGATGTGCAAGTGTGGAGACCCCGAGTAGTTTAAGAAGGAAGAAGAAAAAAAGAAAAAGAAGTGGGAGGGGGCGGATACTTATATTTACCTTGTGGCTGAGGGTGATGGTGGTGAGGGACGAGTTGACCAAAAAGGAAGGAACCCCAGATGATGGGGAAGGTACATAGAACTTCAAATTTGTTATTTGAATTCCAGGATTATGTCCACGGTTGTGTAATCAACTGCACGCCCACCCTCAAAAGGGACAGAGTTAGTTCCATCCAGATCCGAGATTCGCAACATTGTCCGAACCGGAGTAGAATCTGGTTTGCGTCCCGGAGCTAAATTCTTGTCGGGGCGTTCCGTGCCGGACAGCTGACGGAAACAACCGTGGAAGCCATACTTCACAAAATGGCATGCTGATCCAACCACAATATCACATTTCGTCACCCCCCAACGCCCGCTGGTGTATCTGAAAGAGCGTCACATGGCACAGCTTGATAAGCCAGTTAACCCTCCGATGAGGGGCCGGTTCTTAGGAACTATGAGGACGACGCCGTTGTGAATGAGATAACAACGTATGATCTTCACCACGGGGCAGCAAGAGATATTGCCCAGCTTTCCACTGATAAGCTCAACGAGAGCAAAAAAGTGGCTGCCTTGGCTATCGGGCATTCGCGTAACGCCAGAGACTGTGGTATCCCCAAGTCATATTTCGGTAGAATCAAGAGGATTTCAGACGAATACATGCTCTCTCTCACATCTCTCGCAAGATCTGCGCACCCTCGATTGCACCAACTTCAACAGAAGTCCCTAGTTCGGCTCTGGGTGAGCCCAGAGCTCAGCACTCATTGGTTCTAGACCAGTCTGCCGACAATTCTCATCAATTTGATATGGTCGGTCCACTGTCACATGCTAGGGGTTTTGTGGGTCAGAAAAAGCAGAATTTGAACTTGCCCTTCCAAGGTTATTTTCTCTTTTGTGTGTATCTCACTGAATTGAAATTACGATTCCTAGGTTGTCTATCCTTATGTAGTCTATAATCATGATAAAAGTTCCAGAATATGCAACTAAGCACTTTAAAATATACAAATGTAAGGTAGAAATGTAGAAAGCCGAACCCACATACTCTTTTTTTCAATATAAGGGACCCGAGGTCAAGAGATCCGGTCCGCTGACTAAACACCTTATTCGCTTCCCGAGGTTCAGGCCGTTGTTCCGATTGGCCTGTCTTCCCCCTTCATAGCTGTCCTTCACGATGTCGGCCATTAATAATCTGATTTGTATCTGACCATATAGGTGGGTCAAGATGATATCAGGGGCGTTGTATATAAGTTAAAAACTTCCGACGTCTTTTTTTGGGTTCTATATGTCTTTATATCTTGATTTTCCGGGATATTTTCCCTTCGCAGATAGGAAAAGAAAAAAAGAATAACTAGCTGCAAATATCACCAATGAGAATAATAGCAATAGACCATACTTACCACTCATAATATAGAAGAACCTCTTCTATAACCAAGACCAAACCTGTGGAGTGAACGACCCCGCCCAAGCCCGGCCCACCAAAGAAAGTACCCCGGAAGAGCACAGAGTAACGGAATCCGTGTGTCCCGACATCCGTCCTTGGACTTTGATTATTCATATAATTTTTTTCTCTCTTTTTCTGACCTTGAAACGTCTGGATATCAAGTCAAAATAAGAAACAACGATCTCCCGCTAGTTTTCGCCATTTCCGCTGGGGCCGATTTTTTACGAAGTCTTGGCATATTCATGACTCCCAAGCAATCCACAGTCGTCAGCCACCAAGGCCATGAACCAGTCATTTTCCCAGAGCGCATTGCCCATGGATACTATGATATGGAGAGGACAGCACTTGAGGGTGGGTTTGGCTTCTAGCTCCGAGTTCCACTACCCCGGCGGACTCCGGTTTGGGGGAATCCAGCGTTACTAACGGCTATATAACGCATGTCTAGGCCTGTGAGATGTGTCATCGGAGAAAGACCAAGTGTGAGGTCGAAGGGTCTAATCCAACTTGCGTGCAATGCATGCGCCGTAATACGCATTGTGCTTTTCCAGTCCAGCATGAAAAGCGCGATGATCAGCAAAGGTAGCCATTGCCATTCCTGGTCTGCTTTTTGTCAATCGCAGCTAATGACATCATAGTAGTGATGAGTATGTCAAGTCTTTGAAAGACCGCCTTATCAGGATTGAGTCGTTGTTGAAGACAGCAGGCATCTTGCAAGAGGGTGATATGAGCCATGACGACTTTTCTGAAGATGAGGACGGACCCGTTAGTCAAGATCTCTCATCTAGTCCCAGTCCAAACCAAACCTCCGGGGCGTCTCTTTTCTCAAACGGTGATATTGAGGGTACGCCCATTTTCCGGGCGGACGAAAGAGATGATTCTCGATATTTCGGTAAGATAGGGAGTACAGTCCGATGTGATATAAAACCCGCCACTAACTCGATGGACAGGGAGATCGTGCTCATTATCAATTCTATCGCGAACAGGTATAGAGTGGATTAAGAGCAAAACAGGCGATGTCAGCTTCTTGCGGATTGTATCTCCTGAATCCATTCATGACAATCCGTGGAATCAATGGCGACCAGACGTGTTCCACGATCTGTTTTCCTCGCGGGTTTTTAAGCCATTGCCCTCAAGAGCGGAAGTATTCTCTCTTATGAAGGATTTCTTCCGAACGGCCAACCGTCTATTCCCTATCTATCATGAAGGGTCATTCATGAAAATGGTCGAATGGCAATATACGCAGCAAACCTGCGACGATGCTGCCCGTTGGGCCAACATCAACATGGTAATCTGCCTGGCATACGAATATCGATTCTCAAATGGCGTCAAGTCAGAAAAGGACAAGGAGAAGGCCGAGTTATACTTCAAAAACGCCATGTCGGTCTTCACGGAATTAGCTTTAAAACGCACCGATATACGGAGCATACAGGCTCTGATTAGCATGGTACGTCTCCTTGCTCCTTTGGCTGCTATAGAAGCATCTAACAATTTCTAAAGGCATTCTTCCTGCGAGGCAATTCTGGAACTCAATCAGCTCTGCCGCTTATCACTGCGGCTATGCGGTCTGGTCACCGAATGGGACTTCATCGAGATGTCGCGAGACCGGAACTTAGTCCCGCTGAGCAAGAGGAGAGACGTCGGGTTTTTTGGGTTGCATTTGTCATTGATCAAAGGTAAGAGAGGTCCATCTAGATATCGGTCTCAAATGCTAAAACAATGTTCAGTGCATGCCTAAGAACTGGAAACGCCCCATTACAACATCAAGATGATTTCGATGTCCCCCTTCCGGAAGAATTAGAATGCGATAGGCATGGTGAAACCGCAAGCAACATTCCATTCTTCCGCCAGCTCTGTCAGATGTCGGTCATCAAGAGCCACATTTACAGTCGGTTGTACTCCGCTACGGCATTAACAAAGCCTCCGATTGAAATCTACAATACGATTAAAGAACTAGACGCAGAACTTGAAGAATGGAGACGCCAATCCCCAACTCTCACTGAACAGGAAATAAAACATACTGAAGCCGACTATCTGTTTGGCTTTGCCTCTATTGGTCTCCGTTTCGTCTATCACAATGCTTTAATCATGATTCACCGGGTACCTATCTTTGTGAACTACATGATAACCGCCAGAAAGGAATCAGGGAAGATCGAATCGATCAGCAAAGCACATGCCGCAAAGTCAGCAGCCATTAGCGCACAAGCTGCCCGAGATACATTGAAGATTGTCAATAACATGCCATGGGGAGACATCGCATGGACGTGGTAAGTACAACAATCTCTTCTTAATCTATACCAGCTTCATTTCTCACAGCCAACCCTCAGGTCCTTACTATACTACGCCTTCCTAGCAGCATCAACCTTATTCTCAAGTATTCTGCGGGATACTCGCCATCCAAGAGTCCGAACAGATTTGCAGTCCCTCAACATGGCCTCAACATTCTTTGCAACTCTCGCTCCAGGCGACGGGCCAAATAATTACGCCGGTTTCATGGCCCGTATGAGCGCAACCCTGGAACGCATCGCCAGAGCCATCGTCGAGAAAGACGAGAAAAGAGCCCGCGGCCCAGACGATGAAGACCAAGACTACAAACCACCAGGAGCCAAGAGGCATACCTCCCGGGCACAACCACCACACCTACAAAGACGGCCCCGCCGCCCATCAACGCTCCGCAAAACAATGACCCCTGCCACAGCTCCTGCGTATCCAACACCAGGCAATACCAACCCGAGCAGGATGGACCTCAGTATCCCCGACACCCTAGAAGGCCTCCCGCCAGTTAATTCGTCGGGATACGTCGTCCCCGTAAGCCCGAACGACAGCATCCAAACCCAGTCCCCATATGTCGCCAACCCGCCCACCACATACTCACCTTCAATCCCAAACATAGATGGCTCATTCCTCCACAACATAGGCAGCAACACCCTCGGCACCCCACCCATACCATGGCAACTATCCCAAGACTTTTCCACAACCGCAGCACAAGCGCAAGCCCAGATCCAGGCCCAGGTCCAGGCCCAAGCACAGGCACAGGCACAAATCCAAGCACAAACCCAAGCTCCAGGATCACTAGACCTAAACCCCAACGCCGTCAACTCCCCAGACTCCTTCAGCAGCGCTGGCAACTCAATACCCGATTTCTTCCAGTACCCGACGAATAGCGACTGGAGCCACGGCGGAAATCTCTTCGCGGGACTCTTTCCAACGGAATACAGCTTTGCGGCCCCTTTCCCAGTGGATACTCAGCCTGCTGATGCATATCCTTCCATGCCGATTTTATCGGCTGAGTCATATATCCAAGGTATGCCTGCTGTTGATAGCCATACAGCTCAGGCTAGTGGGCTTGATCCTCAGAATCTAGGGTATTGCTATGTGCCACAGGGCCACGAGGATCCGAATCAGGGTGCTGACCCGGTCTGGCCTAATGGGTTTTTGGGATTGTTCTAGGGATGGGTTAATTCGGGTGTTTTGTCTTGGATTTGTTGTTCTTGTTCCTGTAGCGTTCGTTGTCTTTGCCTCTTTCCTATACATGACCTCACTATTCTCTTCTTTGTATATGCATTAGATGATTCATGAGTGGTGATGTAGCCACGTCTTAGTGTAGTATAATAGAAAATAAATGATCAGTGGATAATGAAAATGAAGACTAGGTATAAAAAACGCCCAGCCAGATCCCGAAGTAGGATATCCCATTGTCCCGCTCCATTGTACCCAAGGACATGAAAAAGATTCCTTTTGCGCCTTCCATCCCAAATCCAGCCTAAACCCGTCCAATAACCAACATTGAAATCATAAAAGAGCAAAATATTCGAAAACTAAAACACAGATCCCGTGAGCGTGCGCACTGCCTTGCACCACACGCCGTTTCCTAGCTGAATATCTCGGTCCTTTTCCTGACCAAGAGATTTACCGAGGATGCTTTGCAACTCCTTGTCTGGAGGACCAGACTTGCTACCTGTTCCGAAACCATAGACCTTCGTCGCCAGAGCGTCAATATCAAAGTCCAAGACACCGACCGTCTTGTCTGCATTGGTTTTATCAATGCGGGTACGGACAATGAAGTCGACGTCTATTCTCTTGGCACTGTTTTTCTTCGAGTCAGCTTCTTTACGGCTAGGTGTGGAGACGGTGGCGTTGTCGAGAAGCGTGCAGCGTGTGCGTAGAGAAAGAGAGCCCTTATCAGGCTTGGATAGGGTGAGGCGGGTGACACCACAGAATTCCAGCATGCGCGCTTCGTTTTCCAGCCCAACTGTGCGGTCCCATGCGCTAGAGATGAAGTGCAAGAGCTGCTTGGGTGCGACAGTGGATTGTTGGATGGTAGTCAGGTGGTGCTGTAGCGAGTGGAGGACCAAGGACGCAATGGGAGAAATTTTGGCATTCTTTTGGGTCAGTTCAATCGGGTAGTTCTTTCTTTCGTCTTTGCTACTATTCTTTGAAGCAAAAGCTACAGGGTAGAACTCCAGTTGAAGCTGGTCCCGGTAAGCCATCTTCAATAAAGGTCCCTTAGATGAATCTGGAGCGGTGGAGGCCGAAATGATCGACCAGCCAGTTTTTTGCTGAATTCGTTGGACAGAGGCTAGTTTTTTTCAGTTAGTAAAGCGCCCACAAAGAGGTCTCCATAAGGCAATGAAGTAAAAGGCTTACCCTTCAGTTCGTTGATCTCTCGGGCACTCCACCCACGGCACTCTTCTTTCACACGCTCTGCCTCCTGGATTTGAGCCAGGAACTCATCCCGCATTTCGGCTCCAGCCTCGATGAAAGAGGATTTCTCCTGAACTTCCTTCTGCAGCCGCTCAAGTTCCCGTTTCTTAGTTGCGATTTCAGAGTCCACCTCAGATAGCTTACTGCGCGTACTACGTAGCTCATCTTGATCACAATTCTCCATCTCGTCCACCAACTGTTGTAGGTCGGTTGCCTCTTGCTCGAGAGAGGCGTGCTTCTCCACGAGTGGTGGCACATTCCGGTTGAGTATCTCTTCTCGTTCAGATAGCAGATCATCGTCTGCTTTCATTTCATCAACGTGGCGAACCAGTCCTTCCTTAAGTCCCTCAAGCAACTTCATCCGCCATTCATACCATGTAGCCTTGCTCAACAGACGAGCATGGGTCTTGGCGTTTCGGAATTGGTTATCCATGATCACTCGGATATCTGGCGGAGCGGTAATATACTCATTGAAGAGGGGTGGATTCTCGGCATATGTTTCTGCTTCAATAGAGCGGATCACTTGCCGGCCTTCAGAAATATAGGATTTCAACTCCCGGCATGACTAGAGACAATGTGAGCAAAAACAATAGTATCCGGGTACAGTAGAACTTACATGTTGGTACAGTTCAAGCATTGGCACTGTACAAAAGCCAGCTGCCACACAATCATCAAATGTTATCGAGCCTGGTTTGGGCATGTTCTCACCAGAGCGCCGCGTCAGCTTCTTGGTGGCACTGCCAGGAGCAGTTGTATGTCGTCTCTTTGTCGTAGTGAGCTCCATGAAATGAATATTGGTCATTTTCAGGAAATCCTGCAACTGAATAGACTCAATTTCCACGGGAGTTTCTTCCACGGGAGTGTTCTCTTCTTCTTCTGGCTGTTGGGGGTCGGAGGCAATATGAAGAGCATCGATCCTATGCTTGAGAGGAGTCGTCGAAGTCTGGGAGGCACTCTGTGGTTGCTGGGAGGGCGTGGTGCTGCCCTTGGGAGGCGATGAGCTAGCAGCTTTATGGACAGGCGGAAGAACCAGCCGGCCAACATTGCCTTCCTTGAACATCGGTGTTGGCAACTTGATACCTTTAACTGGACTGACATTGTGGCCACGCAATCGCTTGGGGGAATTCTCGACTTCGTCTTCATCCAAGTCCAGCTCGACCGGGCGCTTTCCCAGAATTCCGCGAGCAGCTCCAACATGAAGACTCTTACGGCTGCCGATTCTAGTCTTTTTTGGGCTCATGTTTGAGATCATGTCCTTCAAGCTGGGGGTTACATCCCGATCTGACTGCAAGTCCGCGACATGGCCATCTCCTTGGAGTTCCTCTTCTTCGCGATCGCGTTCTTCCTCGGCTTGCATTTGCAGAGGATCCTCGAAGCGTACGCCAGATCGGGGCTGTTCTTGCGGAATGAACTGGGGCGTACTATCTCCGAGCGACTGGCGTTTGTCAAGTAAAGCAGCCACGCGAGGAGATCCAAGACCCCCTTTGTCAATCCCTAAACCAGAAGAACGCCGGCCCTCGCGTGGTTGCAATTTGAAGAGCGGAGTCGACTCTCCTGTGGCTATGTTATGCTGGAACAGGCTTTGTCGTAGAGATTTTCGCTTATCTACTGATTGCTGGAGCTCGGGCTGGAAGAGCTTCCTCGGCGAAGCACTTCTGAAAGCAACATTGCCAGAGGGGGGTGTCTTGCTCGGGGTGGTGGGTTTCGCCTGAGGGGTGGACTGTTTGGGCGGAGTTAATGGTTTCGTGTGTGATGATCGTTGCCGGCTGGCTGACCCAGGTGTGTCTGACGATCCTGGAGTGGAGCTACGTCGGGGAGGCCTAGCTCGCACCGTTGCCAAACTGGGGCTCCCAGTTGCGGACGCAACCGCAGCAATTTGATAAGCCAAAGGTGATTTAGCAGGAGACTTTGCAGGAGACTGCCGAACATTGTCTTGGAAAGGCGAGCTAGCAAGCTGACCGGAATCTGTTTCGAGCTCCATCATCAACTTCGCGTGCACTTTGTCATTGGCTTCGATCCCTGACTGCAGGATACCACCAATCGCACTAGTAATCTCCATGTCCATACCATCATCAGACTCGTTGTCTTGATCGAAGTTCATGTGATCAGATTTGGAGGCATAAGTAGGCTGGTTACCCAAGATTTTGCCAACGGCCGAAGTGAATTCCATTGTCATTCCTTCATCATCATTGCCAATCTCAGAAAACTTTGAAGGCGAATCCTCCTGCGCGATGCCGCCGACGACATTGGTCATCTCCATGGTTTGATCTCCGTAGTTTGATTCTTCTGCCACGGACTGACGACGAGCTGTGCTCTGGCGGCGGCCAGGAGACTTGCCAAGAATACGACCTACAGCATTCGTCACGTCCATGCTGAGATCTTCATCCTCATCGATATCATCTGATTCGGGTAGACCTTGAGTAGTAGCCGCCTTAGACGGACGGAGGTTATCCTCCTCATGTCGTGCACTAATATCTCCCCAGTCAAAGCTTTGTCTTTGGCCCTTTTTGATCCACGGTTGGAAAGCACCGGTTATTTCTTGATCCGCAATTTCCATTGAGACATCCTCATCCTCATCAACTTCAGTTCCTGCTTCCTTTGCGGCCTGGCGCAGTGCTTCGTTGAGTCTGGCACTAGAGCTCGAGCTAGAACTTGCGTCTGATTGGACACTCATGCCTGAGCGCGCTGTCATATCATCCATACTCATCGCAGTGCTCTCGGCATCAAACCCATCGTCAGATCCCGAAGAATCGCCATCATCCTCCTCTTCTCCGGCTAGGCTTTGGGCACCGGTGTCTTCGCTTCCTACCGAGCTTCCACTGAACGGACTAGAAGATAAATCCTGGAGACCATCATCGCCATCCGCAGACGATGTGCGGCCTCTTATCTGGTCCAGATCTTGTGTGCGGACAGGGGAGAATCCGAATTCTGACTCTGCTGGGGAATATGGAGCATCTTTGGTGGGCGAGGTAGGGGCAGGTTGGTTCTGGGAGTTTGTGGCAGCAGATGCGCGTCTTGTTGAGTTCGCAGCAGAGGAGGAGGTTGAGTCGTCCGGAATTTCCACCACGTTCCAGGTATGTAAAGTTGCCTCGGGGGCAAAGGATACTCGGCGGTTTGCTGTATAAATGTGTCAATATTCACATTCTTGATAAAGTGGAATACACGGACCCATTGATTTTCTCCGCGCCGCTCGTTTCTCTAAGATGTTCTGTCGTTCACGATCTTTGCGTTCTTGTTCATCACGCTCCTTGGTAGCAGCCAGCTCCTCGCGAATGGCAGAAGTCGCATTAAATGTATCAAACGGGTTCGCCGTGTCGTCGTTGTCATTATCTTTTCTTGGGGGTCCTGGAGTTGGTTCAAAGTCGATCAACAGACCCTCTTTCTCTTTGCGCCTTTGGCCCTGTCCGTCCATCGTGCCGTCATGTGCCTGTTGTGTACTACGAGCTGGTGTACGTCGGCGCGTTTCTTCGAATGACGGGATGGTTCGCACTGGAGAGACGGGGACTGTTGGTTTCAGGATGGACTTTAGTGGGAAAGACGCTGTAGACTATAGAGAATTGAGTCAGAATTGTTCTACGTATGCGCATGTGATGTTCCGCTGGTACATACCTGGCGACGATTGCCGTTAGAATTTTGGAGGGCATCTAGTCCACCGGGCCCCAAACTCTTACTCCGAGACTTCTTGTCCCTCATAGAAGGCTTTGTATTATTCGAAAAGGGTTGAACCGCGCCAATCTCAGTTGTTGCATTCTCCTTGTCCAACCCAGACGTCATCCTAGACCGCGGGACATGAGCGATAGACCGACGAGATCGCGGCTTTGCGACCGCCGCGGAGTCGGGTCGAGTTGACATTGTCGGCGATCGAATCGGCGCATTAACGGATTAATTTAAGATTGCATATTCCGCTCGAACATTGGGCTCTCTAGATCAAACAGGACTGAGCCTGTAATCTGCTCCTATCGCACCTGCCCAAAGCGCGTTGCCTCCGCAATCACGTGATGTAAACAAAAGCGCAGAGCCCTAACCCCAATTAGCCTAGTCCGAATCGGGACTAGTGCCGCACACTACGAATTACCAAAGATTCCGACGGACAACGAATCTTCCTCATCTTCGACAGCCGCCAACCCGACCTTTCTTCGACACCGCTTCCTCGTCGAACAACACCGCAAAAATGGCCACCGAGTTGACCGTCCAGTCGGAGCGCGCTTTCCAGAAGCAGCCTCACATCTTCCTTAACACCAAGGCTAAGGCTTCCTCCAAGAAGACTGCCCAGGGCCGCCGCTGGTACAAGGACGTCGGTCTCGGTTTCCGTACCCCCAAGACCGCCATTGAGGGAACCTACATCGGTATGCACGACCTCCGTTGAGTTATTATTCGAAATATGGTGGCGGGATATATGGGTGGGTGGTCTTTTCACGATACAAAGGGCGAATGGAGGATCGCATGGAGCAATTGAGGGGCCTGGAATCTCTGTCGTTTCCCTCTCTCGCAAATATTCGCATTCAATACTCGAACTCTCGAATCTCGAAAAGACCACTCATGCCAAAAAAAAAATTACCCGCAATCACCAAATTCTTCATGTGTCAGATTGCTCATTCTTGAACTTTTACAGACAAGAAGTGCCCCTTCACCTCCCAGGTCTCCATCCGCGGCCGTGTCCTCGTCGGCAAAGTCGGTAAGTTGAATTGGAACTGTCTTTTTACAAGACAAAGAGATTTACTAACGAATTATCTACAGTCTCCACCAAGATGCACCGTACCCTCGTCATCCGCCGCGAATACCTGCACTATGTTCCCAAGTACAACCGTTACGAGCGTCGCCACAAGAACCTGTCTGCCCACGTCTCCCCCGCTTTCCGTGTTGAGGAGGGTGACATGGTTACCGTCGGCCAGTGCCGTCCTCTCAGCAAGACTGTACGTTCATCTGTGACCCTTGTCAATTTTCGCAACTGTCGGCTGTCTGCAAAATCGCGCAATATTGCACTATTACAGCACATTGAATTTGGCAACCCACGTTTTCACGAACTTGATAACTGACTTGAATTTTTATAGGTTCGCTTCAACGTGTTGAAGGTTCACGCCAAGACTTCCCGCGCTGTCAAGTCTTTCTCCAAGTTCTAGGTTAATCAACCGGGTGTTTTGAAGGCGAAGGAAGCGGTATGGACTGGATATACAAGAAGTTCTTAGATGGGGGTCGGGATAGTTTATGAGTTTCCATGTCCCAGATACCTCGCTGATGAATGTGTATCCACGCAAAAATCAAAATGATTTGTTCGGCCCTCCTGCGATGTGGAAACTGTACAACAACTCTGGTACAAGGCAAGATTGACCATGAATGGCAATCTGGACAGAGTCTCAATGCGCATATCGAGTTATCTCCTTGCTCCTCTTAAGTCTAACATGGATACAGTAATACCTCATAATATGCTCTCTATGGTAATTGCAAATTACAACACCAGAAGAAGGTTTGTCGCTTGGGTATCTGTAGGTGTGGTCTTGATTTCATTTTGGGCATTTATTGGCTATTCTACTTGTCTGGTTGCATACCATAGACCTACCCACTTCATTTGCTCTATTTGAGGATCCATATACTTCATAACTAGAGGTTATAGATATTTTTTATAAGCCCATTACATACGTTTGGGTATAAAGCATTTCAAGGGTGCTAGGAAATTTTCATTCAACTAATATCACAAATGCATATTGATATACTCACTAAGGCATTCTCATCATCACATGGCTGCGCCAGACAAAGATTGTTCAGTATTTTTTTAGACGTCAAACATGGATCCTGCTTGTCGTGATATTCGCATGTCATTCTGTCTGTTCCTGTGCTAAGACTAATTTCGGACTTTCCCAAAGAAATCCATGTCCGTGTGACCATTGAGAAGAAGATGGTTGGTGACCTTGTTATCTGATTGTGGCAGGTTTCCTCGGATCTTGGTGGGGGTTTCATGATACATATATGTATCATCGTCTGAAGGCCAGTCCCGCTGCAATGCTCGCTGAGAACTAGTTTCATCGTTCTCAGAGATGAGATCAATCACCTCTTGCGAATGTACCTGCTCTAAGGGGTGTTCAGCACCATAGTCATCGGGGGAAATGCCACTAGACAACGTCTCATGGGTCGAGAATTTTCCGTCGTCCTCTGTCTCCGTCTGGTCGCATATAGACATCGATCCAGACTCTGCCATATCTTCCGACTCGGAGATCTCTCCCGATTCTTCGTCGGTCTCGGGTGGCTCGTAGTCTACATCGGACATCCAGTCAGAAATCCTGTCAGAAGAGAAATACATCTTTTGGGGGGTCGATCCAGGCGTCTTTTGGGGTGTGGGCCATGGAGCCTCACTTTCTGAATCTGTCAATTCTTCCGACTGATAAGGTGGTGCACTTTGAATTCCCCTGTGGAACAGAGAGATCTCTTTCTTGTGCCTCCAACCCCATCCCTTCGCGAACTCAGTTGCCAGGTTCTCCCAGTAGATCGCTGGGACTTGGAGAAGAGTCAACAATTTTCCAAGCGTTCGACCAGATCGGAAAGGCGACTTTCTTTTCAATGCCAGCATGTCACGCAGCTTCGTATCGCAGCGCAGAGAGCTGCTGATAAGTGGAATTTGAACTAAGCGATTCACATCGCGGTGGGACCGTACAATTTGTTGGAGACTGGCAATATCCACAGTGAACGCAATTGCTTCAGTTGGAATATGGCCCCAAATGAGATACTCCCCAAATCCCTTCCAGCCGCGCAGTATCAAAGTTCTTGTCCGAATTGCAAGCGGATAAGCATAGAATACTTTGGTGTTCAGCTTTGACGTATCGATTATGGTTATCATAGCGCCATTTTGGCCAGCAACGGCACGGTGAAAAGGTGACAAAGGTGACTGACAGGTGGAAATAAACGGGGTCTTGGTCTTCTCTTTGGTCACATGGCTTTGAAAGAAGCTTTCGAACTGGCTCTCGGAGACGTCTTCTGGATGAAACCATTCAGCATTACAGAAAAGTCCGGCCAGAAAAAGTGTCCTTGTATTGACTCCTTGGGAGTCATGATTTGACCACCGAAACAACAACGGTGGGAGTTTATCAGCCGGAACCCCCTGCATCGCCAGGTCATGGTCCCAATGGTAGCCTTGTCTGTTGGGGTGGTCTTGGCCTTGATCATGATTCTGCTGGCCGCAAACTTGGTGTTCTAAATATTGATCTTGCTGTTTCGAATATTGATTTTGCTCTTCTGGGTGTTGGTCCTGGTGGCTCCAATCTTGGTGCTCTTGCCGCCGATGCTGGGGTTGTTGGGTTTGGTCGGGGATTTTGTTTTGCTCGGGATCATTCTGCTGGCACTGGTCATCGCAACACTCTGTCTCGTCAATGATAACATCATGGTTGCACCAAAGGCACATCTTCCCATGGCTTGTAACCACGGACTTGTCGTTTCCGTTGGGGTCGATCTCCTCCAGGTGGTCAATCTGTTCTTGGGTGTTACCGGCACTCATCGTGATACTTTCACTTCTTTGGTCACCACTTTCAGCAAAATAATGACTCCTTTCCTCTTCGCTTCGTTGGCGCAGTGTTAATGATCTGATGTGAGGTATGTGAGGTGTCTGCGGCGGGGATTCCGTTCTCAGTCCCACCATTGTTGCTCGCGTTCCCCATTGACTCGTGTCAATGTCGTCTGCTGTCTTCTCAAGAAGAGGGAGATGCAGGGTAACTGCGGTAGACTTGATGCGTTGAGTGATACTCTTCCATTCTCCCTCCATGGTGAACTCGGTATCCCGGTGAACATGCGACCAGACAAGATCGCCGGTGTATTTCATCCAGCTCCACTGTGTGTGGAGCGTTCTGCCCGGAACAAATGTATTAATCCCACGTTTTCTCAGATATTCCCGGAACATAGAGAAGAAGATTTCCTCTTTCTCTTTCTTGCTGCATTGGAAGAACCGGTAAAGACAACAAAGTGCTTGGCGCATTGGGATGTCCCACCGAAGCTTTGGTCTTTTGGAAGGTTTTTGGCCCTCCATTTCTGATGAGATAGAAAAGCAGGTAATGGGGTCTTAGAGGAGTTGAAAGGCTGTAAGTGGTACAATATGGAGAGATGAAAGCCTGTTCGGGGTAACCAAGGACGGAGAAGGTGAGGGCTAGTTGAAGAATAATCAAAGTCGCAAGGGTAAGAAGAAGAAATGCAAGCGAAGTTTGAAGCAAACGAGAAAGGAGTTCAGTTGATCTTGGGGCTCAGATCTGAAAAAGCAAAAAGAGAGATCTCCAGCTCATCCATCGAACATTTTGGGAATAGATATCCTCGGTCCCATGTATGCGACTACACCTTCTCCCAATGCTTGTAACCATTCCGTCATTTTACTCTAGAGGCAATATGCTGCCGATCAAAGTGGCTATCCTAAATCTAAATTATTTGTATGGGTTCCGAAGTATGTAAATCCTGGTCCGTCAACAGGTTACAACATGATGTTCGGAAAAAAGAAGTATATTCCAATAATCTAGAAAAGAACGAAGCTGATTTACCATCTTTGACCCAGAAAGGAGATCTGGTCTTATTCCATATGTCTTGTTTTAATCTCCCCTCATAGTGAGGTAAGATAGAAGCCGAAGATCTCACTATTCTAAGTACGCATTTTGCCCGTCTTGGACAGATGAGGCAGATTTGTACAAAATTGCCTTTTCAGCTGAACATATACCTACTTAGGTAAATTATTAGTCTCTATCATATGTCTCTGAGAATCAGAATTGTATATAGATACTTGATATGATTTATGACTGGCTTGGTTCTAGCATAATCACCAAGTAGAGGTATATATATAGCTTGAGTATGTATGGATTCCTAGATCTACACCTCAACCTTGGAAAATCCTTTTACTTAAGTAATTAGGCTATCTTACCTAGTTAGATGCCCTTTCATCTTTCCATCCAATCAAAATTCTCGAAAAGACAACAAGGAAATATTGCTTTGTTACGTTTTCCTCAATTCTTCAATGTAGGTTCCCTCTTTACTAAATGTATAGTAACCAGGTTACAAGATTTAGATACTGTTGCCAATAACTGTTATTTCAATATACAGACATCTAGTTATATTTAAGATATCACATATCTTAAATATATGATCTGATATCCTTATTCGATACAATATAGCACTCATATACTCCATATACTCCGTTCCGTGCACACGCGGAACTGCCAACATACCCGTGGGCGCTAGTCCCGATTAGGTTGCCTTTAGGAACATGCACTCCGCCCCAGAGGAACTCCCTCTGCTCTCACCCTTGGGACTATTGCCTCTCCTTGCGTTGCTATCCTTATCCATTTGCTTCTCAGCCCATATTCACTCTGTGATTTTCATTTATCGCCAATCCCTAACCCGGCCGTTCCGATCGGACATTAAACCCTATCCCCTAGAAAACTGCCCACTTTCCCCAGGCGCACAGCATGGCTCAATGAGCCACGTCATGAGCGATACGAATGATTTAATATTTTCTCGGACACCACAAGGGCATTGATTCTCGGAGCAGGCTCTCCAGTCTTTCCCCACTGTCTTTTGACAGACTTTCATTTACCTGAGCTATCGAGAAGTTGGGCACCGATTCGCGACCTTAAGGAACAACATGGCCGGGGGATTCGAGAAGTCAGTAAAAGGGGCCACGAAGCTCAAGGTCAGTCTGAATGCTAAATCTCAATATTTTCTACATGCGACAATTATTAATTTTCTGGCTTCCAACAGCTTGCGGCCCCTAAATCCAAATACATAGAGAATATTCTTGTGGCAACTCATACTGGCGAAGCAGGAGTCGCAGAGGTATTCCGAACCCTTCAAATACGGCTTCGAGACTCGGCATGGACCATTGTTTTCAAGGCGCTTATTGTCCTCCATCTCATGATCCGAGAGGGTCAACTGGATGCGGCGCTGGGATACTTGTCCGATAACCCGAAGAAAATCGCGCCCAGCAATTTCTCTGAAGGTTAGAACAGCAGTTCTCTCATCGGTATACGAGCGCAGTTTACTAACTGTTTTTGCAGCCCAATCGCAAGGACATAATATCCGACGGTATGCCGAATACCTTATCACGCGTGCCAAGGCGTTCGAGGCCTGCAAGACGGATCACGTACGAAGCGGACCAGGACGCCTGAAGAGAATAGGTGTGGAGAAAGGTTTGCTGAGGGAGACGGAAATTGTACAGAAGCAAATTCGTGCGTTGCTGCGATGTGATGTGGGTGAATTCTGTATCCAGCTCTTCTTCTTGATGACTGACAGTGTATAGCTATTGACGGATGAGCCGGAGAACGAGATCAGTCTGACCGCGTTCCGCCTCCTCACGCTTGATCTATTGACTCTATATTCAGTCATGAATGAGGGCACGATCAATGTTTTAGGTAAGTCAGCAGCCCCTCCACAGATCGACATTGTTCTAACCTTGTACCAATAGAACACTACTTTGAGATGTCGCGGCCGGATAGTATACGTGCCCTAGCAATCTACAAGACGTTCACAAAACAAACAGAAGAGGTGGTCCAGTACTTGGGAGTGGCAAGACATTTCCAATCTGCTACCCGCCTGGAAATCCCGAAGCTCAAGCATGCCTCCACAGACCTGGCGCGCCTTCTCGAGGATGATCTTAACGATCCTGATTTCGATCTTCGCCGACGAGAGTATTTGGCTAAGAAAGGTGTACGCGCCCCACCAAGCATGGAAGCCAGTGCGACCGCAGGTGTATCAAAACCAACTCCAAACCCACCGATGTCGAACCCGCCGGCATCAAATCCACCCAAGCAGGCCGGACAACCAAAGGCACCGCCTGTGGATCTGATCGACTTTTTCGATTCCATTGAGCAGAATCAGCAGCCAATGGCACAGCAGAACTCAATGCAGTACCAGCAAACAGGGTTCCAACAACAGCCGCAGCCGCAGCAACAATTCTATCCCCAGCAGACTGGCTTCCAGCAGCAACCCCAGGCGATCCAGCAGCAGCCCTTGGCAACTGCATATGGCCAGCCGGCCCAATATGGAGCGCCTTATCAAGCACAGGGTCCAAACAATCCATTTGGGCAGCCGCAGCTACAGCAGCAACTACAGCAGCAGCAACTGCAGCAACAACAACCTCCGCCGGCACAGCCGCTCCAAGCCATGCCAACTGGGGCTGGATTCGGTGGGTACTCCCCCCAGCCCCAGCAGTATAGCTTCCAGTCGCAATTGGCTCCTATTCCGCAGGATGGCATGGCCTCCTTCCCTCAGCAACAACCGCAACAACAGCAATCACTTCAGCCCTTGCAGCCTCAGCACACCAATCCGTTCCGCCAGTCAATGATGCACAACTCTCACACGGGCGCTCAGCCACCCGCTGCTCCTCTATCGCGACAGAACACGAACCCATTCGCGAGACGACTATCCACAGCAAACCCACAATATAATCCCTCAAACGAGCAATTTCAGCCTGCACAATCCCCGCAGGTGCAGCTGGCTCAGCCACCACAAGCGCAGCCGATCCAGCCTCAACGGACGGGAACCAACCCTTTCGCGCGGGCCTCTCCTGCTCCGCAGCAATCTCTGCAACCCCCAGTGGCTGCCCCCTTGCGGCCTAATCCAACCGGCAGCACCAACCCTTTCCGACAGAGCCAGTTTATCAATCAGCAGACCGGACAAGGTTGGCAAAATGGGCAGAGTGGTACAATGGGCGGATTAGAACAGCTGGACACGGTGCCGGTCTTCCCGCGCCCTGGCATGACCTAAACTTACGGGCCTAACCTTGGAACACTTTTTGCATGGCCTCGGAAATGAAACCGGCGTCCGTTAGATTATCTTGCCTTGAATATCTCATTCGTTCTATATCGTTCCCCCACACCGTTCTCCAAAATTTCGCCGCCATATCGAGTAGATCACGGATGTTTTCTGTGTACAACTATCTCTGATATTATCTACGTTGTATGTTGTATGTTGTAGATGTCAGATCATGTACGTAATTACCTTGAGCTCTTTCGAATTTAATATTAAAGGCAATTTGTCCAATAAACAGTCAGCAACATGCAGTCAGCATGTAATCATCCATGTAGTTTTCCAGACCTCAGTCGCACAGACTATATGATGCCTTCTAACAGGTCCAAGGCTAGTGCTGACATGGGGCGGAACATCTAGGTAGGGTTGGCCGTTGGAGATAATCCGTCAGAAATGACCTCACAGAGGGGCAAAATGCAGATCATATAGCATATTGAGAAGTATACAGGAGTTACCTACGTTGATTTGGAATGTTTCATGAATATCAACCTTGGAAAGGTTTTTGTTGAGGATCTAAGTAGATCACGATATCAAAACCTATACACATGTGTTCATCATTCCTTTTTCAACGCCACATGACCTCAGAAAAGAACAAGTTCGGTGAATAACGCCCATATCTTCAAGGTCAAGTGGATGTTGGAAGTTGCTACTTTGACCATTGTAGTCTTGAACATGCCCAGGGGTTTGTAATTCTGACTTAAAAAAAGATGAAAGAAGAGAATCTTTACCTCAATCTCCTAAATCACCCAAAACCCCCTAAATCAACTAAATCAGCTAAATCAACTAATCTTACAATCAACTCAAATTCCGCTAGAGCTCTTAGCGGGGCCCAATGATTCTGAAATGTGAAGAATCCAAATTTCCTGTGATTTCTACCCCGCCGGTCCGGAAAGGAAGTTTGTCCTCTTTTAAACCTCCCTCCTCCTAAATGCCTCGAACGTCCAGATAAGCTCTGCGATGAACGCCAAGGACCACATACTGGGTTACGAGCAGACCTTGCCCGTGCTGTCTCGGCCATCGGCTGCGGCTTGGGCGGCCGATCCGATCCACTCGGACCCCTATGCTTCCATCCACTTCGATCCCAACATACACCCTGTACAGACCGTGACCTCGCAGACAACCCCGGCACCTCCGGCCCAAGCTCCACCGCCTCCTCCCCCTGAAACCAGTCGCAAACCAACCAGGATACGCAAGCCCCGTAAAAGCAATAATGCATCTGCGGGGAAATCGACGTTATTCTGGGTCAACAGTGATCAGCAAACGGCGGCGGCAGGCACAACCGATGAGACCCTGAAGCGGATCCGCTCCCATGTTATGTCCGAGCATAATCGCAAAAAGCGAATGGAAACCACGGAACAGTACAATAGAAGCAAATGGAACCACGCGCTTTATCAACCCCCGACGACGAACGGCGCTCTCGTACCCGCTGAACATCTCCATCCGTGCATCAGCTCGTCCACCAGCGTATCCGGTAGTCAGATCTCAGAGGAACAAGAGCTAGAACAGGTCGAGGAACTTGTTACATCAACAACTGTGGGATACCCTGCTACGCAAGCTGCATCATGGGATGACTGTGGCTTCGGTGGGACGATGGCCTACCCCGCTGGACTGTCTGCGTGGTCTTACATGGGACAAGGAGCTAACGATCCTTTCCATACTGGGCATACGCAGCTTACAGATAGAATGATGCGACACCTGCGCGTCTGTGAGTACCTTTGTTATAGAACGCGATCGTGATGTGGTAGAGCCTGTATACTGACGCAGGTGTAGTCCTCTGGGATCTGACACAAGAAGCGCATCCATTGCAGACGCGATATAAACCCAAACTGCAGGCGCATTGGGCGTCCTTGATCCAGCGCGACCCGGCTATTCTGCATGCGACAATTTGTATGGCTACTTCTAATGACGCTATGCGTGCGGGCCAGCTACCCATTCGAGATCCAAATCAAAAGCGGAGTCAGTTAGTGATCGACACGTTCCACCACCGCGGTGAGACTATTCGATTGGTCAACGAGGGTTTGTCAGATCCGGTCAAGGCTTCTAGTGATGTTTTGATTGCTGCGGTTTCTACATTATTAACGATTGAAGTGAGTATATTCTGCGCATCGGGCTTGCAATTCCTAAAGCTTATACGCGATTTTAGATCGCATCGGGAAATCCCGACTATCTCAAAATCCATCTGGCAGGTTTGCGACAGATGATCGCACTGCGAAAGAGCTTTGATGATGTTCCTTCAGACGTCCGGTTCCAGATCTCATGGTCGGTATACCCTTTGTGATCAGATGTAACGCATGCTAACCTCGCAACCAGGACTGATATCCGAGTTGCTTGCATGGCCCACGCCAAACCTATATTCCCCTTTGTCCGCTACGTCCGCCCACAACGGTTGTCTCTCATCCCACCCAGCGACGACGTAGCATTACTTTCCACCCGCCTCTTCCCTCTCCTCAAAATCCCCGGCATCTTCGGCGAAGCCATGCCGCAAATCGTATACGATCTCCTCGAACTATCCTGGTACGCAGAATGGATCAAAGGCAACAGCGGGTACAAAGAGTTCAATGAAGAGACCGAGGACTACTTCAACACGGAAGTGCTGCACGTAGAATACCAACTGCACATGGACCGATACACAGCAACAGGCCAGGTTAAGGGCGACAACTCCATCGAGGGCTGCACCCGTCTCGCCCTACTGCTGTTCCACAACAGCGCCATCTGGAACTTCTATCCAATGATCGGCCAGTTACTTCCCAAGCCAATCCAGGCTCTACGCACCGCCCTCCAGGCCACTATCCCCTCGGGCTTATTCGCTCTCTGTCGGGACCTGCTCCTCTGGCAGCTTTTCATGGGCGCGGCATGCAGTATAACCCTGCCGTCGGAGCGGGCCTTTTTCGTATCTGAACTGGCCAATGCTGCACGACTGCAGGGCATCAGCTCATGGCAGGAGGCCCGTGCTATCCTTCTTGGCTTTTTCTATGTCGATCGCATTCACCTTCCGATGCTGCGTCAGATATGGGATGAGTGTCATTTGCAGCTGGAACCCCCTGCAGTATGAACTTGGCTACTTGGCTCTGCCGTAATAGATTCTCCTAAAAAATTGGTTGTATACACTCACTTCTTTTTCTAGTATATTCCCTTCGGACTCGCCGTGTTGCTACCTCTCAGTGAAAATATAATGTACATAATACTTAGTGCTATTTGCAATAATTGACAACTACTTCTTTCTAATAGCTATAAAGTACATAGTATCTAATTCCTAATCAAGTACGGAGTACTTCTTCACCCCTAGACCTATATGAATGCGCTACTTATCTTGACATACTATGAACATCAAACAGCCAAGCCCTCCAAGTCCACCTAAAGACCAACCAGACACCACAGCCAAGCAGACCACCCGATCAAACCCGACCACATAAGCATCCCTCCTCGGCATCAGCGCCCATCAGTCCACAAAGATAAGCCCGGCATCCCGATATCCGAATAATCGCCGTCACGCCTTGCAAACAACGAAGCTGATACGCGGGAAATCCCTCTGCCGAGAATGCACCGAATTTCAGCCGGGCAGTGATCGGCGTTGTCTCGGCGTTGCGTGGTTTGTGATAGATGCTGCAGGCTTAGTACCTTAGTACTTCCTTAGTACTTCCTAGCTTGCTAATAATGGCTCTGGTTTATTCTTTTTGATTTCGTTTCAATTGATCTCTCTTTCAATTTTGTTGTTGATTTGAATCAGAGATACACATTTCTACAAAAAGGAAGTATCCACAGATGTCAGAGTGTGAACATCATCGACATACAACATACAACATCAGGGATATTCCAGAATCCATTCCTTGGCTTGTGTCAGATCTGCAGGTCTAAAACCTGCAGACCGAGAAAACACCGGCATGATATCACTCCACTATCGGGTCGCTGGATCCCGGGTTTGGCTACGTAGTGAAGGATCTAGGTATGTATAATAATAGGCCCTGCTGGAAAAAGACTCATTTCGGGATATATACATACTTCCACCTTACTGAAATACAATTTTGCCTCCAATATCAGATATTCCTTCTTCGTCTTCAATCCTTTTGCCTTCACTACATCTCACTTTATGAATCATATCCAGGCTATTGATGGCTTGTCAGCTTTCAGGCCTCTCTGGTCGGAGGGCTTGACTATGTAGTCATGGGTGTGCTCGGATGATGACGATTGATTGATGACGGATGCTGTCACTGCATCCGGGCAGAGATATTGCTTTGGATGCAGTTTGGATATGACTCGACTAGCGTTTCTCAGCTCGCAACAATGACCTGATTCACTCGCACGCATGGCTACACAACGTCTATGACTAGGTTGGATTTACAATGCATCAGACCCCAACAACAGAAGTCCTGCAACCGGAACAAGGGCAAGGCCTCGACACTACCTCCAAAACCCGAGAACAACAGTCTACAAGATGGATCAAGAGAAGATTAAAAGGACACTGAAGAACCTCGGAATGTTGGATGAATTAATTACTGGGTCGCAGAAACTCGCAGGTAAACGAGACTAAATACAGCAAGGAAAAAGGACCAGAGAGCACAAGAAATCACGCGAGTGCTCTCCGAAAAATTACAACCAGCAAACCGAAAGGTGAAGACTGGCGAATATTTTTTGCAACCGCGCTGGGCAGGATGCTTCATTGACCATCCATACACATACAGCAACCGTCACAGGCGAACAGACGAACCTGTCGCGACCCTCCAACCCAATCGACGACGAGCAAACGTGTCAATGAGCGCAAAGCGACGAACAGGAATGCAGTCTATCTGCAGCATACATACAACGCTGGGTATCGAAAAAAATTACAAGCACCAAGCGGACGTTCCGCATCCCGGTCTCTTTTCCAATAAGAAAAAAAAAGGGAGAAAAAAAATTCGCTTATGCGAGCTCACGCTCGGTCTTGCCACGGCGAACAAGGCCGGTGGGGGACCAGGGGAAGTGAGCAACGGGGATGATGAAGAAGCTGTTGCTAGTATCGGCAATACCAGCAAGGGCGTTGTACCAGGCCGCGAAAGCAGCCAGGAAACCGAAGAAACCACCGGCCTTCTGGACGTTGGCGTTGGGGTGGCCGTCAGGACCGCGCTGCAGGTAGCAGATACCGAGTAGAAGGAAAGTCAAGTCCAGTGTGAAGAACAGCAGGAAGAAGGCAACAGTGGACTTCAGGGTGCAGAACAACAGAATGGTGGTAAAGATGAACCAGCCCTATTACGAGGTTAGCGGGGATGATTCCTTGCAGATGTTTAAAAAGAGAGGGGAAGACACAAGAACTTACCATCAGGAAAAGACCCATGGAGTTATAGAATTTGGAAGCATCGTCGCTGGACTCGCCGAGAGCCTCACCGATCTGGAAACCACCGGGAGTCAAGACAATAGCGAAAGCGATCCAGAAACCACCATAGGAAGAGAGAGCGGTAGCACCGAAAGTGTTACCAACAGCCATTTCCCTAAATTAAATAAAAAAAAGCGCGTATTAGCCGCAAGAACATGGCTGTGAAACCCCGTCCCAGGGACCACTGAAACACAAGAAGTGAACGGTTACATACCACATGCCGGAAAGCAGCTGAACAAGACCACCGTAACCAAAAGCAAGACCGACAACAATGTTAGGGCTGGCGATATCCAGGGTTCCCATGTTGATGGCGCTGAGGACGAAAGTGGTGAGGGCGAAAGCGGACAGGCCCAGCGGAGCAGGATTGGCAAACTTGCGGCTCTCAACGGATTTGTACAGACCGGGCTGGAATTCACCACCGAAGGGAGGCAGGGATGCTTCTACTTTGTTGACGTGGGCGAGGGGTCCGTAGCCGAAGCGTGCGGCGGCGCGTGCGACCTGGTGCTCTTCGGCAGACATCTGGGGCTGGATGGGGGCGCCGCCGTTCTGGGGAGAGCTGGAAGGACCTACGTCCTTCTCCAGCTCGGGGTGGTTGATTCCTTCAGTTGCAGACATAATGTAGGATTTCGTAATCTGAGTTTGCGTCGTTAAAACAGAACAAGTATATATAAAGCCCTTATAACACAGTTATAGGGATGGTATCAATTCAAGCACAGCTGAAGGATATGAAGAAAGTCAAAGAAGTCAAGGAAGTCGAGGAAGTCCGGGAAGATAGGGAAAGGCAAGTATTATACTCTAATTGAGCCCGGGGCCCCAAGGGCCACAAAAAACACAAAAAAGTAGCACTTTCCTTTGCAAAAATTGGGTTGGGGAAAAAAAGAGTGGAACCAAACTTACGTTTTGGTATTTCAGGTTTTATTACAATGATGTGCAGCCGCCAGGACCCGTTCCCACTATGGAGAAGTTATATATATGTAATATAAAGTGGAGAGTGAAGAGGCAAAGAGAGGGAAAGAGAGATGGGGGAACACTTGTAATTATACAAGAAAAAAAATTATAGTAGTTTAGACTATTATTTTTTTCTAATAAATCGTTTCACAGGGATCAAAAATCAGAAACTACGTCTAGAACAATGTCAAACTAGCTGCAGGGACGGCACGGAGGAATGGGGGTGACGAGGACCGTTCACTGGTCTCTGTGACAAGGATGAAAGGAAGGAGACATGGGGAAAGAAAGTGGAGAGACCGAAAGGATCCGGGGAACGATATGATTGGCAAAGAGATGAGAATAATATTTGATTATAGGGACTTTCTTACACTTCCGAGGCAAGGTTGCTTAAAACAACTCTGTCAATATTGACCTTATGTAGGTAACCTGATTCCCCATGTATATATATCCATATACAACTACTCATTCCAATTATAAGCTTATAATTTGACCTCGAGAAGTCACCCCAGACTGTTTCGATCATCCATGGATCTACTTGGTCAATTCCATGGACTACAAGTTGTAATATACAGAAATAATACCTGGGGAATCTGGAGTTTAGGGCACATTAAGATTTGCATGATCATCAGTCCACTTCGTACAGAGTACAGAATATTTGAACGGCGTACTCCGTGCATTGCACATATGTACGGTACTTTAGTGCATTAGTGTAGACTGGGGTAGAAGTAGAAGATACTTATTACGGCCAGCCTACTCAGTAGTAAATCCCGGTACCGAGTACCTAAGCGAGTCTCGGTCACCCACCTCGGTCCACCCCGTGTGCAAGGGAATTTGTTCTATCTTTTCTACATTGTATATTGTGGCATACCAATTGTTTGCCATTGTAACGAATTAAATGATCCAAAGTATTACTCTATTCATTGTTTATAAGAAATCTAAAAAAAAAAGTACTGTAAGACGCTTTAGGCTGATGTCCGGCCAAGATTACGCACCAATGAATTCATAATGAAATCAAACACTGCACTTCCATGAATGGATGATCGCACCGAAGATATATTGTATTATTAATCTTTTCTTTTTCTTTGACAACGCCTCCACTGAGACATGTCCACATTTTGCCCCTTTTTTCAGACAAAGCGCGGATACGCTAACAAAAGCATCTAAGACACCTATCCACGGATCTCTGAACCAGACAACATTTCTCGAAGTTTACACGTTTCAGAACTCGGGGAAACGGCAGGAAATGTTATGTATATGTAATTCACTTCACCTGCGAAAAGAAGCGTTACACAACCACTTCAACTACGGAATAGTGCCGTGTTCTCTCAAATGGGCCGTCAGTCCGGGGAGGGGGGAACCTGGATCGGCACACGAGGCTCGGACCCATTTATCATTTGTTTTGATTTGTTTTGATTTCTTTTCTATTTAGTCACCTTCTTTTTTTTTTCTCTCGTCAGCCCGTATACTTTGTATGAAGCTAGAGCTGCAAGCCCTGTCAAGCTTCATCTCCACATGTGGCTCTGCGATAGGATTTAGGGCTAACGCTGATGAGAGCCCGGTGGAGCCCGTGGACGTGGACGTCAATTCAATTGCAGTCATTTGTCCGGAGCTATATTCAGATTCGGCCCGGTCAGAGATTTGCCTGTTCAAGTTTAGACCAATATATACGAAGTGCAATTTAGCCCGTTGTCATCTTTTTTTTTTAGGTCCTTTCTGCTTCCATACTGACATCTTGGCAAGCCAGCGTTGCAACGGGGTAAACCTCGGAAATAATTACTGCAAGACCCCTACTAAGGCTTTGACGGTCAATATACAGTGCAGTAATGAATATCGGGTTCCACTGTGCAATCCTCCCGAGGTCCCCTCTTGCTAAGCTCTGTAACCCTAAACTAGAGAGAATATTCATGTAAGCATCCACCGAAAGTACCTCCAGGGCTGGGCAATAGCTTGGATTTGTGGCGTGCGCCAAGTAATATAAACAGCACCGACGGGTTCAGTTAGCTCGAATTAGGGCGTTACACATGGAAATCCTCTTAGCGGGAAAATAAAAACAAGTGGCCCTTAAACTTCCCCTTTAAAGAGGCTATCTTTATTTTAGATGTCTATTTAGCCTGTTTTTGAGTATATGGGATGTTAGGAGAGACATGGATATATAGGGGAGTCAGCAATCTAATAGAAACCAGGCATAATTAACTCATCATTTTGATGTTCCAATTCTGCAACATCTGATCCAAGCGCAAGCTCCGCTCTTATCACAGGTGGCACCATACTCACATAGAGTACATATACAATCTTGGACTGAACTCCCGAGGTCATATTTCATATCCTAGATATTCTTGGCCTAAGGTTTCGTTAGTTATGTTATGCACAGATCAATAATTGCTGCCCGCATGTACGGAGTATGGAGTACCCGTGGACCAATTATCTGAGGTTCAGCTCATGTTCCGCTCTCAATTCGACACATACATGTACATACAACATAACAACACTTACAAAAATACATATCTACATCTCGAGAGCCTACGGTTCCTTGGCGTAGCTCCCTTCTTGATCTAGCCAAGCGAATGCGGGGATAGATTTCTCAGCCCAAGCAGCATGCATCGTCATGCGAGCTTACAATATAGTGCGGGATCCCCGGAGGTCTTGAGAGAACGTACGATTTCGGCGATTATCTTCCACTCGGTGCATTGGCATTTCACCTCTCCCCCACATATCGCTCATCTGATCCCCCACAACGCCAATACATACCCCAATACATATAATCCACGGCTACGCCTGCCATATTCGACTGTCAGTTTTACCCTCGGTTGTCTAGATTCTCGGTTCGGCGGAGCGGAACATTTCTCTCGGCTTTTTCTTTGTCGCCGCGCCAAGTCGGACGAACCACGTTTTTGGTAAAACCGGATAGCTGCGGTATTGTGGGGGAACTTTCACTTAACGCGGAGTTCTGGAGAGATGCATATGCCATATGCGCCTATCCCGGATTTTCCATGTGCAGATTTTATGGGGACGCTTGGTACTCCGTACATGTCCTGGCTTATGCTTACGTTTGAAGTCATGTGTGCTCATTCAGGTGACCCGGCTCGCGGGGACCTTCGGGATACTGACCGATTACTCAGTGACGCCAATGTCCACGGGTTCACGGGCGGTCCAATCAGTGAGCCACGTCCCCCACGCCTGACCATGTGGCGTAGGACATCGCATCTGCCGTGGGGGCCATCTTGGTAGCGTTGGAGGCCCTACAGGAAATACACAAGATCGGCTCCAAGGAGTAGTTCTTTCATTACTCCTCTCATCGCTATATCAAATTTCATACATTTAAGTTTGGCCTCACCATACTTCATTATGGGCTACGATGCGGATGACGCTGGAAGGGAGGAGACGTGGAGTGGGGATTTATGGGATATATATTTCCCTTACTTGGCTGCTGCCCTCCCATCTACACGTGTTCTCAAGTGAAAGCTAGGAAGTGCCAGATATAGAAGGAGCGTATTTGTCGAAGCATTTTTCTTAAAAGAGAAAGTACGCCCCTGTTGATCTATATTCCAAGGCTGCATGCACATACCAAGTATAGAACAGATGCTAGGATCAGAGAAGGACAAGAGAACACAGAACCCCTGTCTCTCACTCCCTCAATGAAGTTCGCCGCCTCTGCTAGGGTGGAGCAAACCTTTGAAACTTACGCCTACTAGTAGACTCTTAACAAAGGAGCGCAAAATGCTTTGTCTGAGTCGCATGAAAGCCTATCTGTTGACCAAGGAAACCTGAAACGTTCCAGGATCACTCTCCAAGACTTCTTCTTTCTGGACTCTTTCCCTCTTTGGTCACTCGTATTGAACAGGCGCAGGATACTAACCGGTGTGGCCTTTTCTTTGGTCGTTAATGCTTATGACTTCTCGAACTTGCATACAAGAAGTTCGAGCTTCTGGCCAGGGGACTCGTGCTAAACCAACCCAAAACAGCGCTATACATCTCAGCAAGTGAATTTATAAAAATCATGTTTGCATACTATGTAAGCACCAAATTATATATCTATATATGCCAAGTTCTATTAAGTCTAACTATATACATCCAATGATCTATCCAAACATCTCTATGCAAGCATCAAACCCAATCTCAAATCAAGCCGCAGCCCCAATGGCCTCCTTGAACTCCGCACTGAACTCATAATCCGTGTATCCCTTAGGATCCTTGGGAATATAGAAAGTGCTCCGATCATAAGGCACGAACGGAATCCCCTTCTGAACCCGGAACGGCAAGTCAGGATTCGAAATAAACGGACGACCAATGCCAATAACAGCATCATACTCCGCATACTTAACATCCGCCGCCTGAGCCGCCGACTCAGCCTTATACCCGCCCGCAATAATAACCGGCGAAGCCTTCCCATAAACCCTCAAGAAGAACTCCAACCCATCACTCGCCTCAACAGAAGCATTTCCGGCAATGGTCGACTCAACCAAATGCACATAAGCCAGTTTCATACTCGCCATCTGCGCCGCCAAATACTCAAACTGCGGCTTCGGATCCTCCATCCTCATCCCCTGGAACGTACTCCAAGGACTAAACCGAATACCCGTGCGATCAGCGCCAACAGCCTCAACAACCGCGCGCGAAACCTCAACCGCGAATCTCGCCCGCGCCTCAACACTCCCACCCCACGCATCAGTGCGCGTATTGCACACATCCTGCGTAAACTGATCAATCAGATACCCATTGGCAGCATGGATCTCCACGCCGTCAAAGCCAGCCGCAACGGCATTCCGCGCCGCCTGCGCATAGTCCGCGATCCACTCGCGGATCTCGGCCTCGGACAATGCGTGCGGCGTCGGCGCGTCGGCGCTGGCGGGCGTGGGACTACTCGATACAACGTCGTAGCCGGAGGCTTGGAGGAAGTCCTTGTTGGCGACGCGGCCGAGCGCCCACAGCTGCACGTAGATGTAGCTGCCCTTGGCGTGCACGGCGTCGGTTACTTCCTTCCATGCGGCGATCTGCGCGTCGTTGTAGATGCCTGGGGCGTTGGGGTAGCCGCCGCCGCGCGCGGAGATGAAGGTTGCTTCGGTTATTAGGAGGGTGCCGGGGACTGAGGCGCGCTGGGCGTAGTAGTCTTTCACGAAGGGGAGGGGGACGTGGTTGTCGTCGTTGCGGAAGCGTGTCATTGGGGCCATGGCGATGCGGTTGGAGAGGTCGACGCGCCCGACGCGGAGGGGGGTGAAGAGTTTGGTCATTTTGGGGTTGTTTTATATATATTGTAAATGCAAATGGAAATGGAAATGGTTGCAAATTGTTCAATGGATGGAATACATTTGAAGTGAATGGCTATGGCTTTATATATTGTATTCAATTTGTCTATTTGGTTCGTAGAAATTCTCATGGATTAACAAGCATTGTGGAGCCAAGGTAGTTCATACGTGTCTCACGATTTGGAACATAAGTCGTCTCAAGTCTCCGAAATCAAGTCTTTCGAGAGGATCTTGGGAACTGGTATCGATTCTGATTTGCTGGAGTGGAACAACAACGGGATCTCGGCAGGGGGGCCGGGGGAATTAGTAATGCAAGGTAGATTTTTTTCTTCCAAGCTAGAGGTTATCTGTATGATGTATGGAGTACAAAGTACAAAATAGAAAAAGCACGTCATTGGAGATTGACTGTCGTTGTCATTGAATGGTAGCTGAAAGTAACATGTAACTAGAAGCTACCTATTTACTCAGCACATCGAGACTTGTACAGGTGCAAATATCGCCAAACACCATCCTCTGGCCCAGCCATGGACTATAATCATTGCACAAACGCTGGTTCCTGGTATCATAAGGCACTGTAGAATACAGAACAAGAAAAAAAACAAATAGATATCATCGCTCCAGGCGACTAACAGTATCTTCGAGCTGCGCGTTGAACGCCCGGATTTGGTTCAAGAGACCACCTTGTGCTCCAGGGGCACGGGAACTCACTTCGGCAACAGTGCGAAGCATGTATTCAAGATCTGGAGAAGAATCTGCAGCAGGGGCAGAACGTTGCTTATTGCGGTCGAGGGCGAGTTCAAGGCTGTGAAGCGAATTGCTGATCGTGGATCGGGACTAGGGACTATTGTTAGTAATGATTTTGCCAGGGTATTAGGGAAAGGTCTCACCAATTTAGCCTTCTCCTCTTCAATATGTCTGCTGCGTACTCCATCCATCTGCAAAGCTATGTTCTCACGTTCTCGGCGGACACGGTATAGATGATTCCGTAGATCCATCATCTCCCGCTTAGTCTTCTTTAATTGCACGCCAAGCACGAAATTGCTATCGAGTATCCCACTTAGGTCCATGAGACGACTCTCAAGCTCAGAGCCAAATTGTTCAACGGCTTTTGTCTTGCGTGACCACTCTGCGCGTCGCGTAGTATTCGCCTCGTTCGAAATCCCATCCTTGAGTGTGTTGAGTGTCTTCTCCAGAGTCTCGCGACAGATCTGGCTCAATACGTCGGCCGGATTGACACCGCCGCGGCTGGGTATCTTGGATATTTGGTGCGTGGTGAGTTCATCGGCGGATTCTTCTTCATCTCCAGACCCGTCGGCTGTAGATGCGGTGCCATTTAGAGAATTGACATTCACGAGACGGTAAACAGTGACCGGGACTGTTTCTCCGCGAGGCTCTCGTGTTTTGCGACGGGGCTGTTCTTGCGTAGGCTCGGGCTCGGGTTGGTATTCTGTCTCGGCTTCAGGCTCGGGCTCCACTGGGCGTTTAGTCTTCTTCCCAGGTCTGCTGCGCTGTGACTTGGGCACTGCAGATTCTGCTTCGGGCTCCGGCTGGTCTTCCGGGACAGGCTCGGGCTCGGGCTCGGGCTCTGTTGTGCGATTGGCCTTCTTTCCAGACCTACCACGAGGCTTAGGGGTCGCAGATTCTGCCTCTGGTTCTTGCTGGTCTTCTGTGGCAGGTTCGGGCTCGGGCTCCGTTGTGCGATTGGCTTTCCTTCCAGATCTGCCACGCTGTGACTTGGGCACTGCAGATTCTGCTTCGGGCTCCGGCTGGTCTTCTGTGGCAGGTTCGGGCTCGGGCTCGGGCTCCGTTGTGCGATTGGCCTTCTTTCCAGATCTGCCACGCTGGGGCTTGGATACCGCGGATTCTACTTCAGGTTCTGGTTGATTTTCTGTCTCGGGCTCGGGCTCAGGTTCGGGTGCGTGTTTGGCCTGTTTCCCGGGTCTGCCACGAGGCTTAGGGATCGCAGGTTCTGCCTCTAGTTCTTGCTGGTCTTCTGTGGCAGGTTCGGGCTCGGGCTCCGTTGTGCGATTGGCTTTCCTTCCAGATCTGCCACGCTGGGGCTTGGATACTGCGGATTCTACTTCAGGTTCTGGTTGACCTTCTGTCTCGGGCTCGGGCTCAGGCTCAGCTGCGTGTTTGGCCTTTTTCCCGGGTCTGCCATGAGCCTTAGGTACCGCAGATTCTGCCTCTGGTTCTGGCTGGTCTGCTGCTGTAGGCTTAGGCTCGGGTTCGGGGTCAGTTTCGGCTGCCCGTTTCGCCTTCTTCCCAGGTCTGTCACGTTGTGGCTTAGGCACTACGGATTCAATCTCTGGTTCTGACTGGTCTGCTATCGCAGGCTCTGGCTCCACTGCATTTTTCGCTTTCTTCCCAGGTCTGCCACGTTGTGGCATGGGCACTGTAGATTCCATCGCACTTTCTGGCTGTTCATCTCTTTGTGATGTTCGCTTGCGGCCCTGACGTGGCCCCAAAGAGGACTCCGCGACATCTGGCATAGGTTCAGGTGAAATCTTCTCAGTCTCGATAGCTTCAATGGACTTCTTGTTAAGCGAGGGTTTCCCACGAGGTTGTTTGGTCTTTGGGGCTTCCTCAACTTGAGCTTCGGCGGGCTCCTCTTGCGCCTCGGTTGTAGGTTCTGGTACAGCGCTCTCAACAGGCAGTTCTGGAGTGTTGTCCGCGGTGGATTCCTGCCGCGGGCGACCCTGAGGCTGTTTTGTCTTCGTAGAATTTTCTTGAGACGTCTGGTTCTCTTGCTCTGGTACATCATCTTTGGATGGTAGAACATCCTCAGTTATCCCGACATCATCATCAGTGGTCGGCGCATGGCTAGCTTCAAGAGCCTCGGCGGGGCTACCACGTGGTGATAAGGGGTTTGTGGCTGATTCATCTGTCTGAACAACTGGAGAAGCGGTCTCTGTGGCAGCCTGTTGATTCGTCTTATCTCTTTGGATTCCTTCATCAGGACGTGGTGGTGACCGGGTATTATGTCGTTTGTCGCGTAGTTGCTCTGTGCTTTCAGGCTGTTTGGCCCCGGGCTGAGCCTCAGGTGATGAGGGTGGCGCTTGTGGCTCTTCAGCTAGTGCAGGCGCTGTAGGACCAGACACTGGAGATATGTTTTGGGCTAGTTGCCCTTCGGCGGCTGATGTTGGTTCCACGCCATTGGTCCCATCTTCTATCTGCTGTTGATCTTCGACCGAGACAGAGGTCTCTGGAATGGGTAAGATATGAGGTTGTGAGGATTCATCGTTGATTATTTCTGACGGAGGAGTTGCGTCTGTATTTGGAGGTTCTTGGGTATTGGTTGTTTGAGACTCTGTGCTACCTGCACTGTTATCAACGGGGCGTGAATCACCATTCTCAGGTCGCCTGCGATTCCGACGAGAAGGGGTATCTTCCGTTCCCTTAATAGGACCTAAAGAAACATCAGCACACATTTATAGCATAGCACACCCACCTGGTCCATAACATACTGATCTTTCTCCTCTTGTTACTTCGCGTTTGTTCAGATCTATCGTCTGAGGAGGGTACTTCATATGTCGAGGGCCTTTGTGGGAGCTTGTTGCGCGCACTTCCTGGTGTGCGCTCAATTTCCCGGGCCTGCGATCCTGGTTGCGATATCTTTAACGGTCGTGGTGTTGTTTTCGGCTCGGGCTGTGTCCGCGGTGGACTCTGAGCTTTAGGGACAGTCGCAATTGGTGTGGGCGCTGATAACCCAAGCGCTGGGCTGCCAAATGAGAACCCAAAATTGACTTCTTTTGCTTTGCGCGTCCTGTACCAGCAAGTCAGTTTCTCTGTTATGGTTTCGCGGGGTATAGGTAAGGCGCGTACGCAGCTCCACGCTGCCGCATTTGCTGCCGCTCCTCTCGCGCTGTCAATTGTTAGCAATTACACACATAATAGACATAGAACCACAGCACGTACAGGGTTCCATGTTGGAGGAACGGCGTCGAAAAGACGCGTTGTGTTGATGGTTGAGGAGTAAAGACGCCAATAGCGGTCGGAGACGGCGGTTGGAGCCGATCCTTTTTTGTGCCGACTTCTCCGCACTCTCAACCTTCGACACTCCAGCTGTTGCACATTCTTGGTTATTAATCGACGAATATTTCGAAATGGGTTGGTTCTGGGGTGACAAAAATGACACTGTCCAAAAGCTCGAACCGGGGCTTCGTGAGTATCTCGAACAGGAGAAGCCCGACAAATATGTGCCTGGTCCCAATGTGAAACCCTCAACGCCCGCGCAATCGCCCGAACCGTCTGATCCCTCGAAACCACAAGTTCCCGCGGCATCACTCTTCCAAGATGGCCGCTACGCCCATCTATGGAAAACCTACAAGCCGCCAATGGAGCTTGACGAAGCATCCGGAGTCCGCGGGGCGTCACGAGTGATTGAAAAGTACAAGGAGCGTGGCGACACAGTGCAGCGAGCCGCAATGGAGAACTGTGCCTTGGAGCATGAAGCATTGACACACTGCTTTAAGACCGGCAATTGGCGCAAGCAAATTGAAGCCCGGTTGACCATGTGCTCGGCGGAGAATGGCACCTTTTCGCGATGCTTTACGACCCAGACTGTGAGTTGATGCCAGCTCATGGCTTTCTCGATTGTATCGGTCCTAATGTGTTTCCATTAAACAGAAATTCCTCCAAGCTCTCGGTTACGCAGCTGGCTTCGAATATGACGCCGAAAAAGAAGAGCGTATTCAGATGCATGCCGACAAACTCTATCACCAGATGCTAGACTACGAAAAGCGAGTTGAGGATGCAAAGGCCGCTGGGATTGAGCCACCGCCTCTCACTTCACTTTTCCACCCAGATAAGCCAACGCAAACCCCGAAAGTCGGCCTTGAGATTCCTGGAGGGGAGGCAATCCCGGATGAGCTCAAACCGTCGAAGCCCTTACAGAAGCTCACACCACATGAGCGGGAGTTGGAGATTCGGGCACACAATGCGCAGCGGGAGCAGCACAAGATGTATGCGCAGGAGGCTGCGCCCTTCATGAAAACTCAAGATGAGGCTCGGCAGAAGCGACAGGATAAAGCTGTAAGCTGGTTCGGAGAAACTCTCGGCAAGTGGGTTTCGTAGAAGAATCTAATCTCGTTTCTTGTATTTACTATTTTGCTTTGAAAATGGCGATTGGAGAGGCGTTGGGGTTGCTTTGAAGTTGCATTGTTAGATTTGTATAGCTGTCTTCCCATACTCCATAGAGTGTACTAGTAACTTAAGTGTACTTTTCAAAGTCTTTGGGATTATTATAGGTGCCTCTCTGTGTCTTTTCTAATTTCTTTTTTCAACATCTGCTTCTCTAGTACGTACCTATAGGGCTAGATGGTTACATGAACACTGAATTTCAGGCCGCGTGAGATGGCTTTCCCTTCCAGTTGTAGTGCTCATCTCTGGCTGCTTTTGCCTGAGTCAGTCCACAGGTGAAACCGAGCATCACCTGATCATCATATAAGCCGGATGAACCCAGATAGGCACCTGGGCAAGGTTGATACATAACTGACTCAACAGTCAAAACACACCAGTGGGCTCTAAGATACATACAGTGACAACTTACACCTACATTTCCTGCAGTATCTCTACTGCCGAATCCATCGTATTCTAAGGGAGTCCAGACTGGCCCTAACACATAGCATTTTGACATTTGAAATGGACCACTTTCATACCTCGATATGCTTTGATTTGACAAACGAAAGGTATGTGGTTGTAAATGAATGCGCTGTCATGTCCGAGAGCCGTTTAAAGAAGGTCCTTGGGACAAATAAATCAACTGATAGGACTCAGCCTCTTTCACCAGGTTACACAGTACAAAACGGAAAGGTATTAGATCAAACACTTCAGGCGTGGAAAAGATGAGGTAGGACATACCATGCTGATCTATATCCTCCTACGGCCATAAAGTCTTTCCAGTGGTCTATAAATGGGTGGGATAAAATTACCATCTATTATACTAGAGCTGCCTGTCTCCATTTTTATCAAGGCTTCCTTCCTAACAATGGCGAAGTAGCCCCAGGTTATTTGATCATAGTCATCTTCCTCTCCCGTTTCTTTCTGCATGTTAACCATTTAGTTAGGTCTGAAGGGTACATAGACAACTAGATTTAGAGCCCCCTCAACTTGCAAAGCCTAGTGTGCAACCCGAGATAATTTATCTATCCGCTGTGGCATGTGAGAGTGGCTGCAGCGGAATCAGATTCTGATATGTTCGAGAAATTTGTACTGTAGACATACAATAGTTCCCGAGATATCTATCAGGAGGCATATTTATGGGGCCTTTACATATTATATTTTGGTCATAACACTTGATTTGGGAAAGGAAAGGTCTCGCATTTATACTACGACCGCCAGAGTTGCTTCCTCGGTCTGGTATAGCGTTTAGGAATATAATTCGTTTCGGCAACGCTGGAATTATAACGGCAGGCTAGAGATTCAGCTCACTAGAAATTGGCCAATAAGTATCTATCTGTTGTGTCGTCTCCCTTGCAGGAATGGAAACTGGGATGCTAGTGGTCGCCTCATCTTACCTTGCTTTCACAGTGCATTGCATTCTTAAACACACACGATAGCCTTTGGCCTGCATGTGAGCCAATGCCCGACTTCCGCAACAGATATAATCCTCGTATCATAGCTATCTGACTAGATGCATGCCAAAGGCTGGATCAACGATAGTGTTCTTGGCTGCAATAATTATAACCACCGAGTATCGGTGTATTCAACAAGCTCACATGAGGGGTATTTTAACATGCCCTCTCCCACATGATTCTTCAATCAGTCAATCATACTTCCCTCCTGAATTGATTCAGTTTGACCTCATTCGTACTTAATGCATACTAGTCCGTGCAGATTTGGCATATTCTGATATATTTTTACTCTGTGAGTCAAGATGTCCCTCGTCCCTCCCCTGTCAGTCGTCTTGGTGCACACCCGCGATTCAGGCGTCAATATATCAGCTTTTCAAGTCAGACATCTCTTATTTGCAACCCAGCATGTGCTTATTTTTGCTTTCTACCACTGACAAAGAAAGTCTAGCTGGTCCGCCCAGCTCGCCTTTTCAACAGGGCTCACCATTTGTTGTGAACTCGACGGAAATCCCCCAACAGCTAGGAGATGGGCGCGGGGCCAGCGGCTGGGTTATGGCCACCTAGCAGACATGTTCTCAATGTGTGTTTCCTAAACGGGGGCGAGTTTGAGCAGAGTACGGTCAAATCCTTGGTCAGAATGCATTATCATTCTATCCCCATGCGCCTTCGCTTCAAATTTCTATCAAACTTGGACACAAGCCATTCCGACATTCGTATTCTATTTACAGACCATTCCAAAGCCTATATCGGATGTCAAGGCCAGGCATTCCCTGGAAAACCCACGGTGTGGCTCGATATGCACCCTGGATTGCCAATGCAGGACGCCCGGCGCAAGGTGCAAGCTGACGTGCTCCACGAGTTCGGGCACGCGTTGGGCCTGGTACACGAGCATAAACACCCGCATTGCAAGGCCAAGTGGAACTACAGCCAGCTTATGGACAGGAATCAATGGGGGTTGGACCTGGTGCGTCGCAACTACGACAATGATACGCATAGTGCCATTAACACCAGGTGGGACAGGGCGTACGATCCAAAGTCGATTATGCACTACGCTATCATGAGGGGAGATACGCAGAGCGGGCTGAGGGATGTCCCTGAGAATATTGTGCTCTCTGACAGCGACAAGGAGACGTTGGCCCTGCTCTACCCACCAGTTGCTGTTGTGAAGCAACGCTCCACGGTGCCCAAAGAGTATACGAGGAACTATGAGAAAGAGAAGCGGGAGAAAAGGCCAAAAGAGTCTACAAAGGACTATGAGCAGAAGAAGAAGAAGCGAGAGAAGAAGCTCAAAGAGTCCACGAAGTACTATAAGAAGGAAAAGGAAATAAATTCTAAGAATTGGGGGCCCCGGCAAAAATCGTATGTCGGCGGGAACAACTCTGCCGTGGTTTGCGGAGGCTACGTGGAGGTAAGTGGTAACGCAAGTGTGGTCATCCACGGCAGTGGCCACGTCGTCGTCTCCGGCAATGGCGATGCGATCGTCTACGGTGATAGCACGGTCTGTGCCAGCGGAAATGCCGATGTCTACGTCAACGGGGGTGGCTCTGCAAGGGTGAGTGGGAATGCCATGGTTGAATTCACAGGCACAGGCACAGGATATGTCACTGGGAATGGTTCTATTCATTGGAATGCTTGACGCTTGGGGTTAGAGTATATTTGTTCTCTATAAGCCATTATATCAAACACGGAAGACTGAATATTAGACCTACCATTGTCTTTTGTATCAACAGAGCCTAATGCTGGCAACCCGCACTAGTTTCTACCTAGTGTAGCATTCTCCTCGCTAATCAATCAATTGACACTCTATTAAGCTGAGGAGGCTACTTTGATATCGATTTTTCTTTGACCTGTACTGCGTAGAGTCGCAGCGCAGGGGAAAACCTTTGATTTGCCAGACTAGACCCACTTTGTGGGGCCGTGGATCAAATCCACCCGTGGACGTGTTGGCCACCAATCATATCTTAGCCTTTTATCAAGAACCAAGGTTGATCTCTACAGGTTCTAATTCGTCACATCGGATCTATAGGTTGAAGACACCCGTAGACAAGATGGTGGACCACGACGCAGGCTCAAGCGCGATATCGGTATGAGGAATCAATAATAATGACAACACTCCATTGTATGGTATCGGTGCCCCGCCAATTTACGACTGGGATGCTGTGGAACGCGTGCAAAAACAAGCGCCAAACCAAGCATACCAACCTTTTACCCACTCCTGACAACATTTCGCTGTACAAGATCACACCATGGTCAAAGGAGGAATTCGATGACTGGGAAGCTGTGATCCTCAAGCAGCTGAGAGTATAAAAACTACACGACCTGATTGACGAAAAGGTGCCCCGCCCTGGACGTGATGATCTAGATGCTGGGCGATGATGGGTGGATTTTTCGGAGAAAGAGTAATGCGGAATGATGATATCAGATTGACTGACAAATTTATGAAAGATTGCAAAAGATCCTTTGAAGGAGAGAGGCGCGCCGCGATCACAGTTGCGATAATGGAGTTCTTCAGGACTCGACGCACAGACTTCAATATATGCAGCGATGAGGGTAGGTGGTGCAGCTGAAAAATTGAAAATTGAAAAAAGAATACCCCTACTCTACTGAACCAAGTCCCCCCCGCTGGTGCTTACACGGGTGCCCGTGTTGTTCGAGTCCTTCATCAGGTAGATATAAGCCTCTGCCACCTCTTCGGGAGTTCCTACTTTCCCCAAGAGCGCTGTCTCCGCAGCGGCCGCCATTTTCTGTTTGCGCTGCTCCTCGGGTCCTTGGATTTCGGTATCCATTATTCCGGGACTGACAACATTGACCCGAATGGGGCCAAGTCAAGCGCAAGGGTACGCGTAACTCCAAACAAGGCTGCAGCCCAGCCCGCCATTACCGCCGCTCCTTTCATGGGTTTCTCCGCAATACGACCAGTGCTGAACGTGATGGATGATCGGTAGCTTTTGGTCATAAAGGGCGGGGCAACCTTGGCGATGAGAAGCGGCACAAAGACCAAAAACTGTCCATCACCGCGCAGGAAGTCGATGGTCACGTCTTGGAGGAATATCAACTCGAGATTGACAGCGGTATAGACGAGGTGGTCGAGGGGACGGCCCGTTCCCGCCGTAACCTCCGCAAATAGTTTCTCTAGGCGAGACTCGGCGTCACCCCCACTGACATCAACTGTGTAGTCCTTGATCTGGGCATTTGGCACGTCAGTTTGGATCCTTTGGACGGTCTTTTCCACACGGGCGAGATTGGACGAGGCAATCGAGACTTGAACGTCCCCCTCGCTGGCGGCCGGCTTGGCTACCGCAGCTCCAATCCCAGACGAGCCGCCAATGACCAGGATGTTGGAACCTGTGATTGGAGACATGGTGGATCAGATCAAATCGGGGATCTTTTCCCCACTGGATTGGAGATTTTAAGCTTCTTAGTAATGCAGCTGTCATCGAGAGTGAGGATTTTATATGGGCTTTCTTTCATCCAGATCAGCACCAGAAACAAGTCCGTCAAAGTCCGCAATCTGCGGTATCTCCGGTCAGTCAGTTCCCCGTGGAAATGCTATAACTATATTGTTCGTTGACTACTCTCTGACCTGGTCGCCATTAAATCCTTCCAATCGCCAACGCAGAAGCAGATTTCTCGGAAATAACGGGACGGGACAGGGGTTTGTTTCATTTGGAAGACTAAGCTAAGTCGAAAAAGAGAGCTGCAAAGCCGTTTCCTATATATAGTTTAGACCTAAATGGGAAGATGTGCGTGGCTTCTATTCTTGTATGAAGGGAGCATAGATTTGTATCTACCTATCTAGTATGTAGGGGTTCTATAGTTGATCAAGTTTACCAAGTCTATGGAGGACAGATCTTTAATTGATTTATCGCTCTGATTCCTACTTTCTGAAGCTTGTGATCTCCTGATTCCTTTTCTTAGATATAAAGAGCAAAGTTAGGTCTTGTATGCTTCCCTCGATTGAGCTAAACTAACGATGGCCCCTTCTACGCAACAGGGCTTGATTATGATAAGTGTTCTTCTTGATCAATTTCTAGAACCAGATATAGACTAATATCTGTGAGCCTCCGAAGCTTTTCTCTCAGACTTGGTCTAGACTAATACTTTATTTAGATGAAATTTATATGGCGCAATGACTTATCTGGAAACTAGAGGACTCTAGGTGAAGCGTTACAGTTGAAACAGAAAGCTTAAAGATGCTACGACTGCATATAAAAACTAAATTTATGCCCCTCCCGTCACTATCAAGAAGGTTTGTATAAGCATTCTTTGCACCATCAGCATGGTACTCAGATTGGCCCGCTAGGGCTTAAACTATGCACTCGGACGACAAATAACTGCAGTAATCCTAGCAAAGAGAAAAAGAAAAAGAAAAAGTTGGAAAATATTTCCTCCTGCTTGAATAGCACCCATGGCATCATCATAAGCACAATGAAGTATCTCCCAGACTACAAGATCAAAAGTGTACTGGGTACCATTTACAGTACGTAGCACGGGTTGGACTAGGAAATGGGGCACATATATACCTGGGTGCGGTCATTCTCTCGGCAGTCAAGAGCGAGACTCGTTTCTTCGCAAACCTTATGTATACGACGAGAAAGGGAGGCTATGGAACGACTGGTTGAGGAGTGTATGAGTCGAGGTTCGAGGGAGATTTGATGGCTAGCTTCTGGGATTTTCCGTAGATTGGTGTATATAAGACTACTTGTCTACTGGGGAAGATTGAATAGCGAGAATGAAAGCTAGGAAGGAGTGAATGCCGGGGTTGCCATCAAAAATTCCTACTTCAAAACTGACCGCTCACGTATTATATGGATCTAGAAAAGATTGCTCTGACCACAATACAAATCCTCCTTGCACGTTTATATCCGCCTTCTAGAACGAGCCGGTCACGGGCGCACCGTCAAGCCTGAAGTATTTAGGCTTGAGTCTGAGAGCCGGGACGTTCAGTTTCTCCGTCTCCAACCACCGGCCTTGCACCATTATCGAGGAGTAACTGAACTACCTCTGATTTGCAACAATCTGATGCAGCTTTCAGTGCATTGCCGTAGGTTGCAACCTGGGCATTCACATCCGCACCCTTGTCGAGAAGTAACTGAACCATCTTTAGATTGATTCTTCTTGACGCTTCTATAAGTGCAGTTCTTTCGGCGCGTGCATTCACATTCCGACGCCTGTCGAGGAGTGGCTGAGCCACCTGTATATTGCCCGCTCTTGACGCTTCTATAAGTGCAGTGCTTTCACCCTGTGCATTCGCATTCGCACCCCTGTCGAGGAGTAACTGAGCCACCTTTAGATTGCCCGCTCTTGACGCTTCTATAAGTGCAGTGCTTTCACCCTGTGCATTCGCATTTGCACCCCTGTCGAGGAGTAACTGAACCACCTTTAGATTGTCCGCTCTTGACGCTTCTATAAGTGCAGTGCTTTCACCCTGTGCATTCGCATTTGCACCCCTGTCGAGGAGTAACTGAACCACCTTTAGATTGTCCGCTCTTGACGCTTCTATAAGTGCAGTGCTTTCACCCTGTGCATTCGCATTTGCACCCCTGTCGAGGAGTAACTGAACCACCTCTAGATGGCCAGGTGATGATGCGGCTATAAGTGCAGTGCCATGACTCCCACCTTGGGCATTCACATTCGCGCCCTTATCGAGGAGTAACTGAACGAGCTTTAGTCTGGAACTATATGATGCTGCTGCAGCTTGCAGCGCATTGCCATAGCTCCCACCTTGGCCATTCACATTCGCGCCCTTATCGAGGAGTAGCTGAACCACCTCTAGATGGCCAAATGATGATGCGGCTATAAGTGCAGTGCCATGACTCCCACCTTGGGCATTCACATTTGCGCCCTTATCGAGGAGTAACTGAACGAGCTTTAGTCTGGAATCATATGATACTGCTGCAGCTTGCAGCGCATTGCCATGGCTCCCACCTTGGGCATTCACATTCGCGCCCTTATCGAGGAGTAACTGAACCACCTCTAGATGGCCAAATGATGATGCGGCTATAAGTGCAGTGCCATGACTCCCACCTTGGGCATTCACATTCGCGCCCTTATCGAGGAGTAACTGAACGAGCTCTGGTCTGGAATAATATGATGCTGCTGCAGCTTGCAGCGCATTGCCATGGCTCCCACCTTGGCCATTCACATTCGCGCCCTTAGCGAGGAGTAACTGAACCACCTCTGGATGGTCAGATGATGATGCGGCTATAAGTGCAGTGCCATAACTCCCACCTTGGGCATTCACATTCGCGCCCTTATCGAGGAGTAACTGAACGAGCTTTAGTCTGGAATCATATGATGCTGCTGCAGCTTGCAGCGCATTGCCATGGCTCCCACCTTGGGCATTCACATTCGCGCCCTTATCGAGGAGTAGCTGAACCACCTCTAGATAGCCAGATGATGATGCGGCTATAAGTGCAGTGCGTTGATCTTCACTTCGGGTATTTACATTTGCGCCATTGTCAATGAGTAGCTGAACCACCTCTAGATGGCCAGATGATGATGCGGCTATAATTGCAGTGCGTTGATCTTCACTTCGGGCATTCACATTTGCGCCCTTATCGAGGAGTAGCTGAACCACCTCTAGATGGCCAGATGATGATGCGGCTATAAGTGCAGTGCGTTGATCTTCACTTCGGGCATTCACATTTGCGCCATTGTCAATGAGTAGCTGAACCACCTCTAGATGGCCAGATGATGATGCGGCTATAAGTGCAGTGCGTTGATCTTTACCTCGGGCATTCACATTTGCGCCCTTATCGAGGAGTAGCTGAACCACCTCTAGATGGCCAGATGATGATGCGGCTATAAGTGCAGTGCGTTGATCTTCACTTCGGGTATTCACATTTGCGCCATTGTCAATGAGTAGCTGAACCACCTCTAGATGGCCAGATGATGATGCATTTATAAGTGCGGTGGGTTGATTTTCATTTCGGGCATTCACATCTGCCCCCTTGTCAATGAGTAGCTGAACCACCTCTAGATGGCCAGATGATGATGCATTTATAAGTGCGGTGGGTTGATTTTCATTTCGGGCATTCACATCTGCCCCCTTGTCAATGAGTAGCTGAACCACCTCTAGATGGCCAGATGATGATGCATTTATAAGTGCGGTGGGTTGATTTTCATTTCGGGCATTCACATCTGCCCCCTTGTCAATGAGTAACTGCACCACTTCTAGATGGCCAGATGATGACGCGCTCATAAGTGCAGTTTCACAGCTTCCACCCCTGTCTGAGAGTAACAGAAAAGCCTCCAGACGGTGAGATGTTGGTAGTGGTGCTGCCCAAAGTGCAGTGCTCTGCTTTTCATATTGGGAATTCACATTCGCACCCCTATCGAGGAGTATCTGGACTATTGCAATATACCCACTGGATGCTGCTAAACGCAAGAGATCGTCATAACCTTCGCTTCGCACGTTCATATTCGCACCAGGGCTGAGTAGCAGGCTAACCATATCCTCCCGATCCTCCTGGCCATAACACATTGCAATGTCAAGTGCTTCACCGTCAATATCCGCACCATGACTGACCAAAAGTTCAACAATATTTTTATGGCGTTCTTTTAATGCCAAATATATCGCAGTACAATTGTACTTGTCTCGAGCGTTGACAATGGCACCTTTATCAAGCAGCAGCTTGACGACGCTTTCTTTTCCTGTGTATGCTGCAGCATGTAAGGGAGTGCTATTGATAAAGCTTTGTAAATTTATATCAGCACCGTTTCGTAGAATCATTTCAACGACTTTTGTAAGACCATTGCTTGCTGCTGCATGTAGCGGACTAATTTCACCCGGAAAGTCCCAAGAGCTTTCCCAGCGCCCTCTGCAATAGCCACAAAATCTTCGAGTTTCGAGGTCACCCCTAATGGCCATTTCTGCAATGCACGAGGCTAGACCGTGGCTAGAGCTGGTTAGACTCTTTTGGAGCTTGATAGCTTCTTCAAACGCCTTTTGGGTAGGTTTCTCAGACCACGACCCGCAGCGTAGACACGATGGTCCAAACTCCCCGGGTTGGAGAATCGGCCTCGGAAAAGATTCAAGTGATTCTGGGTCGAATATTTCAGGTTTAAGATGCTCAATGAACTCTTCCTGCCTTCCAAAGCTTTTCCCACAGCCAATCTCATTCGGACATGGATATGATACCGACAACGCCTGGGGGTTGGAACGCTTTGTCTTAGAGAATTAGCAGTGTCCACAACCGAGAGATAAATTTGAAACAAACCTCTTCTATGTCCCTTGGCTCTGAATTTTCCTCGTGCTGACACAATAACGTTTTTTGTTTCGGGGCCCTATGTAATTAGATTGACTGAAGCAAACAAGTCCACATTAATGCTTACCGTAGTCTGAACCGTGCATCCTCTGGAAAAGACGCCGATGCCCATAGAGGCAATGGGGTCTGGAGTCTCACCTCCGTCTCATGCGGTGAATCGGAAAGCGTATCGGAAATAAGCCTTTGACCAGCTCGACGACCATCAAATATCGACATGCTCAGCTGCATACCGGGATATAGACCTGATTCCCAATCCTCGGTCGTAATTAATATCCAAGTCTTTGATTCAGTCGGAACGGGGCTGAATAGCCATATAGATTGCTGCTGGATGGCTTTCAAAATTGGGTCATTCTTGAAAGCGTGCTGTAGAAAATCCGAGAATCCCTATTCATAAAATACATAATTAGTATCCGACAATCAAATGCAGGCTGCTAACCAAAGTATTAAGAACATACCTCAAATGTCCCACAAATCTCTAGCGGCACAGGGTACCGCCTCCCTATCGCATCTTGAAATCGAATTGGCTTCTGGTCCCAAGGCTCTTGAAAGGTGTTGTCGATGTGTAACTTGAGTTGCTTCGCACCATTGTGCATCTCATGTTGGAGACCTTGCATAGCCCGACTATCATGCAAGAGAAACATCAGTATACCTGTTAAATTGCATCAAATTAGAACATGGATATTTCCCCGAGCATACCTGTTTAGAGTGTGCATGGTCAGCGTTAAAATCGCCGTATAGCCCCGAAGAGCCTCCCTGAATTGTTGAATTGGCTTTTTCCCGTATAAAGACCATGAGACACGCTTCTTGAAGACGACGAATTTCTTCGCCCTGTCTTTCTCTGTAGATTTGGCAAGATCCTTGAACTTTTCGATGTGGTTGTTGAAGTTCTTTGTCTGTCGCTCAATTTGAGCGAGTATTGTTTTCACTCTGGTAACCTGGTCTTGAGGAAGCACTACCCCATCCACTATCGCTTGCTGAAATTGAATAAATACCCCCTGGAAGGCAGATAACTCGAGCTGCAACTCTCGATACAATTTCGAGTCTTCTGATACATCACTGAGAGCCTGGGAAATTTTCCAGACTAGCGAAGCGACCGCCACGAAGTCGCCAACACCAAAGCCGAATGAGGGGATCATAATCTCGTAGTGACTGTGAATAGACAATATCGGACATAATAATACGAGATCAATACTTATAGGAAATATCGAATTATGTGGGACATTTATATTGTCGGTTTGTCTCTTCGACGCACAGCCTCAACACTACAGCGCTAAGGCGAGGCCCCGACATGCAAACAATCCATGTCCTGCTGCATTGACGCCTAAGCAACGTGTATGAATTTAATTGGCCTTGAAAGGTCTTTTTGTGGCCTTACGTCTGCTGCTACTGTGCCACCACAGTTTCCCTGGCACAGCCAAACTCCAACGAAGACCAATACGACTGGAGAATGAAGGACATTGCCTAGCACCTACGATGTCCGAACAAAAATTCCTCGACTGATACTCGGGTGTGATGCATTCCGAAGCAGCTTAAAGCTATAGAGACGACGGGGTTCCTCACGACTAGGACGGCGAGCCCATAGTCTACAAGACTTCTCAGAACTACGCAACTTTGGGGCGCCAGGAGCGCGGTCGCCTTATCGCTGAAGGCGCTGATTCTGATTCCGTCATTGGTTATCGGAGATTTTAGCAGCAGGACAGATGCATGAAGCGCCGGAGAAGTGGTTGAAGTTTGAGAAGCTAGCCAAAGGGAGATCTGAATTGTAACAGCGGGGTACGCGTCGATATCTGTCGACATCTGCATATATCAAACAGCTCTTATTCGCGCGGATATCAAGGCGGGGATTTTGCCCCTGCCCGTACCTGCCCAGGTGATTCCCGAGCGGTGTATTGTAAGCCACATTTATTATTAGTATTACTATTCTGGGCTTCCTACTCCGTACTCCGCAGACATCCGCAAAAAGCAGTTTAGACCTATCGGTAATATCTATGGCTAGATGATGCACCCGCTTATATAGCGAATTTTGAGGCCCCAATTTCCCTGAGATATTCTAAGCACTCATATTAACTAAAATGAACTCTAATAATAGGTCTTCCTAGGAGCTGCTAGACCTCTCTGGCACTGTAATGTGATTGGTCAGAGAAAATAGATCCTAGGAGTTTAAGCGCTAGTATACCCGTCTGCGAGAACTATAGCTGGTAAGTACTATGAGTCAATGTATAAAAATACTGTTCCCTCCTAGAGTGAAAATATCCAAGCTTCAAGCATTGTTACTAAGTTTAGCAACCGTTAGTACATGCCAAATTGATAGATGCTGGTATGTGCTAGTATTGAGGTATCACATTGAGATGCATTAGTGTGTGTTCTCGCGGGATCTCGCAGTTGAAGCGTTGCCAGAAGTCATTCATAACGTGTTATGAAACTGGTATCCCGAGCATTCCCTGTACCACATAGAGTCAAACAAAGAATAGTAGGTACTCCCTCAGTTCGATATAGCCTTTTACTATAATGACCTGACGCATGGCAAGAAGCCTTGTTGGTGTAGTAAATATACACTTCAACAATTCCACAATGTGTCGGAAGCGCTACGATGACTAGGCTTATGAGGCATTGTTCTTAAGCTGCAGTTATGCTTCTACTAGCTGCCCTCTGCCTCTACCTCTGCCTCTTCCAGGGCCTGACATGGGGTAATTCATTCCCTGCCACCGTCTTCTGGTCTCCTCCAGTAAGTCCTGCGGAGTTTTACCCTCCACGTTTGGCTGGCTCATCAACATAGCAGTATCCTCCCCAGCAGCCTCCTTCAGAGCACGCATCATTTCATCCTGAAGTCTGATCTTGTTCGCAGTTGTCACTTCCTTATCCCTTCCATCACGGCGTACATAATCACTCAGGAATCCCCGCGCTGCCGTATGAAATGGCGTCTCTCGGACGGTATTCCGAGCCCGGAAATCCGCCCCGTGCTCAATTAAGAACTTTGCTGCCGAGACCTGCCGCAAATTCTGAGCAAAGATGTGCAATGCTGTTTTCCCGTTATTCTCGGCATGATTGATATCGGCACTGTGCGAAAGGATTAAATCCAGGAGCGTGGTCTCAACGGGGTCACCTTGATGGGAGTGGTACCCCAATAGGTGTAGGATGGTACGGCCAGAGCCATCGGGGATTCCAGGATCAGCCCTGTATTCGAGTAAAGTCCGGATAGCAAGCTCAGCATGCTGGCTACAACCGCACATAGCGTGGCTTATAGCAGCATAGTGCAGCGGCGTGGATCCAGTGTTGTCAACAAGGTTGATACTAGTAGAATCATGGTCGAGGAGCAGTCGAAGGGTCTCTGTGATTTTGAGCTGCTTCTCCATGAGTCTACAGTTAAATCCTCCAGGGCCACTAGCTGCCCAATGAAGTGGGAGCCGCCCATCACTGTCGCAGGAGGAAGCCAGCTCAGGGTTGGCATTATTCTTGGAACTTTGATCACTCAGGAGCAATTTAACAGCCTCAGGATTGTAGAAGAAACTTGCCAGATGGAGCGTCGTGACATCATATGCGCGACTATTTCTGACCCTGGACTGGAACGGCACCCTGGCATGATGAAGGTGTTGATGCTTGAGGTAGATATCGGCACCGGCATCAATGAGCCGTTGAATTAATGGACCATTGGCCCTTGACACAGCAAACCCAAGCACACTGTCTCGCACCTGACTCCCCCAAGGAGAGAGATCATTTGGCAAAGGGGGAATAACATCTGCCGCTGAACAGCCCCGGTCGAGAAGGAGATTAACCAACTGATGGCTCTGCGCAATCCGATTCTGAACCCACTCATTGCAATCGAGACCCTCATTTTCTAATTCATCGGCATCTTTCTCAAGATACATCAGCGACCCCGTAGCCGCAAGGATCGGCGTATCTCCGGAGTCATCTCTCTGATGCAAATCCACCGTCCCGAGTGGTAACCGATTCTCTGGACTGTCATGGCTGTCCAAAATAAAGCGCACCACATCAACATTGGCCGCACTACATGCGTCGAGTAGCAGACGGAACTTGGGATTGAATCTCTCGACCACTTCCGGGGCCGCAGTGTACACCTCCAAGAGGATGCGAAGAGCCTCGGGGCTGCCGTAAGAGGCTGCATTGAACAAGGTGTCCTCCAAGTAGGGTGTCCCAGGGGCAATCACATCCTCGGGAGAGCATGAGGCGATGAATTGACAGAGTTGAGGGATGTCATTCTGCTTAATAATGTTCACGAGGCGGTTTCTGTGCCTGCCGATTATTTGAGAGGGGGATTCTGGGAGATCCAAGTGGTCCGAGATAGGAGAATCGCCCTCCGCCATGATAATTTATTCTCCTCTTTTGCCTTGTGTTTTCCTTCTTACATCAGCATAGAAAAAAACTTTGGAGAGGAAAAAAAGCAGACGAAGAGGGGGAAGAAGAGGGTTTTTATATTAATGCTTCAGGTACACAGGGGCGACCCCACTAACGTAATCCACGACTCAGCCCGTGGGCCCCGTGGGCTCTGGGGCCTTGATAGGAATTGGTGACTCGGACACTCCCGCTTTTGCTCCTCAAGTTGATCCTCTCTTTCATCTCTCTATGTAGATAGAGACGTCTAGATCTGCTCGTTTAATAGCTTCCTACTTTTTATATGGCATTAAGAAAAATGTCACATCTAATACAAAGCAGCATTTTACGAACGTGGCATATCTGGAATTTCTAAAATTATAGAACCGGCTAATTTATTCTACTACAGAGAATAACTCCAATTCTACGCCAACCTGGGGTTTTATATAATTATTCATCCTCATATACAGTATTTCCACCCAAGCAGCTCAAGTATTGCGATAATTCCAAGGATCCGTCGGTGCCACTCCATCCGGCCGCCAATTATCATCGAACGCGCCATCATCAGGGTCCAACCTGTTGCGCGCATTAATGTTTGGAGTAAAGCCGTCGTCGATTGCGATATTTCGCAGCGATGGCCAGAGGAACGCCAGATTGTCCACCGAGAAGGTACCCTGATCGTGGAGCCATCCTCCCTATTCCTTATTAGTATATCCATATTGTATCAGGGCAAATGGAACCTACAAAATCATTCAACAACTGGCCATAGTCCGCATTCGGACTGGCCGACCCAGGAACCGTACTGTCCCGATTCCGACCAACATACCACCGCTGCGATGAATTGCCACGGCGCTGCCGGGGACACGCGATGGTATCAGTCCGGGAATTATAGTCTTGCAGATTGCCCGTGTTATATCGCCCACCCGCGTAGGAGCTTGTATAGCGATATTCAGCCCGATATCCCTGCGCGTATCCCGGGGTAACGGCCCCGGGGAGGTAGACGCCCTGGCTGTGGTAAATGCCCATGTTCCGGACCCCCATGTACAGGACGTTGTCGCCTCCCATGAATGTATCCGCGTCGAGCGGGACATGCATGTGCATGACGATCCACCTGTCAGTGCCTGCCGTGTGACTGCGATCCCCGTAGTTGGTCCGGATGGTAGTATCGGCCACACCCAGGGTTGGGCCCATCCAGAAGGCCAGTTCGAGGATCACCTCGTTACCGCCACTGGAAGTGGACTGGAGCCACCGCAGGTAGTGGAGGGATAGATCGCCCTGATATAGCATCAACCATGGTTAATACATGAGCCCTTATCCAAGATGAAAGATAGAAAGTGACAGAGAGGAGTACTTACATTGAGAATACCACGCAGGACATACATCACAGACGGGGAGCAATTGTTATCTGAACGCTCCTCGGTGCCTACGACGGTCACAGTCCGCGACGACAAGGTGGAATCATCAGTTGGATCATCGCAGAGGTATTCGGACGCGACATAGAGCCGGCTCAGCCCCTGGGACGAATCGGCAATGTTGCACAGTTCATCAGACAGGGTCGAAGCCGGGCTATAGAGGAAGGATCCCGACCAATTATTGGCGGAGCCAAAGAACACCTCCCTCATGGTCGAGGCATTGGCCGCATCATTCTGCAGTCCATGCTCCTCCAACCGCAGGTCCCAGATATTGTTGATATCTTCGCGCTGGACTTCGGCAGTGATCCAGCTTTCGAGCAGGGGCATCAGGCGGTTTAGAGTATCGGCTTGGTCCAATAAGTCTCTCCGGGCCCCCGCCACACTGAACTCGGTGTTCCTGTCCTTGTTGCTATTGCTGTTGTTGTTACTGCTGAGGCTCTGGACGTACGACAGGTCTCGTCGGCTCATATAGTCATCGCCAAAGGTGGCACTGTACTGGGCCTCCCAGGTTAAGGGGCATACGGGGTCCTTGAGCCACTTTTGCAGGTAGGCATCGAAATCCTTGGCTGTCTGGTCCTGGTAGGTGAGCGGCTCGCTCGTATCAGACCGGGGCGCGACCTTGGCAGTGGCCCCCTTGCAACAGTAAGCCTCATTCCCGGCCCAGCAGTCGGTCGTGTGGCCCTTCAGGTTGTTTCCCATCATTATGTTGATCGTCTGCTCAGCAATGCGAATGTAGCCGGAGGGACACGAATCACTGCAGTACGCCGTGTTCACAAAAGTTGTCTCATGGCCCTTCCACTCGCAGTTGGTGAAGGCATCGGGGACTGACGAACCCGAGCAGCAATAGTTGTACGTTTTATCGCTCTTGCACGATGGCATGCCTCCCCAGCCATTCCGCGAGCCCACCACAAAGTTAGAATAGCCCGAGGGGCACGACTGGTCATCCTGACAGCTAGTTGTCCATGCGCACTTAGACCAGGGGTCGGTCGACGAGGAGACAGAGCAGCAGGCTGATTGGTAGCCTGAGCGAGTACAACCGGCGCCGGTGGTGCCCACCTCAGCCTCTCCGTCGTCACAGCCGCCCTTGCACTTGCCGTTATTGTGGAAGCCACGCCACTGGCAGGTTGGCACGTCCGAGGACGTCGGACAGCAGAGCGTCTGCGTCTGCTTCGCGCCGGGCGGGCACTCGGTGCTGTCGAGCATGAGCTGGGAGGTCTTGTCACCGCGCTGGATTACCGTATAGCCACTGGGGCAGACCTCTCCACAGTTGATGAAGCGGCAGTACGAGTCCTGGCTAGGGGTGCTGGAAGAGGAGCTAACAGAGGTAGACTTCTCGACGAACACGGCCGGCGTCAGTCCGGTCGTCGTATCTAGATTGATTTCGTTGCCCAGAGCGGCCGCTAGTCCCTTGGAGAAAGTGTGTGAGCTATCATCACTGTCAATAGACCAGACTAGGACTCCGCCTAAACACTGAGATTTGGCTAGCTCGGCCTTCAGCTTCCAGGTGTCTTCATCATCATATGAGACCCACTGGTCGCCGTTCCAGTTGATAGCTTTCACAGCGGCGTCTTTGTAGAGCTTCGGGGTCAGGTCATTATCACTGATGATTGCCTCAATCTCGTTGTTAAACAAGACACCGGCTGTATTACTGCAGTCGCCGGCATCTCCGGTGGAAAGATATAGACACCCCGGTTCAGTGCAGGAGGAGGAGGCGAGGGTGAAGCTGCGGCCATAGAAGGCCATGCCCATGTTGACCTTACTGGGCTTGATATTATTCCTCCATATCAGATTCAATGCGGTCTTGATCTCAGTAAGGTTGGTATGGGCATTCAGATAGGCGCCGGTCCACTCATTGCCAATGTCCCAGGTGCCGTGCAAGTCATAGCTCATGAAGTTGAACCAGTCAACCGACGGGTCGATGGATTCCAGATCAAAGTGCTGCAAATACCAGTAGCTCGTGGGCAATGTGATAGACAAGCCAAACTTATACTCGGCCAGAGCCTTCTTCAACCGAGCGAGGAACTTGGGAAAATTGGCATAGTCTGAATCCCGGCCATTGCGATCGCCCGCCGCAGGGTACTCCCAGTCGATATCAATACCAGTGAAGCCATAGTTAGTCATGAACTGGGTGAGTGACTTGAAGAAAGCGTTCTGCTGGCTCGTGCTGGCCCCAACCAGGTCGGAGAATGTCGTTGCCGTCGGGGTGCCATCGTCGGAAAAGTCCCAACCACCAATGGAGAGCCAGAGCTCCTGGCTCAAGTCACGCATTTGAAGCGCCTGCATCTGGGGGTAAAGCAGTGTATCCGCATTGGACGCCGGAATGACCTCAAAACTTTCTGGGTCGATGCTCACGAAGGCAAAATAGATGTGTGAGTAGACACCCTGAGGTACCGATGCGGGCTGCATGCCACCACAGCCCCGAGACGCTGCCGCTGAGTTGTAGTAGCCAATGACTCGGGTGATCGAATGCGAGTCTGCATCGCAGGATGGCCGAGTCACGGTGGCGTTGCCACAGAATTCCTCAGTCGTGCCGCAGAAACCAAAGGGACTACAGCAGACATTCAGGGGACAGGTTGTCGCGTTGACATACTGGTCTGGCCAGTTGTCTGGATTGCACTCGGCTTTTGCCTTGCAGTTGTTGATGCAGGTCTCAGCGCTACAATAGGTTGGTCCCATGCCACAAACATTGTATTTACCGCAGCAGCCAATCTCACAGGGGGTATTTGCATCGCAGTAGGTATCGGCAAGTGCCAGGGAGAGAAGCCCCAGTAGGGTCCAAAGAATTCGCCTCATGGGACTGTGGTTATTAATAGTATTAGACAGTGGTGATTAACAAAAGAACCGAGATAATGTCAAATCGAAGGAGTATAGAGGTCAAGAACTTACAGAGATATGCCACTTAGCCTCTGCTAATATTTATAACCTGCTTTCCTAGTGAAGAATCTGCAAGAGATGTATCCCGTAATATATAAGGAAACTCTAGCATTTTCCGGCCAGTCAATTTCATTTCGTGTCCTTCTGTCTTGCCCTCGCCGTTCTCGGCGCATTCTCTGAACAGTCAGTGAAGCCATCTACAGTCTAGGCAAAGTCGTATGTCTCATCTAGCGAGATTAGACCTCGTCAGGCGACCAGTCAGAACAGTCGGCCCTTGGCGGATTTATCGGATGGATGGAAGAGTAATATTGCCAGGGGCCTAGTAAGCCAAGCCACATATTGCCGGACATCCAATGCTTGTCTGCGAGAAATTTTCTAGTCAGCAACTAGAGGGATACTAAAATCTAGTTGCAGCCAGCTAGTTTTGCGCTAGTGGGGTTTCGTCTGTGTTAGCGTGACGATTAAGCCTTCAACAGTAGTAGTGACCGCCACGCGGCCTGTCCCGTCTTCCCTGTTGGAGAGAACCTTTAAATTTACCATGAATTGGCCCCTACTTGCACAACCGAGGTCCACATGTATACGGGGCCAAGGGCGAATAAAATCAGATGTCGACCAGAAGTGAACGCCTGATACCACTTTGGGCGGTGTCTAGTATGTTTTAGAGTACGCCCTGTATTATGCTCTCATTTCCGATTTCGGGGGGTGCTTCGGACAAGATCCTGTCAAGTCATATCGGGTCATATAGTAGTATCTCCTGACTACCACAAAGGCTCGAAGTGATTTTTTCTTTTCATAACAGGTACTGGCGACCCTGGGACTGCTGGAAAGGAAATCCAAACACGCACCTTTTCCCTTCCACGCTCCAACATGGTCCTTCCCGGCGTTCTTGCGCTGCTTCTGATGGGCTTTGCCGGCGTCAATGCAGATGCCGGTGTTGCCATGTTTATAAATGGTTCTCTGTCCAGCTTGGGTTTGACCCCAGCCTGTGAACTTTCGCTGTACAATAGCATTGAGTGTGACCCGGGCGTATCATCCCTGGCCACTAGTTCCTATGGGGGCAGCGTCGACAACGCTACGTTGACGTCTCTGGTCTGCCAGAGCACCTGCGGGACATCAATTGCCCAGCTGCATGACTCTGTGGCGGCCAGCTGTAGTACCACTGCTGAATTGGTCCCTGGCATGCCCTTCCTTGCGCTGGTTGATCAGGTCTGGAGCAACTGGAACGCAACTTGCTTTACCGATCCCACAGCCAGTGGTAATTGCAACGGTATATACGCCCTATCGCCAGTCCCCTCATGTCAGATTGTCCTCTCGCTAACTGATTCCAGATATCATTGCGGCGTTTCCTGATGTTGACGATGTCACTGATCTGCCTACTGCAGACCTGTGCTCGTATTGCAACGTGCAACAGTTAGCCCTCCTCCAGGCGAACGCCTATTCAGACGCCTACACTGAGGACTGGAAATTAACTTACGAGGCCGTTGCACAGGCCTGTAACCTCACCGTATCTGATTTTGACCCGGTGCAGAGTGCCTTTAATGTGACGGTCCCAGCTGTAGAGGTGGACTGCATCTCCGGGAACACATACACTACCAAGGAAGGCGATACCTGTGACTCTATCGCCCAGACCTATGGCGTTTCTGCTGCCACCATGTTCTATATCAACCCGAACATCGTCAATTGCTCATCCATCTGGACTGGCACTGATCTCTGCCTGCCCCAGACTTGTAGCAGTATCTATACAGTCCAGGATAATGACACTTGCAGCACCGTTGCTGCCGACTATGCCCTCCTCACAGTGGACATCATCAACTTTAACTCTCAACTCAACGTGAACTGCAGCAACCTGGTCGATCCTGTCCCTTACTGGGGATCGACCCTGTGTGTCTCCACTCCGGGAGGCCCATACACTGGCCAGCCCCTCAACACCACCACCGATGACAGTGGTAGTTCGATTGTCAGTCCACCGGCAGGCAGCCCCGTGGCTACAGGCACAACGACCAACTGCGGCGCCTGGTTTGTCAACGAGGCTACCCTCAATCTCACGTGCGCGCAGATCTGTCTGTCCAACCTGATCGCTATCAATCTCTTCACCGAGGCCAACCCATCCTTGAACAAGACTACCTGTGACAGCGATCTAGTAGGTGGTGCTGCCTATTGCGTTGATCCACTGCCCGGGTGGGACTTTGGAAATTCCACCTCAACCACCACGACCACTTCGGTCCCGGCAGCGAGCACGCCAGAGGCTCCCACGCAGACGGGAATCGCTTCCGACTGTAACAAGTACTACACTTCTCAAGGTAAAAAATATTCTCCACCCACGTTTTCTTTTCTCTTCTTCTTTTCTTTTCAGATTATATGTACTGATCACTGCATGATAAGATGGCGACACTTGTGATAAAGTAGCGGCCGAATTCGGCATCACCACCGCACAGTTCCTTGCCTGGAATCCGGCTATTTCTTCAGACTGCACGTCTGGGTTCTGGTTGGAAGAAGCATACTGCGTCGGTGTGTCGTCCTCGACTACCGCCACCACCACGGCAGCCTCAACAACAACTACAGCAACCAAAGCAACAACGACTACTACCGTGACCCCCCTGCACCCACTCAATCTGGTATTCCCAGTGACTGTAATAAGTACTATGTGCCAGTGGGTATGTCTAGCCACCATTCTCTCTTCCCCTTCCCCCTCCCCAATCCATACTTCCTCGTGTAGAAATGAACTAATGTATACAGACGGCGACAACTGTGCTACTGTGGCAGCCGACTTTGACATCACCACCGCTCAATTCCTTGCCTGGAATCCGGCTATCTCATCAGATTGCACGTCTGGGTTCTGGTTGGAAGAAGCATACTGCGTCGGTGTGTCGTCCTCGACTACCGCCACCACCACGGCAGCCCCGACAACAACTACGACAACCAAAGCAACAATCACTACTACCGTGTCACCCCCTGCACCAACCCAGTCCGGTATTCCCAGTAACTGTAATAAGTACTATGTGCCAGTGGGTATGTTTAACCACCCTTCTCTCTTCCCCCTTCCCCTTCCCCCTTCCCCTTCCCTCTTCCCCTTCCCTCTTCCAATTTATATTCACTCATATGGGAACAAACTAATATATACAGACGGTGACAACTGTGCTACTGTGGCGGCTGAATTTGGCATCACCACCGCTCAATTCCTCGCCTGGAATCCGGCTATCTCGTCAGATTGCACGTCTGGGTTCTGGTTGGAAGAAGCATACTGTGTAGGGGTTTCATCGTAGATATCTACTAGTGGGTACATATATTCGTGGAGTGGTTATTCAAATTATCTTCTACACAGAAATCCCGGTAGAGTGCTGGCTCAATACAGTCAACTTCCACAAGCTACACAAATTGTCTTTGCTCAGCCCAGTTTCGCCCACTTCTGACTTGTTGTAATAAAAATTATTATGATAACCTACTACACTAGTTATCTGAATAACATCATCTCGTCATTTAACTTGGTGTTGTTGATAAATCCCTATACCTAGCCAATATATACATCTAGAACATGAGGACCTGTGAAAGTGACGCCGAAAATGACCACTTTCGACGTCAGAAACGGCCGTCTTTCCACCCGTAAATTCGGACGTCCAGCCGGCTCTTAACCGCTCACTGCCCTGGGAAGCGAAGCTACAATGGCAGAAGGGCAACTATGAGAATGATGACCCTATTTTGCTTGGATTTCCTTCGAGGCCGAGGCTGAACAATGTGGTTACTACTCTCAAGGCTCTCTAGATGTCAATATCTATTTCCCTTTTTATAATTTTAAACAAAATCCGACTAGTAGAGGTCGAGAAGGGTTAATATATATTTTGATATTGGATACATATTTAGCATTCATTCGAGAGTACTACCACTGTCTAAGTGAACCTCTAGAATTTAAAACCTATCTAAACAACGCGTTTTTTTTTAAAAAACTTTTTAGAAGTGATATAGAGAGAAAAGTATTAATTAATTCTAAATCATTTAGAATAATAAATTATTACACTTAGGATAAGGCTTAGAAACGGGGGTAAAACGAAGGCTAATTTTAAAACCCTTAAAAGGGGGTTCAACTTTACTTGGCATCTAATTTTTCGGTATGTTCGTACTGTTCGGGGCCCATTCAGGGGCCTATTAAACCGCAGTGGGCTTCTACCTTAGGCCCATAGCCCATTGGTGGGCCTGAGGCCGGGCCCAAACCCCAACCCATTGGCGGGTTGGGTCCGGGTTGGGCTTTGGGCTTTGTGGGCTTGCGGAGGCCTATCGCCAAGCGTGTTGGATTTTTCAAACTTAAGAAATATAAAATTCACGATCTCCAAAGTCCTTGCTTGTACCGCTGCTAATGACGAGTGATCATCAGAGCATGAAACATGATCATAGCTTGTTGCTTTCCTCTTTTGTCAACTCCACTGGCGGGACGCCAATATCATGTGCCCAATACAACTTGTCAATACGTCCATCTTCACTGCATTGGAACACGGCTTTCCAAAATGCTGGCCCTTGGTCCGAGCCTACCCAGCGGCCACGTCTAGATAACTCGTTCCGTGGAAGTAGCCATGTGAAGGTGTCATCCTCATAGTGTTCAAGTGGAAATTTTTCCGAATCAAGCCCTTGGAACCTCCAGTAGAGCTTGTTGTCCTCCAAATTCACAACAATCTTGAAGACGTGAATGTTATCCCAGTAAGTCCCAATATACTCTTCAAGTTCTCTAGGTGATGTTCCATTCTTCCGAGCAGAGCCTAGCTCCCCCACCAACGCGGGATACCACTTCAAGTTCTCAGCGACCGAGGAATGGGCTGCCTTAACATAATCATTTCTCTCGGATTCCGGTACCTCGAGAAGCTCTTCAAGAACGAGTTGGCCAACCCAGTCAGGAACATCATTCAGAGCTAATGAGTTAGACAAAACAATAATGACATTATTGGTGTCCGGAAGTAGAATCACAATTGAGAGGGCGCCAGGAAGGCTGCCCTGGTGGAAAAGAATAAGCTGCGAGGGTACGCCTTTCCCAACAATAGGCATCCCATCAGGCATCAGGCCGGGATTGATTCCGATCTGACCTAGCCGGTTAGGAAGCTGGGCTCTGCCCCATCCGAGTGCATATGATAGCTCATTTCTCGAGGGTTGATCCATTGGAATTTTAGCGGAAGTGAGATAAGGAACCTGTTTAAAGGGAGAACCTTCGCTCGCTCCCTTTCCAGTGGTGAATTGGTCTTCAAAGCTAGCGGTGAAGGTTTTGTATAACTTCAAAAGATCACGAACACAGGACCATGCGCCCCCACTTGGTCCGGAAAACCAATCTTGGCCTGCCTTGGGGCAAGAAATCGGGGTGGTAGAGGCATCGTCGAGTGCGTTATAGCACTGTGTGACATCTTGGATACCCGATGGTGGAGATTTGAGGTAGGTTCGATCTAGGCCGAGGGGATCGAGAATACGTGTTTGGATAAACTCAAACCATGAGATACTACTTACTTCCTCGATGATATAACCTGCAAGGTTATATGCAAGATTGTTGTAGGACATTTCTGCCCGGAGCGGAAGAACGCGCGACTGTGAATTGATGTATTGGAGTCCATCTTTTCCTGAAATGAGAATGTTATTTTCGGTACCGATAACCAGGTTACTGCTCCAGGCCATGCCTGATCGATGAGATAGGATATCAGTTATAGTCAACTGATTCTGCATCGTCTCGTCTCTTGAATTGAAGGATGGAAGAACGTCCTTCACCAGTGTGTCCCAGCTGAGTTTATCCTCGTCGACAAGAATCGCCATTGCAGAAGCAGTCAAGGCCTTCGTCAGCGAACAAATAGGAAAGATTGTTTCATCGCTAACAGGTAGACCAGCTTCTGTATCTCGGGCACCAAAGCTTGCCTTGTAGACCGGGTTTTCGCTCGAAATGACTGCGAGTGAAAGCCCTGGAGTTCCACCGATGCGCATCAAATCTTCGATAGTGGGACAGAGATCATCCAGTCGTGTAGGGAGCTCCGCCATTTTGGAGGATGATTAAGGGGCTGCGATGGTTAGGTCAACTCAGACGGCGTAGAAGAGCACGGGCGATGAACTGGGCACAACTGACAATTATTATGAGAGAGAGATACAGTAATTACAATGAAATGTAGAAAATTCTCTTGTTGCATGAAGAGGAGAAGAAACTATCTACAGGGCTTAAGACTACTACAGTAGATAGTGCGGGAAAAGAATACCACTAACTAGACCACACACCAAAACCAAGATAAGCGTATGGATGCGGCCTAGGGGCCCCATATCGTTGTTTGACAGATAGGAACAAGCCGGAGGTCACGTGACCCCAACAGATTAATTCAAATCTCGAAGAAGGGCTGCAATCTCCCCAAGCTACGCGTTGCTAGGACTGTAAACAAAATAGGAATGGCCGTTAGAAGGGATTTCCGTGGTAGCCACATGTACAAAATGGGGACTTGGAGGCTGGAGGTCTTCTGCTGAGGCAGAACCTAGCACACTCTATTCTAGCATTGGCGGTCTGGCTGAAAGGGTAGATAGCAAGCTCAAAGAGAGTCAAAGAAAAACTCGACAACCTTCTCAAATTAGACACTACCGAGATGGCCTCAAAATTACCATGGGGATGACCCCATGCTTTTTGACTATCTCACTGGGAAAATCGTCTAGTTACACCGCGGATGTTACAACCTGCCCCTGGACTGGCGAGTTACACACTAGGCCAAAAAGACCACTATATCTGAGCATTACGCTCAGATATTCCAGGCTCCGATATATATAGTGCGACATGACAGCGGAAGACTTGGATTTGTAGATTTCGCTATATAAAACTTCAAGTTGAAACCATGAACACAGTCTGAGTAGCATGTTAGTCTAGCTACAATCATCCCTAGAAACCAGATGGTCTAGAAAGCAATGTTTTCCAAAAGCAATATGAGGTATGATGAATCTTGGTGTTCTTGAAATTAAAGCTCGACAATGCAGAAATACTTCTGATTGGGCGTTTCATGTTGACCCTAGCAGGCAATTCAGACTGAGCGGATAAACGGACTTTGTTTCTCATCCGTACTCCGTAACACACCGAATCGCTACTATGTATATGTCTTGATATCTGACATTAACAGACTGAAAAAAAATCCTTGAGAGTAGACTTCGCCGTAAGCCACAATTAGGGCGGGTTTTAGGGTGAGGACTATAAACCGTAAGGGTTTATAGGGCCCTAATTAGTTTTTAGAGTAGAATTGTAGAGTATAGTTGTAACCTTTATAATCTATATAATTTCCCTCAAATTCTACTAAATTTTATTTATAAATCCACGATTATTTTAATAAACATAAGATTATATAATTATATTCTCTCGCTAATGATTATCATATATATTTGCATATAGATCCAGTGAATTTCTACAACATGTAGTTCTAATGGATCTATTCATATGTTTATTCGAATTCATGTCTTATTTTTGTACGAAGTACGAAATCGAATATTTACATAATTATCTTGATTTTGCAGGCCACAATACTAATACGTACCAAAGGCGGTGATGGTATTGATTCCATCCTGTGAGTGCACTTTCCACCTCGCACCTACTTACCAAGATGTCATCCTATCCCCAATCCGCTCTGAAGGCTTCGAGGGATGGATAAGAAGATTGGATCTGCATGTGACCAATGCCATGGCCACAAGCTCAAGTGTTCTCCGCAACCTCAGGGATGTTTGCGTTGCAATAGTATGCTTGCTCCCATTCTCTGCTAGGCAGAACCGTATCTCAACTCCTATTTAGGGTTAAATATTCGATGTACCTTTGTTCGGCAAATGAAGAAACGGGGCAGGAAAGCAAGCCGAAATGTGGCTCCAAAATTACCCGCAGCCAGGCCGGTAGGAATCTATATCCACCACCAAGTTATTATAAACTGATCTAGTATCGCGGATAGGATGCGCCGGATTATCCTGTTCTAGACTGTCTTCGAGAATTGTCAATTCTAAAGCCAGATGAAGAACATGCAGGGTATATAAGCAACCGATGAACTCCGAATATAGCCATGGATCACTATACTGACCATGACAGCTCTTCTACACTCCACCTCACTCGCTACAAGGCCTGTCGTCTTTTGGAACATTATTATACATCACCTAACCAGGAGTTTCACAGTTTACTCATACGACGAGAGAGACTGTTAAACCAGCATAATCCACGACCAACTCTGCCAACCTTACTACTTTCAATTCTATGTATGTCTTTGCATGTCGTGGAATGACAGCCCCTGATTATCTCACAATGGCATAGGCGTTGCATGCTTTATGCCCTCGTATGATTTAGCACCGGATGTTTCAGAAAGAACCACGAAAGAACGCGCCGCTCTGGGGCGATACCTCTTCGACAAACTGATCTATCACTTCCACCCAAGGACATTGCCCGATGCCAACCACGTTTTTGATGACGCCCTAACAGCTTTCCTCATGACAAGTATTTCTCCGAGTGAGAAGTCAGTCGAATCAACTCTACATTATTGGCTCACCTTCCTTGTATCAATTGTCCAGGAACAACAATTGCATAAAGATGCACCGAACCTGAGCGAAGATGAGAAAGAGGAAAGAAGAAGGTATTTGCCACCTGAAGATACTTAATTTAGCCTCTGTGCTAACGATACATGCGTCGCAGATTATGGTGGTCAACCTATATTATAGATCGACACGCATCATTATCATTCAACGGACGACCACGCATCGCAGATCAGGAATGCCAGATCCTTCCAATTCCATGTCCGGATATGACCTGGATGCAGCAGGGCCTGCTACCCACCTACACAGATGAACAAACAAATGAGATACACACGCTCACTTATCGTGTGACTAATCTGGACATGCTTGGCATTTTTCTGCCACTCTCAAAGTAGCTAACCCGTTGACATACAAACTGGCCATTGGTATTATCTGTGTGCTGACCTTGATACAGAATACTAGGCGAGATCCTGGAACATCGTTTTCTCTCCGAACATCCAACCTTCAATATGAACGGGAAATTTCTACTTGAAATTCGGCAGAACATAGTCCAGAACCTCGAGCAGTGGTTCCACTCATTCGCTGGGCTCGTGGGTCCGAACTTTTGCATGATTGCCGACCCAGAATGCGAGCTGTCTCCAGCGTCAGAGATACCCAAAGTTGCATACTATGGCCTACACATGTATCATTGCATGTTCGTGCTTCTACACGGGCCGATGGACGTAGTCCGGATGCACCAGGATCATGCGTGGCAAGCCTCTTCTGATTTCCTCATAGTGGGCGAGCACGCTGTAGTGTGTGCAAATGTAAGCAAAGTTTATCAATGAGGTCCTCTAGAAGCAAAATTACTGATAAACCTCCCCAAACTAGGTCGCCCGTCACATTCTTCGAGTCGACCCCCAACTGCGCCTAATGTACAGGTTTTTTGGCACCTACTTCTTACAGTCATCTTTCATCTTTCTCATTCTAGCGCAAAAGCTGGGTCGGCAGTCGGACGACTTGATCCTGCGCAACTGTGCGATCAACCTGCAGGTCCTGGATATGTTCGTGGCCACTACAAACATGGACTATCAGCGTATTTTTGCGAAATTTCTTCGTCGAGCCTTGTCCTATAATATGGCACATTCTTCATCTGCGGATGTATCAGAGGATAACCAGCCCCTGGCTGAGGTCTTGGACCCAGAGATGCTTGCATATCGCTGGATTCCCGGCTACAGAGGATTGCAGATCAACCCAACGGCTTCAGAATAATTAGGAATGCAGGAATGCAGCCAGGTAGTTAGATAGGAAGAGAGACCAGAGACAAGTATTCATACTAGAGTTATTCACAATTGTTCGATTGAATATGTAATAATGATTTAAAAAACATGTTGAGTGCCAATTAAAGCCCGGATCGTCTGCTGCGCACCAAGCTGGTAATTGTGCAAGAAATCCATTCTGCTCTTCCTCTCGACCCACGTCTGATCCAGTGCCATATCAACCACTGAGGCAGTTCTGTCGGCACCATACACGGTCGCCATTTCGTGCTGGTCACTAGGTGACGGAGCGGTGATAAACCGGACCCAATCGGCTTGTACACGATCCACTAGGGCAGCATTTGCGGTGGCCTCTGCCGGTAGGGTTTCATCAACTGCACGCATTGCATCTGCAAAGCAGTCATATATGTAGAGCAAATCCACGCAGTGATGGGCCTTCTCGTGGTTGATGCCAGGGAATGGGTTTCCCACACTCATACGGTATGATTGAACCGCTGTGGGACGGGCGCTTGTTGTATCTGATGCACTCTTCTGGGCTGATGGCTCCCAGCCCATCAATTCTTCTCGAGCGGTTTGGACACAATACCCGAATTGTATATCTGTCAAGAACTGGAATATTTGCTTGTGCAAGTCCGCCAAAGCCATGTCATCTTGCAGGCTATAGACCTGATAAAATTTGTCCAAAAAGTCCTTAGAGCTAACGTTGGCCTCTAGAAGGACCTTGAACTCATCAAAGCTTTTAATTTCAGTCACCTGAGAATAGTGCATAGTACCCTGTTTCATTCAGCATGGTTAGCTTCTCATCTAGAAGTCGAATCTGTGAGGGAAATGACTAACCTCAAGATCTGTGTCCCCAATAAGAATAGCAATAGGTGCGGAATTATGAGCAGACTGATCTTTCTCCACTGGTTCTTCATTCCCATCCAGATGGATATTCCAACGACCATTCGGCCGTTCTGATATAGTCAGATTGTCTACCACAATAGGGGAAACCATCCAGTCCAACTCTCTGTTTGCCTGGAGAATTTGCTCTGGTGACACTGTAGCCATATATTCCATGCGCGAGGCAGCATCACTATCAGGCGCTCCTAGCTGTTTGCAAAGTGCATCCCATCGCTTATTCGTATCTTCCATACTGATAGGCCCGAGAACTCCGACAGCCCCTGACTGGATAATCCCACGCTGGACCAAAGGCTCCCGCTCACTCAGGATTGCCTCCAGAACATGGGCATGCGAAGAGCTTCCACCGGCAGATTGGCCACCGACTGTGACGCGGCCTGCGTCACCACTGAAGGCAGCAATGTTATTCCGAATCCAACGGAGTGCAATTCTCTGATCTCCTAAGCCAAAGTTGCCTCCTTTCATTTGGCCATCTGGCTGGGCATCAATAATTTCAGATGATGCTGCAAAGCCGAACATGTTCAGCCGGTAGTTGATGGTGGCAACCACCATCGGGGTGCCGAATAAAACAGACTTCTGCACGAGTCTGGCGGGATCTACGGAATAGATTAGCTTTGTCTACCTTTGGCAGATTAAACTGCCCATTTTGTGAATACTCACCCCACATGGGATCGGTTCCTGCACCGAAGCTGTAAGCTCCGCCATGGATATACGCATAGACCGGCAGTCTCGCAGTCTCGGGATCAATACCGGCTTCAACGAGCGCTGATGCACTAGGTCTTGTGATGAACAGATTGAGACAGTCAAATTCTGACTCTGTGACATCGCTGGGGAACTCAAGATACGACTGATAGAAGTCGCTGTTGTTGGGCTCTTGAGGCTGTGGGCAGCGAGGACTGTGAGTAAATTAGTACGTTGATATTCTTGTTGCAGTAAATATAAAAACAGCTTCACCTACCCATTTTTAGTGGCATCAAAGATGTCCAGGGGCAGTCGGTCCCGAAGCAATCCATGTTGCCATCTTGCCGGCACAGTCCCATACGGGATCCCGCGGAACTCCTCAACTCCCGGTATGCTTGATGCTTTACCGATCACGCGCTGCTCATACGAAGGGATCGTGTTGGTTGGTAGTATGACTTCCAACGAGGATCCCGCCTGCCTTGGCATCTGTGACTGACAGCCTGAGTTTGCCATGGCTTAGATCCAGAATGATAGTTCCGCCTTTGAATTTTCCAGTAGCGCAGGGCGGCTAATAATTTATAAACAAGAAGACTATGAGAAAAAACACAAAAGAGTCATGCGGAATCAAATAGATGAGATTCGCGACTACCTACGTATGTATATTTAAGATTAGAACCGGCAAGAGAGCCGATGTGGATTGAACCAATCAACGATTCGCCCTGGAAGCTGTCAAACTCTAATCGGCGAATTTCGTATTCTTGGCGTTCGGCCAATTTCCAGCGCCTTGAGGTTATGGATTGTCTCCATTGGTTTGATTCTTTCTCCGCATCCCCAAGTTTCCCGAATCTGAACTAAAACCCGGGGCAGTGGGCGAAAATATTCGCCCGGTCGATGGTATATAAAGACGGGGAAGGACTATGCTATGCCACTATTCCAGCATTTCGTCTTTCGCTCTTATCCTGGTCCTAATTCTTTGCTAGAGGACATGGCCACCACTCAAATGTCGGCAGCGGCCAATGCTCTCGCTGAATGGCGAGCCATTGGAATCTGTCTTTTTATTACCATTGCTGCGTTCCAGTTTGGGTTTGATTCTTCCTATTATTCAGGTATGTGAAAGGATGCTCTCTACACCTGCTTGGACCACTGACTCATATATCTTGCTAGGTATCCTGGCAATGGAGCCCTTCATCAAGGCTTATGGCCAATACGATAGCGCGACTGGCGGTTACATTCTCAGCTCGAGTATGCAGTCCCTCACTTCCAGCATCATCAATGTCGGTGAAATCGTCGGCGCTCTATCATCGTACCTGGTAGATGATAAAATTGGTCGCCGAGGAGGGTTGTTCGTATCTAGTGCCTTCGTGGCTGCAGGCACAATCTTCCAGGTTGCTGCCGATAAACTGGCCCTGTTGATTATTGGGCGTCTCCTTCTAGGTATGTTGGGATTTCTTGGTTCTGGGGCAAGAGCTACGGTACTAACATTCATAAACAGGCTATGCTGTGGGTCTGATCTCCTGCTTAGTTCCATTGTATGTCGCAGACTGTGCTCCGACAATGTTCCGCGGAGCCCTGGTCTCGCTGTACCAATTCGATGTGGGCTTGGGTTTACTCCTTGGTGTAGTTGTCGATAACGCCACCAAGGGCCGAGCGGATACTGGTTCATATCGCATTCCAATGGCAGTCCAGCTCGTCTTCCCCCTCGTCTTGGTCCCTGGCCTGATCTTCCTTGCTCCCGAATCCCCACGGTGGCTGCTGTCGAAGGGCAAAACTGAGAAAGCTAGAAGCGCCCTACAGCGCTTGCACGGCAATCGCCCTGACCTGATCGAAAGTGAAATTCTGCATATGACACAACTGATTGAGGAAGAACGCCGAGTTGAGGGTTCTTGGCGGGATCTACTGTCCTGGAATGTTGATGGTCGCAAAGCCTACCTGGGAATGGCCCTTCAAGGTAAGAAGCTTGGATTCTTGAATTCACTAGTGCTGCCCCGTATTAACTCTTTTCACTATAGCATGGCAACAAGCCTCCGGCATCAACTTCATCACCAGCTACGGCATCATCTTCTTTGAGACCATCGGAATCACGAATTCGTTCCTGATCCAGATGGGTCTGTATCTTGTCGCAATGCCCGCTGTGTGGTTCAACCAGTACACCGTAGAGCGCTTTGGTCGCCGCGCGATGCTGCTGATCTCATGCGCCTTGGTTGCTATTGTTCTGATGATTGTCGGCGGAGCAGGAACTGTACCTGTGAAGAGTTTGGCGCTGGACCGAACTATCGTGGCCATGGTATACATATTCATGTGTGTCTTTAACCTTGCCCTAGGCCCGGCCGTTTGGGTTGTTACTTCAGAGATCTCTACTGGGCCGAACCGCAGCAGGCTTATGGCAACCTCGACTGGTACCAACTGGTTCTGCAGCTGGATGGTCACTTTCACCTTCCCATACCTGTTCAATGCAGACTCAGCCAACCTCAGTGCCAGGGTTGGATTTATCTATGGCAGCTTGATGGTTGCAGCCGCAGTCTGGGTATTCTTCTTCCTGCCCGAGACGTCTGGCCGGACGCTCGAGGAGATCCATGTAATGTTCCAGCAGGGCGTACCGGCTCGGAAGTTCAAGTGTATGTATCTACAAAAGATCCCCATTCCTGCCGACATAAAAGCTAACGCAGTTTTGTAGCGCACACAATCGTCGACATGGCCTGGCAGGGCACTTCCGACGAGAAGGAAGGGGCCTATGCCACCGAAATCGATAAGTGTTGAATCAACACACTGGTTGAAAGTAATAAAGCATGTCTCTGGAAATTACTCATTTCGTCATGGAATGGACCAAGGGGTTCTAAAGGACACTTGTCCTGAACATTACACCGGGATTGGACATAACTCTGCGGCATTTGTCAATGGATCATAACGGCAATGAGAAAGAAATGTGCTCAGCACCCGTGACCACGTGGTGTTTGTGGATGCCTGATATATATCAGACCAGGTATCTGTAACGTTCGTTAGTTAGTTGTATATAGAGCTTTAATGGTAGTAGATGGATCAGTATGATAGATCACTGTTCTTCTTCATCTTCCTCTTCCTATTCCTCTTGTAGTGAAAATATTTCCATCTTCATCCATCGCCAGTTTCCTTGCGTCGCGCGCGGTGCTGTTCCCTTACTGAATCACAAGTCTGGCGCTATACACTTACGATATAGGATTGTAAATGGATGCAGGATACGCTGGAAGGGAGGGTATTTAGCTGCATTTATAACTCGACTGGATGTGTAAGTGCCTTATGCAAACCATCCTGGTTATAACCGGGATTGGGCAAAAGGCACAAACCATGTATTTTCATAGGTCGTCATTTTTCAGGGGCTATACGAGTGAATAACTTTCCCGAGGTAGGGAAGATTAACTGAAAGCATGGTGAATGTTAGATAGGTTTTTAGTTGCTAGCGCTAGCATCAAATGACGGGTATCTGTCCAGATGTCCACAGGCCCGGCCCCCGGGGTCATTGACCGCTTATTAAGCAAAGTGGCACCGCCCAGGTGAGTAATGTGCTGTTAAATACTCGGTGAGCAGGACCGATGCCTTTATAAAGCGGCAGCACGTACAGCTACATACAGGTAGTAGGTACATACATAGTACTATGCAAGATGGAGGATATTAAATGAAATCAATATGAACATTTCTGGTATAACCCTGAAAATAATCTAATAGAATCTAACATACAATCTACCCATGTAATCTACATAATACAACATAAATACTTAAGGAGCATGGATGTCACCAGCCCTAGCCTATCTAATCGTCGGTCGCGTCCCGCGCAAACAACTCGAAGCATCATCGTAGAATCACGACTCTCTCTCTTCTCTTAACCTTCCAACTCTCCTCTCCACTCCTTGTCGCATCTTTTTATCTTTTTCCATTCCTATTTGAAGTACACTCCCTTTCAGTCTTCTTAGTTGACTCGGAGTAACTGAATCTTCTCCAATTCAAAAAAACCACCCCGGATATCACCTAGCAGAAAGGAACCTGGTTGGTCATTGGACTCGGAAATTTCTCTATTTTCACTCTTCAAGCCATATTTTCCCTACTTGCAACCGGTGGTGCTCAAAAACCCGAGCTGCGGCGCTCGCCATGAAGGCCACCCCGTTGCTCATTTCATGGCATAATGACAATGCCCCTATCTACTCGGTGCATTTTGATCCCAATGGCAAGGGCCGGCTAGCTACTGCTGGAAAGTAGGTTCTGTTTGTTCTCTCGGAGTGTTGAACGGTTTTACTGACTAATTTCTCTTTAGTGACAACAACGTCCGAGTATGAACCCGCCCTCCGTCGCCCTTCAGCGCACACCTTGATCTGACATATTATACAGCTCTGGAAAGTCGAGTCTACTGGGGAGGAAAGAAAAGTCTCTTATCTGAGTACTCTGATTAAGCATACACAGGCCGTCAATGTGGTCCGCTTTAGCCCCAAAGGTATGTGGTTCTGCAAGATGGCATACAACTGCAAATCTGACGGACGCAGGTGAGATGCTGGCATCTGCTGGAGATGATGGAAATGTCCTACTCTGGGTACCATCTGAGCTACAAGCACCAGCTGGGCTGGGTGAAGATCGTTCGGATGATACAGAGACCTGGCGAGTGAAGCACATGTGCCGCTCGTCCGGCGCCGAGATCTACGACCTGGCCTGGTCTCCCGATGGTGTTTTTATCATTACAGGCAGCATGGACAATATCGCACGGATTTACAATGCCCAAACTGGTTAGTTATAATTGAGCAATCCTCATAAAGCTCGATAAGTTGACGATCAAATTCTACAGGGCAAATGGTACGACAGATTGCCGAGCATTCTCATTATGTTCAAGGTGTAGCATGGGATCCGCTGAACGAGTTTGTCGCGACTCAATCGTCTGACCGATCCGTTCATATCTATACACTGAAGACCAAGGATGGACAATTCACATTGACACCACACGGAAAGGTTCTGAAGATGGATCTCCCTGCCAAACGTATCGCATCCAGCAGTCCTGCGCCTCCAGATATGAATAGCCGGTCGCAACAAAGCACCGGAAATTCTATTTCCATTGCCTCACCTGCTCCCTCAACCCCGGGGACCCCAATGGCTTCTAACTTACCCATGGATCCTCCTCCAGTCTCACACAGTCGGCGTTCTTCGTTCGGCTCATCTCCTTCCATCAGGCGATCTGCGTCTCCTGCGCCGTCTCTCCCATTGCCTGCCGTTAAGCCATTGGAGGTCTCCTCCCCGAGTTTTGGTGGCCTCGGGGTCAAGAATGCCAGCATCTATGCCAACGAAACGTTTACTTCTTTCTTCAGACGACTGACTTTTGCACCTGATGGAAGCCTGTTGTTCACGCCGGCTGGTCAATTCAAAACCAGTCATGTATCAGCTACGGATTCTACAAAGACGACAGACGAGGTCATCAACACAGTTTACGTCTATACACGGGCTGGTTTCAACAAGCCCCCGATCTCTCATCTTCCAGGGCACAAGAAGCCATCTGTAGCCGTCAAATGCTCCCCGGTCTTTTACACGTTGAAGCAGGGCACCCAGCCTGCAAAAAACATTACCCTTGATACATCCTCGGGCGAGGATGCGTTCCCATCTCTTCCAGACCCCGTGGTATCCGGAACCCCCTCTTTCCCCGACCAACCCCACATGGTCCCTCCATCCTCAGCGATGGTCGAACCGTCAAAGCTTCAGCCATCCCCAAAGGCTGCCGAGGACGGTTGCAATGAAGCAAGCCAGAGTTCTGCGCCCGTCTTTGCACTTCCTTATCGCATTGTATATGCTGTTGCCACCCAAGATGCTGTTTTGGTATATGACACGCAACAACAAACCCCGCTTTGCATTGTGAGCAATTTGCATTTTGCTACTTTTACTGACTTGACTTGGTAAGTACTATTTCTACTCTCGACACCTACGTGTTTCTCTAACGTACAGCAGGTCTGCCGACGGGTTAACATTGATCATGAGCTCTTCCGATGGCTTCTGCTCTACACTCTCATTCGCACCTGGAGAGTTGGGCCAAACATACACAGGACCAACCTCTGTGACCCACAACACTGCAACCCCGACCACCCCTGCGACAAATCTCACACCCCTGCTGACCCCAACGCACGCGGCGTCCCCACATGTGCCATCGCCAATCAAGACGAACCATGCGTCATCAAATAGCACAGGTCCCGTGCCGCCAGCCAGCCCCGCACGGTCCAACTCCACCTGCTCAATCGCCACACAGTCTTCGACACAGCAAACCCCTGGGGGAGTCGTGAATAACCCTACTCCCACACTCGGGACTGTTCCATCAGTGACGGCAACACACTCTGCGCAGCCACCGACACTCCCACTGACAACCCCGCCACAAACGCCCATCTCAGGCGCTCCACAGAACAGCACTGCTACGAACAGCGGTAGTGTTCTAGGCAAGCGTGATACAAGACCTACAAGCGAGTCTGAAAAAGAGGGCAAGGAGGAACAAAATAACGCTTTGCAGCAGCCGCCCAAGAGGCGCCGTGTGGCTCCCACGCTTATCTCGGCAGGTACTGATGGAACTTCATCAAAAGACACCAAGTCCTAAGTTGACATTATGGAGTGTTCGGCCTCTTGATCCATTGCTTAGCTTCGGCATGCAAGGCATGAAATGACCAATTTACTTTGCCAGCTGTTGCGTCTTATGATTCATGTTTTTTTTTCTAGTCATTGTTCATGCTATATCCTCCTAGTTTTCTATCTTATGTACTTGCAATATCTTTGTTTTTGATTTTGTTTTCAACAATCGGGTCTATGGTGGGTGGAGTTCTGAAGAGCTAATCTATCTATCTACCACCTTGCTCATGTTTACTGATCCTCGTGATCTATGCATGAATTGTGGCATGAGAATAAAGAGTGAAAATGTATGATCTTTACCTTCTATGTAGACGATTAGATGGATCTTTTAACAATTCTTCTGGAAAATAAAAGCCACTCAAAGTAGGGCAGTACTCAAAGTAAGAGCTAGAATGTATCAGTTATTTCGCCATTAGGAGCTATCCTACCTGTCTGTGTGTCCCTAACTCCGTTGAACATCAAACAAATAGAATTATACCATAAGTTATATGTCCCTTTGTGTTCCGTCTTCCTATCATACGTAAGTAACAGCAGTTCGCATGATAAGAATAATAGTAGCCAATCACAACAAACCCTTAACCGTGAGTAAGTCAATATTAGTCTCTTTCTCATTGGGCCAAACTCGATAGTTTGTCCAAAACATCCAAAAGCGAACAACCAGGCAGCAACACCGACCTCGCCTCAGTAGCATGTGTGCTAGTTGTCACGGTGGTGACATATAGCCTTTTCCCAAGCTCAGACCCATCAAACCGAGAAGGAGCAGGAGCAACAGCCAACTCATTTGCCCATCGAAACAGCGCCTCCCCACTACGAGATCCACCAGCTGCAAAGAGAAACTCGGGATATCGGATATTGGGGAGATGGTCTAGAACATAGGTGGCCGATTTCCCATTTCCAATAACAGCATGCGGCGGTTCAACCTTCACACATGTTGCCTCGCGGACGACATGGAAATCTGCACGCCCGCGGGCACCATTGATTTGATCGGCTAGTTCGGAGGCTTGGCGATTGGCTAATTTGCGGTCCAAGGCGTCATAGTAGTGGAATGTTAGAGAGCAGCGGCGTTCCTCGATTCGGCTGCCTTCTGTTCGCTCGTGGAAATAGTCCATCATCTTTTTGATGCCGGGACGCCATTTCATGGCGCTTTCGGGCACAAATGGAATCCATGAATCTGATTCAGGTTCTTGTAAGAAACATCCATTCTCGGCGATGAAACCGAGCTCGCTGGGGAGATTTTTGAGTGTTTCTTGGAGTTGCTCGGTGCTCCGGTTGCTGATTATGTATACGATATTCTTGGGGTCAGTTATGAGGGTTTTTAGAATTGCACAAGCTTTGCCTGAGGGGAGGGTCTTTTCTATGCCGAAAGCTGGACGGAAGGTTGCGCGGTCTTCCAAAAAGAAGACCCGTGCTCTGGCACCGAGATATGACTCTTCCAAGTCTTCAGGTGAAATCGGAGGGGGTGATGTGTGCGAATTTGTTGTATTTCGTGGGCATTGGTGAGAGCTTCTTGTAGCCTCATGTGCCATTTGAGAGCAGTGTAGGCTGATTTGCGATCAAGTAGGAAATTCCAGTTGCGCTTCTGCTCTGTCGATGACATCTCAAGTGCGGAGTTGATCGCATCAGCACATTGTTTGTAGTCCCACGGATTGACAAGAAGCTTGTGGCCACGAAAGATGGAGGCACTGCCCACGAACTCACTCAGGATTAGGGACCCATATTGGTTGGAAGTAAGCTGTCCATCTTGGCAGTGGATGAAATCATGGCTGGTCAAGTTCATTCCCTCGCGCAAATTGGTGGCCATGAAGATATGTGCAATACTTAAAAGGGCGATGAATTGGAGGTGGCTGATGTCTTGTTGAACCAGCACTAGGGGCTGGTGGGTGATAGTTGAGTGTGTTGCATTGATCCTCATTGCGATTTTTGAGATCTCTGCATGTAGTTCTGGAATCTCAAATGCAGATGACATTATTTGGACTAGAACCACCTACACAAAATAAATCAGTAGAGGCCAAACGCAGAAGTGAAATGTTAGTCCACTTACCTGCCCTCTCCATGCTGGATAAGTTTGGAGAAAAAGCTCGTATGCCAGAAGCTTCTGCTTAATCCCTCCAGGTACGTCCAATCGGTCCCGTGCTACAATGAGATATTGCCCTCGGTATTTATGACGGATGCTGTGTATCCAACCTTTGACCTCGGTGGATTGGCGCAGTATATAAAGCGAGGAGGGGTCAATCCCCAATGGAGAATTGACAACACTAACGTACCGATGATTGAGGTGAACTTGATTGGCAGAGACTTCCAGTCTCCGCAGCCGGCTGCAAGAGTGAAGGAAGTGATTACAGTATTCCTCTGTCTGAAATCCGATCAAATCGGCGCCTAGAAGACCATCCAACAGTTCTTCGCGTGGAGTCAAACAACGGAAGATTTCGGACGAAGGAAACGGGGTATGTAAGAAAAATCCAATCTCGGCCTTGGGCAGCCTTTCCCTCAAAAGACCAGGGAGAACCAGGAGGTGATAGTCATGAACCCAGATTCTATCACCTGGCTTCCAGTGCTTGATGATTGTTTCTGCAAATGCCTTGTTGAGGTTGAGGTACTGGACCCAAGAGTAACCGTCGTATTCAGTATGCCGAGGACTTTCTTGCATCTGATAATGGAGAGCTGGCCAAAGTACCGCGCGACAGAAATGGGTATAATGGCCCTCAAACTCGTTGTCACTCACAAAAACAGTCAACGAATCATACATGTCTTGGAGGGTCTCAGCAATGTCTGTTCTGGTAGAATCTACCAATGAGTCGGTAGGCATGCCTAGAGTCCCCACCCAAGTCTTGTCCTCGAGCAAGCCCGACTTTTCAGCAGCGTGAATGGCATTTTGTAGACCTCCATGGCCTTGTTCGGCGGCCTTGACGACCCAATCAGCATTGGAGAGCGAGACTCTTGTGCTAAGGTGGTACTTCTTGCCCCATCGATCCTGTGATCCATCCAAAGACAAATCTCTTCTCGGTGTCTGGCTTGGACCTCGACTACTCAAGATGGACGATGTAGGAGGATCTGTCGCCTTGGATCGGGGCTGATTAAATCTCCGGCTGTGTCCCCAAGAAATGACACGGGGCTCGCTGGGACCATGCCACAATCGATCATTAGCGATCGGAATCTCATCTGCTAATCTCGAAGTGTATCCCTTGAAGACTGTCTCATCTTCTGTCGTGGCCCCGGGTGTCAGTGGGAGACAGCCCATGGGATGAGCTTGAAAGCAGGTATCCGACAGGTGGATAGATCCAGAACCATCGACATTTGCATGACTAGAGAAGGACCCGTGTTGTCCATTCCTGGGTTCTGTCACTTGGAAATCGATGGTATATGGGAGGAACCTGGTATATATATACTATGTTAGATCTGCGGAGTTTTGTAGGTAGGGTAGGAACTCACAAAGATGCGATAAAGACCGTCATTGGAACTGAATTGTAAGCCAATACAGTATCTATGTTGCAAATAGCCAAGGGACTCAATTTATGGAGGTAAATCAACAATAGCTGGATATTGAACGCTGAGGATGGAGCTGTTCGGGCTTTTGAAGCGGAAGGGACAACTCATTGCTACTGCCGTATGTACCTCTGTTATTGTACCGGGCCTAGTAATTTTAAACTGAATCTTTCTATACTCCTTTGTGTGATTTTGTTTTAAAATAAAATGAAGAGGATACGCATCTAATGTTCACAAAAGTATCTACACTTTTGCTGGAGCATCTGGCCTACTCGCAAGTTCATCATCAACCCCATTATAATGACAACGATGAGCCAATCAAGCAAAGGGAAAAGGCGTAGCCAAAGTAAACCTCAGCCCTACCACATATAGATAAGGAATACGCCAAAAAAAAGAAAGAATAAAACTATTGGTGTTATACAGTTGTTGTTAAGGGTACGCTGTTCACTCTGTACATGCATTGCTTATTTCTCTACGCATCCACGCATTTTCCGGAGTGCCTTCTTGCTAGCAGTCTATTCCCCAATTAGTTCAACGGTATATGGCGGGGGACGCGCATATTTGAGCACCTCTCTCAGATATACTATGTCTGCACAGGCAATATGACGACCTGAGTCATGATATTCAATCAGCTGACAAGACACAGAAGAATCCCCAGGACCCCAGATGTTACGACAACTACAGGGCTGGAGTGGATTAGCGCATGACGCTTTGGCCCACATTACCCAACGCTATTATCCCACATATCGCCCGGGTCACCCTCAAGTTAAACAAAAAGACCGCATGGAGTAAAAATGTTGATCCATGTCAACGTAAGGCCAAACTCAAGGAGTCAGCTGCACGGCGAGCCACCTATGCCGCATGCGTGTCCTCATCATTTTGGCTGAGGTTGGCGCGCCCACCGCGTCAGTTCGAGGACATCGTTACTATTACAGTGTCACAAGATTGACAGATGGTTGGAGAAATCCGGAGGGACACGCATGTATTGAGAGAGTGTCGACGCGTGGAAACCATATGTGCAGACTGGAGATGCAGTCATGCATCCCCGGGCATGGAACATGGATAGTGCATATAGCCTTGGCAGCTTGAAAAGGCACAGCCAAGCTCATGGGATACGTCAACAGTTTAGGATAAGCTGTGTTTTAGTTTAATACATATTCAAGCAATAAACTCAGGATGACTCAGGAGAGAAATGGGGGTCTTGGCACTTGGCATCCGGGGATACATAATTGGCTCGCTCGGCTCGCTGAGCCCGAATTGCTTTGGCTGGAGTTCTGCACTTCTTTTACCCCCTTCGTTGGTGGCACTGGTGGTCCAGTTCGATGGCAATATTCAGTGTTATTACGAATGCCTTGCGTGTTGCGTACGCATTTTGGTGGTTTCTAGGTCGTACCACCTACATGTTATTATCATTACCGTCAATACCAATGAGAAAGAAGGGGAAATAGGGAAAATAGTATAAAAAAACAGAATCAAACAAAACCAGAGCGATCACCGTAAAAATACTCATTGGTACTTCCTGTAAACAAACCGGTTTTTTGCGAAATGATGCTTGCGCCATCCGAGCTAAGCATCAAGGCACCTTTTCTCGGCACCGGAACTATAGGGAATATCATGTTAGTAAAAAGCGACTCGAAACTTTTACTATACATACATATGTGGATTGTTCTACTACTTATGTGATAACAATAATAACCCGTTCGATGGCACAGCCACCCAGCATAGCCTTGGAATGTTACTAGGCTCAAAGGCGGCTCAGATGAAACGACGGCGGCTCATCGATTTCCCCAGATAGTACTCCGTACTCCGTACGCCTTGGACAGTAATTTCCCGGGTCACGCTATGTAATAGATTTCAGGGCTGAATCTTGGGGCTTGAGAATCTAAAAAGAATCGCATGATTAACAAAGTACTATTGTCTGAAACGTTGGTATACGGCAGTCTACATAACCCTAATTATATTCTAATCTTGTACTCCATATAGTTACAGTGGACCCGAACATGACTATTAACGCAATTGACCCTGTTAAACTGGAAATATTAAGAGAGCCTACTTACGTATATAACCTTTCCCCCTGATTCATATGCAGCCAGCTCATTAGGTACGATGTACTCAGAGCACGGGCTTTGGAGAGTTGTACGATGTAGATCGAAACAACCCAATCCTTTTACCTACAATATAACTGGAAAGGGGAAAGAGATTTCAACTCACTATTTCCCAGTGTCTTCGGGTGATCCAAACGGGCTATTGTGATTGGCGATGGAGAACAAGTTCCTGCGGGTTGGAGCGTTGTACGGAGTGTACGTGTACATTGATCCATCAACAGCCCTAATCTTCCGCACTATCATAAATATACAAAGTAAATATACAAAGTACAGCAAGCATTGGAGTATGGATTTCCCATTCAGATGCCCATCGAAGAAGATGAACGATTGAGTATCCCCAATAATTAGGATCCCACGTTGCATGAGACATTCATAAAGAAGAGGAAGATGCCCCTTCACAAACGCTAAACCTCATTAGATCGTCAGCACCGCCTCAAGCGGCTTAGTCGGAGGCTCTAGCCCCCGATCTTGTGAAATGCCAAGACGGACGCTTGCGCGTCTCCAGCCTTTCAGAGTGGAAAACGGAGAGAAGAGTTGAGCTTTCGTACCTTGGCCGCGCGTTGGCCCGACAAGTTCATATGCTTGATATTTCCCTTTTTTTCTTTTCTTTTTTTCGTTTTTTTTTTTTTACTTTGAGTGTTGAGTTAGTATAGAGTACAGTAAAAAGTACAACATTGTATACTCTTACAAAATACGAAGTATACTGAACGACCGAGCACGAGCTTTGATCAACGCCTTATGAACCCTTGAGGGTATTGATCTTCACTATTGTGCCCAACCCTGATATTATATTGACGACAACCTTGAAAGGCTTTGGTTACTACGTGATGAGCCACGTTAGATTATAGGATACTTGTTCTGACTCATGTGTAGTACTTTGTGTACTTTGTACATATATATACTATTTATACACATATGTACATTGCATAATATAAGTGATTATATACATATTTAGAACAAAACCCCCCAAAAAAAGAGAATATAAGAAGCCTTCAAGCCATCAAAGTATAGACATTTGCCAAGAAAAGACTAGCAACGATCCATGAAAATCTGGATGTGGACAGTTACGTGTTCACGGCTTAAAAAATACACAAATTACCGAAATTACGGGGAAACAGGGTCTCTTTTCTTGGCTATTTTTTCGTTTTCGCACACGCGGCTTGGCCGCGGGGCCCGTGATTGGGGCCAGATGCTGACGACGCTCGTAATACTGCGTACGCTACTCCCGTACTTTGTACTTCTCTCCCTCTTTCTCTACCTCTTCACTTTCCCTTCTGTATCTCCAATAAGAGAGTGATATTCAAGTCCTACGTCAATTTGAGAGTCCCCTCGTTACTACTCGTCTCTTGACATCCCTTTCTAATCCTCTCCCTTTCACAACTCTGAGTCAAATTGACCTTATTTCGAACTCGATTTTCTTCCATAGTCATTCTGGATCTCAACATTCATCGTCTTGGAAGTCTGCCGTGACTTCCTCATCGACTATGGCGGACGGCAGACACCAGGCTAACCAGCCTGCCTCAAATGGCTACGACGCCTCCTCTTTAACACATGAATTCGAGCAGCTGATGCGCACCAAACGATTTAACCGACTTCAAGATCCTTCTCGCTCACGCACTCTCTCACCAACTCACTCGCCATCACCGTCTCCAATGTCCAGTTCATCGATCCCTCCACCACCGTCGCGAGCTCCGCCACCACCTCCCTCACCCGGTACTCCTGCCGCCGCTCCTTCAAAGCCATCCACGACCTCATCAGCACTACGCGGTCTACCTATCATGCCATCGCCTCCCCAGGATCCAGCTTCACTTAAATTTTTCAATTTATTGAAGGGTTTATCAGTCACACCAACCAAATACGAAAATCCGGGTCTTTTGGACGAGGCCTTGTGTGTTATTCCGCTCGATCGCCTATATTCCGAAGCCGAGGAGGAATCCCAAATTATGCAGGCCCAGGCTGCCAGCGTGGCAGGAAAGCCGGAATGGGGCTACCAAGATTGCGTGATCCGAGCATTGTTAAGGTATGTTGGAATCCCTTGATGGTCTAGACTCATTGCGCCCTTGCTAACATAGCTATCTTCACCCAGATGGTTCAAGGGGTCATTTTTCCAATTCGTTAATAACCCTCCATGCTCGAAATGTCACATGCCCACGATCGCGCAAGGCATGACGCCTCCTACTCCGGATGAGACCGCCCGGGGCGCATCCCGAGTCGAGCTGTACCGTTGTTCCGATACTAGTTGTGCCGCCCACGAACGATTTCCGCGGTATTCCGATGTGTGGCAACTGCTGCAATCTCGAAGAGGTAGAGTTGGCGAATGGGCCAACTGTTTTAGCATGTTCTGTCGCGCAGTCGGAGCTCGAGTCCGTTGGGTTTGGAATTCCGAGGATTATGTCTGGACCGAGGTGTACTCAGAACACCAGCGACGATGGGTCCACGTTGATGCATGTGAGGGCGCCTGGGATCAGCCTCGCCTGTACACCGAAGGATGGCAACGCAAGATCTCTTACTGTGTGGCCTTCTCTATCGACGGTGCGACTGATGTCACCCGCCGCTACGTTCGCAACTTCTCTCGACACGGAAGCCCTCGCAATCGCGCCCCCGAAGAGGTTGTTTTGTGGACGATTCACGAGATCCGACGCAAGCGTCGTGAAAACATGTCGAAGACCGACCAACGCCGCCTGATCAAGGAGGATGAGCGCGAAGAAAAGGAACTCCGGTGCTACATGGCATCTGCTCTGGCAGCAGAGATCAACAACATGCTCCCACGAGGTCTTACCGGTTGCCCTGAGGACCAGAAACACCCAGGTGCTCGCCAGGAAGCCTCGACTGAGTGGCTCGCTGCACGAGGTCACGGTAACTCAGGACCCGACCGTTCCCCCGAAGGACGGTAAAACTACTGCTGGTAAACTGGCACCACATCAACCCCTTGGCTTCTGAAATTTCACATCAGCCACACCACCCATCGAACGATTGAGCGACCTGGATATTGAATATTCCACAGGCCCGTTTCTTGCATCGCAAGACTGGCCGGACGCAGCGACGTTCGAGAAACCCCTAGGCAACATTGGTTCCGACTATTGATCAAAGCCATTACGGTCGCGCTGGGCAACTTTGTCCGCGCCGCTGGCGCCCTTTTTTTGGGCGTCAGCATCAAAATGACCCATGGACGACTATGCTATCTTGACAAAGATTGAAGCATGAGCGACCGCAGACTTCGAGATGGCCAGGCTCCCGAGCCTGGCTACCCACAATGGCTGGCGATGTTGACCACTTGTTCCTTGATCATCGATCGTACAATTTATCTCCTACTGAATCACGACATCTCTCCACGCGATATTTTTTCTTTCATTTCCTTACTCTTTTCTAAGATACCATACCCAGAACCTGATTTTTTTTTTTTTCTTTCCCTGGCCATCTTGCGCTTAATATGGGTTACAACCAGGATCTTGGATTTTACACGGCGCCCATGGTGACAAACGATATCTCCTATCCTTCTCAATTTTTTTATTTCTAATATCTTTGGGAACTGCCCGACGGCACATGTTGTACGAGTCACGGATGCAGCCTTATTTTTTTTGGTATGATGTTTACTTTTGCATGTCCTGGCAGGACCGCCATGATCTTTTCCCTTCTTATATACCTGACCACCTTCTTAAGGTCAATCTCCTTTTTCTACGGGTTTGCACCCATTCAATACCACTATTTTACCACTGTCACCATAAAATATAAAATACGTACTAGCCAGACCAGTTTAATTATGATGTGCAATCTTCCCCGCGCCCTAGCGCTGTGGAGCCATTTGGATTTTTTGCCCCTGGCGACATCACTTGTAATGCTCTTAACCCTAGACTTGGAGGGTCTGAAGGGGATGTCATACAAAATGTACGATTTACATATAGCATACTTTGTCTCCGTACCTGGAATGGAGAAATCAGCCTTGATATCTTCATTCTACACTATTCGTATAAGGCAAGACACGTGTTTTATTTATAGGACTCCTCTTAGTGGGTCCAGGGTCTCACTTGCTGAAGAGTACAAAGTACACTCCGTACAGAGGGAAACAAAAGCTAAGAATGCGAATTATATACGAAGTACGGACTATATGTAACAATATTTGAAATTAACACCAAATAGCACTTGACGCATATTACTATGTGCTACAGGATATATATACCTGGAATATACAAAAATAAGTAAATGGCCGAGTATGCGTAAGCAATAATACTCCGATCCTAATATGTAGATCTGCAACGGTGTGCTGCAACATATTCCGAAGTGATGCCGTGACATTCAGAAAACAGGACAAGATGACCCTATGTTGTACAACGTCGTCTAAAAAACAGACGATCATTGCAACATCCATCAATGCATGGAAAAAATACAAAACTAATCATGCCATTGCGGGTCTTGAAGCATACCTCTCTCTCACACCGCTGATATCCAGCAGTCTATACCCCTCCGGCGAAGATCCACCCCTACGCGATCCAGTTCATGCAAATAGTAAGATTGGCCCTGAAGCCTAAGCTCCCAGCTGCCCCTCGCCCCAGTCGAACCCGCAGTCGAATCACAGCCCCCGGAAGAAAACGAACCCGAATCCGACCCCAAGCTCTTACAAGAGTCCTCATCGGAACTAAACCCATCGCCGAACCCGACATCGCTCACCCGAATCCGACCCCCACTTTTCTCCTTCCCATTTGCATGTGCATTCGCCTTCCAATTCCCATCCACCTCCAACTCCAACGGACTACCCACCTCATCTCTCCCAAACTTCCAATCCCAACTCCGTCGCGAAACACTCCGAACAACTAGCCCCCTCAATGGCTCTAAAAACCCAGCTAATTTCTCAGCTGGCTCGCTGAACCAGTTGCTCTCAAGCATGAGCACGAATGACCGCAGTGAAGCTAGCTGCGATACGGCCCGGCACGTCTCTGTCCACGGCGTCCGTCCGGCGGACACGTACACGGCGCGGACGGAGTCTTTGCTCGGGAGCCAGTGGCCTGGGAAGGACCAGCGGAGCTCGATGGAGCGGATGCGGTCCCGGTGTTCTGGTGGGATCGTTGGGAGGAGGTACGGGAGCGTCCAGGGGTTGCTGAATTCTAGGGTTGGGAGGGTGTAGAGGAGAGAGATTGATTCGTGGTATCTGGGGGGGGGGTTTTTATTAGTATTGGGAGTGGGGGAGATGAGATTAGGAAAGGTAGGTTGTAGGTTGTGGGTTGCAGGTGTACATCGTACAATGTATATTGTACGGTAGAAGTGGGCATGGATGCATCGTATAAGGGTAGGTAAGGGTAAGGGTTAGGAGAAAGGGGCATGGATATGGATAAAATCATTCAACCATACATCTGCCGACAAGTCAACGCCAGACCCAGTAGCTTAACCTTATTCCAGCGCAAGAGATCGGCGTCCTTGGCCGGCTGGGAGATGCCCGTGCCATGGCAGATCTCGCAGAATAAGTTGCTGTTCTGGCGTGTGTGGCGCTTTGGAGGTGAGGACCTTGGCTCGAGCGCACATGGACACACCACGTGTCCGAGTCGTTGTTTGCTGCATTGGATTATGTGGATTCTCTGGTCTGCAAAGACAAATCCCCAGATCATTAGCCGAAGCTCCGGCGATAGCCGGGTGAGGAGTCGACTTTGGAGTTGGGGTGCGGAGAATGGGATTGTTTGGTGGCGGGGAAGAGGAGGGGGTTTGTTGCCTGCAGTTTTTTGGGGGGTTAGATATGTACCCAACAAGAAGTATTGCAATGCGATTTTGGAAGTAGAAAAGAAAACAAGAACGAAAGTTAGAAGTCGGTCTTACTCTGGTATCGTTGAACCAGCACATCCTCCCATGAGAAAACCCCCTGTTTCATACGGGCCATTGTTGATAGTACTGTTTCCCCGCAAAGTCAAAAAGAAAGAGACATGGGCAGCGAGACCGGTTCATAAATAGGGCCACAAGACACACTTCCAAGGTTGGAAGACCTGCTGACCCCTATCGGGCACACCAGCGTTCCCGTCAATCCGGTCAGCGCCAAGTATCCCAGTTAAGGACTTAGGCAAAGAGTCGGTGAGTGTAAAGATAAAGGAGAGTATAAGATGAGGTATTATATACTATCCACGGGTATTTGCAGCTATCTGAGTCCAAAAAAGATGAAAAGATAAGGAAATGCGGAAGAAAATAACTCGGGCTATTTGTATATCTTTACTCCGTACTTTGCCTTGATCTACTTTGTATACTCCGTAGTTATGTAGTATTACTATTCTATAGCCCTTCTAAAGCCCTAAAGACGCAATCTCATTCAACAATAACAACTGGCTTATAAATATTCACGCACGCCATTCCTATTTCAACTTCCCATTGCTTAGGTATCTCTATGTAGTGGATATTGGATTTCCCCTACCAATTGAGACTATCTCATGTAGCGTGCCGCCTCAATGAATGTGTTCAGGATCAGACTCAGAATATATAATGACAACACACCAGAAAACAATAAGCGCAAGAGTTACTTTAAGCCAGCAGCAGCAAAACGGTCGGAAAGCCGCGAGACGGCAATTGAGCGCTTTGCTTCCCTACTATAACCAGGTTTGTCGGAGCTCGAGTCGGAAACTTCTTCGTCAATGATCCTTATATCAGACTTGTCAAGCTCCGGCTTAGAAGGTGTCGACTCCGGTGATAGGACTCCATCTGATTGTCGACGTGATCCTTTTTTCGGAGTCGGAGTTGGGACCTTGAAATCCATAGCAGGAGGTGGCAGCGGGACAGTCTTGGTCTTAAAGTCACCATTCTCGTCATAAGGTGTCTTCTCAGCTAGGGCGAATTTGACCCATTTGTTGAAACTCTTTAACACCTTTGTTTGGCTGGCGTGGAGCCACTCCTTATGATACGTATTACATCGACTGCATTCTTTTTTGAGCTTGTAATGCACCAAGGAAAACTCGGCGATGATAAGTTGTTCAATCCGATGAACATAGGGTACGTGGGCACTCTTCACTGTGATACACTCTTCATAGCACCGTCTGTGTTCGCCAAACCGCCGCTCGCGGTTTGTGGTGTGTCCGACTTTGAACATTTTTGGTTCTCGGGGGTGAGAGATGAGATAGAGGAACCCGGATTTTTTGTCCTTTTCTGTAAGGGGCTCGAGCAATTGAATAGTCACCTTTAGTGGCAAGTTGGCTTTGGTGCTCGGTAATATTTTGGGATTGCAGAGTTCGAACTCTGTTTCTGACGGTGGAATAGAAATAGAAATGATCGATTCTTCATTCAAGGGCTCGAACAGATAGTTCTGCAGTTTGCAACGCAGCTCGTGTCTCTTTTCATCGTTATACAGCTCCTTCAACCATTGGCTCCTAGCGTCGTCGGAATATTGCTGGTGTCGCTGCAGGCAAAGGCATGTCTCTATCAATTGCCCGACGGCCGCATTGAATACACCATCTTTGTCGTGAAATGTCCGGTCAGGGTCATTTAGAATGGCGAATAAATCGCCGAAGGATTCTTTCAAAAGTTCGAGGTTGGCTTTTGCGGTTTTATTGCGGCAGGGTTTGATGCCATCTTTGAGCCGCGCACATGTTAACACAGAGATAGGGTTATATGCTATCTCTAGTAAATCTGAAAGATAAAGGAACATATTGACCGGGGTCTCGATGGCAGACTGCATCATTCTAACAGTATGTAAAAGGAGAGACCGGATAGTAATGAGGGATCACCCTGGAAGTTCAGCGTGAAAGAAACCGCCAGGGCGTTCTCGGCCAACCCGGGGGGAAGGCAGATTTAACCCCAAGGTAAAGGCATTGAGAGTCCCCTCTTTTTAGTCCGTCTGATTGAACTAGCTCACAGCCCCGGCCTATCTCGCGTAAAGAACCGGATACAGGCATTGACGTAGGGCGCAGTGATTTGTTAGTGACCTTCCTAATTTTGCCCTGGTTGACAGGGGAGTGACCCGGTCGTTCCTGAAATAGTCTCACACCAGATAAAGACGATTGGAGGATTTCGTGCGAGGTTGGGGACTTAGGTGATTGTGTCGGAGAATCGCGTGCATTAGTGTACAGAGTAGTGCGTTTACAAGGATTCTCAGCCGTTCTATCCAAGCTCCGTTTCCCGAGGTTAAGTGTTAGGTTGATCCAAGCCACACCCCGATGGCGCAGCAGCTCCAAAGGCATACTCCGTAAGGATTATGGAGCATTTCTCAAGAATATAAGAACATTGATGCCTGACAAGGCGGATGGAAGGCACGTCATGTACGGGTGCTAGGTACCAGAACGATGTTGGGGGCCGAAAAACGAAGTCAGGCGTTCTGGAGGAAATAAGTCTCGTGGAATTGAGATAAATTAAAGACTTAGCAGTCGATTCATGAAGTGATGAAATTGTCACTATACCTACCCGTAATGTGTATTCTGTATATCTTCAAACAATACTGCCTCACTGGGCCATAGCCGGTAGCCTATAGTTAGTCTGACCTAAAGTATATGCTTAACAATGATATTATGTAGTATATAAATTTACAAAGAAATGATATCACATGCTAGAGTGTTGTATTTTATTGATATTCTACAATTGGCTCTTGCTCCTCTCGGGTAAGCGAACAAGGCCGCTCACTTAACTCAACGTACTCTATACAGAGGTCACAGACCTCAAGCAGTAAATAAACCAACCCCCAGGGTCAGTCATGCTAGCATCCGTACCGTCGCACCCCAGAGTATTACCCCAGGGCGTTAACCTGAGGTGTCACCAGCAACCCCTGTGACAGCATAGTCAAGCCATCCGGCTGCAGCCGGTCAACAGAGTCCTCCGCCGGCAGAGTGCCCACATAAGCATTGAAGTTGTAAATGCCACAGGGGCAAGTGTCAGTAACATCCCTCAAGCTAGTCCCCGACAAAGCATCAACCGTGAAGAAGCCGCGAGAGACTTTGAACTTCTGCGGGCCCACGCCCATCGGCACCGAGTGTGACCAGATGCCTGGAGGAGCGATATAGGTCTCAGTCTTATCGCCGGACTTCACCTTCACAGTCGCGGGCAACTTCAGCATCGTGACAATGAATACCTCGTCTTTCATCGAGTCGGCGCCGTCAGGTCGGCCGCGGGTGAAGTCGCCAATGGATTCGTTGGGGGTGCCTTGCATCGTTGTGTCGGTTTCGTCGCAGTTGACGTCCTTCGGGGTTGGCCGGTACCAGTAAATCAGCTTTTCTTCCTCGATGAATCTGATGGGCAATCTTGACTCTGCTTTATAGGCGGCGATAAAAGGCTTTGCCATGTCGAGCCAGCCGTTGTGAGGCCTGTTTCCTTGTTATTTGGTGTCTCCATTAATTTGCTAGCGGGGATGGGATATCTCTACTTACATGTCCATCACCCACTTCGAGGCACCGTCGTCTGTGTGTGGTGACGATAGCGGGCCGATATAGTGCGACTCGCCATAGTCATTCCAGGTGAGGATCTCCACAAAACGAGGGCTGAGACGTAGGATCTCCTTCCACCGTTCATACCAGAGGAGATCGGAAGGGAATACCCAGTTCTTGCTGTAAGAGACCTCGGTACCGTAATGAGTCGAGAACCAAGGCGAGATGGCTATTTATCAATTAGCAAATATGCACAAAAAAAAAACTAACAGACTCCAGCTACTCACGCGCAATATATGCTTTCCCTTGAAGAGCATCATTATAAGCATCATCGCCATTTGAAACAGAGACCTCCTGCCCGGCAGTCGGAGCCCTGTTATGTCCATTATTGTCCCAGCCCATCCAGTTGAGGGCACCATCGATATTTTCGAAATCACCATGACCGGGCTGGAAATGCGGGGCAAAGAAGATATCGCTGCCAGCAGCCGATCTGATTGCATTGACATCGATACCGTCGCCCGAAAATGACGACACAAAGACTTTCCCGTCGACCAGGAGCTGCGCAGGATGGCGTGCATACTGCGCGATTTTGGCGCCAACTTCGCCCTCCTGGCCGGGTTGCCACCAGTGGAAGTCGAAGGAAATAAACACTTTCATGCTATTGTTGGCAGCAGAATCATATGCATAGTTCAGCTGGGTGTCGGAGTAAGCATCGGTGCCAATATTCAATGCAAATGCGTCGATGCCTGCATCTCTGGCACGTCTCATATCACCATCATAGTCATATGGACTTTGGCGGTTGCCTACGATGCCCATCTAGATAGTGTTAGTATTTATTTAAAGAGGGGTTTGAGATCACAATAAATGTGTAGCTTACCATAAAATGGCAGAAAACCAATTTATTTCCGTCATTTTCATCAGTAGAGGCCATATTGGGAAGGTTGTCGATTGGAGTCGGAAAAGCGAAAGTGAAGGGAAATAGGCCAACCAGGGCCAGGAAGAAGTAGAACATGGCTTTTTGAGCGGTGAAGGAATCCTAAGACCAGCCAAGGAATATCTCCACTATGCCCAGATGTAAAGATCTAATATATGAAGATAAAATGAATGAAAGAATGAAAGAATGAAAGGTCTGGCTTAATGAGTGACCAGAATAAGGAATGCAAGCATGTATGAAAAATGGTCCCAGGGACGTTAAAAAGGTCTTATATGCTTTCGCGCTTTGTTTTACAATGCCACATTATCTACATTTAGATCCACTCTTTGTATGCATTGCGGACAATAGATTAGACAATAAAGCCCTATAAGTGGGCTGTTGCCTTAAAACGCAAGAAATCCTGCTGATGGCCCAACTGTACGGAGTACAGATCACTCCGTTAGAGGGGCCTCAGCGCTTAGATCCCGATGGGAGCAGGAAGCCGAGAGATTATTTCCTGCGATTTGGTTAGTTGAAATAGAATGGAAGGGGTAGAGGCTGACGGCGACAGGTACTAGGTAATCTGATAGGGCTGCCGGATTGGCCCAATAACGCCTCCAACAGCCCAGCGGCTAATTTAAGGGAGGTGTTCCAGGTTTGATGATTTGTGATGATAGTGACATATCTTGGTTAGAGTAAGGAGATATTTCGAATAGATCTCATTTTGAAACATATACAATCTGAGATAACTACTCCGTATCAGGGGTCCATTCACACCAAGAACCAGGTGCACGGTATATCCCCAAAAGGCAACCACTAATTGTGGGGTACCTCGGTGTTAGTGTTTCAAATCCTACAGGGCTGATCGGGGCTGACCAAGAATTTGAAAACAAGTCTGAAAACGAGTCTGTGTTTCGGTCATTCATTCCTAATGAGAAATCTCCTTCTTTGCCCCTATTGAGTACAAAGGGGAACGTCCCGGAGTTCCCGCTCTAGAGATCCCGCGCTAGATCTTCCCGAGGTCGTCTCTCCATGCGATATTCTATCTACCCGTGCCTATGCGGAGTAGCAATGCAATATGCTTCAAATCAAGGGTTGCGATTTGATATATGCCATTTGAAATTCTTAGTATCAACCTGGACTCATCACATACACAGCCCCATAAAGAGACCTAGAGACCACGGGTATCTACTAGGTGTCAGTAGATGGCAACCCAGGGGAACTGGAGCTATGCCCAGATTCAATTAATTGATGAATGTCTGCGATAAGACCTGTCATGTCTCTAGACTGGTAATTTAGGTGAGTGCTACAGTCCATCACACCCACGACTCCGGATGGACACGCGATCTTGAATGTTATGTTGAACAAGCCAAACCTAAGTAATTTCTGATTCAGATACTCATAACTCATCGAGTCGAGCCCATAGCGATCGTACTAGAGCTAATGTCTGTCATCCGAGCTAAAAGCAAGAAGACAGGCGCTGCCATCGAGGGCGTGTGATGGAATATATATTAAAGCACAGCAAAAGCAGAGACATAGCTCACTGAGCTATCATCGATCTCTTCTACATCCGAGCTACGCTCATACCGCAAAAAGTAAAAGCGTCCTTCTTGCTCAGCTGCTTGATTTGCCGTAACGATTTCCAGGGCTGCCATAATTACCCCGATCGGATGGCGCCCGCATACTGTATTACCCGTGCGTTCAATAATGTCGAGGAAAGACTTCGCAGATCCCGTCGTGATGGCAGCCATGGTAGCCATGTCAAATGCCGAGATACTCTCGTGGATGGCAGGTCCACGGCTTGGGATGCGATCGCGTTGCCGCAAAGACTGGCCAGCTGAGGCCATCTCTATGGCCTGATCGACGCTGCTTGCATCCATTCCAGGTTGCGGAAGTATATCACCAGACAATGGGAGTTGTGGTCCTGGTCTGGGGGCTTGTGGAACATAGTATGTGTAACGGAATCGGAGACCCCAGTGGCAGAAATCTGAACTTATTACAAAGGCGTTGGTCGGGTCCGCCAGATAGGGAGCTAAGAGAGCCCCAAATGCTTGCTCTGTCGCTTCCGAGGTATTTCCGACCATGATTGGGACTAGAGGTGGATATTCAGAGGTCGGAGAATCTGGATATTGGAGCTGGAGCAAGCGGTGGATGTAGGGCAGGTGCATCTCGATGCTGTGCTCGTCTTCGTCGACCGAACGAGACATGGTTGCGAAGCTAACCTTTGCCCCGTTTGGTTTGGTTGTCTGGGTTTCGAGAAGCTGGGTAATCAGCTCGGTGTCTAGTGGGAGGGGTTCATCGGATAGAGGGGTACGGTAGGAAGTTAGCGTTGGAAGAGCCAGCGTTGAGAGCGAGACATGGTGTGATGGTCCCAGGATAAAGATTCGCTTCCTATTTGGGAGGTTAGAGAGGTTTCATAGAAGAAGTCGGAGATGGGCTCACGCTTTAGAGAGATCCAGCGCCTTATATGCGTAGGCTGCGCAGGGCCCCGAGTACGAATAACCCGCATGTCTGGTTGATTAGTATGGTTGATTCTGGATAACATCATATGTATGATCAGGGTCTCAGGCATACGGTGCGATGATCACTCTGGCTCCTGGAGTTGGCAGCGAACCGACCTTCTCCATCGTGCCTGGCACCTGCGCCAGCCAGCCATCTAGCTGACGAGCCAGGGTGCGGGCACTATCTGAGTACCATGATCCAGAGTGAGAGGCCTGTCGAGATGACATGGTAGGATTTAAATTAACGTGTTAATCTCAAGGTCAAATTTGAAAAGTGGTTGTGCTCACAAGCTGAAGCTCTGAGGGGAAGTGGGGGGAGCATCATGGTGGGGATCCCGTATGCTCCAGGCCAATTGAAAAACACAGGGACGATATTGGTGTTGATTGGACTTTTCCTATTTGGGAGATACATCCAGTACGTCCCGTGACTGGACACTCTTCGATTGTTTCTCGAACCCTAATGCCAAGACACATTAGAACGTATTAGGACCCTGGAGTATCAATATTCCAGAAATAATACCTATACAGTATCGTACCCTCAAAGATACATATGACTTTATGAATCGGCGCTGTATGGAAAAGCTGGAACTTTCTGTTGGCATGCAAATAAGTGTCAATGTTACCAAAATTACCAAGAAATACATCCACTAGCAGTAATATACCGGAAACCCCTTAATATAGCCCAGTGTGCTTGAGTAACCTACCCGTCCGGGCGTGGACACTCTTAATTTATTCTTAAAAGTCAATGCTAAGATCCATACTTTTCAAGTATAGATCCGGAAGATCTATGTTCTTGTACAATTGCTAGCAAGTGCCTTGCATTCTGTGATATACAATACTATTGTCTCGTCACTGTATATTTAGTTTTAAGACCTTCTACAGGAGTGCAGGCAAGCCAATCATAACGTGTTAAAGTGCAAGAGAGTCTGGAAAGGTGTAACTCCTTCGCGATAATGTCTCAGCTATACCCTGATGCTTCGCCACATAATAAGAGCCCCCTCCCTCTTCCGTCCTCGTGTTCTGGGACAAGTTGTATGCAGGACACCCAATAATATGGTCTGGCAATGTGGGAGGTAATCTCTTGGTATTGACCACGTCCAATTATATCGCCAAAGACTTCCGCATACAAGCGCCCAGTTCAAGGCCCCCGACATACGTGCGTGTTTGAATGATGGGATCTATTGATTTTCTGACCCCGCTCTTTTCAGCTTGCCTTGCCACTGTCCTTCAACAGTGAGATCCAAATCGATCTACAGAGTGTTTATCCATAGCGATAGCCCTGCATTGAAACTAAGACCCTTTGGCGGACAGTGATAGACCCGCCATCTGGCAGCCTAACTAGTGCGCTTCCTTTCGCATCATGGCATCCCTGATCACTCTCGATAGCCCCGAATACTATGGGATTGCCTGGATCGCTGCTCTTCCCATCGAGCGGGCCGCTGCAGAAGCGATTTTAGATGAGGAACATGCAGCTCCAACCGGCTTCACTAGACACCAAACCGACGCGAACATCTACACGTGGGGTCGCGTGGGAGAGCACAACATCGTTATCGCCTCTCTAGCTTCTGGAGTCTACGGAATCGCCTCAGCTGCGAATACCGCCTCGAGCCTGCTTGCCTCTTTGCCATCTATTCGTGTTGGTTTTATGGTTGGCATAGGCGGCGGTATCGCTCGACCGGACGAGGACCACGATATCCGGCTGGGTGACGTTGTCGTCAGCCAGCCCTCCGGGACCACGGGCGGTGTCTGCCAGTACGACTTGACCAAGGCAAAGTCTGGTGATAAGCGTGATCGTATAGGCTTCCTCGGACGGCCTCCGCTGGTCCTACTCAATGCGCTTAGCAGAATCCAGGCCTACCACGAGCGGAAAGACTCCAAGATTCCCTGCTTCCTTAAAGAAATGCTGGAGAAGAATCCGAAGATGGGCAAGAGATCTAAGCAAAACCCTGGCTATGCTCACCAGGGCTTCGACAACGACCGCCTCTTTAAAGCTTCATATGACCATATCCCCGGCCCAGACTGTCGGGACTGTGACACTGCTGATGAGGTTGAACGCGATACTCGAGACTATACATATCCTGATATCCACTATGGGACGATCGCATCCGGCAACACACTCGTCAAAGACGCTGCCGTTCGCGATCGTATTGTGGCTGACATCGGCGAGGATTGCATCTGCTTTGAGATGGAAGCAGCTGGCCTGATGAACCACTTTCCCTGTCTTGTGATACGAGGGATCTGCGACTATGCTGACTCTCACAAGAATGATCGATGGCAACGCTATGCCTCGGCGACCGCCGCTGCGTATACCAAGGAGCTTCTGGCGTATGTGCCGGCCGCAGAGGTCCAAGAAACCAAGAGGGTACAAGAAGTGCTTCAATTAGGTTAGTTCTGGTTTTATTCACTAGCTAGAATAGCACACAGTACCGATTACGTTTGAAATTGACACTCTTTCCTGACTGCGAGTAGTTCAACGACAGATTGATGGTGTACAGCAGACGACACTTGCGACGAAAGCTACAACTGATTCCATGAGGTCTGATCTTTATACCGATATGATCAGGCGCTGGCTTTGTCCAGCGGATCCATCTACAAATGCCAACCACGCGAGGACGCTCCGCCTTGAGGGGACAGGCGCGTGGCTACTAAAACATCCTATCTTCGAATCATGGCACTCAGGGTTACGTCGATATTTATGGCTGTACGGACTTGCAGGATGTGGAAAGACGGTTCTTAGTGCGACCGTGCTTGATCATCTTGCGAGGAGAAACGACAATTTAATCCTCAGCTTCTTCTTTGACTTTAGCGATACCGCAAAGCAGACATTCGATGACATGCTACGGTCGCTTGCTTTTCAACTTTACAAAGACGGGATTGGATCTGCTAACTATCTTGATGCTTTATATAAAGCACACAAGAATGGCAGCGGCCAACCTACGACAAACGCGCTCTCAGACACTGTTTTCAAGATGCTTATGGCCAAAAGAAAGGTTTCTATTGTTCTAGACGCATTGGATGAATCAACAACAAGGGAAGATATCCTTCGGTGGATTAAGGACGTGATGTCTAAGTCAGACTTGGTTCATATCCAGCTACTTTATACTAGTCGACCTGAGTCCGAGTTTCAGCGCTATATTCCTTCTTTAATAGGAGAGGAAAACTGCCTACCACTTGAGAAGCAGGCTGTCAACTCTGATATCCGATCGTGGGTAGCAGCACAGCTTTCTCAACGGCGGGATTTTACAGAGAAGCTCTTGTCCCAGGATATCCTCGAGGGGATCCGGAGGAAAATTGGCGAAGGGGCCGACGGGATGTGAGATAATATTACGTTTGTCGATATACTGATAGTTTGCTAACACCCTACTAAGGTTTAGGTGGGCGTTCTGTCAATTGGACAGTCTGGCTCGATGTCATCACGAGGCAGCTATAGAGGAGGCTCTCGTATCTTTGCCGCCAAATCTGAATGAGACATATCGGCGTATGATTACAAATATACCGACGGAGCTAAAAAGTGACGCGATACGGCTCCTACAATTCCTAGTGCACTCTAAGCGACCTCTCAAGCTGGCCGAGGCTAAAGAAGTGATAGCGACGAATATCAAAAATGAGCCGCGAGGTTTTGATATCAAGCGTCGAGTGTTTTGCGATATTAATATTATAGCTTACTGTCCCAGCTTAGTGACAGTCGTTCAGGCTACCGATAAAGAGCTACATCTTGCCCATTTTTCCGTAAAAGAGTATCTTCTCAAGGAGGATCAATTCGACATAACGATTGCCAGTATCTCTATTACGAGGACGTGCTTGACTTATCTTACGGATATCACAGGTAGTAACATCGAGATCAAGCAATGTTTTCCAATGGCACAGTACGCGGCAGAACTTTTGGCAGGCCATGCTTCATTGGCCGAGGTTTCTGAAGATTTAGTTCGGATAACAGTCCAATTCCTAGAAAAGGAAGCAACATTCCAACGTTGGGGTCGTCTGTATCAGGCTGATAGGAGTCGGGAGAATGACCCCGGTCCTCCGCGAGGATCTAGGCTCTACTATGCTTGCTTCGTCGGGCTCTTGGCATCAGCACGAGTGTTTATTGGTAAAGGAGCGGATATCAACGCGCAGGGTGGCCGCTACGGCCACGCTCTCCAGGCCGCCTCCTTTCAAGGCGATCAAGAGATTGTCAAACTCCTCTTAGACAAAGGAGCGGATATCAACGCGCAGGGTGGCGACTACGGCCACGCTCTCCAGGCCGCGTCCTCTAGAGGTTATCAAGAGATTGTTAAACTTCTCTTAGACAGAGGAGCGGATATCAACGCGCAGGGTGGTTTCTACGGTAACGCTCTCCAGGCCGCGTCCTTTCACGGTTATCAAAAGATTGTCAAACTCCTCTTAGACAGAGGAGCGGATATCAACGCGCAGGGTGGTTTCTACGGTAACGCTCTCCAGGCCGCGTCCTTTCACGGCCATCAAGAGATTGTCAAACTCCTCTTAGACAGAGGAGCGGATATCAACGCGCAGGGTGGCGACTACGGCCACGCTCTCCAGGCTGCCTCCTCTCAAGGTCATCAAGAGATTATCAGACTCCTCTTAGACAGAGGAGCGGATATCTACGCGCAGGGTGGCAACTACGGTAACGTCTCCTGCACCCCAAAAATCTCCATTTGCCCCCCCATTAGATAATCAGCTAAATTACCCGTGGACATAATACGATTGTCGGAACAAACAGGAGCAAAATCACATGATTAGCAACCTCATCTGTCAAATTTACTATACAAAAAGCCTCAATTCTTCCATATTAGGCAGCTTTTAACGTATAATTGCTCTCCCCACAGCCCGAGCACCTACTGGGCGCCTTATGCTTCTTCTTCGGGCGCCCCTGCTGCCTAGATAGACAATTTGCGTCCCGTTTTAGCTGCGGTATCCTCGGAGGAGGATTGGGACCAATTGAGCGCTTGGAATTACTCTGATATACCAGAAGATATCGATATCACGGAATCCAATTGGCTTATTTGATCTGATAAGATCAGATAAATAGTATTTGTATAGAAGCCCTATAGAGCGAGTAAAATACCCGGAACACTACCCAATTGGGCTAGTTTATAGGGCGAATTTGCGTTAGTGATAGATTAATCTGATAGTATGATCAGATATATAAGCCCTCACCAAATCATATAGCTGAGATATTGCTATCTTTGGTATCAGGATCTTAAAATACGTAGCAAACAATGGTTGCTATAGGAGATTGATAGATAGATTGATAGTCATGTGACCTTTACCCTGTTTGTTCCGATGATAATTAATTATGTAATCATATGATTATAGGTAACTATCCATAAGTAACCTTGGAATTGGGGTGCAAATGCAGATTTTTGGGGTGCAGGGATCAAAACCCAACAACACAGCCCCAGTGGATAATCCGGAAAACTATTGATATAGACTAGCGCGTCTTGGCGAATAGGGTTGGGTAAACAATCCCTGGAGCGCAGGTGGTGATACCATTTATGGGATGTACTGTATGTACAGAGAAAGCTTCGTATTAAATATGTATGTATTTCTTATAGAAGTTTCTAGTCAACATAATATTGCAATTTTTTATGTCTGATCATAATCTGGAAGATCTGGAAGTACCGACATATACCTATACCAAGATACAACTAGGTAAACAGATTCAAAGTCGAATAGCTGCATAGAAAGGAGCAAAGTGTTCGTACAGACATCAAACGGGACAGTTATCAAGACTTCGTTGATATGTTGTTTGAAGCAGTGTACTTTGTAGTCAGGGATACCGAAAGAATAATCGCGGCTAGGGGAAGTCGCGTGATCGAAGCAGTGGCACTGATATCTCTGGGTTGGACATATTCATTAGGAGGAGGAATAGTCTAGAACTACAGAGCTCCCAGAGTTCATGCAGAAAGTTGTTTAACTAACTAACTAGTTATGAGCACTTGAGATTACCTATATTACCCGTTTTGGCTTAGCCTAACGGAATGCAACGCGAATCCTGGCCTCAAATAATGACGCGCTCGGCCAATTGTGTTCAAACGCATCGTCCAGTCCTCGTCTCAATTCCTCACTCTATTTTCTTATAATCACCACTCAGTGAGATTTTTTATATACGATTACCTCTACGCACTCTCTAACAATCCACCTTACTACACACCTACCTAGCTCTTATGTCTCTCAAGCGGAAAGCTTCGTTCACAGCTCTCCCAACCAGTCCATCGGTCCCGGGCCCGAGTGAATGGGGTACGATGACCAATGGGAGCACACATCTTCACAGTCGGACGCGAAAGCGCTTCAGAGACGATCGTCCCAGTGAGCAAATGATCTACCGTGAGTGTCTCGCCTCGCGCTTTGAGCACCCTCCCTTGATCGCATCGACGTTCAATCTCGCTGACAGCTGACAGAGAACACCTTGCGATGGATATTCTCCGCCCAAAAGCAGCAGGAGACTACTCAGGCCACCGATATGGACGCAATGGACTCAGAGCCGACTCTCGAAACACCAGAAGCCATTGACCCCCGACAGCAAACATTACACCGATTCTTCCAACAAACACCCCAGCAATCATCGTCGTTCCGGCCATCCCGTCAAGCACTTGCACCTCGTGCCAATGAGACTGCGCTCGCCCAGGAAGATCAACTGCGTCGCCAGGCGTTTAATCAGATGAGCTCCGGAGACAGCTCGAGCGAGAGCAACAGTCCCGGATCCAATCAGATGGGAGCTGATGTGGACATGGATATGGACATGGATAGCAGAAGTGGTGGTGATAGTTTGGCTCAGGTACCCAAGAACTGGGCAGGGGGGATGATCTGGATGTGATTTGGTTGCACTGGTCCTTTTTCATCGTCGCGGGCTGGTGTTATATCAGGAGAGGTTATCATTACCTTTCCATCTCTTTCGTGATACCTATTGGGTTATTGTTATTTGGGCAACATGTTAATTGGCTTATTGTTTTGCTTTTCTTCCTTTCTCGAAAGGAACCGGGAAATTTTCTCGGTCTTTGGCGTTTTGGAAGCCTGGGAATATTTGAAAGACTATGTAGGGGTTTCACTGTTAATGAACATACACAGCTGTATATCTAGCTTAATTCAAATCTTCCATGGCTTTCGGCTTCGTCTGCAGGCTGGGTAAGGGCGCGTAATGATTTGATCCAGCCTCAGTTTGCGATATTGGAGGTATTGTGATCGCTTACCTAGAATGGTAACTTGTTCGATATATCCATTAGTGTATACATAAACATGTATAGAGGAAGGCTGGTAGCTGGTGCCGCATTTTTTAAGTATACCGAGTCTTCATTATTTAGACACTGCTAGTATACTCAGTAGCTCTTTCTAGATCGTAGATTTTTGGCGTGATGACCGCGTTATGGTCCCCGCTGTAATTAGCCTACAATTTCGCCTCAGGCAACAAATGTGTTTACCCACCCGACGTCGTCCTTCCTTCAATTGAACACAAGGCCAGAGAAATCTCAAACCGCAAGAGAAATTACTTAATCCTGCCAACCCCCCGAATAATCTGACCCTGTCCTTCCTCCTGCGTCGGAATCTTTCTCAGCTCGGCTACCCTCAGACTTCAACTCCCCCGCACATTCGAGGTCCTCCGGCTGCTGACACGAACAACGCACCAACCACAATGGATCACGACCAGTCTGTTCACTATTTGGAAGGGCTGTTGGGTCGTACACTGCGGATCCATACCACGGATACTCGGATGTTCGTCGGGCTTTTTAAGTGTACCGATGCGGTAAGTGGTTACCTATGAACTACGTGCGATGGGTTTTGAAATAGTATACAGCGAGCGGTACTAATTGAAAACTCCCAATAGGACCGAAACATCATCCTCGCTAACTCTTTTGAATATCGTATGCCCACCACCTCTGCAGTACAAGCGGCCGCAGACAAGGAGTCGTGGGGAGAAGGATCCGAAGCCAAGAGCGCAACCATCAAAGTGAACATGACACATCGGCTGATAGGTCTCATTGTGATACCGGGACGACACATTACGAAAATCGAGCTGGAGTAAGCCATAATCTGGTTCCAACTCGGGCTCGTGTGCACGAGACCTTCATCCCACCTAGGATCATGCTCTATCTTATTCTCGAATGATAACCCTGGCCCGTCTGCCCCGCAACCCCAAGCATGGCAGCTACCTATTGCGCCCACCCACACCATATGCCGCAGCAGAAGCCCGGTTTCTGCCCTGCGCCCACAATTACGTTGGTCCCTGCTTCCCCGCCAGGGCTCGAGTTGGGCGTGAGGCCGCCAAGATGAGGCTTTCTTGCAGCGGCACTCGCTGCTCCTCAACGTGGCACCGGGATCACAACAGCTGCATCGCAGTGTCGCAGAATCTAGGGTGGCGTGACCGGCAGCTTTTTTGTTAGACTATCAGATAGCGAGGTTGTTTGTGGCAGACTCTTCCGATTAACAAGGGGTGTATGGAGGGGCAAAAAGGCGGTGTCTCCGCCACAGATATATGCATTAACATGCAGTGTGGTTGCTTTCGTGCAGACCCAAGACTATCAGTGGCCCCTGTCGGCTTCTGGTACGATCAGATCATGGGACCAGGGTGTATCGTGTTGTTTCTGAACGGCCTCCACCATTCTCTAGCCGCCTTCCACTGTTAGAAGTATTTGCAGGAGACTCGCTTTAGCTCGCAGCAGCACATGACTTTGTGATGTATCATTCTGTTTCCGAACGCGATAACGAGTCCTTGACTCGGTGGGTGCTATACTTTTATCTCTATCACTTCTGATAGGAGACGGGTGCCCCCAGGTGGCGGGGTCCAAGCTCCGGATAGCCTCTCTTGCGAATAGCCGGGTAGATTCGGAAAAATATTCTTGGTGTCCGACTGGCTCTGTGAATTTATTTGTGATGGTCTCTTCAGGTGGTCTAGATTCAAATGTAAATTCACGTACGTTGTATGTTGTAGAGAGAAAAGCATCGCTTATCGAGCGCTAATAGTGGGGGTTTTCAAAAAAAAGACAACCAAAGAAGACCTAGAAAACGGGGTAAAAAAAAAGCAAAAAACTTTGTTTAATTGTTTAAATACTGGGGAGAAAGTCATGGCTCTATAAGACTAAAAATGAAGGAAATCAAACAAAGATATATCCAAAATTTGTGCGGTGTGCAGCTGTTAAGAGCGATATATAGAGACCATTCAAGGGAGAATACTATCTTCAGATGTGTAATAGTCTGGTTGGTTTAAAAAGAAAAAGAAATCAAATCAAAAAAGAAAATAATAAGTCTTTTGATTAAGTAGATCATGAAGACATCTCCATAAATCATTCACTCTAGCACTATAAATATGAGAGTCCAGACTCTCTCACTCTTGTTTCCCTAAATCAGGCAACCATCGTATGTACTGGCCAGATTCTTTGTATAGCTCGGTCCGATAGATTATCCGATTATCCGGCTGACCTCATCCAGTCCGCCCGATCGAGACCGGGTCCACTGGAGCAAGAAACAGAAACAGAAACAGCCACTTTTGTACCCACGAAGTACCTTTTCACTGTACTAGCGGTGGCGGAGTACTTTTGCCTACATCTCTCAACTCTCTGACCTTGACTCTCTTGACTTTCAAGTTTCCTTCTTCCCCTCTTATTTCTTGCTTTCATCCTTGCAGGGAGCTTCCACCCTTTATCGTGTTATATTTCCCACCCCCATTGGATTTCTTTTGA